GACCAACTGCTGACAGCAAAATGTCTAACAGCCATCGAGTCTATCACACGGAATGGCTTCGCTTGTATTGTTGTCGTCAGTCGAAGCTTGAATAGAATAATTAATTATGTTATTAATGGCCTTTCAGCTTTGGCTCATGATTTCTACTTTATTAATTAAATTTCGTTTTTCCATTTGCCCTTTGCTGATCTAGTTGTCTGCTCATCTTTCCAAGTTTCTCGAAGCCATCCATTAATAAATGCTGACAACGCTGGCAGCTGCTGCCGCCCTTAACTGCAGAAACATTAACTTGGCTAAAGAACTTCATTATGCTTTTGGGCAAATAAATCTTTCGAATTGGCTACCTTTTGACTGTAGGCCAAAGCCAACAATGAATCATAATGCGCAAACATGGCGAACACCTTCAACATTTGCTAGGAGAGCGGAAGGCAGGGGATAGGGATGGCACTCATACGCCCTGTGGCACATGCAAGCTCGATGGCAACTTGTGGCCAGCTCTTAATGTTATGGCGAGTCGACAAAGCAAGCAATAAAGCGTAGCATAAATTAGCCAAATAAGCAGGCGGCTAACAAAGTGAAACAAAAGCAAAACACAAAACTTTAATGTTTGCTAGGCAAATACAAAGTCAGGGCCAGGACAAACACACACACACACACACATATATATATATATATATATATATATATATATATAAGCACAGCCTGCGGGCAGGACGAAACCGAGTTTTTTGGGTTTCCAACTTGCGTAACATGACTCTTGTATTGTTATTATTATTATTGTTGTTCTTATGGTGGCTTGCTTTAGTTGCTTATTATAAAAAATTATACACACACACAGATACAGTGTGCGGCACAAGATATGAACATAAGCCATAACCGAAAGAGCAATAATGAAATGTCTTTATGTGGCGATTATCTGCGCATAACCGGCGCCAATGTGCAATTAACTGGCAAAAGGGGCGTATACTTCATATCGCCTACACACACACACAGATAGAGAGGTACATATGTATATGAATTGAAGCATATCATAAATGCTGCCTGGCAGAGTTTCTGTTGCTAATGACAGCTTTTGACTTGGCTTAAGTCAAAAGCCGCTTTTATTTTTAGTTAGTGATTATCTCTTATACGAGCACCTGTTACTTAAACTTAAATTTCCCAGCCATCAAGCAGCTCGGCTCTGCAGCTGTCTTAAGCCGCAGCTTATGAGCAGCAGAAAAACATAAACAGTCCTGAGTTTTTTTCCCCCGAACATAGCTGCCTTTAATACAATTTGTTCGCATTTCATGTTTTGACTGACCATCTGAGCTTTTTCAATTTAATTTTGAAAATAATTTCATACATTCATATCCCGAGCTCGTCAAATTGTAGGGAAAAGTTAATAACATCAGGTCAAGTTCTTGCTGCGCAAGCCGGAAAGAGTGGAGCGTGTGGGTGGTGGTGCGTTGGACATCCTGTGGATGTAGATGATGTGTCCCGGCTGGCAGCTGGCCAATATTTATCCAACTATCTGCGGCTATTCGGGTTTTGAGCTTCGGGCTTCAGACTCTCGACTTTAGACTTTCGACTTTGGGTTTGTTTGCCATTTTTAAGCTGAACTGTAAATGAGATTTTGCCCATTTGCTTTGTGCTTGTCTTTCTCATTCATTTCTGCCCTTTGGCTTTCAAATAGCAATTTGCCGCACAGCTTTGACTATTGACGCCACAACCAATGGACTACGACTGATGACTGCCTCGGACCCTTGGACTAATAATCAACTAGCTGTCGGTAGCTGCTAGTCTTGCTGCCAACTATTATATCGAATTCAATTAAAGGATATTCCCTTACAGACACTAGCTAAGCACAGAGCGCACAGCAAAACACGAAAATTATGTGGTTGTTAAGAAAAATATATGGAGCATCGCTGGGAAAGCACTGTTTGTGGCGAGAGAGTGAAGAAAATATATGTATTATATAAATGTAACACATAAATAGTATATATATAAATTTTAAAAATTTAAAGCCGCATTTTCCGAGCAAAAATTGTTATTCAATAAAAACCAATCTTACTCAACATAAAGCAAAACATTCAATGTTATGTGAATCAATTATGAACACAAAAATAAATTTCTGTAATATATATATGTAGAGAATATTTGAAGCATTAAAGCCAAGGAAAATAATTTTCTTAGCCAAATATTGGAGAGCAATTTAAATAGCTTAAAAAGCATTGTTAACTGAAATTTTATTGCACTGCTGACTCGAACAGCTGCAGATTTTCACATCAAACTGTTTCTGCACGGCAATTTTTTATCTCTCTCTTTAATGTGTTTAAATTGAAGGCTTCTGTGCGCTTCACTGGCCAAGGATTTTAATGATATTTAGCTCGTTGGCCACACCCACACACACACACACACACACACACACAATGGCGCTTCGGTGGCATTTGGTGTAACGAAGAAAATTGCAATTGAGAACGAGCACAATAAACACTTTTCGTGTTATTTGAACGGGCAACTGCGTGTCTTGCGGCCACTTGGGCGTATACGTAATTAATGATGGCCACGAAATTGTCAGTTTTTGACAAATATCGCTTGATGGGCTGTCTCACTGTATGGCACTTAATCAAGTTCAGACAAATCTCTAAGATGCTTTCAATTAGTTGGCGCTTAAGTAATTATGCCTAATGCAAAAACTTCTGACATCTGATTGATGGCCCAGTTGCTGCTGCGGCGGCGGGGCACGAAAGCTGCGCCCATTTTAATAGACAACGCGTAAATGATAGAGCAAGTTGGCCCGCATTTGCCAAGGCGCACGCCAACATTGACAGCAGTGTGTGCATAGCAAGGACTCTTTGCTTTAGCCGCCACGCTCTGCTGGTCATAGTGAATGGACGCAGCACAGCCAACAAGCTAACAACTGTAGCCGGCCTCACGAATCCATGCACAATATATAGAATGTTTACAGTGTCATAAAATATCAGCAACAAATGCGAAACCAAAACAAACAAAGGCGAAAGCCAAAAACAAAGCGCTAGACAAATAAGAAAGAAAAAACGAAAAAAAAATATGAGCAAAAAAGATGAAAACTTCTTCACAAAATTATCAGTTGAAAGCTAAATGTTAGCTGCATATGTGGTCACTCCGCTGACCTGTAAGATTATGTGACTTTAAGACTCTACTAAAGTAGACTTAGGTAAAGTATTTGTGCTTGGATTATGTCTTATTGAGTTATTAAGCTGGGATAATCTGGGCAATTGCTTTGAAATATTCTTTCATATAAAGCTCAACATTATATAATAGATTTCTTAACGCCTTATTTCAAATTTTGCTTCTTTTAAGCCTGATTCTTGATTGTCTATAGCTCTCTTATGCCTCATCATAGTTCTATGACATATTCCTTAACAAGTCATATTCCAATTCCCATTTGCAACTCTGTTAAATTTGCCATATATCCATTGTAATCTGAGCAAATACTCTATTATCTAGATCTATGCCAGTCTTCTTTAACATGCATTCGATTCATTTTTCTATCATTTAACACTTCTCTCAGCAATTGGCACATTCTCTCTTTCAAGTCTTTCATCTACTTCAATTGGCCATCACCTCACAATACTCTTCTTGTCGACTGTTTGATAAACCAACTCATTCCCAATTTCGCTTAAATGGTTTTTGTTTTACTTTGGCGTAGAGACGCCTCGAGTCAAGTGGCAAATGCATATTGCAAGCATCAAGTAAGCAAAACTCATCTGACTAAAATACAAATACAATGTGCCACTCGAACTCCAGTCACACACACACACAGTCACAATCTGACACACAAGTCATATGGGAGCTGAACATGAAAATCAATAACAAAAATATCACATTACATACTTTGCTCGCTTTGTTTTCGGTTTCATGCAGCACTTACATTTTTTTGTTATTGCCATTGCGTTTTTATTGTATGTATGTTCTTTGTGTCGATTGGGTTTTTGGCGGCCACGCTGGCGTATGATTGATTTTAGGGCGCACCAGGCAATGTCGTACTCAATGACTAGGCACAAAAGTGTTGCATAACTAAGGGGCCGGCAGTCGATACAAATTGCAATCGCAGCGTTGACATGTAGCAAACGAGCAACAGCAACAGCAACAGCAGCAACAGAAGCAGCAGCTGCCATCAAAGAGCTTCACGAGTTGCCAGTCAACAAATTCGATTCAATAAGCGACGCCTAACATGGCCTGCATCCAATTTTTTCATTTTTTTTTTTTTGGTTGCTATTTTCCATATCTGTTTTCTCGTAGGCGACATTTTTGTGTTGCGTATGCATGAATGTGGGCGTGGCATAAGCCGATCAGCATGCGAGCCAACATTTGTGCACGGAAATTCTTTCGAATTGTTGGCTTGTTTCTAAGCGGATTACGTGGTAGAGTGATTGGCTTGAATTCCAGTTAAAAGCTAAAAAACCAAAAAACGAAAGAAAAAAAATATAAATATTGATTCGCATCAAAATTGTATATTGAATTTTGATTGTAAATCGGAAATCAATGTGTAATGGCATAAAAACGAAAAAGTCATATCACTCATAACAAAAATATGGCCACAGCAAAAAGATACATATACATATACAATTTAAATCAAATAGATGCAACAAACTCATGCAGGGAATTGGAATTGCATTAATATCTGAGGCAGCAATATGCAACTGTGCAGATGCACACAGTTGTGCACACATTCAGTGGCCACAATTTAACGCAATATTTAAAATTCGATTTTTATCTTGCATTTTTGCAGGCCAGCAACAGTGACGGCATCATCATCATCATCAGTCTGGGAGGCGTCGCTAATGGGCGGTTACGCAACGTTACCTCAGCGGCAGCCACGACAACCAGCAGCAGCATCCAACGAGCCACAATAACAACTGCAGCTGCAGCTGTAGCAGACGCTGTGTATTTGTTGCAATGTCTACGTAATGAATACAAAACACAAAAGTTGCATTTCTGTTGCCAACGCCGCCGCCGCCGCTGCGAGTAGTGAAAAAATGAAGTCCGTCATCCTGTATCCGTATGGACCGCTTACTGGCGGCGCTCGCTGCTGTCGCATGTTGCATGCCAAAAATTTGGCCATAACAAGTGCAATTTACACAATTGTAAGTGCAATACGACACTTCTAGCTATTAACTCGCATGCTGTTTACATGACACGACAAGCCCATCGGGCGTATGCGCAATGCCATTGCGAAACTGTTTGCGTACGCTCCCCGTGGCAACATTTGCCATGCTTCAACGTAATTAAAAACAATTGCCACTTGTGCGAAAGGCATTTTTATAGCATTTACTTTCATATTTGATGCCAATGAGCGAAACTCATTTATCCGACTCATTGAATGATGGCAATATTTTTAGACCAATAATGTCAGAAACAATTATTTTCATTTCAATTCAATCAAATTATAATATATATTTATACACATCAAATTAAGCCAATTTACGTGCTGTTCTTGTTATTAATAATTGTTTTTATTTATTTTCTTTTTTATAATTGAAGTTTAAAATCAAATAAAATTCAAAACATTTCTCTATTAAACAAAATTTGCATATATTGTAACTATTTATTTCTCAGCTATTTTATCATTTTAACATGAAGATTAATTTTTTTGATCAAAAATTTTAAGCACACAAGTTTTAAAATATTTGCTTCAAATATTTAAAATCAAATTTTAAAGAAAATATATAAAAATTTCGTACAAGAAAAGTTGTTGCTCAATATTTAAAAGAAAGCTTTCATATGAAATGCTTTAAAATGTATTAAATAAATTTTTAATAATCTTCTTCAAATTTTATATATCTTTAAAAGTGATTTGTATTTCATTTGTAATATATCTAAAAGAAATTCAAAAATTGCATATATTTCTTCTCAGATTGCTGCCAAAGTAAAAACAATTTCTGTAGTATTTCCTAGATCTACTTAGGCATTGGCAAATTCATTTAGAAGAACTAAATGTGAAGCTCTGTTGCTGATATATTAAATTATATATTATATCAAAAGATTTTAGTTCATTTCTGTTCTCTTCATTTAAAATTGTAGCCATCATATAATTTAAAAATAAATGTTTAGTGTAATTAACATTTTTGTTCAATTACCAAAGAAATGCTCGTTAAGATCTGTATCTGCTGGACCTATGTAAGTGGAAACTATGGGCCAGGGACCTTAGCGAACTTCATTTTGTGCCTTATAAATTGCAATTACATGACGCTCATTATGGCATTTAATTTATGTTAATGGACGAATCGTGCATGAGATTTTTATAGGTACTCCCGCCTCTGCAATGGGCACTAAATGCAATAGCAACGGCAGCAACAACAACAGCAACAACTGCACTGCAATTTACGTATACAAATTATGTGCATGGAACTTGGGAGTAGATTTTGTTGCTGCCTTTCAAGTACCTGGTTTTTGCCATCCGCAATTAGTGGCACGCTTTATTGTTGCAGAGCAGCGAAAGTTCAGTGCCGTCCCCAGAGTGGCTCGGGGTAGTCACGAAACATTATAAATAAAATAATATCTCAGCTAGGTGTAAAATTTTGCATTTAGTTATTTATAGCATCAAATTTTGTGCGCCAGGTAATTGAGGCGCATAAATTTGAAAGCGACTTTTTCGTTGAATATTTTAAAGTCATTAGCTCGCTTTGAGAGCAAAAACATGTTTCAATCCACACATCCGAGCAAGCATTTTATATGTATGTCTGCGAGCCCACATTGCGTATGCGTGATATGTTTTGCTAATGTATTCCTACACAAATTACTTTGTCATTCCAGAATATTTCACTCCTAATTGTGCTGATCTATTCGTGGCGCATCAATGTTAACATGCACAAATCTGCCGAGCTCCAGGACGTCTACTATGGTAAGCATGAGCTTCATTCATTTAAGCAATTAAGCAGAGATAGAGAAAGAGAGAGACACAGAGAGACGGAGTCACGCCATATAATGTGAAAATATCTCGAAATGGCATAATAAACGAGAGAAACACTTTAATAAATAATTAAAATGTTGAAATGTTGTTGTGCCGAGCACAGGACACAATAAATTAGACTATTAAAAACCGTTATAATGACATTTGAGACTCTGTCAACCGAGTCTCTCTTAATCTACTGAGGGAAGGCAGGAGAAGTTCCTTTGAAAGCATTTAAAAATAATATTAGATATATTTTATATGTTAAACTGTAGTCTTCTTCTTCTGCTTGTTGTTTTGCAGGTGTACAAATTGCATATTTCGCCATAATTGGAACGCAAATGTCAATGATATTGTTAAGCATTGTGTTGATATTTGGCATCTGTCGGGTAAGTTTCGGCACGTTTGCACAAAAGATTTGTCGTATTTTTGCCAAAAACTCAACAAAAAAGGTTGACAAACACACAATACTCACATACAGACACATTTATGTATATATATATATATGTATATGTGTTTGGTAAATCAAATAACTTGAAGCCACACATTTGCAAATTATGCACATTTGTGCCGGGGTTTAAGCTGTTTGCTGGCCATACGCAAATAAAGCGCATTCAAATGTAAATTTCGCCACACATTTGCCACGCCCTGAATGCCAATCAAACTGCCTACAAATAAATAAATAAATAAAACATATGCAAATGAGGAAATTATGGATAATTTAAATAAATATTTATTTATAATCGAAAAGTTGAGTTGAACTAGACTTAAAATATAATTATATTATAATAACGGGATAGATCGAATAGAATTTCTTCCACATAAACCAAAAGCTGTCAATGTGCCTCTGAAATACCCTCTTAAATAGAAATTTATGATGAAGTCATGCCAAAGCGAAAGAACAAAAAATGTAAATAAAGTCAAATGAACCACCCAGCATATTTGTGAAAGGGTTGGCAAAAAAAACCTAAAAAAAAGAGCAGAAAATGGAATAAAAATAGATGAAAAGCTGAATACCAAGCACAGTGTACAGTGGTTGGAAATGTAGACAATTTGTCACACAATTGGGTATACAAAACCATCTGTCGGTTGGCTGACGACGTCGACGGTGACGGCGACGGCGACGGAGACGACTGCCAGCGACACATGACAAAGATTATATCCAGTTGAAGCTAGCATTGCGTGGCGTATTGTGTGGAATTTTTTAATTTCGACCTCACTGCAAAAACAAAAACAAAAGCAGCACAAAAATACACACACACATACACACATGGCAAATACAACGTGAACGCCAACGCATTTGCCCTAAAATGTATGCTACACTTATTTGTACTGTACGCTGTGTGTATGAGCTGTGTGCGTGTGTGGAAAAGCATTGTGCTGTTGGCCAAATTAATTGCAGTTCGCTTTTAGGCGCCAACAACCTGACTCAGTGCGATGCGCTTAAATAATGCATAGACCATTGGCATTAATTAAAGCTGCCAGCCTATTTGTACAACAATTTGTATGGAAAACAATTTAACTAAAGTGCTGCTGTTTTTAGCTCTATAAATGGTAGAGTGTGTGTGTGCGAGAAGTATTTGGCAGTAACTCCCTTAAAACAAGTACAAAAGCTTCGTCTAGATTGAGACTGCGAAAGGCTAAGCAAATTTTTAAGTTGATTTCTGATTGGCCGCTCGGCTCTCAGCTCCTTAAAATTTGGCCTATAAATACGAATATTAATTGCGCAAATTCTAATGAAAAATTTATGGCTAATAGTGTCAGCGATAGCACCATAAAAATTTCATAAGCCAACCTCAAAATTCAACACGCGAAAAAGTATGAGCAAGAAATATAATCAGAGTTCTGGCACCCTAGTAAAATATATTACAAAACAAACAAAGCAACTACACACAAAAAACACACACACACACATACACACAGTCTCACAGGGCACATAAAATATTTGATGGAGTGAAAGCGTGCAGAAAACGAAAACCTTCAATTTGATGCCAGCTAAAGGTGTGCGAATGGCATTGGCGACTTCACTTCCACTTCCAGTGTTGGGCGGTTATAATATTTGTATACCTGTTCTATTCTGTTCTGCCCACAGGAAAACCCCGGCCTAATTGTACCCTGGATAATTGGCTACATTACGTTCATGGCCTTGGAAGCTGTCGCCATGGTTTATTCGAATGTGCTGCGTGATCATGTGAACAAGGTGAGTCGATTCCTGTGGGATAGTTCTAAGTGTGGGAAGCCAAAACGCTTTTAATGCATATTTAAGATGCTTTCGTTGGCGGTCCATTTGTTTAATGAAAACCTGCAATCAACTGAACAGACCCACACCCTTCGCCAATCGCCAAGCTTTCCGCACTAGCCGAACAAAAGCCTTGGCGCAGCGGGAGCTGCTTGTGAATGATATCAATGAGAGCTCTTGACTGCGGTGTTGGCATAAATCAATTCGAGCCAAAGCCAAAGTACAAAGATCTGGCAAAACAAACAAATAAATTGCAAAGGACTCAATGCTAGAAAATAACAATAACGAGAACAACAAAAGCAACAACAACGACAACAAGGTCCGGGGCACAATCCGTAACATATGTAAAAGTTCCTTTTTTATGCTAAAATCAAACAAAGGAATTGGGTTAGGGTCGGCTGCTAACGACAGCTAAATGCACTACAATCGACAAACAATGAAATTGATATGTAAACACAAAACATATGCTTTGTTTGAATATATATTCGGGTTGTGCCATGCAGTGTTGGCACCTTCCCAATTCCATATTCCCCATGCGAACTGGTTTCGAGAGTTTTCGAGAGTTTCACAGTTCATTTACTCTATTTACAAACAAAACTATGGAGTATATGATATATGATATAAGATATAAGATATGTTATATGAGATGGAGTATAGGAACTATGGGATATGAGAAACAGGATAGGAGACGGAATAGAGGATTATGATATATGATATATGATATATGATATATTATATATGATGTATGATATATGATATATGATATATGATATATGATATATGATATATGATATATGATATATGATATATGATATATGATATATGATATATGATATATGATATATGATATATGATATATGATATATGATATATGATATATGTAAAGAATTAAGCAAAAAAGATAACGAAAAGTAAAATTTAAATGTATTTGTCTTTTAATAAGCTTTAAAGCAATGAAAATAATATATTAAAATGTTTAACTCTTTTTTAGAAAAATATATTTTATTAAAATTATCTTTGCAATTTACTTGCTAATCTATAAGAACAACTCGACAATTAAAGACTCAGTCGCTGACCAGCTAGTTAAAAATAATATGCCGAACTAAACAGCTGAAGCACAGTGCCGAGTGCAGAAGAAAATAAAAAGCTCAAGAGGCCACACACTTAAAACTAGTGGCAAAGCGATGCCGCAAAGCTCACAGCTGACATCAGACAGAGTTCATTCACTTACTCCCGAGCAGCCCTATCTCTCACTACAGTTTGAGCTAACATAGGCTTATTACACACATGCATTTACACACACACAGACTCTTGTGACTTGGGCATTTTTCCATGCCATTGCTTTCGCGTTCCGCTTTGTCCCCGTCGCCATTTTCATTTGTCTTGCACATTTGTTTTTCTCCTTTTTTCTTTGGCACTTTTTCTATTATGAACGCGTTTGTGTTGCTGTTGCAATTGTTGCTTGTTTTCCACCAAAAACGTTACGAAATTGCCGCCTCATGCATAATTTATTGCAATTGTTGAGGTAAAAATTCATGTTTTTTGCACTCGCTGTGAAAGCAAAGCAAAAAGTTTGCCTCCTTTCAGCTATGCCCTATAGTGAAAATAATGCAGAACTTGCGGTAATTTATACGCTGAAACATTTAAATATTTATTCAATATTGCAAAATGAGTAGGGCTAAAGAAAGGGTAACTAGTAGTCGGTCTTCTCTGAGTCGCAGACATTGCGGCATTTTAAATTTATTTTAGCTTTTATTTCGAGTTGTAGGTTTCCCGCACAGCACTTTAATTAAATATTCTTAAGTTAGTTTTTATTATAATATCAAACTAGATTTACTAAACATATTTTACATATATATTTTACAGCAATTCGATGCCATGTGCAAGGCGGAGGTGGCATTTTTTATAGCACGCGCTTTTATCAATGTAAGTATAATATATACAAAATGTGTGTGACTGTGTGTGTGTATGTGTGTGTCAGTTCTTAAGTTCTATTTTTTAAATATCAACTACTCTATTAATATTCTACAATTTAACTTAGCCTCGTCCCAAAAGCTTTTTCACTACCCCTAACCGAAACTCAATGTTTTCGCTTGTTCTGTTTATTCTTAAATAAATTTTTGATATTGAGAGAGTTGAAATCTGTGTGAAATACTGTTTCAAGTTTAATTTGTGTCGAGTTCTGCTTCAAAGCTCCGTTTGCAGAGTGTGACAAATGCGATCTTCAACAGTAAACTCGACAACACAACAAACGTTGACATACGTTGACCCTCGAGATTGTTGATTGTAGCTTGGAGTCCGAACTTACCCAATCGAAAGGCTAATAAAAAGTAATAGTATATCAGCCACGGCATCATCATTGTGGGTGAGAACTGCAGAGCGAACAAACAAGATCTTAACTCAATATCAATAAATATAAATATAAGCAAAGAGATGAGGTCTTACGCATACAGCAGCATAGCTCAAGACCAACCAAATATTCAGATGAATAAAACCAAAAACGCATCGAATATTGCGCGTCAATTCGGGCGGAAGTATTAAAAATCTGTCGGCACACCATAAGGTAGTAAGCTTAGTGGCTGGGGTACAGTAATGTCCCACAAAGACAACCAAGCTTTTAATCTAAGGCGAGAGAGCTTTGCAGGCTGAACTCAAGCGAAGTAGTTCACGGGGTCTTACCACACCAAGCAGACAGGACAAGATTAATAGACGATGCATTGTAATAACCTGATTTTTGTATATATCCATATGATCCGGTGACTGTCTGCACTCGTCCAGCCTCAGCCTGTAGCTGTAGGCCAACAAGCAGAGTTGATGATCAATTGGCATCAGTTTAAACATTGTAAAAGCACATGAAAGTTTAAAATATTTCTGAACTAGCGAAAAATATTATTGACAGATAATTTTGAAGAAATGTTCGGAATTGATTTAAATATCCAGTAATACGATTTCAAAACATTAACTGTACAGCTAAACTACTAAGCTGCCAATAATTTACCTACATAAGTCCATGAGCAACGCAATTTGTTTTCTATTTTATTGTTATCGGTTGGAATTTATTGATTTAAGCTTTCGTTCAAGCAAAATGAACGGCATATGCAATAAATAATTTGATTATAGGCGAAAATCCATTAGAAGCCGAGTAGAAAGCGGGTCAACCTGACTGAGCAATACCTCTACCAGCAAAAGCTCACTCAGCCGACCTTTGCGCCTTGAGTTGATCTAAAAAATATAAATAGCATAAAGAAGCTCCCCCATCAAGCCAATATACTCTTCAACCTTTGCCACTGTGTATGGGTGTGCGTGTGTGCAGCTAAGTGGAATTTATGTGACTCAATTAAAACTTGACTCCCCTCCATCTAAATCAAACAGGTGCTAGCCATGTGGGGCGTATTGCGCTTCTATAACCTCGTGCGTTCGGGCATTACCTGGCGTGGACCTGAGGTATGTTTCAAGCTCTTTCATTGACTGCTCTTGCCCCAAATTGAAAATCACTTTCAATTTGATATAAGTGCATGGTTTGTGGCTTTTGTAGAGTGTTCAAATATTTATTTTTTCACTTAATTATCGAACTAGGCCAAGACTGCCATCTTTGCGCCCACGTACAAGAGCGTGAGCACACACAGCAAATCCTCGGTGGTCCACCTGGAAGGCAAGCGAGCCAAGCAGCGCCAGCGACGCTACAGCGTGGAGGCCGAGAGCGGATGCTGTGCCATCTTTGACTTTGACTTTGACTACGACGACGATGACGAGGACGATGATGCGGCAGACGATGCTGTGGGCTATGACTACGATGACTACTATGATTACTATGAGGATGAGGACGAGCAGCAGCTGGAGCTGGAGCAGCACGATGATGCCGATTGCAGCATGCTGGGCGCTGGGGCTGGCAAGTCGCGCACTCGCACTGCTGCGGTGCGTGTGAAGAGTCAACGGCACCGGCGCAACAACAACAACATACGCAGCGTGTTGATCAATAAGCGTCATAACAAGTACAAAATCAGTCGACCGCAAACTCAGCTGGAGGTGATCAATGAGTCGGAACGAAGTGCCGGCAGCGGCAGCGATGAGAACGACTCTCTGCTAGTGGCCTACGACAGCAGCTCGTCCTTGGCGTCGGTTTGACATTGGCCGCCATGTCACAATGGAGCTGCAACAAATGGGAACGATAGCCAGCCAACGCCAACAGCTGACGATGCCAGCAGCAACAACAGCACCAGCAGCAGCAGCAGCGGCAGCAGCAGCAGCAGCAGCGACGACGACGACAGTCGCCAGGATTTGCAGCCTAGAACGCGGCTCGCTGGCAAATGTTATAGTCAGCGTCAGCGTAAGCGCCGACGTTCACTGCGACGCGTCTACTGCGCTGTAAACATCTCCATAATGGGCCTGCTAGTGGCCGTGGAAATCTATGCCCAGCTGGCCATATTCCTTTAGATAGATAAATCGAAAAATAACTACGATTGCGATCAGAGCAGAGCGCAATCAGCCCTTGACAAATAAACTTCAATAAATAAATGAATCAAACACAGAAGGAGACAAAGCATCTGCAAGATATCAGCTGTATATATAAGAAATGTACTTTATCAAATAAAGAGAATAAGATATGCAAAAGAAATAATAGCTTAGACAAATTTCCAATGAAAAACGATTCATCTGTAGCAGTCTAAGAAACAAGAGAGTCGAATAAAGTTATGTGAATAATAGGAAGTAGACAGGGAACTCAAGTATTACAGAAAACACGTAACATTAAGCTTAAACAAGGCAAGTTTTGAAGTTCAGCATTAAAAAATATATCAAAGAGTAAAGCAAAGAACTTGAACAAGATAAAAAATGCAAAAATTTAAAGAAAAAAGTAGCAAAATTATATTAAGTCTTAGCAAGTTTAAGACATCTATTGCGAATCTTTTCTCTCTATCAAAATTTGATATTCATTTAAGCGAAAAACCTTTTCTGCTCTAACTAAAAAGTTTCTTCTATTTTTTGGGCTAACAAAAGCTTTAACTTGGATATCCAAACAACTAAAACTAATGTATATAAAAAATGAATAAAAGCCAAGCAAACTGTTCATATTTATTATCAATAAAATATAGACAACAACAGCAAACAATAATCATATCGCTAATTGTATTATTATTGTAAATAAGTCCAAATATATAAACATATACATTCATATATATATAAATATACATAGTAAAAGTACAGTTGCGCCAAAAATACTTTGAAAGCTAATCAATAAATGTGAGTTAATGTATACCCAAAAAATAAAACAAACAAAAAAAAGCAAATCAAAAACTGAATAAACACTTGATATTTGTGCAAAAATAGAAAAAAAAACTTTGGTCTGACAAAACGTGTGGCACACGTGCAGCTACTCTCCATATCAGCATTCATATTGAAAGCCAATTATTGAGTACTCGAAAAAAAAAACAGATATGCCATTATATCTCTAATAAGCTTCTGGGTGAGCTCATTTTTGCTAGGGGCTTTTAGCTGGTTTCCCGTAAACTGGAGTTGTCAACGGGAAACTTCGCAAAACTCCAAGAGAAGAGCCCAGTGAAGGGCTCAATCTAAGCTGATTAGACTCGCTTACTTGCTGAGCTAGCAAATACCCTTTATAAAAAATTAACATTTATGTATTTTAAACCACGTTTCTGAAATAAAAACTTTCTATTCGAACTCAGCAAAACTCTTTCTTAAGTCTTAAAAATAAATTCAGTTTGCCTATCATCCACTGAAATGTTGATCATTAGTTGCCATAGTCCTAATCGCCGATTTATATATAATTATATTCTGATGTTAATACAGGGTGTCGAAGTTCGTGACGTCAGTGCGGCTAGCCGCAACTAATTAAATGATAAGGGTAAAAACGGAAAACGCGTTCACACGACACGAGCAACACGTAATATAATCAAAGTAATCACCCCAGCCCTCCCGTACTCCAATACGTATAGTCAGAATGAGTTGAAGCACTCGAAAGTACTTCCACTGATATTGCAAATTGGGAAATAGCATACATAGTTGAAAATATGGCGATCTAATCAGCATGGAGCATTAGATTTAAAAGCGCTTGGACTTTTCAGAAAGTCAAGCAGTAGCAAAACATGTGGAGTCCAGCATTGATTGCTCTCAGCGGCCTGCTGCTGGTTACCAGCAGCCAGGCACGCCTTCTGCCCATTGAGAACGAGGAGCTATGGGCAGCGGATATGATTGAGCTGCCCATGGAGGTAGCCAACAGAGCGGGTAAGCTAGCATAGCTAGGATCAATTCGATGCAGTCTGAATAAGCCGAGAATCTGGGTATTATCTTCTCCACCTAGCCGGTTGCTCCATCAAGATACGTAGCACTGAGATGAAGAATCCACAGCCGCTGCTTATTAAGCCTGGCACCTCCGAATTCTATCCCTTCTCGGCGTCTGGCTACGTCGATGTGGAGCACGACAAGACCATTGAGTTCCACTGCACCAGCAGCCTGGACTCTCCCCTCTCGGGCAAATCTGTGACGGCCAAGTGCGTGGGCGGCTCGACCTTCAAGGTAGGCGATAAGGAACACGATATCTCGGCTATCAAGTGCACTTCCTGGCCCGCCTTTGTGGGCAAGAAGTCCGGCTCAAGTTGCAACGGCGGCACCACCCTGATCAACGTGGGCTTCGAGCTGAGCGGCTCTCGTTTCGCCAAGCAGTACGAGGTGTGCTTCAATGAGAACGAGGAGGTCACTCGCTATGTCTACCACACCCTGGACGCTGGCAGCAACTACTATGCCACCGGCGTGGACCGCATCAACTTTGCCACCGGCGGCTACTTCGATGGCAAGAATGTGGACAAGCTCTACACGCAAGCTGTGCAAAAGGAGACCATTGACAAGGCCTTGGGCATGGATTCGGCCAAGTACTTTGACTCGCCGAAGAACGTCTTCTTGGCCCGCGGACATATGGGCGCCAAGGCTGACTTTGTCTATCCACCCGAGCAGCGCGCCACCTTCCTGTTCATCAATGCGGCGCCTCAATGGCAAACATTCAATGCGGGCAACTGGGCTCGAGTTGAAGATGGCGTTCGTGCCTGGGCGTCGAAGTACAAGAAGCACTTGGACTGCTGGACAGGTGTTTGGGGTGTCACCACACTGCCCAACAAGGATGGCAGGCAGACCAACCTGTACTTGGCCTACGATCACAATGGCAACGGCTTGATACCCGTGCCCAAGATCTATTTCCGCGTGGTCATCGAACCCAGCACCAGGAAGGGCATTGTCCTTGTGGGCGTCAACAATCCACACTTGAGTCTCGACGAGATCAAGCGTGACTATGTGCTATGCAATGATGTCAGCGACAAGATCAACTGGATCAGCTGGAAGCGCTCAGACATCTCGGCTGGCTACTCATACGCCTGTGAGGTGCCCGAGTTCCGCAAGAAGGTTACCCATTTGCCAGAGTTCTCTGTAAGCGGCCTGTTGGTTTAAGCTGTCCAGAGCTTAGCTTAGGACTGAATAAAACATATATGCGAATAATAAGAGTTTAACTTTTATTTTACAATTTGAGTAGGCTAAATAATAAGCTGAATGATCGGAAGTTTCGGTTAAAACTTATATATGAAATATTCAGTTTGAATTCAAATTAATTACGAATGAGTTCCCATATTATAAACCATATTATTTGCAGATCAATATATGTTTCTTAAGTCAGAATATTCTTAACCAATAAGGAGTATGGAACTGCATGCTTATAGTCTTCAAAGTCTAAGCAGCGCCTCGATCTCTTCCTGAATCTTTCACTATTTGCACTTGCTCAACTTTATCTCCAATCAATGTTCTACGTCAGCCACCCACAGTCAAGGTTTATCCCCTGTTTAAAATAGCATTTTCCTACGTCTTCAAATATTCGATTAAACAACTTGCTTTATTGGTTCATCTCAGACTTAGACAAGCAGACCATTACTGGCAGTTAGGGCGGGCAGATGCTTGACCGTCTTGAGGAAGTCAGCAACTTCGCAGGCATAAGACCAGCCGGCCTTGATGTCGGTCTTCTTCCAGTTGATGTAGGTGACGCGATCGCTGACATCGTTGCAAATCACATAGTCCTTCTTGATCTGCTCCTCAGACAGATGCGGATTGTTGACGCCCACAAAGACGATGCCGCGATGTGTTGAGGGCTCGATGACCACACGGAAATAGAGCTTGGGCACGGGTATGAGGCCATTGTTGTTGGCATCGCGAGCCAAGTAGAGTGGAGTCTCCACGCCCTGTTTGTTGGGCAGCGTAGTCACGCCATAGACACCCGTATAGCAGTTGACATTCATTTTGTTCTTGGAGACCCAGGCGCGGAGACCATCCTCGACACGTGCCCAGTTGCCGGCATTGAAGGTCTGCCATTGGGGCGCGGCGTTGATGAACAGGAAGGTGGCGCGCTGCTCAGGTGCATAGTCAAAGTCGGCTTTGGCGCCAAGGTGGCCGCGGGCCAGAAAAACGTTCGTGCTCATGTCGAAATATTTATCCGCATCGCCGCCCAAATCCTTGTTGATTGTCTCCAGCTGTACGGCCTGCGTGTAGAGCTTGTCCACATTCTTGCCGTTGAAGTAGCCAGCCGTTTGGAAGGTAATGCGATCCACGCCTGTCTCGTAGTAGTTGCTGCCCGGGAACAGCTGATGGCGCGTGTAGCGGGTCACCTCCTCCTGCTCATTGAAGCAAATTTGCATTTGCTCGGCAAAACGCGAAGAAGTAATCTCAAAGCCCACTCGAATGACGATGCCGCCGTTGCATGTGCCGCCGGTCTTGATGGCCTTGAAGCCAGGCCAGGACTTGCAGGCCAGATCCTTGAAATTGTAATCCCTGCCATCCACCTTGAAGGTGGTGCCGCTCACGCAGGTGGCAGTCAAGAGACTTTCCGAGTGCGTGGTAAAGCCGCTGGGGCACCAAAGTTGCAGGGTCTTGCCACTGTCCACCTCCATAACGCCCAAACTGTTGAACGGATACAGATTCTCCGAATTGGTTTCCAAGCAAACGGGCTCCGGCTTCGGCATGCCACCGCGAATGGTCACACTGCAGCCTATTGACAGCAGGCATTAGGAGTTAATCACTTTAGTTTCCCAGTTTGGAACTCACCGGCAGCACGGGTTTCGGGAAGGGGATCCACATAGATGGCACGCTCATAGATCTCATCCTCAAGGACTGGCGGCACCTCAACGTCGGGCAGAGGCTGGTAGGGCACACGAGCCCAGGCCGCCTGAGCAACGAACAGCAATAACAAACTAGCGAACTTCATTTTGCGTATAAGCAAATTATTGGCTTCGATCACAACTTAAATAGGCAACGATACCTGAGCCGACTGCAAACTTAACATTATCAAAAGCGTTTGGCAAATTAATTAAAAATTTTCCCAAATCTTCAAAACAATAGCTGATAACATACCATATCAATTTAAATAGATTTGATGGGGGCTATTTAAGTGCCTCATACATTTGCCTCAAGTGGCAGATAAGTAATGCGGCGAGAGTGGAGTTGAATGGACAGAGATTGGGCGGTGGGACTGGAGGCTGAGCGCAATATGTCAAAGTTCGACGGCCATTGGCATTAATTAATGAAATGTAAAGTGAACAGCGGTGTGGATGACAACAGGAAGCGCAGCGATTGAAACGAAAGCAATTAGGCTCAAGGACACAGGACAAAGGACAAAGCAGAAAGCACAGGATGTGAATGGAGCTACAACGGGCGTCACATGGCGGGGCGCGTATAATTTGTGAAAATTGATGATTTGTTTAGATTTACGAATGAGCGAGCAAAACGAGCCAAATTGGCACGTAGCAAGCACAAGGAAAAAACGACAGACGAAAAAGGAAAAGCAGTTGAAATGAAAAAGGACACGGACAAGGTAGCCGGATCTGCAAGGAAACGGAATGTGCTGCTCAAGGGCCCAGTGTGCCGAGGTGCCCGGCTAATTGATTAGATGCAGATAAATGAGCTAAGCTGAATTCGGTCAGATGCTCGCCAGCGACGGCCGCTAGATGGCGCCAGATAATGATTAATGCTCGCCAAGGGAATGCAGAACAAATGTTCGCAGGCGTTCGGCCATCGAACGTAATATATATTCGTGTACTTAATCACGATTTGTTGGCATGCCAGACTTTAAAAGCTTCAATTACTTGTTGATTCGAAATTATTGGCATAGCTAAACATAATTATGTACTGAGCCATAATGGAGCTACATTAATATGCTCTAGGCAATTAGTGTTAAGGCAAATGTATTTCAAATATAGCCTTAAAGCCGCGATAAACTTTCAACCCACAATTTAATATAAATTAAATAGGTTTTACTATACAATTTGTTCAGTTTCCGCACGACAGCGCTTCGTAGCTGCCGCATTGACAATTCAATTAACAAGTTAGTGACAACAATAACAATCAAGCTAGTTACATCGTAACATAAAGTTCCAACTGTTTACAGCTTGACAATATAATTTGCTCAGCCAGGCAAAAGCACAATCACACACACAATTTATATTCCGATTTTATATTTATTTGTGGAGTGCAGCAGAAATTCCATTGTGAAGTTTCGCAGCAACAAATTCTGAGTAATAGGCCATATATAGACAGACTTAGTATAGAATGTATGGGGAATTCTTCTGTTTAATGAAGAAATATTAGACTCAGTTGAAATATATTTGTAAGTGTCTAAATATACAATGTATTTATACCCAAATTTACTCTCCTTTCAACATGACGTCATATAAAATTCTCTTTAAATATCTATTTGTGCATATTTCTATGGCCAACATATAAATGGTGCGTATTAATAACATATGTTTGGGGAGCATATGTGGGTAGATGCCTCTGATTGATAAGGCTGCGTAAGCGTGTTTGCTGAGCTCAAGTAAAAAGCGACTCACAGAAGCCAACCAGCAATTTGCACCTTTTCAACAGGTTGTAAATGGGCGTCGCACAAATTGAAAGCGGGAGTCAATAAAGCTTTTTGGACAGGATAAAAAGGCGAACAGCCAGAGGCTAACGACTCACTGTATGTGTTTATCTATGTGTGTGTGTTGGTATATCGACGCTGTCTGAACTCAATGATGGATTAAATGTATTTCAAAGGCGTGAAAGCTAAAAGGTAGCACAAAGTAGCGCATTGTGGTTACATAACAAACATCCAGCACACTTCAATTTAGCTTAGGGCAGTAACAGACACACACACACAGAGATGACACACATAAAAGAATTCAATAGCTGCTGTCGTCTGTGGCATTCAATAAAATATATATATTGGCTAATTGTCAAAGGCTTAAAGCTTGCGGCTTTGAAGGCTTATGCAAATCAGGCCAACAGCCGTGCAGCCAGGTGTAACATCTCCGATAATTGTAGTGGCTGCTGGCTGCTTAAGGCCGCAGAGCCACAGAGCCACAATGCCGCAGATGCGGGGACCTGCATAGCCAATCAGTTCATCCTTCGATTTGCATTGATTTACGCTCTAAGAAAATCAAATTGGCGCACGAACAGCAACAGCAACAACAACAACAACGAAAAAGGATACAAGTGCCACATAAAAGGATTCCTGAGCATCCTCTTAATATAAACTGATGCAAGCACCAGGCACACAGACTTCGAGCACCAAATGAAGCGTGCGCTTAAAGACGAGATACTTACAAGACCAACGAGATAAGAGAAGCAAAACGGAAGTGTATCCTGTTGAAAAAAAGTATAAATTTGGTTTTCCATAACAGCGATCTTAATATTAAATTCCATTTTGATTCGGCGACAAAGGTGCTTAGTATATGAACATAAAGAACAACTAGCAGATACCCTATACCACACATATATTTAAGAGCTCACAGAACTCTAGGAACTCTTTGGCAGCGTATGAAAATCTGTCAACAATGAAAAATTAAGTAAATTTGAGTAGCGTGAAGTTTATAAAAGTAGTTGAACATGACGGGCAAATGTCAAAAAATGGCGGACATGATTAATGAAACAGCAGCGCCCTCTAGCGTGAGAACTGGGCGTCGCATGCAGCATAAATTAGTTGCTTGATAAGCTGAATAAATGTATACATATACACTGCAGGGTGGATATGCGTGTGTGTGTGTGTGGGTGCGAGTGTGTATAATGAGATATGAATTAATTGTTCTGAGAAAAATATAATAATATAAAAGCAATGAAAGCAAACGAGACATATAAAAGTAATTTCATATTATATTAAATATCATTTAAATAATATAATAAAAATATACATAAAATTTAAAAATATATATATATAAAATATATGTATATATAGAAAATGTAAGATAATACTATATTTATTAATACAATTCTAAATACAAAATATTTATAAACTTTATATATATTTACATTTTATTTTTTTAGTAAATGTATAAAACTCATGAATTATTTTGAAATAAAAAAATATTAAATATTTGCGTTTAATTTTTTTATATTTAATAAATTTATATTTCATATAAATATGTTGTATTTTTCCTATTCATTTTATTAATATTTATTTGATACAATTTATATTAAAAAAATACTAAATAATTTTAGACAATTTTTAAATGGTTCTATTTAAATGTCAATTAATATACATTTTATTTTGTTATCTTATTATTTATATAATTTTAATATATATTTGTACATATTTATTTATAAATTTAGAGCATTATTTAATTTTAGACTGTGTTGCATGGGCTTAAAAAGCATTTAAATTGCGATTAGATTGTATTTGTTGGTTTAGATTAGCTTGAAGTTTTAATAGTAATTAAAGCATTTAAAAATGCTCAAACTTTCTGTTATATGGTAATTAGTAGAAACAAATTGTTGTTTGTTTTTAAAGTAACTTCAATTTTAGCTCTGACAACGAGTTAAAAAGCAAATTAGAGCAAAGTTCTGCTTGCCGGCGTATGACGCGCATTAAGAAGCAATTAGGAAAATTGAAAGCAAGAAAATCTCGGACTGAGCGGAACGGCAAAGCAACGGGGCAAAAACTGGCATTAGCCAAGGCTGTCACAAAAACAAGCCGACACAACAGTAACAACAACACGACACACCCCAGCAAACACACACAGACAAGTGAGACAAATTAACACAATTACAATCTGCACATGTGTGCGTGTGTGTGTGTGTGTGTGTGTGTTAGTCTTATAAGTCTTATAAGACATGCGTTGGCTATAAAGAAAAACCCAATTAAAAGTGATAAAAGTTATTGAAGCGTTGCCATTGCCAGCGCTGCGCCACGCCGTAGCCTTTAGCTCAATCCCGGAACGCTTCCCAATCTCCAGAGCGAAGCGCTCACAGAAGGCGCACGAAATACAAATGGGCAACAAGCGAAAAGCGGTCAAAAAGTGCCATACCAAATGGCTGCCATTAGTGTGTGTGTGAGTGTGCGTGTGTGTGTCGCCAGGAGCAGCAACACAAACACCAAAAGTCCAGATTATCACACGTTTGTGTCTAGCGACAGGAAAACATAAGTAGCAAAAGCATAGGAAAGAGGCAGAGAGAGTAGAGCAATGGAGTTGTGGGAGGATTTGAGCTAAAGCAAGCTGAAAAGCTTTATTGCGCCATTTTTCAAAACAATTAGAAGATTTTCGTTCGCTTGAAACGCGAACACGACAAGCCAAAGTAGATAAATTGAAGTCGTGGACAATAAGCTAGCCAGTTATTGATAGGCAAGGTGTTAAAAGCATCGACTTAACGACAAGGCACGAAATGGACGCGGACTCTCAGCCAGAACAAAGCCCTGAACTTTGTGCTCTTGAAAGAAAGAAGGTAAACAAGTAAGCTTATTTGTTTTGAAACATTAATATCTACAGAAGAAAATAAATAATGATAGAACTTGATACACTTGGGAAACTTTTGGAAGCTTACAACTTAAATAAAACAGCGAAAGACTTTAACGTCGTTAAGATCATGGAAATTATATTTAAATACAAATATTGTAAATGGGTATAGAAATATATAATATATAATATTTAAATTTAAGTTAAGCCTAAGTATTAAAAAATAATAATTTAATATGGGAATAATATTTTAATATAGAAAGGATTTATTGAATAACAAAATCAACAAATCCTTTTGTAGCTTTTCACCTTTTCCGCTATTTTTCTCTCTCTATCTCTCTCTTTCTTTCTTCTTGAAATTGAAATTAAAATCTAAGTCGCGCTCAGCTGGCATTTAGAGCTGCATTGCATTCGACTGAAGACTGGAAGGATCGAATCCTTAATTAGATTATTCACATAAAGAAATTCTGAATTTAGTGTGTGATCTTAAATCTTAAATGTGTTATAATTATAAGCAAAATTCCATTTTTAATATATAACTATGAGCATGTTCCACAAAAAATTTTATTTTAATTTAAAAATAAATAAAAAATTGGTCTAGCCAGTTTACATATAGATATATATATCTATATAGATATATATACATATACATATATAGGTATTAGACTAAGCCGCAGTTCAGTCTACAGTTCTTGCCCGAATCGCCATCAGAAAGTTTCGCCAAGCCATTTATGAAGCAATCAGATTGGAAAGTAATAAATAAGTAATAGCAAAAGTGATGCAAGAACTTATTACGTGCCGAAAGTGAGGGCAAGCCAAGTTTTTAACTGTAACTTATTTTGCTTAATGGCATGTAATTGACTTTGGCTGGACAATTTGAGCGCCACTTGGTGGACCAATTAAACGCCAGCGATGACCAATTGCAGCTGTCGCCACGAATTGCGGCAAATTGCGGTGCAGACAACGCGGCGTATACGTAATGACAGCGAATGGGCGCGCAATGGGGCAAAAAGGTGCAGAAGTCGCTGAAGCGTAATCAATACATAATTTTAATGCCTTTCAAACAAAAAAAGATAAAAAAAGAATGAAATAAGAACTCAATTATATTTAATGTCCTTGTGCAGCGGCAATTGCTGGCACGGGTCGGTATAAAAGCTGCCGGTTAACGGAAGCGTTATGCAAAGGACTTGCAAAGGACACAGCTAGAGCAGCAGCATGAACTCGTTAATATTCCCAGAGCTTCTGGTGTTACTTTTGCTGTTGCTGTTGCTGTGGCCGCTGACAGCGACGACATCAATGTCGGGCCACGTGTCACTGCCAGCTGACGCAGAAATCCCCAGCGGACAGCAGCAGCAGCAGCAGCTGCCCAATGGAGATTCGTGGGGCAATCAATTGCCGGATATGCTAGTCGCTTACTATCGCCAGCATGCCGTGCACAGTCTGATGCTCGTTGTTTGTCACGCGGACATTGGTGAGTTACGGAAATTCCCATCCGCCTCAACTGCAGTTAACGCATAACTAAATTCATATCCTCTTGCCCCAGATGCGCCACGTTTGCATTCGCTCGTGCAGCATTTTATGGCGCAGGACATCTATGTGCAAGTCTGGACGGAGCACTGTCTGACTGATCTCAAACATGTCAGCAACGAGACGGACAGTACATCTATTGCACCGCCACCACGCAGCTTCCATGCGAATAATGAAACCCACTGGCAGTTGGCATTTGTGCTGCCCGCCCTTCACAATAAGTTGGGCATTCTGCTGCTGCAGTTCCACAGTCCGTGTGCGTTGAACCTGTTACGCTGGTCAGCGGCCACGGAGCATAACTACTTCACGACCAATCGATTTTGGCTGCTGCTCACACAGGATCTGCAGGATCTGAGCCTGCTGGAAGACGAGGAAATCTTTATACCACCCGACAGCGAATTGCGTGTGCTCTGGCATAGTGCAGACGCGCCCTTCACTGCATCCCTGCTAGACGTCTACAAGGTGGCCGCCTTCAAGCCGCCAAAGATTCGTTTGATCGGCCAACAGCTGCACAACTCTCGGCACATTATCCATGCGCTGCAACAGTTCGGCTCAGCGATCACCTACAGACAGAATCTGGAGGGCATTGTCTTCAATACTGGCATTGTTATTGCCTTTCCAGATCTATTTACCACCGTCGAAGATCTCTCCCTGCGACATATCGATACCATCTCTAAAGTCAACCATCGCCTCATGCTCGAACTGGCCAATCGCCTGAACGTGAGGTACGTCATTGTCCTTATACTGACTTGCTTTTCCCGTCAAGGATTTCAGTGAGAATTTGACAGTTTGACGGGCATACATCTAAAATACATATATTCACTGTTCGGACTATATCTGTTATATAGTTTTTCGATTTATTTATTTTGCCTTTTCTCTCTCATCATAAATCAGTTTCCTTATGTTACTCACATTGATTTTCTTTGGCTCTCTGTCACTTTCTCTATTTGTCTCTGTCGTGCTCTTTCTCCTACTGACTCACTGTCTCCCTCTTTTTCTCTTACTCATTCACTCTCTTTCTTTTCTCTGTTTCACATTGTTTGTATTTTACTTTCTCGCTGCCTAGATCTATATTTCCCTCCTCTCTATCTCTTTCTATGCTTCTCATTTTCTCTCTCTCTCTGCCAGCTATAACACTTACCAAACCGTCAATTATGGCTGGCGCCAGCCAAACGGCTCCTTTGACGGCCTAATGGGTCGCTTTCAGCGCTACGAACTGGACTTTGCTCAGCTGGCGATCTTTATGCGTCTGGATCGGCTTGCCCTCTGTGACTTTGTGGCCGAAACGTATCGCGTGAGAGCTGGCATCATGTTTCGCCAGCCGCCGCTGTCAGCAGTGGCCAACATCTTCTCGATGCCGTTTCAGCTAGATGTTTGGATCTCCATAATCGTGCTGGTGATCATAACTATTTTGGTGATGCTATTGGAAATGCTCTTCTCGCCGCACACACATAAGATGTCCTATATGGATTCGCTTAACTTTGTCTGGGGCGCCATGTGCCAGCAGGGATTCTATGTGGATGTGCGCAATCGTTCGGGAAGGATCATAGTCTTTACCACATTCGTGGCCGCCGTGTTCTTGTTCACCTCCTTTTCGGCAAATATTGTAGCTCTGTTGCAGAGTCCCTCGGATGCGATTCAAACGCTGGGAGACTTGGGACAATCACCTCTGGAAATAGGCGTGCAGGATACACAATATAACAAAATCTACTTTACAGAGTCCACTGATCCGGTGACAAAGAGTTTATATCACAAAAAGATTGCACCGAAGGGCGATTATGTTTACATGCGCCCCGCTCTGGGCATGGAGAAAATGCGCACGGGGCTGTTCGCCTATCAGGTAGAGCTGCAAGCGGGCTATCAAATTGTCTCGGATACATTTAGTGAGCCGGAGAAATGCGGACTTATGGAGCTGGAACCCTTCCAGCTGCCTATGCTGGCCATACCAACACGCAAGAACTTTCCCTACAAGGAGCTATTCCGCAGGCAGTGAGTACAGAGAGACAGGCAGCACAGCTAAAGTATTTATGGTTATATCTCCGGCACAGATTACGCTGGCAGCGCGAGGTCAGCCTGGTGAACCGAGAGGATCGCAAGTGGATACCACAGAAACCGAAGTGTGAGAGCGGCGTTGGTGGGTTTGTGTCCATTGGCCTCACCGAATGCCGTTACGCATTTGGCATCTTTGGCTATGGTATCGCACTTAGCTTTGCTGTGTTCCTCACCGAGCTAATCCGCAAGCACAGCAAAGGCATCTACAAGATTTTTAAGAGTTCTAGAGGCATGCAAGATTAAGCTGCAAACAGTTTATTGATTCTTGAATAGTTTGTAGTCCAGTAAAAGGAAACTTAAATGGGTACGGATAGCTCCCTGACCACAGCACGTAGCACATCTGGCGTTTTAAACTGCCAATTGCGGATGCACTTGCTCACGCTACACCACGATTCACCATGGGTGGGCTCTGCGGCTATGCAACGCTCGAGCACCTCTTGCTGCTGCTGCTCCGTGCCATGCAACAGTTCAAACTTGTAGAAGAATGCCCAAGCATCGCCCAAATCTGGATCAATTTTGACCTATGTGAAGAGGTGTTGTTAATAAAGTAAATGTATAATACAGTTAGTAATTGCATTCAGCTCTTACCGTTCGATTGAACCAATCTCTGCACTTGGAGAACTTGTGCTCCGACCAAAACAGCTTGGACACCGCGAGCAGTACGTGCGGATCGTGCTCGCATTTCTTGAGAGCATCCACGGACTTGGTTTTACGCTGTGGCTTCGTTTCCATGAAAATAGCCTCTGCCCACAGCTCACCGGCATTGGGACACTCCTGCAGGGCGCGCGCCATCATTGTGCTGGCTATCTCCTTAAGTCCGGCTCTCAGCTCGACCCGTATCGCCTCCAGCCAGAGCACAGCGACCTTGGGGTTGCGCAGTCTGCCTCGTTCCAAAATTGAACGCGCCTTAGTTAAGACACCCTTACGCTCCTCCAGGTTGGCCGACAGTATCCACAGGGGTATCGAGGTGGGACATTTCTTTAATGCCATCGTGTATGTGGCAGCTGCATCATCCGTACGAAGCTGCTGCTCCTCAATCTGACCTTTCATCATCCAGAGCTTTGGAAATTCTGGGAACACTTCGACGGCTTCGGCCAGCAATCGTAACGCCTCATCCAATCGTTCCAGAGCCCATTCGAGGCGTGCCGATTTCATCATGACTCGAGGAGTCGGCGCCGATCCACGCGCCTTGGCCAGCAAACGTCGTGCTCGTTCATATTCAGAGTTCTCCGATTCCAGCTTGACAGCAGCCAGCCAAATATCCTCGGAATTGGGATTGGCCTGGAAAGCCAACGACAAGATTCCTCTCGCAGCGGGCACATCACCTGCCATCCACTTCGACTTGGCGCCCATCAGCCAGAGTATTTCCGATTTGGGACAATGCGCCACAGCGCGTTGCAGCAGCGCTTCCAACGACTCTCGTGTTCCATGATTCTTCTCAAAGTATGCAGCACGCAACCAAATACTCTTCTTCGATGGAAACATTTGCAGCGCATGCGCGTAGACAGCGCGCGCGCACTCAAATGCATTCTCCTTAGCGCACTGCAACAAAATACCTGTTATAAAATGTTTCTTTTTACGGCAAACTACAAAATCTTCTACTTACGAATTCAGCATCATCAATCCAGGTTTGCTTGCGATCCTCCTCCTCGACTCCAATGCCAATGACGGCCTTTACGATTGCCTGACAGCAATGAACGGCTCCTGATTTTTCCGCCTCGATGGCCTCCTGGAACCAGTGATCTCGGTTGATTTCCACTCCATTGGCTGTGAGCGATGTCAGCGAACGATCGACAATCTTCTCAACCATGTGTATGTTACCATTCGCCTCTTCCAGCTTAGCAGCTGTGGTCCAGATCTGACGATCTGTAGGTATATTCTCACGTGCCTTGTTCAGCACCTTGCGCGCATTCTCATAAGTCTCGAGGCGTGCCAAGGCCAGCCACAGCTCGACACTAGTGTTGCAGCACTCGACAGCACGCGAGAGCAAAATACGAGCATCATCTGGATTTTCCAGCTCCACAGCTGCTTTCCACAGACGCACAGAGTTCGGTATGTGCTCGAGTGCTTTACGAAAGACGCGTCGTTTGGCTTTAGTTTCGGTCTCCAGGTCGGCAGCCTTGATCCAAATGCGCACCGAGGTGGGAATGTGTCGTGCCGCTTGGGCAATTACGGCTTTGGCAGTATCAGGTGGTTGGAGACGTGCCGCCTCCAGCCAGAGATCCTCTGACTGTGGGTTCATTTCGCAGCCACGCATTATCAAATTACGCGCCATTTGTACCTTGCCGGTGACCTCTTCCAAGCGCGCGGACGCTATCCAAGCAGGAGGATGATTAGGATTCGTTTCACGTACGCTCTTAAGTAGCAGACGCGCCTTTTTAATGTCATTGATATCACCACCATAGGTGGGTATCATGCTCTGCAAATCAGTCAAGTAACCCTTAGGATCGACTACCGTTTGTCCCGTCACAGAATCCGAAACTTGCGATAGTTTCACATTCATCAGCGTATTTCTTGCTTGTCCAATTTTACGCAAATCCAAATCACCAGTTGGCGTTAACATGCCAGGCGTGGCTACGCCGGGCACCATGGAAGCCAAGCCAGAGCTGGCGTCCAGGCTGGATGCTGTCTCTCCACCTAGATTCCGCGATAGCACGCTGTCTGGCAACGGAGTAAACTTTTCGGCGCGCGGGTTGCGCTGTTTGCGATTGCGGCTGTCGCCCACTTCGGGTATTGTGGACCATTCTTCGCTGGTAACGGTGGCTAGCGAACGCTTCAGATCGCTAAACTGCTGTTGAATTTTCGGACGCTCCTGACGATAACGTTCCAAATCTTCACGTAAGCGACGGTCGCGATATTCCTTGCGTTTTTCATCCATACGCTTTTCTATGGAATCGTAAATTGCGTCCGCCTCTTCGTCATCTTTGTCATAAGGATCCTTAGAGAATAGTGATCCGCTGTAGCCACTAAACTCGTCATAGTTCGAGTCATTCAAATCCTCATCTTCCTCCTCCTCTTCATCCTTCTTTTTGCGTTTTGTGGCAGGCGGCGCATGGCGATCATCGGAAACATCGTTGGCATCTCGCGCAGGACCAATATCCGAACGTGTCGTAAAACCAGTGGCACTAAATTTAAATGAAAAAAAAAACATTAGATAAATTTGTATTGATTGCAAAACTTATAATAAAAAAAACATACCCACGACCCACGCCGGCAACATATCCAAGCGGTGCCGGCACACCCAGAAAGTGCTTTTTATTACGGTTAGCAATTACCGCAGCGGTTATATTTGACATTTTTCCAAAGAGTTCACGATAGCTTTAATATTATTTATAATAAATTTCACCGAAATAAACAAAACGTTTGCGCTGCTTTTTGCAATTGTGGCATTCGCACAGAATGAGAGCCTTTTGGAGATGGAACCGTTTTAAAAATCCAATTGTACATATCTATCTAAACTATCGCTTATTAATATCGATGTCTTGCTTTCAATCGAAATCTCTGTCGATACTCTCTAACAAAAGCTAATCGAACAAAATTCGGCAAAGAGCAAAAAAGTACTTTAATCGTTTTCGCAAATTACGCTTGCAAACAAAACACTGCAAGATGCCCGTGCTGCCCATGCCGCCGCTAATGCAGGTATGTGCTAATGTACTTTTTCATATACCTTTTATTTGACTTAAATAATGTGTACGACACATTTAAAGAATGCCGTCGAGCCAATGCAAGTGGATGCGCCCCCGAATGAAGACAACGAAAACAATGAAGAGCAGCAAATTGTAGTAGAGAATCCAACAATTGACTTGGAGGTATATGCCAATCAGTACACTGGCATTGCACGACTCGATCGTCTAATTTACGTCGCCGACGTTTGCCCGCTACTCTCGGTGGAGGCTCTCAAAATGGCCATCACCTATGTCCAATCGACATATAACGTAAAAGTATATCAAATGCTGCACAAGCGTTTAAGTGATCTGCAGGTAGTTGGTGGAGTTGTGGGTGGTGGCTCCGCTGCTGTTGGTGGTGATCAAGCAGCTGGTGCTGCCGCTGCTGCTGCTGCCGCCGCAGCTGCTGCTCTGCCGGATATCGCTGTACAGCCGGCTGCAGCAGCAGCTCAAGCGAATGCGAGCAGTGCAGGAGGGGAGAAGGATGCCTTCGCATATGACGCTGTCTGGGTGGATGCCAAGTTAAAGAAGGCTGCGCTCAAGCTGGAGAAACTTGATTCTGATCTAAAGAATTATAAATCGAATTCCATCAAGGAGAGTATCCGACGTGGCCATGACGATCTAGCAGATCATTATCTGAGCTGTGGTGATCTGAATAATGCCTTGAAGTGTTATTCGCGTGCTCGCGATTACTGCACCAGCGGAAAGCATGTGGTTAATATGTGCCTAAATGTTATCAAGGTTTCAATCTACTTAAAAAACTGGGCGCATGTCATGAGCTACATATCAAAGGCGGAGAGCACACCAGACTTTTCCGAGGGTTCCAAGGAGGCAAATGCGCAAGTGCACACACGTCTGGAATGCGCCGCCGGTTTGGCCGAGCTGCAGCAAAAGAAATACAAAGTGGCGGCCAAACACTTTTTGGCTGCTAATTTTGATCATTGCGACTTTCCAGAGATGATCTCCACCAGCAATGTGGCCGTCTATGGCGGTCTCTGCGCCTTGGCCACGTTTGATCGACAGGAGCTGAAGCGCCTAGTGATTGCTTCCACTTCTTTCAAGTTGTTCCTCGAACTGGAGCCGCAACTGCGTGATATTATTTTCAAATTCTACGAGAGCAAGTACGCCAGTTGCCTGACACTGCTCGACGAGATTCGTGACAATCTGCTGGTGGATATGTACATTGCTCCACATGTCAGCACACTCTACACGAAAATACGCAATCGTGCGCTGATTCAATACTTCAGCCCATATATGTCTGCCGATATGCACAAAATGGCCACAGCCTTCAACTCGACCGTGGGTGATCTGGAGAATGAGGTGATGCAACTGATACTGGATGGCCAAATCCAGGCGCGCATCGACTCCCACAACAAGATCCTCTATGCCAAGGAGGCCGATCAGCGCAACAGCACCTTTGAGCGTGCGCTCCTGATGGGCAAACAATATCAGCGCCACACCCGCATGCTAATCCTGCGCGCTGCCATGCTCAAGAGTCACATTCATGTGAAGAGCGTTTCTCGCGAGAGTGGCAGCAATCATGGCGCCGAGCTCTGTGTCTCTGCAGGCTCCAGCACAACCGCACAAATGGCTCGAATTTAAAGTAAACAACAAACAACAACAGCAACAACAATATAGCAACATTCGATTACATGTGGTAGCTTGCTAAGCTTTTGCAAGTTGCCTTTTTATTTTACTTTTGGCGAACCTGATTTGTGCGGCTAAATAAAATCTTATAGCAAAGCTAATTATGTATAAATGGTGTTTAGCTATGTCTTGTTATGCATAAGCCGTGTATGTGTATCTGTTTCTGCTCTTTTCATAAAAACTCAATCAGTTAAAATAGCTCATGAGAAATTGAGTGATGCCGCCAGCTATAAAAGGGCGAGCCTGCTGCATTATTAACGATTGTTGGTGCTATTAATATACAAACAAATTGTGCCCAAGGAAAACCACTTCTTCACTGTGAGTTGTAATAAAACGGTTATATTGGTGGGCCTTAGTGGCGTTTCAAATATAAAACTGTAAATGCTCATAATGTCAATATCTGTCGCGTTTTCTGTGTTCCGCCTGCCGTCCTCGTTCGCGTTCTCTTCGATTATCGCCACTGTCCGAACGCTGACGCCTTTGTCTTGCTCTCTCCTCTCTGTGAGCGCTGCGGGATCTTTCGCGATGTCCACTGCTACGGTGATTATTATCTCTGTGTCTGCTGTGCCGCTCCTCAGCAGCGGCTTGGAAGCCATTTGTGTGACCATTTCGGCTGTGTGATTGGTGGCGTTCACCAATGTGATGCTCTCTATTTTCTCTCAGCTTACTGCGTGAACGGGATCTCTCTCTGATCTTTTGATTGTTTTTGTGGCGGTGTTTTTGGTCAGCTGAGTCGCTCTCTGAATCGGAAGATGATGAAGAAGATGAGCTACTCCCTGTAGTCTTGCTCTTGCTCTTGCTCTTCTTCTTTTTGCTGTCCTTTTTCGACTTTTTTCTGCTGGACTTGAGTGATTTTTTTTCACCTTTGCGTTTCATACGCTCAATTTTTTCTAGTTTTTTCAACAATTTTAATTTTTGCTTTTTGCTCAGCGATTTAAGGAATAGGAGCTCTGGATTCTGTTGCCTGGCGGCGCGTGTTGCTTCATCCTCCTCGTCGCTGGGAACTAGCTGATGGCGCTGCTGCACATCCTTAATGCTCTGCAGTTCCAATGCCGAATGCTTCATCATCAAACCATCCTCCTTCATTTGCTCCTCAAGTACATTCTTGGACATAATATCGTTCGCCTCCGACTCGGAGTGCAGTTTGCGTGCCTCACTCATCGATATGCTGTACATGCTACACTCTTTATCCGTGTTGATGTGCCCCCATTTGTGGCACTTGAGACAGCGTACGTTACGCACTTGAATACCAAAGGGCTGATCCCGTATTTCGGTGTCACCCTTGCAGTACGACTCACGTGGCGCATTGTATTTGCGCTGCCACTCAAACTTGTATTCCGGTTCATTGTCGTCCTTTTCACGCTCCTTGCGCACACCTGGCGGAGGCTCGTACATGAAGTTAACGCTCAGCTTGTCCTTGCTATCCTTGCTGAGCATCGCCTTGTTTTCATGCAGATTCTGTTCCTTCTCATATTGTGTGCGCAACTCCTCCTGTTTCTTCTTATACGCCTCAGCTTGCTGTTCTGCCATCCACACCTAAACATTTCATTACATTTAATTGTGAAAAAAATTTGGCAACATAAACGTTTAGTTACTACTTACCCGCTTAAGATTATCTCTTGAGGCGGGATGAAAGAACTTCTTACACATATAATTGTTGAAACCTTTACCCATCTTGTAACGTTATTTCATATGATTTTAATATATAAAAGAAATATTCCACAATTTGTTGCTCTGTTTTGCAATGCTTAGCTAAAATTGAGTATGCTGCGTATGTTTATTATAATTTGTGATAATACTCTTACCTATCGATAGAATTTCAATCTCTTATCAAAGAATCAGTGAACCGATATTCTTTTGAATTGCAAGGAAATTCTCCACATGCGCCTATTGTTTTTTATTTAATAAGAATTCAATGTAAATTAAAAAAAATATTGAATCATATGGGAATAAAATCTGTAACTAATAAGGTCTGACTTAAAAAACTTATCTTATGAATCGATAGTTTAGAAATTAAAATTGGGCTGACACTCATGATGCAATGCTGTCTTAAGTCTGTGTTAATCGTTTACCAACACTTCACAACTGCGCAAATACGCGACATTTAACATCTTTTGAAATTTAATTTATCTGTATACATTGTGTAAAATGAATGCAATGGATGCGAACAATATGGTATGTTGTCCTTACAACAAGGCGCATAAAATGCTGCGCAAAAAACTGCAACAACACATACTGAAATGTCGAGAAATCTACAAAGACGAAGTGGAACTGCTTGTATGTCCATTTAACAAGGCGCATCTTATACCTGAGCCAGATTTTTTAGTAAGTGACACGCTGGAAACGATCGTTGAACTTTGTTAAAATCTCCCTCTCACACACACACAGCAACACACAAGATCGTGCATCGATCGAAAAATCATTGCGCATTATCAGCACAATGCGCCCGCCACCATAAACGAAGAGACGAAACACGAAAAAATTGAAACAGAAGAGAACTGGGACGACGAATATGTGCCAGACTATGATCCACAACAGTATGTTGTCAACGCAAACATTGTTCGTGAGCCGAATGGCATGTTCCCCTCACAGCGCAAGGCATTTATAAAAGAGGAGCGCAAGCGTTTGCTAGGTGAAGACAGCGACGGAGAAACCAGTGGGAGCACGCAAAGAGTAAAAGCGCCAACTAAGACCAAAGCCAACTCCACAGTAACACAGCGTTCGGCGCCCTACAAATTACCAAATCGTAATCGCTGACTTAGAACAAATTGCAATTTGATACCAAAGTTTAATCATAAAATATATATATCATTTAAGGTCTAAAGAGTTTACATATAATTCTTCCGTTTAAATATAACAGTAATAAATTTGTTATCGTTTTACGAAACCTCCAATCCCCTACCTTTATTTTTATGTCGAGGTTTATTCGTACAATATATGCTATTTAAATGACATGTAAATAACAGACAAGTGCGTGTTGTAAATGCATACATATACTATGCAATATGTTATCGTTTTTCAGCAAAACGTCGTCGTTCACTGGCTCGAAAATCTCGACGTGCTGCCTTCGATTGACCATTGAGGCAGCTTGAACGTATCACCAAATTTTCCTCACAATAGACACTCGGATTATAGGTTGGAGCATCGGGTTCTTTGTCCCAGTCTTCCTCACATTCAACCAAATCTATGCTTGCAGATTCACCCACCGATGGCAATTGTTCCTTGTCCGCATACCTTTCCAAGCTGGCACGTTCCGGGCATACTTTTATGTGCGCCTACACAGTAGCAAAGTATTGAAAATTGTATGGCCTGCAACAGTTTGAAAATGTGACTTACCTTCAGCTGTTCCGCATTGAAGCGGTGATTTGCATTAAAGGGACAAAGAAGCAATTTATTTGTGGTATCAGAATTGCGGCTGCAGCGTACCAGATGTTTTGTTAGACGCCCACGTAGCACTACGTGTCCCTTATTATACGGACATGTGACAAAATCATTGAATGAACTCGAGGATGCCATTTTTTCAAATCAATACAAATGTTCAATGCTGCTGCAGCAAAAGCAAATTCAGCAGCTCAAACTGTAGTGAACCGATGTCGATAACTGACAGCTACATATGATAGCGATAACGATACATTTCAAATTTTCCCTTACTATATTTTTTGTAATACTTGTGCTTACCCTTGTTTTTTCCAGTTTAACTATTCATATCTTTCTCACTTAATAAATCGTAGCTGAGTAATTTGACATATAGTTCCAATGCAAATGACTGATCAATAATAAAAAAAAGCCTGCCCAAGTTTTTAAGACCTAATTATTACCAGGACATCTCAAAATTATTATTTCATAAGAAAATTGAATTTACCGACATATATAATATCGACTTAAATAACCCGACTTGGAATTAACACATTTATATTGATCAACTGTTAATACTAAACTTGTAAGCATATTCTCTAGTCGCAATATGGACAGAACTTGATTCCAAACACTGGAGCTGACGATAGCTCCAGTCTCAGTTCCAGTCAAGACTTTTAGTACAGCTTTAAATATTGGATTTGAACCAAATATGTATTAAAAACACAAAACCAAATAATCAAAAGAAATAAATTTGTAATTTACAATTTTTTGGGAAAATTTAACTCTTCTTTATTGTAAAAGAATTGTGGCATTTTCTCACTTCACACAATATCTTCGAATTCTCATTGACACTAAGCGTTACGGTAAAAACTGTAAACAGCGACGTCGTTGATGTTATTACTGCTGCTGCACATATAACTATGGTTGTTGTTGTTGTTGTTAGGTGCTTGGAAGGGAGCATTTACGCTGTCTCCATGGGCTGAGCGGCAGTCTCTTCGGTGTATTTGCCCTTATCCTTGCCCAAAGCAGCCAAACGTCCCTTGCTGCGACGCTCCAGAATGGCCTTGCGATCCTTGTCAAGCTTCAGCTTAACAATCAGAACTTTGCTGGGATGGATGCCAACGTAGACGTTGGTGCCGTTCGCGTTCTCACGCTGGATCTTCTCAATGTAAACCACGAACTTCTTACGGTAAGCCTGGACAACTTTGCCCACCTGGCTGCCCTTGTTGTGGCCGCGGATCACCTGAACCTCGTCGTCACGACGAATGGGCATCGAGCGCACGTTGTACTTCTGACGCAGCTCCTTGGACAAAGGTGCGGACATCAGGCGACGGCGGATGTGTGACGGAGCCTGGAAGTGGCGCTTGCGGTTCTTCCTGCGCGACGACGACACAAACTTATTCAATTTCATTTTGATTGGTTGTGCGGGCTGTGGAAACGTAAAACAATTCCATTTATTAGCAACTTTTCGAAATCATTTTGCATTTGTTTATTTTCGCGAGCTGGTTTGTACCCGATGAAATTGGTAAAACCGTCAAAATTTCACTTAAATAGTTTGTGCCACACTGTGTGCTACACATTTTCATTATTAACTCGCCAAAATAAACAATGATGGCTGCACAAATACGAAATTATATTGAACATAAGAACTTACACCAAACTACCGTCGTAATAACAACGAAAAGAAAGAAATTTGACAGCTGCGACCGGCGGAAGTGTCAAAAATTGTACTCAAAATGGTAACCAAACGTTTTACAACACTGTCTTCTAGCGTTGCCACTTGAAGCTCAACAGTTGTTCGGCTAATGTAATATTTTTGAATTGGAATGCTTATGCACATTGCCCATGTGATTTGGCTAACTTTGAATGAAAGCAGAAATAAACCTTAAGTAAATATTCGCAGTGATCTTGACATAGACGGAAAATGTTTTGTAATCCAATTGAACACGCGAGCAGCGTATCATGCATAACGGTTAGACGCTTTGAGCACATTTGCTGTGTTGAATTTCTGCCGTGAGAGCTTTTAAATTCTTGATTTTCTTCTTTCTGCTGATCGGTGACCAAAATCTGCCGCTGGAGCCTAATTGGAAATCAGTCGCGCCTGAGAAGTCAACTGATACAGTTGTGCGTGGGAAGAGCTCGAAACAGTGTCCAGTTTCTAGTTTGGTTGAATTTACTTCTGTGCAAGCACAAACTTACTTACTCTATATAAAGATTCAAGATGATGAACAGCCTGAAGAAGATGCCCATGCGTATGGTAAGCTACTGCCACGCCCCTTTGATTTCCTAGCTAAATTTGAACTTGAATTCTTTTCAATGCTTTTTATAGCTGGCCAATGCAGCACGTCAGCAAACCGCAGCCATGTCCTCGACGACCGGCCTCCCTCCACCATTGACATACCTCACCGACGATGAGAAAATGATGAAGGAGACAGGTGAGTCCTTTGATCATTAGATCATTAGGTGAATATATATGTACATAGATTGTAGCCTTCACTTGCCTTTCTTAAGCGGTTTCGTAGTGTGCTGCATAAAATGATTTTTAGATAATTTTTTTTTGTAGTCAACATCGGTTTTTGTTACGTAATTTAATCAACGCGTGGTTGTTGTTGTTGTTGTTGTTTATTTATTACTATACAAATTTGGTCAAAGTTGTCTATTTGGTGCGTTTAATGCATTTTATTATTTATTTAATATATTTTGTGCACATCTGTGTGTGTGTGTGCGTGTGCTGATAAAAAAACTGTACATGCTTAGACAATGCGACGGAGCAGAGGGAAATTTGTTGAGTAAAAGAGATAGAAACAGCGGGGGGCGGGGGTGCACTAACTGGTTGATAAGCCCATTTTCGTTGTTGTAATGGAAAAAATGAAATGAAAACTCATTTACACTGGTAATTTTAGTTACATATATACATACATAAAAATATATTAAAAGAAATAAATATATATATATATATATATATGTACATTATATATATATATATATATGTACATTATATATATATATGTGTATAATTTTTGCAACGTTTGCATGCCATGCGGCATTCATTTTAATTAATCAATTTAGCTCAATAAAATTTAGCAAATTATATAATTTTCTTCAGTTAAAGTAAGGATATTTATATCCTTGCACGACATAATACCTTTATATAGTATATGCCGTTACTTTACATAAGTAAACGTGGCAGCTTATTTTCTGTATATATAAAATATATATACACACATATTTATATATATTATATATATAAAAATTAAAAGGATCTTTTTGTATTTTTATTATATCAATTTTTTTTTCATTTCTATTATTTAATGTCAACGTGGCATTTTCCATATTTATTATATTTTTATATAACTTAATATTTATATACATTTCACACATGTGAAAATAACTAATGTTATTTGCATTTCAATTTTCATATGTTTTTTTTCCATATCCACAATTGCGACGCGAGTAAAAACAATAACATAACACCGCAGCAAGTTGATGTATATGTGTGTGTGCTAAAAATAGCTTGCTTCGCAGTCGCTTTAACAGTCTTTGCTTTTGACAGAGCTGTTGAGTGGACGACGATGGCGCAGAGCGCTAAAGGGCTGCCTAAATTTGTACGAGCTCGCATTTAGTGAAAAAGTCGCGTGTTCGAGCTTCGTTCGCCGACTCCACCGACTGTGGTGGAGAATGAGCAGAATTTTTGTGTTTTGTGTAGAGTAAAAAAAATGTAACTGTGTAAGGGAGCTTTTTTGAGGATCATTTCTCTTCCCTTTATGGGTTTTCACAAGTCAGTCAGCTGTTCAGTTGTAATACGTTTAAACTCCACAGCGTTACACTTGTGATAGAGCAAATATGCAGCTGTGCCACGCCTCCGCCCATTGTGTTCACTGTTCTAGTGGCACGCGGGCAATGGATTTGTGTGGCACTGGTCGCGTAATTCACCTAGAGAGTTGAACCAGCGGAGCAGTGGGAGAGTAAAGTCCCCTTTGTACAAACCGCTGATTCCTAGTTGGAGGATTGACAAATTAATTTTTTATCCATTTATTTGTATAAGAATTGACAGTTCTATAATTTTCCCATTATTTATATTTGAATAGTTGATATACTTTCCCTTTGTTTTTGATATTTCGCATTCCCTTTTTTGTGGGAAACAGTAATTAATACTTGCATTAACCTCGCTTGCGTATGTAGATTGGGACAGTAGAGGGTTCAAGGTGCGGCCTGCTACATGATCTGATGTTCATACTTATCAGAATGTTGCGTAACATCCACTGCATGCTAAGTGCTCAAACCAGTTTCAAAAGACACTGCAAATCTTTGGGAATAGGTATTGGGAAAAGAAAAATAAAAATTATTTATATACATATATATATATATATATATATATATACATATACATATATATATTTATGTATACATATATGCTGAAGAACTAATAATATACTTTATTGGTACAGTTGTGTGCAAAGATCGTATGATAGTTCGAAAGACTTAATAAAATTCGAGCAACTAAATTAACAACAACTGAAGTCAAGGATAGCGAAAGGACACCAGCTGTTGACTAGTACATGCATCTATACCTATTTATTAATGTAATCTGCATTCAAATATTTATAAATTCAATTAATTATACAAGTTTTCCAACTATGGCTAAGAATTAGCATTCGTTAACAAAGTGGGCGTGTGCCCGGCGTTCGCAACATTTGCGGGCTTCCCGAGTAAAAACAACGCGACAAGTAAAATGCCCTCAACGAATGATATCAATAAGAAATAATAAAAAAAATTAATGTGTGTGTGTGCGTGAGAGAGAGCGACAGAGAGGGAGAGCGGCTCGTTTAGAGAGAGCGCCACGCGAGCAGAGAATTTGCGGCATTATTGATAAAGCGGATACACGCGTATACACACATACCAACAACATAAACGATACAAAGCACACACACGCGCTCGCATACATGCATACTTTGAATACGTATGGGAACCAGTTTATTATAACGTCATTCAAAGCTTGTTAGAAAGCTTCTCGATCATAACAAACAGCTAAACTTTCTGAAAGCTCGCCGAGCGTATTAATAGCATTTAGGAGGCCTTTCAGGCAACGACTACAAAAAGTTCAAAGCAAAGCCAAAAGCTTTATATCTTTGCTTATCTTTATGTTCACTATAGATGATGCTGATAATGGCACTTGAGTAATCTATTTATTGTACGCTTTTATTGTAGTTAAATAACGGTTTATAAAAATATACAGATTATTTAATTCTTCAATGGATTTTTAATTTGGTTTCCAGTTGCCAAGTTGGCCCAGGATCAAATTTTGCCTCTGGTCAAGAAAATGGACTTTGAGCACAAGTTCGACCCGTCCGTGGTGAAGGCCGTCTTTGAGAACGGTCTTATGGGCATTGAAATTGATACGGAACTGGGCGGCAGCGGCTGCAACTTCATGACCAACATCATCGTTGTCGAGGAACTGTCCAAGATCGATCCAGCTGTCGCTGCTTTCGTGGATATTCACAACACATTGGTCAACTCACTGATGATCAAGTTTGGCAACGACGAGCAGAAGAAGAAATATTTGCCCAAGCTGGCGCAGGAATATGCCGGCAGCTTTGCTCTGACTGAGCCGGGCGCAGGCTCTGATGCCTTCTCCCTAAAGACTGTGGCCAAGAAGGATGGCTCACACTACGTGATAAATGGCACTAAGATGTGGATTTCCAACTCGGATGTCGCTGGTGTCTTCCTGGTCTTTGCCAATGCCAAGCCTGAGGATGTAAGTAAAGCTTAATTTTTGAGATTTTGTAGTTGTTGAGTGTCCTTGCATCCCTTTATACTGATGGATGTCCTTCATGATGGATTTGATCTCCTTTAATGAAAGGCGTGCACTACATCCTTATTGAATATCCTTAAATGTTCCTTAATGAATAATTTGTAGTCCTTTCTTATAGAATGTCCTTTTATTTCCGTTGATCACACTCAATTTCCTTTCAGGGCTATCGTGGCATTACCACCTTCATTGTGGATCGCGAGACTCCCGGTCTGATTGTGAACAAGCCAGAGGATAAGCTGGGCATTCGCGCCTCCGGCACCTGCATGTTGACCTTCGACAATGTCCGCGTGCCCGAGGAGAATATCCTGGGTACCTTTGGCCATGGCTACAAGTATGCCGCTGGCTTCCTGAATGAAGGTCGCATCGGTATTGGCGCCCAGATGGTGGGTCTTGCCCAGGGCACCTTTGATGCCACCATTCCATATCTGTTGGAGCGCAAGCAGTTCGGCGATGCCATCTACAACTTCCAGTCCATGCAGCATCAGATCGCCACCATTGCCACAGAGATTGAGGCGGCTCGTCTGCTCACCTACAATGCGGCTCGCCTGCAGGAGGCCGGCGTACCCTTCCTCAAGGAGGCGGCTATGGCCAAGTTCTACGCCTCAGAGGTGGCACAGCGTGCGGCCACCAAGTGCATCGACTGGATGGGCGGCGTGGGTTTCACCCGTGACTTCCCCCAGGAGAAATACTATCGTGATGCCAAGATCGGTGCCATCTATGAGGGAACCACCAACATGCAGCTGAGCACCATTGCCAAGTGCATCAAGAAGGAGTTCTCTGGTTAAGCGACCCCCTAACCCCAAAATCCCCAAATCCCTAAATCCCTTAATCCCTAAATCTGTATATATAAAGCTGCGATATCGTACGACAGATACGTCAAGTGCATTTAGCTGGACTGGTAAATGATTTCTAAGGATCGTTGCCAACGCATTTACAACAATTTTTTTTGTTAACTTTTATTAAATACGATTCAATTTATAAAGAAACTGGAAAAATATTTTATTATTTCAATTAGCACGTCCGTCGGTTGTGGTAAATGCAGCCAGCAGTACATTGATCACAGTGATAAGGAAGACCCCCATTATGAGAACCTCATTGGTTCGCATATAGTTACGATTCTGACAGCGTTTAAGGCGGCGCTATGAAGGGACATGCGATCAATTAGATTAAAATATATGTATCAAAAATATATTTGGATATACCTTAAAGATGAGTACAATGCCCACAAGCAGTTGCAGCACCAGGGAAAGTATGACCAGAGCCAAGCTGCAATAGAATGTGGATGATGCATGGTTGTAGGTGATCAGAAATCGCAGCTGATTAGCATTTGCCGAGAGCAAGGCTATGTCCATGAGACCTAAAAGTATAGCACGCACAAAGGGGACAATTAGATATGATTCTTATGGAAGTTTTTACATCATATTGAAATATAGATGCCGAAAATAAAGTAAATATAGGAATCTCTAACCATCCTCAAGAGTTTGTATCTTTCAAGCTATTTTTTTTATAGTCTAAATTCTCATTTCAATTTCATCCCAATATCATTTTCTGTTTGAAAGTCCCAGCAGGCTATTTCCCAGTATAAGCCGACACTAAAAATACTATTTTCAGCCGCAAGGGAATTTAGCTTGACGTTAGGATAGGTTAGTTGAGTAACGGCGTAGTATATATGCACTTCCGACTATTACAAAGTACGAAGCACAAATAGTTCTTAGACTTAATATTCTATTATTCTATTCTATTCTAATATTACAACACTGAACTCTCACTTACCCTCGGCTACATTTTTACTGGTTGCATAGTTATGGCCGCCCGATAATACGCTGGGACTTTTTTTGCATTTGCTCTGCACTTTGGCAGCATTATCGTTCAGCTGAACAACTTCCTGATCTTGCCGCTGCTCGCTGCAGCACTGTCCCGTAACGGTGCTGGCGAAGCTGCCCTCAGAGCTGAGCGTATCCTCCACTTCGATAACTACCTCCTTGCTGCCGCCCATTTGCATAAATTTGAGTCAGCTGTGCGCATTGATTGACAATTAACAACTAAAGTGAATATTTATACCATTCCAAAGCTTTTTTGTGCCATTTGTAAACATTCATTGAAAGTTGCGGTTGTCCCGTTTGTGGTCTCCATTCACTGATAAAACAGAACCAGGCATGACACTGACCCCGACTACATGCTCAACATCTGCCAACGCACACACTCGGGGTGCATGTCGTTGCTTTAAGCAAACAGCCTAAGAGTATGCTACATTTTATTATATTTGTCTTGAGCACCAAAATAGAAGCAAAAAGCTCGTCGCATCCGTGAATTATGTTTAATATTCCTGGTCAGCTTATAAGCCACGTAGTTAGCACTAAAGGGCTTACATTTTTTATAAGTTTTTAAATCAGGCCACTGATTTCATAAATTATCGCTTAAAGAGCCGAACAACAGCTGTTGAAAAGGACACTCAAAGCGAAGCTAAATATGTACTTTCCGTTAACAGACGAATGCGAGGGTTGCGCGACAGACTTATGCATTAATGAATCAAAATGGCTCAAGGATATATATTGAGCAATAAATAAAATATAATTAGAGCAATTTGTATCGATTATTATTAATTCTTTAAGTATTTTGCTATTATTTCTTATATTCCTTTTTTCAATTTTTATATTGATTTCATTAAAACAACTTTTTCTAATTTTTAATAGACATTAGTTTATATAAAATGTATTTATTATATTTATAGACTAAAATTTAGTCTTAATTAAAGTTAAGTCTTGGTACTGTATTCTTACATTGCCTCCACTACACTTCAAGCTCCTCTCGCTACCCAGGAAATGCGTCACGAAAAGCGGCTACCTCATCAAACCAGACGCAAATCAACCCCCAGTGTACTGGCAGCTCCTATGCACATGTCGCATTGCTCCCCTTTGCCCCCTGCGTCGCCGACTTTTTGCTCAGACAGCAGGCAATGCTCCCACGCCAGCGCTCTCTCTCTCTCTCTCGCGCTATTTGTGGCTGTTCCTTTGCTACCTCTCTGCGTTGCTTCGCTCCCAACCAGTCGACGCACGTGTCGCTTGTTTGCCTTTTAGCCGCTTGTCGAACGGTTAAAGTTGACTTCAAAACGTTTGTTTTGACTGTTGTCGCGCTCTCAACATTTATAGTTCTCTGGCCGCTCTCGCTCTTTGTTTGCTACTCTCCCGGCTTCATTCATGCTGTCGCTGTCGCTGTCGACGTCGACGTCGTCTTTGCCGTTTCACGCATGTCCCGCCGTTCCGTTAGCCATGCGAGCCGAGCTAAATTGCCTTTGGCTCTGCAATGACTTGGCTTGAGACTCGGACTCAGTTGGTTTCTCGTGTTTGGCTGGCGGCTCAGCGTTTAGTTCAGTTTAGTCGCTCGTAACGTTTGGCAGCATTTTCCGTTTGAACACACTTTCTCTCTCTGGTTTCTGGTTCTGTGTTGCTCCTCCCTGCGTCGCCTTGTTCAAGCTAGGCCGTCCGTATTCCGTGTAAAAGAATTTGTTAATTTCATTGATTTTCCCAACATTTATTTATGGATATTGGTTTCGGACAGCAGTTAAATCCAGACATGCATCACAAACATCTGTTCTGACAGCCAGCCAGAATATCTCTTTAGTGGTAAGTTCACCTGTCGTATTAAGCACCTTTTTTATGGAGTGCACGTGCGTTTGCGAAAAATCAATTTGGCCAACAACAAAAAATGCAGTTGCCGAAAAAATTTGATATAGAATGTAGCTAAACAAGAGACGAAAGCCCTTTGCAACCGCCTTGGCCTCACAATGAACGAGCACGAGGCTCTTTCTGAACTCGCTCTTTGTTGTTTTGCCGTGCCGTGCCGTGGCACAACTGAGTCCGTTTGACCCGGCAAAACTTCGCATGGGCAATCAATATTGGCATTCTTTGCCAGCCATTGCATAATTCGGTTCTAAAGTCTAGACTGCGGGCTCGTTCTTCAGTCTTTGCCACATAATCTCATTATGAAGAGTGCAAAGTTTCAGCTCCAGACTGATAAAGTCTGCTTTGCAATCGGTTTATGTATAACTATATACATACATGCATTATATATGTGAGTGCTTATATATGGCTCATATGCACTTATCAGCTTTGTGAAGTGAGGTTACACGGTGCAGCGCAGAAAGCCAGACAAATGATTCCAGTCACAACAGCTAACTGGGAAATAACTTAAGAACAGGTTTCAACTATTCTACTTAACATATTCTGAAATACACAGCACTTGTGTACATATCTAATGATTATGTGTAAATCAAATGTATTTGAATCTAAGAGACTTGCATTCGATTGTTAGTTAATATCAGAGACAATTCACATAAATTAGAAAACAACTCGTTTCATTGTGCGGAAAAACCTTCTAAAGGAATCAAACTTGGAATTTATCAGTAAACAACTATCTTTTTATATAGATCTATAATACAGCTGAACAGTATATGTATATGTTTATAGTATATCTTTTGTTCAACAATATTTATGTTAATAGGCATAGGTGTTAGTACATATATTTTTATATTATTTGAGATAGAATTCAATTTTGATAGCTTAGAAATCGTTATTGGAACTAAAACCACCAAACCAAGTCATGTTTTAAGCAAGGGAGAGCATCTACCCTTCGATATAGTACTTGAAACAGAGTTCATATAGTAAAACAGATAAAGAACATTCGTATACTGGAATGTTTTGTATGTTAGATAGTAGTAGATGGAGTGTGAGAGCAACAACAGAAGTCACTCTTCAGCAAACAAGAAATTAATACAAAGTCAAGAAGTCGTGTTGTTGCAATTATAGTAGAGAAATCTGTTGACCTTTATTGATAATACATATGTGTTGCAAGCTAATTACGTAGATTAATGTATGTTTATTTTTTCAAATGTATTATTATCTATTATAATATGTGCATATTTATTCAAATACAAAACGCATTTTAAACGCTTCTTATCTCTGTGAAGCCATATGGCAATTAAACAAATATTGTTTCATATCTATTTGGGCGGAAAATTGCCTAGAATTTGGTTGGTATATTTGTTTTGTTATGGTCACTGGGTCTACAAATGGAACCCACAAAAATATCTCCTACACACACACACACCCATATATAATATTTAATTTTCAGTTGTCGTACATGCAATCTATATTGATTTTAAAAAGTTTCATTTTCATTTCAGACAAAGTTTTGTGCGGCAATCATTAAGCTGAACACGTAACGTTCTCTCAGGTATCTAGTAAGTCTATATACAACAACAAACCAACACAACAACAACAACAGAAGCAACATCTGCAACGGCAACAACAATAATAATGACGCCAGAGAAATCTGTTATAGCCTATATCAATCATCTTATTGTCAGCAACTTTTCATATTTCTGTAAGTATATCAAGTTAAAGTTAGGAGCTATAATATATAATTTAAATTAAGTTAATTTCATTTAAAGAAAAAACTTTTTCGCTTTATTTAAAAAATGGTTTGTTTTCAAATTTAAAATTTATTTTTCCTTGATTAAACTCATTTTAAGAGATAATTCAGTTTTTATTAAAATGTGTGTACCATGCAAAACAAAGCGTGGCAGACCTCGTAAAGTATATCTACTCTTGTGCAAGATCAAAAGTCGAGTAGCTTAGTCTGAAAATACAAAACTCTTATCGTATTATAAAGCTTCCCAACAAATTTTTATCAATGTTTATAATTATAAGCTGCACTCTTAATCTTGAGGGCATGCCAAATCATTTTGGTCATCATTGGTCTATATGGTCTATATATATATATATATATATTCTATATTTATATATACAATTCTGAAAATTTTTATATGTATTCTTCTTTTTTATTTTATTCTCGTCGAAGCGCAGGTCAAACTCATTAAAACAATGTATACAAAACGTAGAATCTGGAATTTTTAATTTCAAATATTAAAATGAATATTATTGAAATTTTATTATTATTTGAAAGAGTTGTAATTATATTTAAAATCTGAAATTAAAATTAAATTATATATAATAAATATATATATTTCCAATTTTAACAGCTATTTATGCCTAACAGATTTATTTTAATTAGAATATTGAATAAAATTTTAAGTCTAAAAATATCTAGAACAGATTTTCTATGGCTTTAAAAATTATTTAAGCTCAATTTTTTTTTGCAAAGAATTTTTTGATATATATTTTTTATATTTTATATTTTTTTATATTTTTATAAATATTTTTTTTCAATACATATACATTTTTATATATGTACATATTAAATATAATTTTATATCTTATATATTTTTAATATATATATAAATTTTAATATTTTATATTTAATAAGTAATTATATTTTTACCTTTGCTATTTACAGGGGATGAAATCGATGGATATCTCATTTATTTTGGCGGAACTTTGGGCACGTTGACCTTGACCAGCGTTGCGGCCAGTCTTGCCTACTACTTTGTTACGCGACCAATACCAGAAAAACCATTAGTGCCTCTGGAAAATCAATCCCCATTGTTGGAGGTAAGAGTAAAATCTACCCAATTGCGTTCAATTGCCTCTGCAGCCGTCAGCCATGACTTCATCAATTTGTCAAGTCGCATGTTCTCGATTTTCCTATGATACACGCCCTATATAGTATAGAATTCTGAATAATATACCTTGCAAGATACCTAGAAAATTGTAGACTTGCAAAATCTGGAAGATCTCAGCAAAAGTCATTATATGATAAATTTAGATTTTAAAATTGATAAATTAATTTTTCTATTGTTTTGTGTTTTCCACTTCCTGCCGTAAATATATTTTTTGTTTCTTCTAAAGTGGAAGTGCAATGAATTTCGAATATTAAAATATTTGTAATATTTTATGATACATTTCGAATTTATATTTTCGCACCTGTTTTACAGAAAGTATGTCACATCACTCATATTTTCATACACACGAGTTGCTAAATTTAGTATTTAATCAGATAATTTATTTTTAGATATATTTAGAGTAGATATATTCGGATGTCGTTGTTGTATTTTAAGTCAATTTATTCTTAAGAACTAATTACCTCTATAGATGATATAGGCATTTAGATATACATTGTCCGATTACAGAGTATCTACCAGTCGATCACTATAGATCTATATCAGTCCACCTTGCCTCTATTGTTCTTTTTTGTACTTTGAGGTAAAACAGAAGACTCTGGTTGGCCTTTGATGTGCACATGTCTCAAGAAATTGTGTTTCTATTTCGTTTCTGTTGTCGTCACATGATTCTTCACTCGGATTTGACCACTGTGAACGATGTTTAGCTCTTGATATTCGTATTCTATTTTATTTTCGCAATGACGCGACTTTTACAGTGGTGCAAATATTTAAATCCCACGCTCCAATTGCTGGCCTATCCTAATAGTTGCCAAAATGTGCAGCATTTACGTGCTTGCTAATAATTTATCAACTGCTGTGACATAAATAAATCATCTGCTATGACTCAATTGGCAGTCTCTTTTTGCCTTAATTAGTCTGCTGTAGCTCAATTGCTGCTAATTCGATAATAGTTCGATATCTGCAAATTGCATATGGGAAATTGTTGTAAACATTTCGTTGGCATATGTATGCATTTATTGACACTGCCGACAATTGTTAACTTCTGACCGTGTGCAAGTTCATTTATCTATTGTTTACTTTCGTTGTAAATAAACAGAATCCGCACAGATATTGGCATGTAACACAAACAATTCAAGCCCACGAGCCATAACAATGGCCTTCAAAACTTTCCCAATTAGCCAATGAGGCAATAAATATCGATACTTACATGCAATAAATTTACTCAACTTTAGACAAGGTGGCAACGCAGCACAATTAACGAATGATAAGAAACAAACAAGGCAAGGCACGACAATAAGGAAAAACACAAATGTAAAATAATTATAAATATACTATTTAGTTTTGAGTGACAGCACAGGGACAACCTGTCTGCTACTGCAGCGGTAAATGTAAGCAATTATTTGGCACGATCTCTAACATTTAAAATGTCATGTCGCGATTGCGAATTATGAGTGGAGAAATGCAAATTGGGTTGCTCGTTTAATTTCAAGCAACTGGCAAGTGACAAATGATTATCGATAGGTAATTGAATAGGAAGTGTGCATAATGAAGGAAATTTGGGAAATAAAAGCTGAAAAAGGCGTTAGATATTTAAAATGTATGTGAGGTTAGAAACGAAGTTCTTAAGAAAAAGCCACATTTAGCCTAAACAAATAAACGAATTAATGTTAATTAACACGTGCTGACTATGTCCAAAATGTAAACAAAAATGCTGTTTATTTTAATATTCATACATTTTAAATTTGTTCCTGTTACCAAGCATAAATCATATTCCTAGCACATCAAAGGGCATTGAGCCGACAACTCAATATTAAAAATTCTCTGACACAACAAAAGTTGTTACCCCCACCTCTGGCCGATCAGATCCACCTATCCCAATGACTACGTCACATGCCAGTCCCTGTGATCGCTAATCGCGTGCAGCTAACAGCGAATCACAGGCAGCAGAAAGAAGCAACAGTTCGACATCTTGATCAAGCCAAAAAACAAATATTATAATGAGAATATCTGAGATATATAAGTGTGTGTATGTGTGCACATTTTATTGTATTCAACTGCACAACTATGCGAGCTAACAAAAAGAAAAAACCGTTTAATATAAAATCTATGAACGAATGAAATTCCTAGGCATTCGCTTGTGCATAGCTCCCCCGGCCACACCCCTCGAGAGACAATCTTCGAATTGAATAAAACGCTCACCCGTCGTTCTCTCGGCAGGCGAAATGTTAAAGATCTTTAGCCAAAATCATTTTTAGCCACGATATTTGCTGTTCAGTTCGAAATTCAACATCGTGTCGTGAAGATCTGCGTGTTACGCGTGCATCCAAGAAAAACGGAACAAAAAAAAAAAACAAAAAACCAAAGAAGAAAAAAATAAAAAAGATTTTCGTCTGCTAAAACAAAAAAAAAACAAGATGTATATATCGTATATATATGTTTTATACCAATTTTTTTCTATATATATATAAAAACAAGAAGCTAGCATAACAAAAAAATCTCTTGACAATTTGCAACAAATTGACAAAAATACGTTCGTTTAATCATTACGTAAAACACGGGCAAAAAAAGACCGAAACTAAAAAGAGAAAGAGACGGAAAATAACATAATTTAATTGTTGAATGGCCATTTGTCAAAGTGTCAAAAGAAAAGTCGATGCCGATGCCGATGTCTATGTCGATGCCGATGTCGATGCCTTTATCTATAGCCTGGGCTATGTAAGCCCAAGACTCAAGTTCAAGATCGCGCACGGCTATAGCCTCGATATGTCTGAAAGCTCTATTAAAGAAAAGCCCATAAAACTTAACAAAACCAAAAAACAAAACACATAAAAATCAGCATTAATCGTATTGTTGAAATTATTTCGGTTATAATTCGTGATGATATATGATTTAATAAAATTAAATTATCGGCGATGTATAATACTATATACAGATTTATATATATATATATAGATCAAAATATATAAATATATTTAGATATATATTTAAAAAAGAAACATTTTTGATATGCAAAGTTTCTAATCGAATCGGATATTTCTGGATGCCTGAGCTGTTTAACACTAAGTGTTTACTCTCTATATATAAAGCGTTTAGGGGGCGCGTTCTGATCGCCGTAATTACCCAAATACTGGCATGTGCGTTTAATGGAGACTTACGTATTCAGGCCTAAGAACTATATTATTCGGAAATGGTCGGAATCCATTAGAAATGTCTCGTCATTTATGCCAAACGGCCAGCTGTTATTTGTTTTGAATCACCGAAAGTGCTTTCAATTACAGTCAGGAATTTTAATATTTCATGTACTTCGCATGGCAATTGAAATTGAATTCAACTAGGGCGCTATAATGGCTATAACTATATATAATTAAAGAATGTTCCTAAAGCTTTAAAATTCTGAAACCAACTCCATACGAAGAGCTTATGGAACTAGAGAAGAAAAGCTAGTTTTCAGTTATAAAAATCTAATTTTTCAAATATTTTGCAATATTTGAGACAATTGAAAATATATTAAAAAAAAAGTGTTAAAAATATATATTTAATTTTCTTGCCAACCTGATTACAATTTCAACACATAACAAGTGTGTGCTAGTTATAATGCTTTATATCGATAGCCAATACTAATATATATTTATATTTATATATATATATAGATATATATATATATATACCACATATTTGATGTGTCTGAATAATCGAAAAAATGTTAGTTCTATAGTTCTATTTGGCTGCTTTCAAATTGCTCAAATGGAATTCATGCACTTGCAATCCATTAAAAACTTTTGCATGTACTTGCTATAATTTATGGCATTTTTATGGCATCTACAATTACCATAACTCAGGCATCAATTCGCAATTGATGATTATTCAATCTTTCAGTTTCAATGAGCCGCACAGCCTGTCCCCCATGACTCAGGCGCATTTGCAGAGGATCCATATAGAAATATATTTATATATATAAATTATATTATTTTTTTTTGTTTGTGCAAAATATTTGAATAAATATTTGTTGTTGTTCTCGCTGTTGTTGTTGCTGTTATTTTTGTATATTTTTGCGTACACTCGACTAAAAGATAACAACAGAGCAGAAGAGCCGAACGACTATTTTTAAACATTTGGGGCAGGCCAAAGCTAAGGCGGCCGCCTTGTCGATAGATCAACAGAGATCTGGGTGCTATACGGGGTCTAGCTAGCAATAGCTTGTATTGAATAATAATAATAATAAACAGCATTAAATTGGCTGCACTTGCCTGCACTTGCCAGGGCGTGGCGCCATAATTATAATTGCCTTTGACCGTATACACTGAAAAAAAAAAGATATATATATATCTGTCTGAATGAGAGGCAAGAAAAAAATTGTGTTTCCTTTTGCAGTTATTTTGGAAAATGTGCATATTAAACGCGACAACGTCTGCTGATTTGAATTACCAATAAAATTTGTGCACACATTTCGCCAATAAAAACAAAAAACAAAAAGAACAACGAAAATAAAAAACCTGTGAAAATATTGTGAAGTTCCTAGAGAGTTGAAACAAATATGTCCTGTTGCGGCCAAATAACCAACGTGCGCGTGCCCATCGAACTAAACAATCAGAGCGATGTGCTCAAGGTAAGCAATGATATGGGCTGTTCGAGGACCACGCCTACCACATTCCTATTCCCTAGAAAGTCAAAGAAATATTCAATTTGATCCTGCTTTATTTTTGGAAGTTTCGCGTCAAACTAATTCAAAACTATTTTTTGCTTTCCTTTTTTTTGTGTTTTCATCTATATTTTGTTGTTAGCTTAAATACGATCCACTGTTAGACACACAGCACAGGGTAGGCGTGGCATGCCCCCTCTCTAGGGGTAGGCGGCCTTATTGTTTGTCTCCTTCACACTCGCGTGCGTCATCATTATCTCTCGCTCACCCCCTCTCTCTCGCTCACACCCCCTCTCCCTCTCTGCCTTGTCTAAACAAATCGTTTATTATTATTTTGTTTTTATTAGCAACCAAAATTTTGAAATACATTTGCAATCGCACATTAAAAACAAACAGTTAGCGCACCTTCCACCTCCCTCCGCCCACGTGCTCGGCCAGCTCCAACAGACACAGCCCATCAGGCACTTAGGTCTATTTTTTGCATGCCTCAACACATTCGCCTGCCATACGTCCAATTTACGTTGGCTCACAGCTGTTGGCCATAAAGGAAGTGCTCTATTGCAGTATAGCTTAAATCGATCGAGCACTTTACACTTACTATATATTTATATTTATATATGCGATGCGATGCGATGTTTCTCTCACACTCATTCAAAATTGGCGATTGATCGTTTTACGTATCTTTCACTACTTCATCCTCTTCTTCTTTTGTCAAAAATAAACCATAAATCACGCCAATTGATTTTGGCCACATCAATTTGAAAGATTATTGCTTTTATGCCCATCATTGCAAACGGATTTATGGTCTGGAAAAACCAAAAGTCAATTTGTTATTTTCTTAGTTTTCTTTTTTCAAAGCAGCAAAGTTGTGACAAATTCGTGTAAACAAAATTTCTCAAATCTTTTACGTCAATAAATAGACCATTTTTACAGAAATAATCAAAGTTTCAGCTAATAAAACGATCTTAATTATTTGACATTTTTGTCTTATATTAGACTTATATTAAATATAAAGTCTTGTATTGCAATATTAGATCTCATATTATATATAAAATTATATGTGCTATATAAGATTATGTAGCCTTATATTTTATATAGTCATATATTTAATCTTAGATCTTATATTATATATAAATTTTTATATTCTATATAAGATTGTATACTACATATAAAGTATATAATATATACATTTCTATAACATATAGAAAATTTGATTTTATATATACTCTTATATTGCATATAAAGTCTTATATTATACTTTATCCAAGTATAAAAATATCTTTTGATGTCTATAAAATTTTATATTGCATTATTTAAACATAATAATATATAATTTACAAATCTTAACATGATCATGAGTTAATAATTTAAAAATTAAAATATAAAAAATATAAAATACAAAAAATATTAAAAATAAAAAATTTAAATATTATAAAAAATAAAAAATAATAATATTAAAACTTAATGAACATACTTTATATGCGGTTTTGCAAGCTCTTATAGCTTTGGAAAAGAGAAAAATTAAAAAGAAAACAACAGTAAAAATCATATTAGATAATATATATTTATATATATATTTTATATATATTCTATAATATTGTATATACCATATATATTATATTAGATGAAAATAGTTTGAAAGATATCAAATACAGCGCTCCAACCTAGATTCAAATCACAATATCATATGCATGCTATCAACATCAGTCAACAATAAGCCTAGGATAAAGCCCAAAATTAGTTAAGCGTTCGACCTATCATAATATATTATCGAGGCGCTCTGTCATCGTCGTAAATCTGTTTTCTCTTCAACTCCTTCACTCATTTTGCATGTCCTCGTGTTTGTTTTCTTTTCTGTTTCGTAACTTGTTCCAGGGTCCAGAACAAATACACGTCTCCAAGTTCTACAAGGAGTCGAAGAATGGTAAATTTGTTTCCTACATCACAGAGAATGTGCGAACGTTGTATCATACGTTTCGCGAAGGTGCCTACGCCTCCAACAATGGGCCATGCCTCGGCTGGCGAGAGACCCTCACGTCGCCCTATCAGGTAAGCGCAAACAGCTCAAACAGTCCCAGTCCCAGCTCTGCTAATGATGTAATGTAATTTCGCAGTGGATTAACTATGATGAGGCGCTGCTGCGTGCCAAAAACTTTGGCTCTGGGATGCTGGCGCTGGGCGCACGACCCAAGCAGCTGATCGGGATCTACTCGCAGAACCGACCGGAATGGATACTGTACGAGCAGGCGTGCTACTCGTTCTCTCTGGTTGTGGTGCCACTGTACGATACCCTCGGCCCGGATGCTTGTGCTTTTATCATACGCCAAACGGAAATGTCCATTATTATTGTGGAAGACGATGCCAAGGCGTCGATGCTGCTGGAGAAGTCACCGCGTAGCCTGAAGATCATTGTGTCCATTAAGCCCATACGCCAGACGACACTGGAGCGTGCGCGCAGTCGTGGCGTCCAAATCTTCTCCTTCATCGATGTCGAGAAACTGGGCGCCAAGGGCAACCATCCGGAGGTGCCGCCCACAGCTGAGGATCTATGCACCGTTTGTTATACGTCGGGCACCACCGGCAATCCCAAGGGCGTCATGCTCACCCACGGCAATGTGGTGGCCGGCGTCTGCGCGGTAATCCTGCAAATGGGCGATCATCGCATTCGGGCTGGAGATGTGATGATCTCCTTCCTGCCGCTGGCGCACATGTTCGAGCGCTGCTGCGAGAATGGCATGTACTATGTGGGCGGCTGTGTCGGCTTCTACTCAGGCGACATCAAGGAGCTGACCAACGACTTGAAGATGCTGAAGCCCACGGTGATGCCGGCAGTGCCACGTCTGCTGAATCGTGTCTATGATAAGATACAGAATGATATTGCTGCCTCGGGTCTGAAGCGCGGCCTCTTTAACATGGCGCTCAAGGCCAAGGAGAAGGAGATCGCCAGAGGAGTGCTGCGCCGCAATGGCTGCTGGGACAAGCTTGTGTTCAAGAAGGTGCATCAGGCCTTTGGTGGCAACCTGCGCCTCATGGTCGTCGGCTCAGCGCCACTGGCTGGCAATGTGCTCACCTTCATGCGCTGCGCCCTGGGCTGCTTGGTGCTCGAGGGCTATGGCCAAACGGAATGCACAGGAGCCATCACGCTCACCGTGCAGGGTGATCATGTGCCCAATCATGTGGGCCCGCCCGTCTCCTGCAACGCAGTCAAGCTCGTCGATGTACCCGAAATGGAATACTTTGCCAATCAGAATACGGGCGAGGTCTGTGTGCGCGGCTCCAATGTGTTTCATGGGTAAGCTGGCGAGCTACCTATGTGGAATTAGTACACTAATTAAAGCTTACCTCTCCAGTTACTATAAGGATCCAGAGAAAACGGCAGAGGCCATCGATGCCGAGGGCTGGCACCATACGGGCGATGTGGGCATGTGGCTGCCCAACGGCACTCTGCGCATCATCGATCGGCGCAAGCACATTTTCAAGCTTAGCCAGGGCGAGTATATAGTGCCCGAGAAGATTGAGAATATCTATACACTGAGCCAATATGTCAATCAAGTTTATGTGTACGGCGAGAGCTTAAAGGTGAGTTGGAGTAGAAACTGAAGGAAAATCTAGGGGAAATATATAGAACTCTAGAATTTATAAAGAAGATAAAGTACACGAAGTTAATTATATATCAAAATTCCATTGGCAGAGCTGCATTATCGCTGTTGTTGTACCTGATGTCGATGTCCTTAAGCAGTGGGCCACGGAAAACAATGTACGAGGCACACTGTCCGTCCTGTGCAATAATAAGAATGTCAAGGAACTGATTATGAACGATATGCTCAATTGGGGCAAACAGAGTGGACTTAAGTCATTTGAACAGGTAACAGTTAACACTTTCAACAAGCCAACAATCAGTTGCTAATATAATACACACTATATACTTCAGGTCAAGGATATTTATATGCATCCTGATCCATTTTCTGTACAAAATGGTTTACTAACGCCCACATTCAAGGCCAAACGGCCGCAATTGAAAAGCTATTTCAAGCCGCAACTGGAGGATATGTATAAACATTTGGATTAAAGCAATAAGCAAGCCTAGTAACAGAACAAGAGCAACGAAACAATTAACAAAAAAGCATTCAAACTAGATAGCTCTGCGTAACATTATGTCTAATAACTGAACAGATCGAAGTTGACCATACAATACAATATTTTGAATACCAAAAAAGCATAAGCAGAACAATATTACAATATTGCCGTAGACTTAAAAGCGAACATCAGTCTAATTTTTTATAGTTCCGTCAATTCTTAGCATGTAAGCGCAAAGATATACATATATATATACAAGATAATGATGATACAGATACTGATTCTTAACTGACAAACCAAATTTTTGGCAGCGGCATTTTTTATATATGGTTTAACAGCTCTTTATAAAACCAAATTAACACATTAACATTAAAATGTTAACTATTTCCTAATCTTTATGGTTTTTATTTTCAATTTTTCTCTGTTAAAATGGCAAAATGTTTCAATTTTGAAAAATATAAATATGATGAAGATAATTGCGTAGTCTGAACGAAAACATATACATAATAAACATATTGAGACAAATTTTTAAACCAAAGCTTTAATAACCTAAAACTCGTATACTACACTCAGCGTTAGTTTTAACATTGAAAACAATAACAAAATTTTAAAAATTATATACTATGCTAAATAATTAAAAGAAAGAAAAGGAATTATAATACATTAGGTAACTTAACATACACGCTTTTAGGAACAAAGATAAGTAAAATCAAAAAGTAATTTTTAACTAACATCTAAAATCAGCGCAATTTCTGAAAACAAAAACAAACCAAGCAGCAAACAAAATGAAAATTACTAATTGGACTGCACTGTCTGCCTTACAATTAATTAATAGAGAATCCCCAAGTAGGAAACAGGAAATTCAAAATATCTCTAAATAATATATGGTCTAAACATAAACAAAAAACTTATGATAATATATAAATATTTTCTTTACGTAGGAAAACAAAATGAATACGCGAATTTATGCAATGAATTCAAGTTATAATTTAAAAATAAACTAAAAAACACAATACAACTTCGCGGTCTTTTATTCAAACCAGTCGAGCACGGAGTTGCCAGATGTCAAAATCAATGTTGGACAATCACGCAAAGTGAGCGAGGCGCCTTACCCAACACTTCCATTCGAAAATGTTCCGACTTTGTATTAAATAAAACAATCAAACATAGTTTGCATTCAGTGATTTTAATAATTTTATTTATTTCGTCTGAATTCAAATCATGGCGAATGGAATGAAAAATCTTTTCAGACTTGAAGATATTTCGCTTTTCGTTTCTTTTTTATGCTAATTGTTGGTTGTTTGCTGTTGCCTGTTAGATAGTTAAGCTTAGCTAATTTAGTATTTACCAAGTATAAAGGACATTAGGCTTATATTTACTAAACAAATGAATGAATGCAATCACAGCTCGCCATGCACATGGTCGGGTGGCGGCGGTTCTGTTATGATGACCACCTCCTCATCCTCGTCATCATCCAATTTCTCCCTGTTGCCACTGATATTGTGATTCTCATGATCCTCGATGCGTGCCAGCAGTGCTTTCAGCTCTGCATCGTAATCCTTCCACTCGGGCACAATGCGCTGAGCTGCTGTTAGTTTGGCCTCCTTGGTTTGCGGATTGTTGCACAAATCGATAACCTTGGCACTCTTGAATGAACTATCACTGCACCATGTCTGACACCACAGCCACTCATCTGGCAGCGATTTAATGGCCACCTGATGTATCATGTTGTTGGGCAAATCCTGGTCCAGATTTGACAAGCTATTCGGATCCTGACTAAGGGCCTGATACTGTCCACGCAATCGATCACCAGCCGCAATCTTGCGGAATCGCTTCAAGTCCACGACATACAAAGCTGAAATATGATAGCGCCTGCCCATCAGATGACTGCGCCAATAGCCCTGCTTCCAGAATCGGAAACCTTCCATTTCTTTACGCGAATCACAGAACGGAGTATACGCATAGGGGGCACCACCCAAATCCAAATCGTACAGCTCCTTTATGTCCGTACGCACAATCGCATCCGCATCCACGAAGATAATTTTGCGCACATTGAGTGGAAAGAGCACGTCCAGGAAGAGGATCTTATAGCCCCAAATGGTGCGCTGTTTCTCCGTCTGCTGGTGCAGCCATCGTGGCCATTTGTATTGCACGAGCTCATATTGGAAATTGTACTCCTTGGCCATGTGCGGCAGGAAGTCCGTAAATTGTGGCGACAAATAGTTCTTGAGGAACCAAAACTTCACCGGCGACTTGGTATGCTTCAGCAATGATACCATCATGATACGTAACAGCCGCTCATATAAATGTCCCGAGGCCACGGAGAAAATATTAATGGTTTCCACGTCCTCATCCGTGGCTGCTGTGCCGCTGCTACCACCAAAACTGTTGGCAATGCTATTCCAAATACCAGACTGTGCCGGCGCTGAGTCATCCGAGAGCAGCTCCGCGTGCTGCATGCCTGGCCGCTTGGATACACGCAGCTTGGTCACATGAGAGCGCAGCGAGGTAATCAGCACCTGCACTGCACCCGTTTGTTGTTGATGCAGCGTGTTGGGTCCCTCAGCATGGCTAATGGCATAAATATCTGTGGATTTGCCATCGCGCAGACGCAACGTCCAAGCGCCAGGATTTGCCTTCAACTGGAAGTAGCCCAAATTGGCCATGACAATGGTGTCCACCAGCGTGGGCTGCGATTTAGTGCCCAGCACCAATTGCAAGCCACGTGGCGGTGCACCACTGGCTGCATCAAAGCAATGACCCTCCAACAGCAGATACTCCAAGCCAAATTCACTGTGCACAGGTCCGCCAATGTCGCGCAGCTTAATGTTATCCAAATCGTAGACAGCGCGTACCGCCTCCACCAGCCAATTCTCGGGCACCTGCAACTGCTGGGTTAGCAGCGGATTGGCGGGTAACCCACTGAATTTAGCCTGAGGACCTTCAGCGCGTGCGCCATTCGCTTCGAACTGCACCTCAGAGTCGATCACATAGCGATAGAAATTCTTGACTGGCATATCGCTGTGCTGTGCCACAGGAGTTAGATACAGATGCAACTGACAGTTGAGTGTTTGCCGAAGCAATATTAAGATCGGGCTAAGTTTTTGTGCCGCTCTCGAGGCCGGATCCAACACGGCGACGATATCAAAGTGGGGCAGCTTTACCTGCTTCGCTGGCAGCTTCACCACAGAATGATTTGTTTTCAAATCACTGGGTAGCTTGAAGCGCGTCTTGGTTTGTCGGGGCAGCAGACTAGCATATAGCTTGAGCAGAGTGTCGCTGGTGAAAGTGCTGTCCACCTCACTGGCGGATTGCTTGAGCACATCGCGCACCTTGTCGCCGTACTGCAAGGCGCTGTAACGCGCCAACAACGCAAAGTCGGCGCTATCGAAGATCTCGTCAGAGCTGAGAGGTCCATAGAGTCGACCGTTGCCAATGACTAGACGCTGCGACTTGGATAATCCCAGCACACGTTGTGCATACACGCGCAGCATTTTCAGATGCAATTCCGTGCTGCCCAATACGTCTTCTAGTTCCTTGGGTATATCGTCTATGCGCTGCTTCTTTCCCCGAAGCCATTTGACCACTTGATCCGTTGCCTTTACTGGATCCATGGAATGCATAGCCGCCCACGCCAAACGGTTGAGACTTCGTTTATCGCTAACGCCCTCTGTGTTGGGAATGAATGCCAACCGCACGCTCTCGCCACCACGCACATAGTCCAGCGCATGGTCTAACAATTTGCGACCTTCATTCGTCTCCAGATCTGCAAACACCCAAAGCGTCAGGAACTGCAATGAAGCGCTACCAATACTCTCCGAGCTCTTCTTGCCGCCAAAGTATTTCAGATTTGCCATTAGCGTGGCGGTCATATCACGATTCGAGAGCTTATTGAGCGCTGCAACATTGCCCAGCTGCTTGGTGGGTACACCACTAATGTCCAAGTACTTGGCATCCTCTTGATTGAGTATGCGCTGATTCAGACGGGGCATCACATGCGGCTGATTCATCAGGTAGTTTATTATCTCATCCGCATCTGTCAGCTCACCACGGTAAACAGCCTTCTGCAGCAACGTTGTTTGGCTCATCATCTCCGTTAAAAAGGCCTCCTCGAAGTCGCTGTCGGCACTGATGATGTTGCTCGGCATTGGGGCGCCATTGAGCAGCGCCTGCGGCTGACGGACTGCACCGAAGCCCAGGCGTTGCACAAACTCTTCAGCGAGCTGTCGTCCATAGTCGTAATCTGATTCCTCGCCCAGCAGCTCATTGGCCTTGCTCTTGCTTAGTGAGCCAAACTCCTTTGTTAGCTGTTTGATGATGTGCTGCTTGGTGACGACAGCTGTCTCGCCCACAGTCGCATAGATGTCCGTGAGGAAACTGAGTGCGGCACGTGCGTCCTTTTGCTGGCTCACATAGTTGAATGCACAAGCAATGGCCACATAATCTGCTGCAGTGTCATCCCCCATGGCTCGGGCATCAAATACTAAGCCCAGACGGACGGGTGCTTGGTGTATTACAAAGGATTCGGCTAATTTGATGACACTGCGCGCTTCTGGCTGCAGTGGATCCACGACGAGAACCAGGTTAAATACATTCTTACGTATGTTGCGCAACATGCCAGGAAATGTGGGACGCAGCAAATCCATTACCGATGGCGGCCAGCGTCTGTACTGGGCGTCCTGTTCAATATCATTGATCCACTGCACCGCCGTATCTCTGATATCAATTGCAAACTCCTTTTTATTGGCGCTAAAGTCCAGAGCTAACAATGCGCTAGCCAAGTGACCATGCACATTGTTGCCATGCAGACTCTCCAGCACACGGATCTCCGAGCGCAATGTCTCCACGACGGTGTACAGATCCATTGTATCTGCATCAAAGAACAATCCATTTATGAACAAAGCTCCATCAGGCGGGGACACATTCAAACTGCGTCCTAGCGATTCGGAATTATGTTTGACTTCTGCGCGCAGATCATCGGAGACTTTGTGGGCGAGCAGTGTACGTGCCAGCATGGGGAAATTATGTGCCGTATACTGCAGTATCTGCAGCGCCTCATCGCCCTGTATCTCAGCTATTGCTGCGGCCGCCTGTAAGCCTAAGTCTTGGAATTCCCAAGCTTTTAGTTGAGCAATCTCATCGTTGCCCTGCAGCAAGCGTTGGCGTAGTTGGTCCAGTGCACGTTTTAACGTGGGATGCTTGGCCTTGAGCAAATTGAAATCGAAGCCCTGTACATCCGTTTCATTTGATAGTTCTTCTGTTGTGGCAGCACCAGTGCCAGCTTCCGGCTTCGGCGCATCATCCTGGCTCTTGTACTCCGTGGACTTTAAATGGAGCTCAACTCCGTAGCCGGATAAACGTACGGGTCGATCACTTCGCTTGGCCAAGTGATGTCGTAGCAGGTAACGTACTTTTCCTGCATTTGCAGCGTTTTCCAGCAATTTGTGATATGGTCGAAATGCTGCACTGCCCAAATCTCCGTAGAGTACCACTGTACGGGTATTGTTCTCACTACCAGGATACACATGATCGAAGCTGTAACTGCCCACATCAGCATCCAAACTGCTTTCTGCCACTGGCAGCTTTAGCTTTTGCTCCAGCTCCGCATAAGTACAGGCAAGCTCGGTGCCCACCTGTGCGAAGATGCCGCCCTGACAGGAACCCGCAGCACGTAGTTCGTCAGCCAATTGAAAGTGCGTCTGTATACGCGGCGTCAGACTATGCATTGAGACGACCAGCTTAAGAAGTGGCAGCTGTGGGGCACTCACATGTGAGCGCACCAGTTGCATAGCGGCATTGTACTGTTGCGACTCCGAACCTGCAAAGGATACTTCCATTAATATTCTTCTACAACAAATCCATCGTCACCACCTACCGTAATCATTGAGCGCCGTGTCCAATGCCGTTACAGCCTGTACATAGTCCCAGAAGAGACCTGCTTGCTCATCAGCCAAGTACTCTGCTATTTCTAAATATAGTGGCGTTTGTGTCCATTTGGCATTAATTAGAGTAGTAATTGGATAACTTTGACTGGACTCGGCAGCTCCCACCGAAACAGACTCTGGCGACAACACCGTCAACGTCGAAGTTGTCAGCAGCAATACACACAAAAAACGTAACATTTTCAGCTGTACGTCTCTTTATGAACTTTCTTGTTACGTGCACATGACGCACTTATTATAAGATCTTGCGGATTTAATAAGCGCTCGCTGTTAAATTATTACACTTTAACTTTTATGCTCTACCGAATTTCTTAATTTAATTTAAGGCGAAAAACTGATGTGGCGTTTTACCGGCCGGACAAACGTTACCACCTTGTTCCAAATGAATGGTTCAGTGTGAAGCTAAGCTGAACCAGTTCGTATTCCAGTTCCAAGACTAATTCGCTAAAAGCACGCATATGAATAATGTATCAACAAAACTGATTACGTAACTTGTTTTATAATCTTTTTATTATTAAACAGACTCATTTGTTTTATTTATTCTAAAGTATGAAAACAAACTAATAAGCCTAGTTATAATTAGATTATGAATTTAACGATATACAACAATATAGTTCGCTAATGAACTATTCTCAGACAGCAACTCCAGAGTGACCAAATATGGTTATATCGATGATGCCAGAATGTTAGTTTTATCAGCTGTTCCTGTGGCTTTGTTTATAAACTAAAGCGCGCCGAAAGTGGAATTTTGCAAGTGATGAAGTGCACTCTGGAGGGCGGCAATGCGCGTGGTAACTGATATATATTACCTTAATTTTATAAACATTAATGCAATATTTTACTAGTCATTGCCAAAGCCATACAATCGTTGTCTAAAGTTGGAAAAGAGCTGTTCATAGAAGCTGATGTCAATGGACTTCGAATGCGCTCCATCAATCCCACAGCATCTGCTGTGGCCAACATTAGCTTTAGTCGCTGTATGTTTGATACATTTCAGCTACCAGCCATCGGCAGCTTTTGCTGTAAAATAGCAATGAAGCCATGTCTTAGCGTCTTTCGCAATATGAAACAGGTGACCTGCTCTGACTCTTGATATTCGCTTATGCTAATTTAATTTCCCATTTTAGGTCGAATACTGCGAATTGAGCATTGTGGGTAATCAATCTAAATTGAAAGTCAATCTACGCTGCAAGCTGGAAACTACAAAGCAAGCTGTCATTTCAATTATGGATGAATTGAATATTACATCGAATGTGCCAACTGATCAAAGCCTCAACAGGTAGCTTAAATATATAAAGCTATAATTATATTACATATCAAATTAATATGTTGTATGTTTTTTATAGCATTCGGGGCGATCACAAGTTATTTATGGAAATCTCAAATAGCTTCAATTCTTCTGAAGAGGAACTTACGCTGGAGGCCACGCTGGACACTCTATCAGCCAAGAACTACATCGAAGGTGCTCGTGTCAATGATAAATTTATGCGATCACAACTAAAACTGAAGCATAGCGAATTTGAGCATTACCAAGTAGCTGAGGGCTCAGTTGTTACATTTTGCATCAAGGAATTTCGCTCCTTTCTTCTCTTTGCTGAAGCATTGAATGCGCCAATGACACTGGAATTCGATGATGCTGGAAGTCCATTCCTTGTAAAGATTAAGAAACACAATGACATTGAGTGCTTGCTTATCCTATCAACTCTGTCGGCCGAAGATGTTAGTATCTCGGACGATTATCGACCACAAGAAATAACTATGCGTGATCCAAATAATACAGCTCAAAAACGAAAAAGCAGCACACCTGGCCCAGAGATTCAGCAAAAGCGCCGTTTGGCTGAAGATACGACACTCTCCGACCTTGATACGTCGCTGTTTCAATTCCGCAATCGCCGCACTGAGCGGCCATCTGAGGCAGCTTCAGTTCAGCCAGCACGTATGCTGGCAGATGGTGACACTATCGATGTAGTTGATGAAGAGGCCGAGGAGGAGGCAATGTTGCTTGCCGTATCAGATGCCATGGAGGCCAGCCAGATACCTCGGCCGAGCAGCACTGAAGTGTGCTTCTACAATACGGAGGATGCGCCGCCGACATTGATGCCAGAGGACAACAATGAGGAAGATGAGAGCATACCACAATCTCCAGAACGGGAGCGCAGACATAGGGTGCGCACTATCTTCTCGCGATGCTTTCAAAATACCTATGTGCCGCGCGAGCCTTCGCCCAACAGTCAGGTGTATGCACCCAATTCGGATACAGAGGATTAGCCTATTTTGTTCGTTTATTTATAAGCATTGCATAAACGTATGTACTTGCATTACTGCCTCAATTACTTCTCTCCTTCAGATGAATAACGGGCAAAAAGCTGCTCGTTAACGCCGATGCAATTCGACTCTGGAGCAGTGCGCTGTTACGTTGTGCCTGCTGCAGCGCTGTGTGTGCCGATTGCAAGGACACCTGTGACTTCATGAGCATTTGATCAGTAGTCAGTAGCTGCTTGGATGCAGTCACAACAAAGTTGCGTGTTAGCAGAGTTAACGCTTTGCAAATCTCAATGTTGTTCTCAACTAAATTTGAATGAATAAGGCATACATTAGGTCTAATCGAGTGTGAAATGAATTGCACATACTTAATTTACGTTGCAACAAATTATTGCGGTATATTGATACAGTTGCACTAGGTGTACTTGACTGCTCATAGATATCTTCATCTTCTTCCTCGGTTGCTTCGCCAGAAACTTCCGCTGCGTATATCTGCAAGTATTTGTTATAGGAGATTCGATGCTATTTTTAATTGCCAGCTGTAAATGCCTTATGTTTCTCCACTTCTTCATCTGATTCGGACGCCTCGCCACGCACTAAATCTGCCATAATTTTTTATTTACATAGACAACAACTTAAATAGCTGTTGGTAGAAAATATTGCCTTTATCGTATCGTGCTAAATCGAAAAGCGATAGACATGTCGATTGTGGATATGCATAATCGATACTTTCCGAAGAAATGCAAACACTTCATTTGTAGAGCATAAAACTCATTCAATTTATTTGAAACATTGAACTACAATTTTTTTAAATACATATAAACTTTAATTATAAAATTATTCGAAATATTTTTGCAGAGTTCCCAATTCATACATTCTCTTGATGTCGGTGCCACCACCTACAAATTTACCATTGATAAACACTCGAGGCACCTGCAAGGAAAACAATTGAGCATGAGAATAAAATAAATGATGTTAATGTTTTAGATAAACTTGCCGTCCGAGCGCCAGTCATTTCCCCTAGTACAGATTGAATTGCATTTCCATCTTTTCGTCCATCGAGCTCCACTATCATTGCATCAACCTTCAACTTGCGGAAAGGCTGTGAGATAATATACATATATACTATATATTACTTATTTAGAAGCATCCACTTTTTGGTTTTACCTCTTTGGCCATTGTGCAATAGGGACAAGAAGTTTTGCTAAATATCGCAACCTTATTCTTTGCAATTGTATCACGAACAAAATCTGCTTCTATGCTGTCCATATTTATCAGAGGTTTTGACGGTTCGCAGTCAAAGTCCAAAAACGGGAATGGAAACTTTTTCGTTGCAATTGAGAACGGTTGAAACAGGTAGTTTTTAAAGGGCTTTAGGAGATTGCTAGGGTAACGTATAAGGATTAAAAAGCACTGGTTAATAGTTTATAGAAACTTTATTAGCAACTCATATTTGCTGTGACATGTCAATCTAATAAGGTTGCCAGATAACTAAGAACATAAAAACCGATGCACACTTACTATTTAAATAGCGCTGACATACTTCACTTCAGACATACTTCATTCTAAACGTGTAATAAGAATTCTTGACAATACACTGATATTGTTATTAGAAATAACCGACAGTACATATATGCAAATGTATTTTTATTATCTATTGCATCGATGTTTCGGATTCATTAGTATACAATTAAGGCTGTAATTCATGCTATAATTATAATTTAAGCAATGCCAGTAAAATTTAATTTTTATTTTTTTTTATATATTGGTATATGAGATTCAATTTTGAAGTTTGATTCAACTATCGATGACTTAAGATTAATTTAAAAGTAATTTTTATCATGACTACCCATAAAACCGCTACCTATTGACAATGTGCAGAGCTGCCAGTCGACTTCTTTTACCAGCTGATTTAATCCGCGCATTGATCTGGCAACCTTGAGTACACTTGAACGGAAAATCAATTTTTTTTAAAAGCGTGCCACTATGGAACACAAAGGGCGACGGCAGCTGGAGAACTTTAGTTAATAACACAAACAACAATGCCGAGCAGTCTACTGTTTGCCACCAGCAGCGAGGGACGCGTGCATACGCTGTCCACCAGCTCAAGTGGATGGCGCGAGTTCCCATATCTTGGTCTGGAATTCAAGAAAATTAGCGCAGTTCCCAATTATATGTGGGCCATTGGTGGCGATCGTCAAGTATATGTTCATGTGCACGGACTTGATGTGCCAATACGAGTTAAGGAGGAATCTTACGAAAACGAGCGCTGGCTGCCTATTGAGGGATTCTCGAAAACGCTGCTGCCCACCGATCGTTATAAATACTCTAACGTTGATGGCAGTGTTGAGAGGAGCGTGGACAAGATACGTTTGCCCTCCATGGCCTGGCAGTGGGACGGTGATTGGCACCTGGACTTGGAGCTGGATGGACAACAGCTGCCTGAAGATGGCTGGATGTACGCCTTGGATTTTCCAGCCTCATACTCGGCAAAAAAGTCATGGAACTCGTATGTGCGCAGACGCAAGTGGATACGCTTTCGTCGCTATGCTGCTCTTAATAGCTGGTGTGCTGTCGCACCCTTGCACAAGGATCCAACACAGGAGCCTTTTATTGATGTAGCCATAGGTGGCACACACGTGCCCAATGCACAAGCCGGCACTCTTTGTGTATGGGCCATAACGGCGCATGGCCGCGCAATGTTTCGCACTGGCGTCACTGCCTTTGCACCGGAGGGACTACGCTGGACTGCCATCAATACGCCCATCGGCAGTGAACTCGCACAGATTAGTGTGGGTCCAACAGGTCTAGTCTGGGCGGTGCTATACAATGGACGCGTCATTGTGCGCACGGGCATAACACGAGATAATTTGTCGGGAGATGCATGGCTGGACGTGAAGTCGCCGGTGGCCACCAGTGGACAAACAGATACGCCACGGGGCCTCCGCATTGTGCAGATCTCAGTGGGAACCGATGCAGTCTGGTGTATAACAAACGATCATCATGCCTGGTTTCGACGTGGTATCAAGGGTGAAGCGGCAGGCATCAGTGAAGATGCTGCCATAGGCAGAGGCTGGGTGGAAATGGTTGGAAATCTGTCAATGATCTCTGTGGCACCAAATGATCAGGTAATAGCTGACTTAAATCTGTCATTTTAAAAGCCTAATTCTATGCTCTTCAACAGGTGTTTGCAATTGGCGCTGCAGATCGTGCTATATACTACCGATCAGGCGTTAGCGCCGCCGATCCCACCGGCAAGAAATGGGTGAAAATTCAATGCCCGATGCAAATCAGTCGTTCCTCTAGTTCCTTGTCTATAGTTTCGCGCAAAAGTGGTGGCAGCAGCTCAACACCTGGCTCCAAGCACCAAAGTTTTTCCAATCTATATTCCAAGGAAAAGGAAAAGGGAGTTGTGGAAACGTGCGCAGTCATTGAGACGGTCACCACCCACAGTAACGCGTCCTCAAATAATGGTCTAAACAATCGTTTGAAAAATGAACGCTGGAAGCTGAACGCTGACTCGCCTCCCACCATTGGCAGCCTCAATCTCAACGAGCGTCAGAAGCATCGAGCAACTGCCTTGCGCGAGCCCCTATCGCACGCTTCCAGTGCGCCGGCAGCGGATGTCGCCGAGATAAGCGGAAAATTTGAAACACAACTGAAGAATCCACGGGCCTGGTCACCGGTACGCAGTGTTGGATCTGTTGTGGGCACCGAGGCGCACCCGGAGAGCGATTCCGCGGTCTTCGAATCGGAATCAGCGCATGGCTCCGATGCATTTCTCGGTGAAGATGACGATCACAATGGCTCACAGTTTTGGACAGAGTGTGCCGTGATGTGGAGCTGTGTGGCCACTGGCGCCGTCACTGTGGATACTAATAACATTCCCAACTGGTTCAATGAGCATCACAACGATAACAAAACCGAAGTGAATCCCAATTGGCGCAACGATATACTCGGGAAACTAAAGCAGCGCCAAGAAAGCTTAGCAAAGCTGCAGCAGGAAACGCATTACGAGAAGGCAGTCGAGCTAACATCGTGGATTAAAACGGCAGACGCACGTTATCACCATCCAGCTGGTGACTACGACGACTGCGTCATTGAGCTGGAATGGGTGAGCGGCAATGGAGGTGATAACACAGAAAATGATTCCGGCACCTTCACGGTGCTCAGTCCGGATGGCTCAGCGACCAAAATACAATTTGCCCTCTCCGACATTACGTGTGTACAATGCTGCAGCGAGCCGGCTGCACCACGATTGGCCATACACGCAGTTCATCTGCCCATCAATTGCAGCCCGGTCAAACTGCAATTCGCCGGCGATGCGGATATGGAGGATTGGCTATCGCATTTGTCCTCGGTATGCAGTCAAATCAATATGCTAATGGGCAAACCAGCCAGCAATGCCATTTGGCTGACCAGCGACCTGGGCGATACGTTTGTCTTCGATGCGGCCAACATGAAGGCACAGCAGCTAGAAAAAACCACCAATGGACAGGCTCATTACGTGGAACGCATGGATGTGTCGACGTGTGAGACACCATACTATAACACGCTCTATAATGGGTAAGAATATATGTGATATATCATATCGTTTGCATTATTAAAGATTTTTTCCTCATCTTTGCTTTTAGCATGCCCTGTGGCAGCGAATTGGAAATTGCGGGTTGCGTCTACGATGACGCCGATCAGATTCGCTTCGACTTGCAGTGCCATTCCAATATTAAAGCTCTACCCCATCGTGTGGAGAAATATCGGGTCATAGCGATGCATTTGAACCCGCGTTTCAATGAACGCACAACCGTACTCAACTCTATGATTGACTCCGAATGGCTGGATGAAATACGCAATGATCGCATGGTCTTTGCACCTGGTGCGAGCTTTACTGTAAAAATCAGGTCAGCTTAAATACTTATCAGGTCGACATACTTATCTAATATTAAATGATAACATTTATGTAGGGCTCTTCAAAATCAATATCAGATTGTTGTCAACAATGATATCTATGCCGATTATAAATATCGTACGGACCCAGCGGCCGTTACCTGCCTCTATGTGAGCGGGCGAGTGAAGCTTTTTAGCGTCATCTATCGTTCTCCGTCGGTGATTTTGTCTACGCAACAGATGCACTGGCGGCAGATAGGTGGCCATGTGAAGCGAGTGTATAACAGTGGAGTTGATGTTGTATGGGGCATATCCTGCGATAATACGGCTTGGGCATACAACGGCGGCTGGGGCGGAATGTTCCTAAAAGGGCTAGAAGGGTCAGGCAAGATTAACGCAATGATTGATACTCACACCTACTATGTGTATGAGAATCAACGCTGGAATCCCATCAGCGGATTTACTGCCAAAAGTCTGCCAACTGATCGACACATGTGGAGCGATGCAACTGGGCGACAGAAACGCAGTAAGGAGCACACTAAACTGCTGTCAACACATTGCGAGTGGATATCTGATTGGGCGATTGACTACAATATACCCGGGGGAGCTGACAAGGAAGGCTGGCAGTATGCAATCGATTTCCCAGCCACCTACCATGCACAAAAGAAGCTGACGGATTGCGTACGACGACGTCGTTGGATGAAGAAATGTCGCCTTACCAGCAGTGGACCCTGGCAGGAGCTTAGTCATTCCAAAATACTGGATGCTTCACTGCAGGTCCTGGACAGTGATGTAGATAGTGCGCTTAACGTAGAGGATATGCCCGTTGCTGCTTGGGCCATTGCGTCAAATGGCGATGTCCTAATCCGGCATGGTGTTTCGACACTGAATCCTCGTGGCGATACCTGGGAGCACATTGTAAGCGATCAACCGCTGATCGGCATTAGTGTGGGACCCACCGGTCAGGTCTGGGCAGTTGCTCGCAATGGCATGATTTTCTTTCGATATGGCATCAACAAACTGAACCCTTGCGGGGACGCCTGGCAGCAGGTGGAGGCCCCATCTGGCGTTACATTCAAGGTCATTAGTGTTGGTCGCGCAGGCATCTGGGCGTTGGACAACCAACAGCGTCTAGCGGTGCGTAAGGAAGTAACGCGCACGTTCCCAGAGGGTTCGCATTGGCAATTTCTCCCAAATGCTGCCAACGTGCCGCCGCACACTGAAACCCACTGCGGCTTTCGTTCAGTGTCCGTGGGCAAGGAAGTATGGGCCATTTCCCTAAATGGCGTCATATGCCGACGATGCGGCATAACCAATGAAAATCCTGCTGGAGCCGGTTGGAATCTGGGTATTGCTGTAAGTTTGAAAATATTGAATATCCTTAAAACATTTTAAATTTGTAAATTTATTACAGGGCCAGTGGCAGCATTTATCCCTGGAGGGGTATATGTAACCATCTTATTCCGTTTTCAGTATTTACAGATATACCCTACACACAAGGATAATATATTAACAACTTGATACAGATGTGGGACAAACATTGGCAATTTAACGCTTGAAAGAAACAGTTTGAACATTGAGTGAAGGGTATCTTATAATAGAAATATCTTGACTGCAGCATTCTTCCTTTTTCGATTATAATATGAAATGCTTACACATAAGCTTGTATTAAGCGTGATTTTGTTTTATATTTGTACGTTATATTTTTGTTAATAAGTATGATTTATTTATGTTAGAGCTTACAGCACTAAATTATATGCCCCTCAGTATATTATAATGTTTAGTCATCTATATAAAAAATATTGATGTATTGTATATTAAATGCATTCCAAGTACCACAAAACAGCACATATCTTTCAGTTCTTCGTAAATACAAATTGAATTTACGCGGGTGATTGCCAAACGGTTAAAGCATCTATAGAAATCGGTAAATAAAATATGGCACTTATCGATAGTATCGATAAGTTGAAATTTGTGATATTGTGATCAAATCAACGCTGTAGTTTAGTTTAGTAAATATGAAGAGCTACTGCAAGGAAATATCTAAATATTGTTAATAAAATACTGATATTAATAGAAATCTGGAAATACACAATGTCAGATTATGATCATATGCGCATAAAAAAGTTGGTCTTGAAAGGAGAAAAACACAAGTGAGTGCATTTAAAGATTAACTTAATCAACTCTTTAAGGCGACTTTGTTTATAGAAAAAGTAAAAAACGTAAAAAGGAAAAGGAACACAAAGATGAAGATGCACCCAAACGAAGTAAAACGGTTGCGGATGAAGATGCAATTCAACATGCAGGTTGGTGGGCAACAACAACTGCAGCAAGCATCGTTGGATCAGTCGCCATTGAATTTGGCGAACGTTGCTATCTGAGAGCCTTGGACAATGGGTAAGTTTATTTATTATTGACCAAAGCAACATAGCAAAATAACAATTTGAATAGTTTGTTTACTTTGGGGGCTCCACACAATGCAGGTGAAGGACCGGACCCTGAAGAAATATTTACGGCCTTTCCAATTAACGAACGAAAGGTTTCCTTCAAATCGGGTTATGGAAAGTATCTGAAAATTGAAAAAGATGGAATGGTAACTGGTCGCTCAGAAGCTGTTGGTAGCATGGAACAGTGGGAGCCAGTGTTCGAGGTTAGCAGAGACATATTTCTATATAAATATATATTTACCAATTCTCTCATTCAGAACAACCAAATGGCTTTGTTGTCAGAAACGGGTCACTTCATGGCCATTGATCCAGAGGACGATGCATGTGTGGCCTTACATAAAAAAGTGGGCCCACAAGAGATTTGTCGTGTGCGTACCAATGCAGCGAGAGATGTTGTTGTTGACGATCAGCCAAAGGAAGAAAAAGGCGATTTAGGCGAAGTTGAGAAAAACTATGTGTAAGTGTTTTGGTTTTATATAGATTTAAATTTACTAACGTATATTCCTTGGTCGTCTAGCAAGAAGTTTCAAAAGTTCCAAGACAAGAAGATGCGCATTAGCAAGAACGATATTAAAGAGCTTGAAGAAGCAAAAGCCCAAGGACTACTACATGAAACTCTTCTCGACAGACGTAGCAAAATGAAAGCCGATCGATATTGCAAATAAAACTTGTCAAATGCATGTTCCATAAATATAAGAATGTATAATAAAGTTTTACATTTGGATGTAACAATCTAAAGGCAGTATCAGACACGATGTATATATGTATAATTGCTTTCATATTCAATTTTCTATTTGAAATCTCACATTATAATAGATGATGGCGGAAATGAAATACAATTTCGTGAGAAGCAACAATAAAATTTCATTTGTTTTGACCTACGACTTTGGCTCTACTAGACAGATGCTCAAGAGAGAGCACAGAACGTTGGAATTTGAAAGAGCGTGAGAAAAGTCTGAGCAAACTCCCAGCTATGCAGTCTATAAACCGGTTTTCAGTGTGTGTGAGCCAATGGCTGAGTTACAGATTGAGCCGAGTTGGTTTAGTTGGTTTTGGTTGCAGAGCCCAGACAGAACACAGCGCATAAGAAATTTAGTTGAAATTGTTTCTTTTATTTATTTACCCATTGCTACGATTTGCGATAGCGATCGACGAGAGATGCGAAAATCGCAGGGCATGTCGTTAGCCTCTGAGAGACGTCTTGGGCTGGACGCCTCCGAAACCTATTCAACGTCGAGCTCGTCGCTTAATAGTTCTTTTAGTGACGGCAGCGATTTGGTTAACTGGGAGGAGTACGTGGCCGAAGATGGCAGCCTCTTCTATGCCGAATATGTGCCCAATCCCAAGTCGAATCTAAGTGAGCGCCGCGGTGAGCCGCTGCGTCGTTCGCTGCGCCTGGGTAAGAAAACTACGCGGCGACAGCAGCAGAATAGAGGCCAGCAGGGCAAACACAATGGCAACCACAACAACAACAACAACAACAATAGCAGTGGGGGGCAGGCACATGTAGAAGCAGAGAACGAGGCGAACAACGGGTTCCGATTCGCAGACATCAAGAATTCACACGCAGACACAGACAATCAGAAGCAATTGGAGTTGGTTATAACGGCAACGGATCGCTTCCGCTTTGGCCGTCGCTCCACAGCCGTGGAGTCAATACTGGGCTTCCGAGTGCTGCCCTTTCCCGATCAGCCCGAGTGCCTAATGGTGGATAGCTTTGTTCACGATATAAGCGCCATGCAGCATAATATAAAGCGTGGAGATTGGTTCAAGTCATTGAATGGCATCGAGCTGTATGCCAGCAATGTGGACGAGCTGTTGCAGCAGTTTCTCGAGCCCACACAGGTGTGCCTGGGCTTTCAAGGCGCAAGCATCACCACGCCAGCTGCCACAGCGGATGATGCTGCGGCCCAATGCAATCAAATGCCCCAGGTGCGCAAGCTGACTAGCTTTGCCATGTTTGCGGAGCAGTTCGATCAGCTGCTGCCACCGGCTGTGACCGTGTCTGAGTCCTTGACGCCCTTTGGCCTGTTGCTGCTGCCACCGGAGTGCTATCAGCATGATCAGCACAAGGATTCGCTCTACTACTACCCGGAGTCGGCTGTGACGAACTTTCTCTACAAGGCACGCGGCAGCTTCCTCACGCTCTGCTCTGTGCTCAACGAACTTCAGACGGAGCCGCTGACATCCCGCCTGCTGGTCGATCAGCTGCCCTACTATGTCAACTATCGCCGTCTGAATGGCTTCCTGGTGCTGTTCGCCTATGCGGCACAATTGTACACCGCAACGGAGTGCAGCTTGAGATCGGATGAGCTGATTGGCTACATTCGATTCTCGCTGCCAGGTCTGACGCTCGAGAACTTTTCCACTGCCAACGATAGCTCGAATGGCCTCCGCCAGTTTCTGCGTCATTTCTGTGGCATTCAGCGCTTGCGCCTCCTGGCCCATCCACGTGGCGAGCTGCGCTTCGAGCAGCTGCTGAAGCAGTCAAAAAGTTTGCCTCTGCCGAAGGAGGCGCAGCTGCGCATCTTCGATGCGCTCAGCGAAATGGAGGCCATGGACTATCGCAACTGGAACGACGAGCCGTTGACCACGCATCGGGAGTTCTTCATCTATGGCTGTGCCCTGTACTATGATAGCTTCCTGCTGGCCAGTCTTCTGCCCGCCGAGGTGCGCTTCAATGTTGAGCTCTTCCTGCGTTGTCGCGGCATCTTCGACTTCATTGGAGCAGCTCCCAGTGTGCGAGTGCGTGAGCTGTACGTCTGGGAGGAGATTGTGCTGGCCAATGCAACGGGTCGCTATTTTCTCACCGTCTGCTGTCGCAGCCATCTCATCCTAACGGTCATCCTGAAGATGTACGTGGATACACCTGAAATGGAGGCGTTTACTGCGGTTCCACCCTCGTTGTTCTACATTGAGGAGATACAGGAGACATTGGATCATTTAATACAGTGTGGCATTGAGTCGCTGGCCAAGTTCTGGTCCATCTCGAACAAGCGACCCGAGGTACTGGATCAGCAGAAAATCGATCAATCCGGTGAGGAGCAGGAATCCACCAACAACAAGCTGGAATCGTTCCTTAAGCAGAAGACAAGTGCCTCACATTCGTCCTCTGCGGCCAATGATGAGGAGGCACAATTGTGCTCATCTCTGGGTGGCTCTTCCATACACAGTCAGACGCCCAGTGAGGATGAGATGTCACGACGTCGTCTAACGCCCGCAGAGGACTCGGACAGTGGCTCCGACTGGGAGAACTTTGCGGAACAGCATCCCCTGCACTATGGCCTCAATCTGAATGCTGAGAGCCAAAGCCAAATAACCACATCCCTGTGGAAGGAGATCAACAATGTGCTGCCAGTAAAAATATCCGCCGGCTGGAAGAACTCCGTGCTGCACTACGTCTATGTGGACCTTACAAATGGCGTTTTCCTATGCCCGTTCACAACCAATCCAGACAGTTTTCCATACCTCAGTGAGATACGCCGAGCGTGTCATATGATTCACATGGTTCTGGATCGCTCCAAGCAACATCGACGACTGCTGATGGAATCGGCCAATACACTGGGCAATAGATCAGCTGGCAATGATATAACCATGGTTAAAGAACATGGCATTAGCTTGGAAGTAACCAAGGATCAGTCCAGCATGCGTTTCGTTGTGGTCGGACGTTTGTTCCAATCGCCAGCTAAGGAAGTCTACGTCTGCCACTTTCCGGAGGTGCCACAAAATATGGTCGAAATGGCGTTTCGACTATCTTTCTTTTCAATGGGATAGCTGCTATATACATATAACATAAATATAAGTAACTAATATATTAAAGAACACTTTTTTCACTTATAAAATTAAAAATTTTCCTATAAGGATCTATTAGAGATAGACCGGAAATAGATATGTGATGCACCGATTTCGAATCCCTTTTGCAGCCAGAGCTCCCGTGACACATTTCCGATGTAGGATACAAATTCGTCTGCGTCTTTCATTCATATCTTCATAGCGCGCTAAGCATGGGCACTATATTTAGGTAATCGTACGCACCAGAAATACATATACGACACGCGCCCTAGTCGCATATTTATAAACATAAATACATAAAGGCAAATATATGTTTTATGAGCACATGTCTGTGCTCGACAATGTCAGCAGCTCGTTCTGCAAGCTGTCTGCTCGATCTGCTCGCTCGTCAGTTGTCAATGAGGCAGTCCAGAGAGCGGGCGCAGTTGGGATTTGATATACTTACATCACTGCCCACTGGAGATGCCAAAGTGGCCTTTGTGTATTTGCATCTGCGTGCTGATAGCCTCGGCAGTTGCTCTGAACGAGATCGACAATAATAGCCTGAATGAGCATGAAGGTGAGCCGGAGACGGAGACGGAGAAGGACACGGAGTCGGACATCAAATTGCCCAGTGAAGTGCAGAGAGCCGTTTGTACTGTCAATGCTGGCGAGGTCAAGGCATCCGCCGAGGCGGTCACAACTAAGACATTAAAGGGCGTCTGTGGCTCGGGTTGGTTATGCACAACTTAAGCATTTTATCTATTTACCTGATATAACAAATTTGTTTAGATGAAATGAATTTGGCATTTCGCAATTTGGAGCAGAAAATGCTTGAGGAATTGCGTGAAATTAAGGAGCAGCTAATGAAGTTAACTGCAATGTTGGCACAGCCAAGAGGAACCTCCAAGCTCCTGACGCCCGCCACGCCTGCTACGCCCTCCACGCCATCCACGCCCTTCATGCCTACTACGCCCTCCATGTCAGCCCCATTTCTAAAGCCCACAAACATGAAAATAATAAAATTCGAGCAAATAACCTTGAAGCCCAGCCAAGAGAAGAAGCTGCCTCAGCTTAAGCAAATGGAAAGTGCACCGGAACGAGAGGAAGAAATTGACAGATTCAACAATACGATGCTGGCAGATCAGGACTTTCAATTATTTACCTACTACTGGAAGCTGGAAAACATTACCGAACACATTGCCGATGCGTCCACTAGAACTGTTAAGAGTCCCATGTTCAGCATACGAGGCGAGTATCTATAAAATGTAGATCTAATTGAAACTATGACAATACTCTGAATACTGAACACAGGCAAGACTCTGCAACTGCTGTGCACCTTCCAGCATTTGCACCGGGATATGATCAATCTGCAATTGGCCATGGCCTATCCATCCCATGAGCACGGCGTCAAGGGCAAAGAGAACAATATTATGCTGGATATGGGCGGGCAGTGGAAGCAGCTGAAGTGGGCTGATCATGTTGCCTTTAAACACAAGATTTCTCTATTAGATCAACAGCACAGCCATCGACGGACGCAGGACCTCAACTCACAGGAGCTTACCAAACTGGATATGGGCTTCTCCATACCGAATAGCGCAATCTTAGGCAGCAACTATGTGAGGCATAATTCGCTGCTTATACAAATTATTTTATATTTGTGAAAGGTTTATATTTTAATGAATATTAAACAAAGCAACCAAACCCCATTAGCCAACTAGAAATTGTAGAGTTAAATATCTTAAAGCTTGCTGCGGGCACCCTTCGCCTTGATGTCCAGGAAGGGCATCCCAATTGGATACAATTCTTTGCACGATTTGAATGCCACAATATCGTTGATTGTTGTATGGCGTTGAGCGCTGGCAGCCGCACTTTCAACTTCCTCAACAGTAGTTGTTTCATTCTCATCTTTTTGCGTCGAGACAATATGGACAGATAAAACTCTGCGCTCTGGTCCATCTTTTGCTATAAATTTCTGTAAAAGCATCGAAATTGTTTAGACAAATAGAATTGAAGATATTTTAGATACGAACCTTAAAATAATCGACAAAATCAGCTTTTGTTATTTTGCGCAGTATTGCGACTTCGGCCTCTTCTCTTTCAAAGTGATACGTCTGCATAGTAATTTCTCCATAGAACTGACTAAATTGCTGGAATATTGTTTTCGGCTTCTCCAGCTTCTTGACAATTAATGCCTCCTTATGACGCGCAAATTCATCTTGAGGCATGTCCTCAATAACTTGCTAAAGAGGAACATGTGTTTCAAAATGCTAATATTCTGATAACGCATTTTTATATTACCAAATATGTCTGCAAGAAATTTTCGATGCGATCTTCAACAAAGGCCGGATGCTTCGCGGATTGCACAATGATGCGAATACCATTGGCGCCGTTTACTTTACGCACACCACTGAAGACAATATAGCCCAATTGCTCCTTGGTGCGCAAGCAATCGTAGCAGGGCTCGGAGAGCACTTGAGATACCAGGTTAACCATAATATTGGTATGGTCCGTTTGTGCACCACACTGCATATAGACCTGTGTGCAGGAGCTCTTGTGATGCGAATTCTCCTTTTCAAACAGATAACTATCACCTGAACAAAGCAAAGTAAATTAGTAATGAGTTCAAATGTTAAGCACCGTAATCTCAATTTACCTGGCAATAACTTGTATTCTCGTTTTTTGAGCATCTGTCTAGCCAATATTGGCAATTTTGTTGCATTTGTTTGCTCTAATCGCTTATTGACACGGCCCGCAATATCCGTTGCCTGTTGCTTGGTTACATTACCAAAAATAAAGCACTCAGTATGCAAGCGTTGGAAGAACTCATTGGCAAAGTTCAAAACACGTTCATAGGAAACAACTAATGTGTACAAAAAGTTATATATAAAATTCAAATTTTCGAATTCATCTATTATAACTCACGTTCCATAGCATCTAAAAGCTCAACATTAGCCCATGCATTCTCAGTGAGCAGCAGTGCCAAATAATAAATGGAATGCTGATAGGGTTGTTCTGCCTTAAAATTCTTTAAAGATCTTATGTGCTCTTCCTTGAGTATGTCAAAACGCTTTTCGTCTACGGAAAACTCAAATAGGTGATCCAATAATTTTTCAAGCAAAACCACTTGCTTGTCGTTAAAGCCGCGTATAGTAAACTGAAAGAGGAAACTGATTAGCAATGTCTAATCTAATAAAAGATGTTTTCTATTTACGTCGATTCCGCCTGGTTTGGTAGTGACGTTTAGCTTGAGACTAGCCAGCTCTGCGTCATAGAGATATTCGTTGAGCTGATCCTTAAGCAGCATAACCATCATGTGATTTAAATTGCAATTCAGAGGATCCAAATAGGCAATCGGATTGGACATGTCGAAGACCATGCAAGCTTTGGGTTTATTGAATTGATTGTCCTGCTTGTGCCACACTCGCAGTATGGGCGTATCCATTATAATTGTGGGATGTTTTGGCGCATCGCTGGGCACTTCAGCGATATCAAAATTGTTTGGTATAAAACTGTTTGGCAGTGATAGCTTTAGATTCTCATTTACTTGGCAACATTCCCAGGCCTGAGAATTGGGTTAAAGTTAATAAATCAGAGGAAATTAAGAAACGCTTAACATACCTGAATTGTACTGTTAGGTATACGCTCTAAGCCATATTTCGTTTTATAATAGGGCTCTGTCTGTTCAGTAGACTCCTCAAAACTCTGGCTAACCAAGGAAATACGACTCTTAGCGGGCACCAGTTCGTTCAAGAGATTACAAATCAATTCGGGACGCCATTCGTTGCTCATATAAGGCGCAATTAACACCTCTTCCAGGGGAAATATTTGCATAGATGATACTGCATGAGTGACGAGATTCTCGGGTTGTTCCTTCTCCTTGAAACGAAAGCGCATTTCGTTTAACTTAACGCACTCATCAAATATCCATTTTTTGGGTCCCTCATTGCGCAGCATGCACAAATACTGAAATATTATGTTGACAATGTCATCTACATGCGCCAATCCTTCTTGTGTTAGATCCACAACTATCTCAAAGAAACCAAAACCATTCTGGGTGTTCTGGTGACCAGCCATTAGACTGCAAGCGAATGAAAGCGTTAATTTAAGCTCTGGTTTACACTGATTTACTTACTCATTGCACCAGCCAAGCCTGCGCAGCTCCGACAATATGCTACCCTTGCCTTCATGCCCAATAAGATGCGTCAAATAGTTGTCGGGCTGCAGAGTAATATTATTTCAGCATAAGAATTACAATGACTCCAATTACTTACGGCGGATTTGTAGTACTGCGTCAGATCGTCGGTCGTAAAGCTCACTGTTAGCGAGCGTATATCCTTAATGGGCACTATCTTTAACTTCTGGCCGTACTGTTCTTCGCCATAAGGATGCCTTGGCCATTCCGGCACTTTTACATTCTTATTTTCTATTTCTGAGAATTTTTCCATTACCATCGCTTCCAACTGATCCAAAGATTCTATGAATTTGAATAATTTTTAATATAAAATAATTTGCATCTTATATTGATGCTGTAACAACCTCTTCCAATGACAGACAGGCACATTATGTTTGCAGAATACCATTTTTTGTGAAACTTTAGCAGCTCCTCGCGCACATCAATGCCCTTCGACTTGGGTATTTCAAAAAGCGTGGCCTTGTTGCCGCTGCCAAATTTGCTATACGCATGATCCGGCTTGGCCAAATGCCGATGTACTTGCTTAATGCGCCACAAATCGCTAGACAAATTTTTCTCATGCTCCGAATTAACCTGTAGAAGTCTAATTAAAAGAGGAATATATTAAGAGCTGATTTTACACATACCGCATTGATTTCTCGCTCCGTTGCACTGGGCGTAAATAGTGGACCAATGAAGAACTGCGCAAAGCGATCCAGTGCACCATCCAGTTTGTCCGGTGCCACATGAAAATGATATTTCGTCATTAGCGGATATGTGGCGGCATTGCTGCTGCCACCGCTCTGTGAAAGAAACGTAGTGTAGCCGTTCTCATGTGGATACTTTTCCGTGCCCAGGAAGAGCATATGTTCGCAAAAGTGGGCCAAGCCAGGCAAATTCTCTGGATCCGACATGTGACTGCATTACAAATGCACATTTCAAAATAGTAAATTAAAATATCACAGGGACTCTTACCCGACCTGCACAGACAGTGCAGCTGCTGAAACATCAGTGCTTGGATCCGATATCAATAATACTTTTAAGCCATTTTCCAACTGCAGGCCACGGTAATCTCGTGTATCCTGCTGTGACTTTTCAATATTGTTAATGCTGTGTTGAGGAAATTTAATGTTTAATTTGAAATATTTTGGATTGTATTAACTTTTATATATGTACCGCAATATTGGCTCCTGCAGTTCCGACTTCTTGGGCTGCAATTTTTGATTTGGGGAAACCTCCGTCAAAGTCATTTTCGATTTAGATGTTATAATCGTTCTAAATCCGGAAATACGATTACTGCAGCACTTCCCGTTACTGAATAACACAAACAGACGTAAAAGTTTTATTATGTTAATTAAAATAAATATTTAGCTCTAAAGGCGTACTGTCGATGTAGAACAGCTGTTACGGCGTGGGCAAAAATCGATTTGCGGCTGGAAAAAGTTAGACACGTTCGCTGGGCAAACATAGAAACGATGTTTCTTCTTCTGCAGAAATTATACAAGTGAAATTTGTAACACGTTTAAATAAATGTAGTATTCAAAAATAAGGCCTTAACTTTAAAGTGGTTTCTTTTTTTCTTTTACCCAAAGTATTCTAAATATTTGTAGATTCAATTTAGTTTCGCAACAACACAAACAATTCAAAACATGTGTTTTAGGGTTGCCACACTAAAGCACATTCAAAAAAATTATACTTGATAGCGTGGTGATTATTTGACTTTATTTTCACCTCGAGAAATCGAGGCAATGAAATTCTAATTCTCAGGATCAATTAATTGTTCAGCTGTCCTTTTATAAGAAATTAAAACAGCAATATACACAGAAAATTATTATTTGCTGAAATCAACAATAAAATCAATACAACTACGATTTTGAAAAAATTATTCATTCCAACAATCTAGTCCTTTAAAATCATAGTCTGGCAACTGGTCATTCTTTTTATTTCGACGATAATCAACACTGCCAATTGCAATTGTAGTTATCGATAAGCGTATATCGACTGCGGTGCACGATTATTGTAACAGTTGTTGTAACTGCATTTTATTATTTAACAATTAATAATAATCACATGAACACTTGAAAATAATGTTAAATGTTCCAATATAATAAATTCGGATAGATAGCAATTGGAGCGCAAAGAAATGTACGCAGTTAGAGTATTTATATGTATATTTGTGTTGGTGCAAACATAAATTGCAAATTGTTGTAAATTTCGTATAGACGTGTGTTAGTGTGTTGCGTGTGTGATAAGTGCAGCACGCAAATAAAGAGCGGAGAGCATAGCACGAAAAATATAAATCGAAACGAATCTAAAAAGGTATACATTTTTGCAATTTCATATACTCAAATGGACACTTCCTATATATACATATATACATATATATATATTTATATATATATATATATGTATTCAAATATAAAAACAGCAGTTATGAGAAGTAAAATCAAATGTGAATGCCAAAAACTTTGGGGGAAAAACTTTTAATTTGGCAATTATGAATTGCTTATTGGATTTAGTTATTAACTCCCTTTCTGACAATACATTTAGATTTATATACATGATGCATAACCTTTTTGTTCTTTTAGTTTTTTTTATTTAAGACCTGAGTCTGAGTTGATGGCTCGTAGGCGGCACCGCATTAATATGGAATGAGAAAATCAATAAGCTTAGCAATGAGGCATCTTTAGGTGCCGGTTGGTTCCTTCGGAGGAGCTCATTAATATTTTTGTACTTTATTTAATTCATACCAATTGACTATATATATATATATATATATATATATATATATATATATATATATATATATATATATATATATATATATATATATATATATATATTTAATATATACATAAGTCTGCATGTATGTACATATGTGTCACATCATGTCTACTGCATAAATTAGCTATTAATATTAGGTATTCTTTCTTTTGCATTGCATTTATTTAATTGTACCTACATAAATGCCTTCTCATATATATATGAAGTTATAGGTATTAACTGTGAATATACTTACATATATACATACATTCATATTTATGCATATATCTATCAATAAATTTATAGTATGTATTTATATACAAAGAGCCCGTGCCATTGTGCGTCTCGAGTGCATCCAAAATTAAACGGTAAACGAACATAACGGCACGTTCAACGCAAAAGAACACAAAAAGTCAGTTATGGAGAGTTGCCGATTCTAAAATACCCTTTCAATGTTGTCTTATAGTTTATAATGATTTCTATTTTGAAGGACACAAATAGACAGAATTTCCAATATCAGATATATAAAAGTGCATATAATTAAATTATACATGTAATTTTATTTTATTTGCGATTTTGCACTATTACAGGGTATAGCAAATGCGTTTCTCGGCTCAGCTTTGATTGAAGATATTTTTATTTCTGTTTCAATTGAGTTCAATTAGACTTTAAAAATGCTTCCCGCTGTATTTTTTTAACAACTCAATGGGTTTGTTGTCGTTTAACTTACTTTTACTTTCATTATTTGCGTGTCTGGACGCACTACGTATTAAGTCGCGTAAGGAGTGTACGTAAATATATGTATACGACGTCAGAATAGTAAAGCGCATTTGTTAAATAATTTATCCTATCTTTAACATTGCAGAGTTACCTGTTAAAGGTACATGCCGAAAATGGACAACGAACAACCGCATCAGGAGCTGGTCAAGTGTGTCCTGGTTGGCGACACAGCCGTGGGAAAGACGCGTTTGATTTGTGCCAGGGCTTGCAATAAGCACGTTTCGCTTTCGCAGCTGCTCTCCACACATGTGCCGACCGTGTGGGCGATCGATCAATATCGCATTTACAAAGACGCAAGTGACAAATTGTCTGCAGAAATGGCAGTTCATCAATAACACATAAATATCAATTATACTTTATAGGTTCTTGAACGAAGTTGGGAAGTGGTAGATGGTGTCAATGTCTCTTTACGTTTGTGGGACACCTTCGGTGATCATGACAAGGATCGTCGCTTCGCCTACGGCAGGTGAGTTAACATCTCGGGCTACTTGAATGCAATGTTTACTTGAGCGTTATTCAACTTTGTAGATCCGATGTCGTGTTGCTTTGTTTCTCCATTGCAAGCCCTATTTCTTTGCGTAATTGCAAGGTTATGTGGTATCCGGAGATACGTCGCTTCTGTCCAGACGTGCCCGTCGTACTAGTCGGCTGCAAAAATGACCTGCGTTACATGTACCGCGATGAAAATTATTTGTCCTACTTTGGTGAAAAAGGCACCTTTGTACGGTACGTGGATTTTGTGTGCTAGATGGAAAATCTTTCTAAGCAGTTTCTTTGTATATTTTCAGCGCCGCATTGAAGAGCGATTTGGTTATGCCGGATGAGGCACGCGCTGTTGCAAAGGAACTGGGCGTTAGCTATTATGAGACCAGCGTCTTTACGTACTTTGGAGTCAACGAGGTGTTCGAAAATGCAATTCGATCTTCACTTATTGCTCGCCGCCAGCAACGCTTCTGGATGACAAACCTGAAAAAGGTACAGAAGCCGTTGCTGCAGGCACCGTTCCGACCACCAAAGCCGCCACCACCGGAGGTTACGGTCATGGTTGGTCACTATCGACAGGACATATACAATATGTTTCTTTCGCAAGCATATGCCGACCTTGTTCTAGTGGCTGGCGGAACCAAGTTCGCTGTACACAGATTCATGCTTGCGGCGGCGTCTAGCATTTTTCAACGCATTCTAAACACTGAGCTGACCGACATGGGTGGCCGGAGCAGCAGCGAGTCGAGCATGGTCAGCTCAACGTTTGGTGAGGCAACAATAGCTGACTTCAATGATGACACAGAATATCTTATACGTTACGAATCACGCACACAACGGTAGTTAATTACCTTCACAAATTCCTTGCTTTTGCTCCACTTCTAACTGACTTTTTAATTTTTAGCATGTGGGAACATTTAAAGCGCCGCTCCAGCTATCAAGCTTTACCATTGGTAGAATCAAAGCGCTCCAATGATTTAAGTAAGGAACCGCATTATCCAGTACTCCAGAGTTTGCGTTTAGTGCAAATGGAAAATCAACGCGGCGTCAGCTCTGTTCAGACAATTGTAACTTTAAGCAAAGCAATCTCACCACAAGCACTGCACCAATGCCTGCGATTCATTTATACAGGCACCATTGACAAGGAATGCAGTAATCTGCAGGTAAACTGAACGTAATTCTATTTACAGACGTGAAACTTATGAAAATTCCACTTGTATACTATAGGAAATTAGAGAAGCTGCCGATTTATTAGAACTGCCGCAACTAACCATGTTACTTTCCAAGCCACAAAGCGTCATGGAGAGCCCCAGTGATGAGCCCAATCCTCACATTTGTCTTGTATGCTGTCAATTACTATATACGATGTTTTTCTTATTATAATCAATTTCCCCTAATTGTAGCGCATAAAGGAGAGCATGGAAAGGCATTGCATTGGAGATGGTTGTTTTACCGATGTAACCTTTGAACTGGACGATGGCCTGATGAAGGTACAAATAAATGCTAAAGATATGAAAAAGATATGAGAAAAGTATCTCTAATACTCTACTTATTTGTATTTAAGGCCCATCGGGCTGTTCTGGTGGGTCGCTGTGATGTTATGCGCGCCATGCTCCTCGGCGACTTTCGCGAAGCACACTCTAATGTGGTAAGAATATAAAAAATGTAATTATTAAGTATCTGAAATGAATAATCCTATTTTGTTGCAGATTGTTTTTCCTGGCGTCACGATTTATACATTCCATAAACTGCTGTGCTATTTGTACACTGATCAAATTCCGCCCATATCAGCGGTTAAATGCCTCAATTTGCTGGAATTGGCCAACCGTTTGTGCCTGCCGCGCCTTATCAATCTGATTGAGTGTCGCGTTATTGAAGATCTCACAATTATTTCACAAAACGAGACCAATGAAACGGTCGATCATTGCCTAAAATTGCTGGAGTCAGTCAAGGTTGCTTAACATATAATTTAACACAATGCATATACCTTTAAAACATCTCAATTTAAATAGTTGCACAATGCCCATCAATTGGCGGAATGGTGTATGTCGTATCTGTGCGTCAATTACAATGTTATTTGTAAGTTTTCACTTAAGGGCTTGAAAGCATTGCATCAGGATAATCAGGAGTATTTGCGAGAGCACCGATGGCCTCCGGTTTGGTATCTAAAGGATTATGACTATTATCAGCGCTGCATCAATGAGCTTAATAAGGAGCTAAAGCTAAAAAGTTCTGGTCGAGATTTCCCAAGCGATGACGAAGGTTGCCTATGTTTTACTGGAGGTAAGTGTCATCATCATCTACTCACTCATACATGCATATGTATACACCAACCAGACTAGCATACAAGACTCGATGATCCAAACAGAAGATCAAACTCTAAGTACTACTAATTGTTAGCATTCTTTCAATTATTATCATTGAGATATATAAGTTAACTTATAACACTTAGTTAGCTTATAACACTTAATGTTAGGTATTATTCAACACTTATTATCGGGTGCTAGACAAGTTAAGGAACAGCCCTGGCAAGAGCAACTCTACTTACGCCGGTGAGGCTATGATTTGTAAAAATATAGATCAGTCTCGTGTTTTAACTCGTACTGATAGGACATGCTAAAAATTGGTGTCATATAAGTAAAACTAAAAATAGTGAATATAATAAGAAAAACCAATAAAATTAACTGTTTCGATTATTCAAAAAAGAACAATTAAAAGCAGGGTTAAAAAGCGTTCTTCCAGTAAACCGCTTAAATAAATATTCACTCCGTCATTTGCTCGTTAAATGGCTTATTTCATTGTCTGAGCCCGAGGCCAGCAATAAGAGGCACAGTCGCCTCTCAACCTAACTTTCAGTCACCACAGGACTGGAAATCATATAATTGGCGCCCAACTAGTGGTCGGACTCCACAACCAACAACAATTAAGACAGCAGCGCGGGAGCTGCAATTGACAGATCTTATAAAGGGATTTTTTTTTTTTGTTTTGTGTTAGTTGAATCTTGTAAGTGGATACTCTAGCCAAAATTTTTCTTCAAACACAAAAAGTGTTAAAATTTATTTTATAAAAAAATACCTAGGACTAGCGAGTATTTTATATTGCAATTGCATGTAAAAAAAAAAAAAAAAAAAAAAAAATTAATGATCAGAACCAAGTGAGAGTGACTACTTTGGGAATTTTAGTGGCAGCAATTGATCATTCAGATCGTCAATAAAATTACATTGTGTTACTTTCTGTGTGTCTGAAGTTGTGCATGCAGTTCTCGTAGTTCAGAGCTGTGACGTAATTCGACCCATCTTCTGACGGCCCGTTTTATTTTTCGCGACCACTGACCTGCGCATGTCTCGGTTCAACCAATATAGAAACCCTCGCAGGCAGTCTAGCGACTCAGATTCCGACTGTGTAGTTCCCCCACCATCAGGTAGAATGGATGCAGATCAGCTTACGGAAATAATAAGGACGGCTACTAGCAAAGCTTTAGCCGAACAGGCCGCTGTAAACCAGCAGAGGGAACATGTATTAACTCAACGAATTAATGAGTTAGCTGAACAAATAGCGGTAGCAAACGTTGCCGCCCCACAAGTAGTAGCGTATGCTGCTATAGGAATTAGGAACGATATTCACTGTGACGAGCCACTAGATGCCGTCAAATGCTTACCTGAGTTTGCAGGGGTACAGGAATCGTATGTATCTTGGAGGCAGGCAGCATTAGCCACTTACGAGATCTTCAGACCGTATAATGGCAGTTCTCGTCATTATCAGGCCGTCATCATCATAAGAAGCAAGATTAGGGGCCCCGCAGACGCGGTGCTAGCCTCATTTGGTACTGTGCTGAATTTTGATGCGATAATAAATCGCCTAGATTTCACATACAGTGATAAGAGACCAATTCATGTCATTGAACAAGAATTAAGTACCTTGAGGCAAGGTGGCCTGTCCCTGCTTCAATATTATGATGAAGTAGAGAAGAAACTCGCTCTTCTCACAAACAAAGTTAATATGTCATATGAGCCGGCTTTAGCAAAGGGCCTATGTGAAAAATTCCGCGACGATGCGTTGCGTGTGTTCATATCGGGTCTCAAGCGCAGTCTAACAGATGTGCTCTTTGCAGCAAAGCCCAGAGATCTGCCTTCAGCGCTAGCTCTCGCGCAAGAGGTCGAGTCGAATCACGAAAGGTACTCATTCGCGGCTAATTTTGCAAAAAGTCTTGAAGACAAAGAGCGCAAGCCGCATGCAAAAGCGCAGGGTCACCAATATGAGAGGTATTCGCATCAAGCCGAAAGACAAGCTAGCGGTACAAAGAATCCGCACTTTAGCAAGCAAAACAGGGCCCCATTTCGGACTGACCCACGAAGCACCAGGCAGCACAACAATAATGGCGCACCAGTGCCCATGGAGGTCGATCCTTCCTTTTCAAGGGTAATGCAGCCCACTCAGGCCCTTGCTTACGCGAACAAGAAGCACCCCGCATCTGACCGCACAGGCGGTCTGAGAAAGCAGCAAAGGTTGAATCACGTCACGCAAGGCGCGGGACAGGGGGCAGAGGTGTGTGCTGATGCTGCCTCCAGCGCAGCGGCACAAATCAATGACGTTACTAGTTATAACTCTGATGCCCTTAATTTTTTAGGAGTAAATCCCTTCTACCCGTCATCAGACGAAGAGTAGGAGGGACTCACATGCAATTCCTCATAGACACGGGCGCGGCCAAGAATTTCATTCGGCCACATAAAGGGTTGAAAGGCGTCCGCTCGGTAGAGTCCCCCTTCAAAATTCACTCCATTCACGGCGAGACACAAATTACACACAAATGCTTTGTTTCAATGTTTGGGTTAAAAGCAACTTTTTTTATTCTGCCGGACTTATCAACCTTTGATGGGATTATAGGCCTTGACCTGCTTAAGCAGGCATCTGCTTCGCTTTGTTTAGCTTCAGGACAACTTAAGTGGGGCACGGAGGTCGAACCAATCACCTTCCACAAATGCAAAAATGTAAATTTCACAAATGTAGACTGTGCAGACGCATCCCCATTAGTTAGAAGTTCTTTTTTGAAAATGCTGAAGACCAGACAAAAGGCCTTTGCAGACCCAGACGAGGCGTTGCCGTATAACACATCAGTCGTGGCTACCATTAGGACTACAGACGAGCAACCGATCTATGCCAAGCTTTACCCATATCCAATGGGAGCGGCTGATTTCGTTAATAAAGAAATCAAAGATCTACTAAAGAATGATATAATTCAAAAGTCCGTCTCTCCCTACAATAACCCAATATGGGTAGTAGACAAGAAGGGCACTGATGAAGCGGGCAATAGGAAAATGAGGTTGGTAATGGACTTTCGTAAACTTAACGAAAAAACCGTGCCGGACAAATACCCTATGCCAAATATATCAATGATATTGGGGAATTTGGGGAGAGCCAAATTCTTTTCAACATTAGACCTCAAGTCTGGTTATCACCAGATCATACTCGCTGAACGCGACCGTGAAAAAACCTCTTTCTCTGTGAACGGGGGGAAATACGAGTTCAAAAGACTCCCCTTTGGATTAAAGAATGCAGCAAGCATCTTTCAAAGAACCATCGACGACATACTGCGAGAGCAGATTGGCAAATTTTGCTATGTTTATGTCGATGACGTAATCATCTTTTCAGAAGATGAGGAATCCCACATTAAACACGTGGATTGGGTCCTAAAAAGCTTACACGAAGCAAACATGAGGGTCTCCGTCGAAAAGTCACGTTTTTTTAAGAAAAGCGTGAACTTTCTTGGTTTCGTAGTCACCAGCACTGGCACCACGACGGATCCTGAAAAGGTTAGGGCAATACAGGAGTATCCAGAACCAAAAACGCTGTTCGAGGTTAGATCATTTCTAGGCCTCGCAAGTTATTACAGATGTTTCATTAGGGACTTCGCCGCAATAGCAAGACCCATCTCGAATATCCTGAAGGGTGAAAATGGAACAGTCAGTAAGCATAGGTCCAGAAATATAAAGGTTCAATTCTCTGAAGTGCAGCAGAGGGCATTTCAGAAGTTGCGCGATATTTTGTCATCCGAGAATGTAATGCTCAGGTACCCCGATTTTAAGAAGCCATTCGATCTAACGACCGATGCTTCGGCTCACGGCATAGGTGCAGTTTTGTCTCAAGAGGGTCGTCCTATAACAATGATTTCAAGAACATTGAAGGACAGTGAGGTTAACTATGCAACCAATGAGAGAGAGTTATTGGCCATTGTATGGTCACTTGCCAAATTAAGGCACTATTTGTATGGGGTGAAAGACATTAATATCTTCACTGACCATCAACCCTTGACCTTCGCAGTTTCGGAATCTAATCCAAATGCGAAAATCAAAAGGTGGAAAGCGCGCATTGACGAGTCTAATGCACGTATCTTCTATAAACCTGGCAAGGACAATCTGGTTGCGGATGCCTTGTCAAGACAGCAGCTCAACGCTATAAATGAGCAAGAAATTGAGTCCTGCGCTGCAACGATCCACAGTGAGGTATCTCTCACCAACACCATTGAGACGACAGACAAACCCTTGAACTGTTTTCAAAACCAGATAGTGCTAGAAGAGGCGCGTTTCCCCTTAAAACGAAGTTTTATTCTTTTTGGAAATAAGAAACGCTACTTGATCAGCTATACATGCGTCGAATCGCTGCTAGACGAGCTCGAAGATGTAGTCTCACCCAAATGCGTAAATGCTCTCCACTGTAATTTACACACGCTTGCAATGATACAAGATGCATTGGTGCGAAGATACCCAGCCACAAAGTTCTGGCATTGCAAAAATCGCGTAGTGGACATATTTGCGGTTGGAGAAGGAAGGGAAATCCTCACAGTCGAGCATAATAGGGCCCATAGGTCTGCACAGGAAAATGTTAAGCAGGTACTCTCGGAGTACTACTTTCCACGGATGGCAAAAATTGCCAAGGAAATAGTACAAAACTGCAAAACATGTGCTAGGGCTAAGTATGATAGACACCCCAAAAAACAAGAGCTTGGAGAGACACCGATCCCCTCACATGTAGGAGAGATGTTACACATAGACATTTTCTCCACTGACAAGAAATACTTTCTCACTTGCATCGACAAGTTCTCTAAGTTTGCTATCGTCCAACCGGTCGCTTCAAGAACCATTGTGGATCTGAAGCCAGCCGTAATGCAACTTATGAATTTTTTTCCAAAAGCCAGATCCATTTACTGTGACAATGAACCGTCATTGAATTCAGAGACCATCATGACTATGCTCACAAACAACTATGGGGTCAGCATTTCAAATGCACCACCATTGCATAGCATATCGAATGGACAGGTTGAGCGCTTTCACAGCACTCTGTTAGAGCTAGCCAGATGCCTAAAGATCGACAAAGGCATAAATGACACCGTAGAAGTCATTTTACTGGCCACAACCGAATACAATAAGTCGATCCATTCGGTCATCGACCAGAGACCAGTTGATGTGGTTCAGGCGCACTCTGATGAGCCACAAGAGAAGATAGAAGAAAAGATCAGAAACGCTCAGATGACGCTCAGAGCTAGGGAGAACGCAAAGCGGCAGAATAGAGTCTTCGATGTTGGTGACAAGGTTTTGGTCAAGTCCAACCGACGGCTCGGAAACAAACTCACACCTTTATGTGTCGAGAAGGCCGTGGAAGCAGACCTGGGGACCGAGGTCCTCATTAAAGGAAGGGTGGTCCACAAGGACAACCTAAGATGACTCCCTTGTTTTTTTTTATTACACCTTTTTTTTAAGCCGCTAGGCAATTTCGAATAAGTTAGGTATAGTTTTCTATTTACCTTTAGCCACTTGGCATAGTTTTTATAAAACATTTTGGTGGCGGGTACACCCGATGCTGGTGATTTAGAGCAGACTAGGTCCACTGAAATGCGACTAATGAATGCCAACAGTAGACGGATAGAAGTAAACACTGAGGTTCAAGACCAACTTAACCAGTTAACATTTGCTGTCAGTGGAGTTCTCGGGATAGCCAAAACTCACAAATTGATTTTATTGATTTATTTATTTGAAACACTGAAACACTGTCCAGAAACAGAATGCGGACGATGGAGTTGCAAAGTTTAATGCTTGCTATTACTCTCGCGAAGGCTCATTGTTAGCCCAAACATTTTGGACTCCTCAGATTTAAAATCAATTTGGCTAGAGGAATCCATCAACACTATACATTTTATAACCAAATTCCCAAAAATTAAAAAAGCCTGCAGAAAAATTACGATTTATCCTGTCGTCCACAAGAACCAGCAACAGCTCTATTCGCCCCATAGTTGGATGCTAAGCCAGAACCACAGCATGCAAATCTACAAGCGGAATCGTTGAGGAAACCCCCTTGTTCACGGCACCACCACCAACAGTAGAAGCTCATCAGCCAGCAACAACTAACGAACTCTTCGCGGCGGCAGAGCCAAGCGACTCTTCATCCATACTAGAACCAAGTCAAGAAATCCCCAAAACACCGCCAACTGCATTAATTCAAGAAGTTTCACAGCCACAGGTTGCTCCAACCGCTGCCCATCTCTGTCGACACCTGCCACGGCTGCCGGCTCATCCTCATCCTCATCGGCAGCGGCGTCACGTCAACTGCAGCTGCCGGCATTGTCGGCAGTTGCCGCACGGCAACAGCAGCTACTGCTGAACGGCTCTCTGAAGAGCAAGACGAAGACATTTCCTGCGTATCGAGCATCGGTGCGCAGCGAGAGCGACGACAAGGAGTACAGGGCGGCTAGCAGCAGCAGCAACACGATACCGACGACGGGCAAAAGTCGGCCAAGATCAGCGGCAAGAACTGTAACAATCTGCTGCACAACGCCGGCAATAAGCTAAGCGTGAGCAGCAACTCCTTCGGCCTATACGCAGCATCTGGCATCATCGCCCAAGAGCCCTGTCTCCAGCAACGGCCATCTGAACAAATACTGCCTGACGGACTTGACGCGCCGCAAGGCCGAATTCAATCGCCAGCTGAGCGCGCCGACAGACTACACACATCACTCGTCCAGTAACGGCTCATAGCATCGCTGGAGTGGTGGGACAGTCATCACGGCCATCACGGGCACGTGCACGGCCAGTCATCGACGGCGCCAGCCACACTCAAGTCGCTGCAGCTGCACAACTTTGGTGTGCATCATCCGATGCCAAGGCCCACGTCCACGTCGTGCACCAACAGCTTCAACAGACGCCACATACGTAGGCGCAAGAGCAAGCTTAGTAAGCGCCTGCTGAACGGCGATAGCGAAGAATCAGTACGCTGCTCATACTGCTCCGTATTGAATGTGAATGAGAACGACTTGCGGATTTCATTCGAGAACACCTGCACCGACTCGCTGGTCACCGCTGCTAATATGCGACCAAGGAACCGAAATGGTGCACTTTGATGATGTGTCGTTGTACGGCACTCCGAAAGAGGAGCCATATGCTGTGCTTTAATCTGCATTGGCTTCACTCTTTGGTGGATCATCGACGCAAAGAAGTCCGCGAAGCACTTGCGAGGAGTCGTCGCTGGAATTGGGTCGGTCGAGGACGACCTTACACTTGAGGGGGGGGTAGTTAACTTATAACACTTAGTTAGCTTATAACACTTAATGTTAGGTATTATTCAACACTTATTATCGGGTGCTAGACAAGTTAAGGAACAGCCCTGGCAAGAGCAACTCTACTTACGCCGGTGAGGCTATGATTTGTAAAAATATAGATCAGTCTCGTGTTTTAACTCGTACTGATAGGACATGCTAAAAATTGGTGTCATATAAGTAAAACTAAAAATAGTGAATATAATAAGAAAAACCAATAAAATTAACTGTTTCGATTATTCAAAAAAGAACAATTAAAAGCAGGGTTAAAAAGCGTTCTTCCAGTAAACCGCTTAAATAAATATTCACTCCGTCATTTGCTCGTTAAATGGCTTATTTCATTGTCTGAGCCCGAGGCCAGCAATAAGAGGCACAGTCGCCTCTCAACCTAACTTTCAGTCACCACAGGACTGGAAATCATATAATTTATACAATCGAAAATATGGAAAGGCTACGGCATAAGTCAACTCAGTTTAGTGTACTTGGTTTGTATATATAATATAACCGATTATATATTTTCTATATATATATATCGGTGTCATTCAACACACTGTCCAAACCATCATCACATTATTAACGTACAATATTTGGACAAAGTGTTCTCTTGCTGGCTGCTAGGTAAATCTAAGCGAAACGGAATCCCCAACGCCAACGCTCCCAATGGAGGTGAGAGCAGTGGCACAACGGCCGAACATCAAATCTTCAATAGCACAGCCAACTCAATGAACCACATCGACCTGGAGGCTGACATTGATCTGAATCTCTGACACCCAGCCCTAGGACATGGCAGGTGCGTAGACCATAGCTTTCCTATTAAACTGTATTTAATATTGTATACATTTTCTTCAGATCATTACGGTTTATAGTGATTCTGCCCGTCCTGATATGTTTCATCTGTACAATTTTAAGTATTTTGATACTTTTCCAAATCCATACATAACGATCCACGTGGCGTTGTCTTTTGATATATAGAAGCTCCGACCAGAGAGGGAGAGGACAAACAGACACATAAGCATTAATTTAATTGCTTTTCTGATATGCTTCAATATGCCTAATATACATACGCATAAGTACATACTTAGTATGTACAGATGGGGGCTGTATGTAAAAATGTATGTTTTATTTGTGCGCACTTTAAAATGCTGAAATAATTATTGAACTGTATGATAAACCAAATCATGTGTATACTTATACTTATGTATTTAAATTTTAAATTCCAGTTTAGGGAACATTTGTCTAGCCATAGCTTATAAGCAACAATATTTGACCTAAGGACGCATTTTGTACAAAATGATATAGAATAAAGCCATTAACACTATGAAAAATATATAAAACAATAATCTTGAAAATATTACATTTATTAAACGATCACATAAATATGTTTTACAGGGATTCCAGTGTTTTCTGGCTAATTTGAGAGAGAGTACCATCCTCTACCTCTAGATCATCTAACATGGCAATTAGCTGGTCATCCTCAATTACAATCTCAGTTTTATTGTTATTATTATACAGATTTAAAGGTTTCGCTGTATCATTTCCACCCATCAGACTGCTTAGCTCTATTTCCAACTCTTCTTCGTCATGGCTGGCCGCCACTTCTGCTGTGCTACTTGACATAACATCTTGAATTTCCCGATGCTGATCCAAAGTATCGCGTACATCGGCCAGAACTTCGTCAACGTTGTCGTACTTGAGACCGGAGTTGCTGAGAACCGTCTGCAGAGCCTTAGCTCCAATTTTGTATGCGTCCAGCACTACGCCATTGTTTTGTGCGTCATCCACATTTGATAGAAGGGTTTCTATATTATGCAGCGCAATGCTACGTCGCTCTATAAATAAAAAAAATGAATAAACTTAGGAAATTTCTGAATCATGTTAAAAGTCCAATGCGGTACCGTAATTCTTTTCCAACAAACGCCTTTTTCTTAGATAAGTCTTCGCTAATTGCCTTTTGTTTTCCTTAACATAATGACGCGCTTTATCATCGTTGACTTTAATTTCGTCTTCTAGCGATTCCAGCTGTTGAACCAGACTAGCCTGCGTCATCTCCAGATTATGCATAGCCAGATCTGCCTCACTTATATTCAGACTTGCACTCTCGTCAGCTGTTAAATAAAATGATTAACAAAAATAGTTTTCTGAACGTGCTTCAGTATCGACCTGGTATTTTGATAAGGTGCACGTAACTGGTTTGCCTTTCGATTTTATAGTGTAGGGCCACTTGCCGGCGTGCCTGTAGAGTAAGTAGACACAAGTCCAAAAACTCTTCATGAATGCGCATTTGATATGTATTGCACAGTTTCTTGAAGGCTTCTAAATGCAACAATTTTCCACGATTTTTGCTCAATACTTTTTCTTCCACTTCACTGCAGATTGTCTGTTGGACAGAAAGCTAATTAACATAATACATATCAAATAAATTGAAGCATTACTCACACGTAGAACATCCAAGTGAATCCATTCTACAAAAGATTCTGCAATAACATCTCTTGCCAAAATGCTATATTTCAGTTTTTGCCAGCTGTGCCAAAGAGGACGCTTTACAAAGCTGTTCACGATCCAGGCCCTCCAAGTGTTCAGCGGATCGGATTCGTATTCGGTACGAAGACGAATCTGCTTTTGCTGCGCCATTTCTGCCATCACAACGTCAAGGCAGGCAGGTATTTGCTCGCCGCGCATAAACTGTAATTGGAGCTCGCGTAAACTAAAATTTGCTTTTCCCAAATAGGTACAGTATTGTCTTATAAGATCCATCCAGAATATTAGTTTTGCATCATATTCTTCGATATTGAAGTGACGCGGATGAAAGCTTGCAAATAACACCTTTATTTTGGATTTATCCCGCCAAACAGGCGGAAACTTAAATTCTTTGAGCCCATTATTCACGACTCTTATATCATTTTTTGTGCTCATGGCTAAAAATAAACAATCTGCGTAGTTTATATGGAACTAGAAGATTATATTTGCCTTGTTTTCTATGTAAAAAATATATATATATGCAGCAAGAATAGACAATTCTAATAAAAACTTATTTTTTCACATTTGATTTGTTTACTTCTAATTGTTTTTGTTTTGTTCCCAGTTTTGCTTGGATATTTCGCAAAAATGCCTAAACATTATCGATATTTAAGCGTATAATGTGGATTAATCGATAACAAGCAGGTCAGTAAAATCACAGACAACATAGCCAATCGATATTTGGCTAGCAGCCCATCTTTAGTCTGGACCAGAAAACAAAGCAATCAGCTGCTCTGATTTAATGCCAAGAAGAAGAAAGCGTGCAAGGCCACTAGATTTAGATTTTTATCGTAATTGTTATAAAGTTTTAATTCCAAAGTGCGAAGTTCAGTAATAAGAATTGAACAATATTGCCGTTCAAATCTTAATTTGCCACTAACAGCTGGAACAGCACTCAACTTTCAGGCGGCAAAAACAGATTGTAAACAAAGCGAAAACATATTTTCGTCAAACGGTTTCCAATGCCAATGCCAACAGCGTAACGTGCTACGAAAACGACGACCAGAAGCCATCTTAGCCAATGTGAGCAGCGGCTGTTCCATTACCAACGCAGCTCGTCCGCAATACAACTTCAACGCTCACTCCCAACAAAACAATCAACAACTGCTGCAGGTGGCAACGGCTGTCCTACGTTTTCAGCTGCAGTCAACTTATTAGAATATACGCCATAGCCGGTCTTTGACTCTTGACTGTAACGGATTGTGCCATATTTTCAATATGCAGGATGATGAAATTGTTTTCTGCCACCAGCTGGGAAGAGGTAAGTGCAATTTAAATAATTGAAATACTCTAATTAAAAACATATATCCAAGTCTTATTGTACAGGTGCTTATTGTAAAGAGTATTATAGCTTCGACGCGCAATTTGTTTTGTTTGTTTGTTTCTGCCCTCTTTTTTACAAGTATATATATATATATAATGTCACATATACATTAGTATACGTAGATATGTTTGTACGTATACAAGCTCGAAAGCTTACTTTGACTTTTTTGATTTGGGCGCCACTTGTCCTAACCTTTTTCTCTTTCTTTTCTTGCGCTCAGCTAGCATACAAAATCAGTACACTTGATTTGAATGTTATGATTGTAAAATAATGATTGTCTTCGAAATAACGATTTGCATTGTAATTGATCTTGTTAAATTGGATACTACACTGATCTGACTTGACCGTTGCCCGTCGTGCATTCAGATCAAGCTTATGTCAAGGGTATTTGGTTAGTTCAACTTTGATCGTTGATTTTATTTTTGAAATTTGCTTTCGCAATGCTTGAGTTGGGCTTCGCTTGACGATGTCTCCTCATTAATATACTTATGTATGTAAAAGTTGTACATGCATGTATGTGGCTATATGTATGTATATGTGTATTTGGTTGAAGCGCGCTTGTGACGTAGACACCAGCTCGGCTGTCGCCGCCGCCGCCGCTGCCACTGCTGAATGGTCGGCATCGCAGTATTGGCATCGTTTTTAACGAAGTGACAATGAAATTTCATTCAAACACGTTTCACGCCTGCTAGCGATCGGTCAAACGGATGCCCGACGCGCGCTGCCTGTTCAAAACAAAACGGCGAAATCAAAGCTGACCGTTTTTGGTTTTTTTTCTTTTTTATTTTGAGATCGTTTACCGTGCTGGCTTTCTGGCTGGCAACAATGTAAATACAAACACGAACAGCTAATGCTTGAGAATAACTAACTGAATGACTGCTATGCTCAGTGCAAAAAACTCGTTAAGATATTAAATACACAAACACGCGACGCATTTAAAATGAAAGTGCCCGCGCGCGACTCAAAATATTCGTTCAACTTGAAAATATTCAAATTACATAACGACAAAAAATCATCATCAACACACGCCTCACTGGCTGCCACGGCCAGTCCAACAACGGCCCAAATGATCTCGACTAAAAAAAATTCATGGCGCGCTTCGTGGCGTGCGGCCATTGGAGTTAGTAACAAAACCAAATCCAGCCACCACAACAAAAATAATAATAACAATAATGTTAATGTTAAAGATGACAACTTGAATGATAACTGTTTAAGTGAATCATGCCTACAGCCCGCCAAACACATCCCTAATATTGATGAGTTGATGTGTAAGTAACGCGCCATCCAAAGTCGAATATATTATGGAATAACACAAAGCATCTGATCCATATCAAAGCTCAATTTGTGTTTGTGAAAATGATAAGAACGAGAGCAGATTTTGTTATCTTTAGCAGACGCAAAAACAGTTTGTGAATCAAGTATACAAATTTGGAAGGTCACAGAATTAAACATTTAACAGCAATCTCAGCTCATCGAATGATTTGGTTTATGTGTCCCCAATTTTTAGCAATGTGGCAACCTTGTCTTCGTTAAGATGATAATAGTAAAATGAAAGCATAGTTAAGTTGTACTCTCTTTCTCTCTCTGTCTCTCTGTCCGACTGTTCCACTCACTGTGCATTACTAACACATGGAAAGTAGATAAAAATAAAGGCCACTCTTTACGTTTTTCAAGCAAACAGCTGATATAGCGGTTTAACGGTGAATGTTTAGAAACTTTGCCGAGTTTGTTTATTAAAGTCATAACTTTTTGAGCATACAACACAATAATTGTGTTTATATATATAATAAAAATGTAGCGATTAGATAGCAAAGTGGTTAATTTTGTGACTTAATGTAACCGAGGTAGAGACCAGCGGTCATTTTAGAATTTCTTAACTGGCCGATAACCAAGCGACGCATAAAGTGATAGATAAGCATGCATCGATCGTTCTCTCGCTCTTTGAGAGTGCGTCGCACATGTGTTTTCGATTCGAACTGCCAATATGTTCAACGCCAGTTACGCTACTCGTAATATTTAATCTAGGCAGTTGTCCACCGGAGTTAATAACGTACTGGCTGAAATTAAACAACATGCTGTCGCACCTTATTGGCGCACGTTAGATATACACATTACAGCCGTGAAATAGTGAATATTAGTTCTTACACTTAAGCAATGACTGAAATATTGGATTTTACATCGATCTTTGATCTCATCATTAAAAGCGGTACGTGCGTGACTTTAACAAGGAACTGGCAGCGAGAGAGAGAGAGCCTAGTTAAGCACATGTTATGAACCTTGGAATCAATACGGAGATATATATATAAATATACATAATGTACCAATAACAGACATTATTCTCCTACTCTCAAAATCAATTCGATATTATAGACTTGTGCCTAAGAACATGCCACAATGGGCACACACTTAATTATAATTGAAGATATTTGTTTTGTTAAATTTACATTTTATATTGGTTGTTTGATAACGTTTTCGAAGATTAGATTACAACTTGAAAGAGCAAAATGACGCAGTTTCAATAACCTGCCTATAAAGTATTTTTATCTATGATTAATATTATTTATCTTAAAAGCTATAGTAGATACCAAATTATATATTTAATTGATGTACAATTCAATGATTTGTTCTCAAAATTCGATTATCTGTTCAATTTTTGAATTTTTTGGATGAAACAAAATCCGAGTTTTGAAAGTTTGACAAGACATTCGTATTCAATAAATCAAGCAGATAGGTTTAGTTTTTTTAATTTTTTTAGCAGTTTAGTAGAGCAAAAAATGAAACGAAAATGACGCCTCAGCATAGATCAAGTATTTGTGTATTAGTAGCTCACAAATCTCTAGTTATACGAAGATTATGCCATCCTGAAAAATTGTATATATGTGCGTATATATGTGCGTATATATGTGCTCTCCAAATAACTCTATTTACCATTCTTCGATATGGTCTAAAATTAAGTATTCTCGTTTTTTATTAACTGTTTTAGCAATGCCATGGTTTGGCATGGATATTGGCGGAACACTCACAAAATTGGTTTATTTCGAGCCGAAGGATATAACGCCCGATGAACAGGATTGCGAGGCGGGTATCTTACGTAATATCCGAAGGTATTTAACTAAAAACTCGGCATATGGTAAAACAGGACACCGCGACACGCACTTGCAGGTAAGCTTATTAATTATGTATAAATATATATATATGTATTTATATTTAGTCTATATATGCATATGTATATATATATATATAATTTTTGTGTATTTATGTATATAATATATACATATATATGTATGAAGAGATCATATTTGTATACACACAATATTTTCTAACAGTTTTGATTTGTTTTACAACGCGTTGCTTGTTTTCCTACAATACTATTTCAATTTCTTCCCTCAATCATTGGCGATTACGTACCGAAAATGAAAATAATTTACATTAGCTTTAAGCAGTATGCATTATCTGGCGTGAGTTGCGCGTGCAATCGGTAGAGATCACCGGGTTTAGAGCCAGGTCGAATGATTCCTCTGCTAATTTCTAGTATATTGCGACGATCTATGACAGTAGAGCTTCGTCACAGACGTCAATGGCACGAATTAACCGTGAACCTGGCGTACATTTCAGATAGAAAGTTAAAATATATATATGTGGGGAAAACTTTCGAAACTGTTGCCAATGCCTAGAATATATATCTACCTTTTTATATATATTTTTTTTTACAACTAGTCAATTAGATATAAGTCGTTTTAGTAACAAGTTCTCTAATACACAGCATTATATTATAGTTAGAGTTATCTATAGAGAATATAAAGTTTGAACTTTGAGAACTCTAAATTATGAAAAGAAAGCTTTGTCGGATATCTTCTTGAGTCAAGTACTATAGAACATTATAGATATTATGATCAATCCCACTCTTATACATTTCGATTTAGCTAGAAACCGGCTGAATTGACAGCACTGTCCGGAACTTGAATTGTATGCAGGCCGCTGTCGTTGACGACAAGTTTACTTTACGTAGAGCATTCATTGACTTTTGACTTCCTGTTGTGCGTTTTCTATATTTTAAATGGTTATCGGCTTATTTACGTCGCTAATTACGCGCAACGCTTGTCGCAGAAGAATTCCCTGTCTCGAAAACTTTGATTGTTCACGTGTGCTTATGTAATTGTAATAAGGAGCGGTCTGTGAAATCTAGATTATGATTAAGCTTTGCACTTGAGCACTGGCAATTGTATGCAATTTATTTATGTATATGGAACTGTATTGAACTGAATCGAAATTCTGGTTTCAGATGGACAATGTTGAGATTCGAAAGCGACGAGGCTCTCTGCATTTCATCCGCTTTCAGACCACAGACATGGGTAATTTTCTGTCACTGGCCAAGCAAAAGGGTATGGCCGAGCTGGTGACCACGGTCTGTGCTACGGGCGGCGGTGCGTTTAAGTTTGAAAAGGATTTTCGAGATCAAGTCAATATGAAGCTGGCCAAGTTCGATGAGCTGGACACACTGATTAAGGGCATACTCTTTGCCGATATGCACAATGTTACTGAATGCTATTATTACGAGAATGCCAGAGAAATTATGTAGGTATTCCTCTCGGATATTCCAGTCTAATAACTTGTTATTAAACATTCGTATCAACTGCAGTAAGACAGAGAAGCGTGCGTTTAATTTCTCACAGCCGTTTCCCTTTATCTTGGTTAATGTCGGCTCTGGCGTATCCATCCTGGCCGTCTACGGGCCAGACAACTACAAACGGATTTCCGGCACTAGGTGAGCAATCTATAAAGACCATACTTGAACTATTAACTAACTCTTCTTAATTCGTATCTTTCTTACAGTTTGGGAGGTGGTACATTCCTAGGCCTGTGCTGCCTGCTTACTGGTTGCACAACATTTGAAGAAGCCATTCAATTGGCTACAAAGGGTGACAATCGAAAAGTAGATAAATTAGTCAAGGACATCTACGGCGGCGACTACAATCGATTTGGCTTGACAGGAGATCTAGTGGCCTCAAGGTAGGCAATAGATAAAATTGTATTTCATAGATAACGTAATCATGTGTGTGTCTTCACTGTAGCTTTGGTCAGATGCACATAAACGACAAACGCTCTTCGGTATCTAGGGAGGATCTCGCAAATGCTACGCTAGTCACAATTACAAACAATATTGGCTCAATTGCGCGAATGTGCGCTCTGAATGAAAAGATCGACAAAGTGAGTTTAGCTGCCTATGATTTGGATAAGCCTTGCTCTTAATATTATCATATTAACTACTGCCATATTTTAGGTCGTCTTTGTGGGCAACTTTCTGCGCGTGAATCCCATTTCAATGAAATTGCTTGCCTACGCTATGGAGTTCTGGTCCAATGGCACCATGAAGGGCCTGTTTTTGGAACATGAAGGCTACTTCGGTGCCTTGGGTTGCCTACTGCAGTTTAATGGGGAACTAGCCGCAGCGCTTAACGAGAGTCTGGATCATTCGCCGCCACCAAACACAACGCCACAACAATGTGTCGCGGAGCCGTCCAAAGAAACAGCAAGCTCAGCAGATAAGCCAAATGATAGCACAACCAGATAGTCACTTCGCTTAAATTGAGTATCAAATACTGTATCATATAAATAACTTATGCATCTTAAACAATAATATTGAAACTGAACAAAAGGGGTTGACAAATTGATGCATTTTCTCCCTATTAACAATACTTTTTGCACTTGGATTAAGTTTACACTTGTAGAAGATGCACAAATTGTAAATGAATGAAAACCACAAATAATGAAAATTGATAATTGATAACTGAATTGATGAAGTGCCTGTTAAAACGCAACAAAATTAAGGCTTCAATTTATGATAAATAATAATATGATAATATACATAAATTGAATACAATTGAAAGCCACACGCAATTTTTCGAACGTTATTATTGGACGCCAGGTAGTTCTATAAATTTGTTTTCCAAAATCATAAGTTTAAGCACACATACTATATATTAAAGTATTACCATATACTTGAACGCATAAACAGGCTTCTCTTAAACTATTTTAATTTCAATACGACAAATGTAATCACATTGAGATATGAAATTCGTAAACTATTTAAGAGAGGCTTCAAGAAATTGCTCATAAAACAATATACTAAATGCATATGCACTATTATAGTTAAGTTTTTTTACCTTAAAACAATTTTGATTATGTGAAACATAAAAATGTTTTCAGTGAATTTTAAGGCTTCTTTGTTTAATATAAGTTTGTGGTCTATTATTATAAGATTTTACCTTGTCGACTATTTCAATAAGCTGGTCAATGCAATTTGTTAATCGAAATCATATTTCAATTTGGATTCTCTAAGCTGAAAGGCAAAATGCAAATAAATATATACAGATAATCAACTGGGTAAGCAAACAACACACGAATGCTATGAAATTTAATTCAACAATTGAGTAGAAGGTAACACGTTTTTAATGATCTATTTTTTGATTGATCTAAATGCATTGATCTACATAGAGAACTAATTTAATTTACTTGTAAAAATGAAGCAAAATGTTACATTACAATTAGTTTCACTATCTTATGGTATCAAGAAAATGGCTGTAATCCCTTTGGACACCATAGTTTGTGGTGAAGTCGAACACGCGCAAGTTGTGATCTGTAGCCACAAACATGTATTGACTATCACAGGCAAGGCTATAGACCGGCGAAGTTCTGTACTGCTGCCGTCCAGTGTTGCGTCCCGGAAAGTACAGCTGTATATATTTGCCAGGCACACGAATATCGTAGAGATTAACGCGACTGTGATGCTTTGCACCGCACAGCACGGCATAGAGTCCGTCATACTCGAGACAATAGATGGACGAGTCAAAAGGATCCTCCCATATGGCAACATCACGATCCGTTCGTCGATCGAACATGCGAAATGTAGTATCAAAATTGGCAGTGAATAAGACTTGATCATCTTTTAGTTTTAGATCGTAAATGGAAATGGTGTTTGAGTTGAACACAAGCTCTTCACCACTAAAAGATATAGTAAGCATATGTAAGGCATGGAATATGTAACATATATAAGATAAGATACCTCTCCACGTGAATAGCACGCAATGCTCTGCGTCCTGTATCCGTGTATAAGCCTCCATAGAGCCACTGACCATCGTTGCTAACTTTCATAGACTTAAACGAATGGCCCAGCCGCATAAATAGATCAAAATGAGTCAATCCAAACTCTTTGGAACGTTTCCACAGCTTACAGCAGTTGTCTGTGCTGGTAACGTAAACATCATCCAGGAAATCCACACAGAACAAATACTCCTTGGCATGGTGCATTGGCTGCTCCGTAATATCATCGGCATCCTTAACAAAGCAGGTGCCACACACTCGTCCTGCAAAGATGGTGTCCTGCTTCTTCACAAAGTCAGATATATCTGATAAGGTGGGAGTGCTGATCTCCTCCTCATAGCGTCGTTGCAGCGCTTCGGGACCAGCCCGACGATATTTGCGCAAATAATTCGCATGAGTTATATACAAGGTGTCCGAGTCCAACCAAAGCTTCGAGGCGAACATCTGAGCGTGGTGATAATAATGTCGCTCCACATAGTCCCCTTTAAGCCAATTTCTAGCTATTTGTAAACGTCGCAAATAACTCAACTGCGTCGGATTCCTTGAAAGCATAAATTGAATAAGAAATCAAATTTCAATTCGATTTCGAAAGATATATATTACCTTCGCTCCACGCATGGTTTATTTCTATGTCCACATAGTAGCAAATCCTTTGTCATGGCGTAGAAAATGTTTTGATCGATGACTGCGTTCAGATAGTTGCTCGCCTCACACAGGATAATTAGTTCACGTTCAGATAGATATTTAAAAATTCTCAAAAGACAGTCGATGTTTAGATCTGTAAGCTTCATTTTGTTGGTTTGGTATATTCAAATCGTCACCAGCATTAATTGACGTTGTTTGGTTATGCCTAGCATTTATTACTATGTAATGTTTGGACGTGTAGTTGGTATTCTTCCCTTCTATGAACATCATACGCACAAAAATATCTCGAAACACGGGATTTATTATGTTTTATTAGAAAATCACCTTCCTTCTGACACTCTGTTGTCTGCCTCTTGCCAACTGCACAACAGCGACAAGAACTTAACATTCTCTGTTATCAACAGTCAAATTTGGTATTCGATACTTATGTGTGCAATATATCGATAATCCGATAATTGTCAAAAATCAACAGACGCAAAGCTGCATTCAAACTTTTAAAATATGTAACGGACAGTAGACTTAAACAACTATAGTTATAAATATATATATCAATTTTTATATATTACTTTCTTTAAATTGCGGCTTATCTTGTGCTATACACATATGTTATTTATAAATTGTGTATATGTACATAAAGTTTTTTAATGCTTACACCTCGCATCAATCACCCCCGCCATATAAAGCCAATCAATTAAATGTCAGGTTGTGAAACCAGCCAAAAGACACGAGTGTTGTCAGTGCACATCGATGCGTTTAGAGTTATTTAGCACAGTCTTTCTCAAATTAGTAATAGAACTTTAGAGACACATCTGCGCTAAATACCAAAATAAAGCACATGCCTTTGTCGTCTGAGATGCTAGCCGTTAACTAAAAAGAATTATTTGCTATTTTTTTATTTATTTGCATACATGGTCGATTCTTAAGCTTATAAGTTCAATGAGTCATTGTAGAGCAGCATTACGAAAACAAAATATGATTTATAACTAATCAATAAATCTCCAGAATTTTATAGAACATTAACATAATTTATAAGAGGTTTAATTATCTTTAATTTCTTTCTTATTTCTCACCTGCACATTCTTATCTACTATCAAAAAGTTCTAGAAGCACAACCACACCTAATTAAAAATGTTCCAACATTCCCAACTCAGTTGTTGACAGTCTCATACATAGAAGACGGTAATGGCGCCTACGTTACTCTTTGCAGGTCTAACGTTCTTACGAAATTCTCTCGCAAATTTTATAATACATTATACATGCATATATAAGTGTGTGTACGAGTGTGTGTGTGTGTGAATGTATATGTGTATGTGATAACTAAAGTACGTCGCTAGCTACGTAGAACTTGGCACGTCGACACTACGTTGGCTGGCTTATTGCGTCGTTAACTAAATAGTTAGTAAATATAAGTTTTTTTGGCAATTCGTATTAATGGAATTTTTGAGAAATAATAAAAAAAGCATATTGTAATGTTGAGGTTTGTGTGTATTGATTTATATACACTGCAATATTACAGCAATTTCACAAGTATATTTAATTTCCCCTATTTGACTAGTGCTTGAATTAAATACGAACTGGGGTTTTTTTGTGTACTTGGGTCTTTTGTTCAAAAAATTCCCTTTCCAATCTTATATTGTCCAACACATCCTTCTTTTAAATATACAAATATAAATATATATACAAAATATCTATACTTTCATATACTTCCATATAAATATTAGAAACACGTTTCATCTTTTGATAGGGCATACTTTTTCTAAAAGTTATATCATATGAGAGCCAGCGGCAAAGACTTCTTTGCTCTTTGGCATTGAAAACAACAACCTCATTCAATAAACTGATAAGGCTCTTATCAGTAGATTAATTTTTCGCACGTGTTTAAGCAGTCGATATTCCCACACACTTTTACTTGGGCAATCAAGGTAAATAGTCAATGACTAGCATATATAATACTGATACTAGCAAATATAATTTCGTTTGAATGACTATTAGGAAATGTTTTTCATTAGAGAAGGATATTATCTAATTTGGCTTTCAGCATATGATGTTGACAGTAAAAAGTCGCATTAACTTGATTTACTGTTACAAATACCAACTCAGCAGCTATTCTAGTCAATTTCAGAAACATGCTTATATGGTTAAAAACACATCCTAAAATATTAAAATTATTAATAACTAGTTAAGTAAAAGATCACAAAGTTAATGTTTTTTTAAAGTGAGATCAAAGTTTTTATTCGTTTCATAATTTTCACTTTTTTTCTTTCTTTCAATCATCATAATATGCGCAAAACTTTAAAAAAAATAGATTTATATAATAAATAACAATTTGCATTCATTGCCATTGTAAACATTGAAAATAATGCTTTCCATCAAATTGATAAGTTACAACAATTTACAGCAAAATATTAATTTATGTATTGTACATAAGTTTCTATTAGGAAGAATCAGTTGCAGTTACGACGATTCGTATACGAATTCGGATTCTTATATATGAAGCATACAATTAAAAGGATTCTTCAAGTAGAGAACGATCTAACAATTCGTTTCTGTTTGGAAGGCAGTGAGTTTTTTATCTAATATTTGTGTTTGTGTACGTGTAAGGTGAGCGAGGCTACAAAGTCTTTTACGAGTGCGAGTATCAAAGGTGGGCATCACCTTCGAAAAGGATGTTGACATGAAGAGCGCGGCCGCCTTAGCCCTGGCTATCGTCGCAGAGAGCAGGTAATCAATGCGCCTCATAGAGAGGTCCACTGCATTGAATCTCGAATTCAATCAAGATCTCACGCCAGCGAATACGAGAGAGCGAGCTTCCAGTGGCTTTGTGTTTGGCTCCTTGTCAAGCTTAGGTCAGCCCATATCCTCGTCAGCGTCTGCTTCAATCACAGTTGAACTACTGCTCAGAGGGCTGGAGCTGGAGCTAGAGCTGCTCGTTTGGGCCATTTCCAAAGTAGTGTGCGTATAGTCTAGCGGCTCCACGCCAATATCATCATCAAACTCATCCTCCTGCTTATCATCATCCATCTTGCAGATTTCACTCATGTGTCCCACCACCATACTCTCATGGCTATCCTGATCCTCCTCAACGTCCCAATCGTCGGCAATTTGCACATTTACTGGCAGGTACAAATGGAACGGTTTCTGCTCCCTCAGCCAGGGCGTTAGGAATAAATGAGTTGCCGTCATCCGCTCGGTGAAATTCTTGCGCAGCAGCGAGAGCATCAGCCAGCGCACCGACTTGGATAACGACATCGGTATTTGGACATTGCCATGCCTGATTACCGTTATCAGATTGCAGTTGGCTTTCTCGTAGAATGGATACTGGCCAACAAGCATTGTGTAGAGTATGACACCCAATGACCACATGTCCGCCGGTTTGCCCTGGTACGTGGGCTGCGGACAAAGCAACTCCGGTGCTGTGTACAGAGGGCAGCCGATCTTGTCGCTAAGCGTATCATCATCGCCGTCGAGTATCATGGAACCCTCTAATGATTCGTATTGCAGTTTAGTTCTGTAATCAACAAATAAATAAAAACATTTAAAATTAATGCTAATTCCATTTTATTTATTGTCTCTGTGGCGCTTGCAATCGCAGCCAGATGCAGAGTTGCATCATTTTTAAAATTGATAGTGTTGCCATTTACTATCGCATTACAACAGACACACACAGTCACACAAATCGATTGGCATTGCGTTGGCGTTGGCGTTGATGGCGTTGCCAGCCTTACTGAGCCGAACTTGCTGTGAGCGTATGTAATTGATATAACACAGAGCCAAGACGTGCACCCATCTCTGACAAAGCTGGCGACCCCAAACACACAAGAGCGGTGACACCATGTTGACATTGGCCTACATTTCCATGCAAAAAAAAAAAAACTAGAGAGAAACAAAGAGAGCGCTCGCTCAACTTGGGCCTATTTGTAAGTGACACAGTGCAGTGGCTGTGGCAACTCCACCTACGGCTTCAAAGTTGAAACAACAATGACAACAGATAATAAACATTGGAAAAAAAGTTAAAAGCTAAGATAATTAAGTGAGCGCCAAAAAAACTCAGCAATATTATTTTTTCGATTGTGCCATGAAACAAACAAACAAACACACGCACGCACATTCATACAAATGAATACATATGAACCTATCAATGTATACACGAAATGAAAAAACCTCGAGCTGACCCTGAGTAAAAATGAGCAACCAAAATTAAAACTGAGCGCGCCTTTTGCCATCAAACACAAATTACAATACGCCAGCTGACAAAATACGATCCATGCGCGAGAGAGTAAGCCAGAGAGAGAGAGAGCGAGAGCGAGTGAGAGCAACGTGTAGTCTAGCTGTTACAACAAGCGACCTTGTTTGCTTATAGAAGAGGGAGGCGAGCATTGCGCAGCCTATTCATTTGAAGAGCGTACAATACTGTTGCCTCTCTCTCTCTCACTCGCTCTTGCTCGCGTTGAAATTAACAAATTGTATTTTCCAAAAAGATACTCACACAGTCAATTAGACTTGAGAGGAGAGGTGGGCTGGGTGTGGAGGAAGACGATGTTAATACGTGCTGCTAATTTAAATGCTATTTAAATATCTATGCGCGAACCGAAAATAATAATACATGAAAATACATACAGAAGATCAGAGTCAGGGCCGTAGCACAATTTGACCTTAAAGTTGAATGGGTGCGTATATATATGTGTGTAAGCGTAAGAGTATGCATATATATAAATGCATGTGGCTTAGATTGGGTATATGTAAACATTCAATATATAATATAAACGTGCTAATCGATGTCAGAAAATCGATTATTGATTTCATTATGTATAATCACATTTTTTAGTATTTAAATTTAATACGTAAATTACCTACAATTTTTACAATTATCTTTATGATACAAATTTTTGCAAAACAAGTGCATTCAACTCATTTTATATTTATATATTTTGATGCCATATTTTTTGTTTTCAAAAATATCTGCAATTCACAATTGTGTATACTTTATACTGTATGCAAACTGTCTCAATTGTTGAGATAATTGAAATTGAGTCAGTCTTTGAAATAATAAAGAAACATTCGAGTGTACAGCAAATGTTTCATAAGGGTGAGTAATTTATTTGCAAAGAAAAAGCTTCTATTCACCTTTTATCTGAATAAAAAGTAAACAATAATAATGAAAGCTCTGAGAGTTTTATACAGTGAAATTACCTAAGCACAAATAAGATAATAAATTTGTGCATAATAAATGAAAGATTAAGATAGTACATATTTGCTTAGTTAACAACAAGCAACTAAACATTTATTAAATACTTGAGTCTCATACAGCTTGCATTGTGTAAAAAATAAATACGTTTTTGTGTAAAAACAAGTTGGCAACACGAAAAGCGGAAAACGTCAATGCAATAAATTTGCTAATTGCATTGGCAATGGAAACGTGAAAACAATACAAACAACAAAAAAAGTTCAAAAACATCCAACAGTATTGCCTCATTTGTAAGAACTATATAGATACACACATACATACAGACACATATATACATATATATAGTCAACATATATACCAAGAGAATCGGATTTACGTTTGTGCCTCTCACAATCAACAGGTACAGCAGAGACAAATAGGTACGAAAAAAGAAAAGTTATTTTGCTCGCCACGAGTCAAGATTAAGAATACATACATACAAACTTACGTATATAAATAAATACATATGAACATATGTACATTCGTCTGACGTATGCACTTCGTACGTACAAAAAAGCGAAATACAAAAATGAATTATTTTGCAATCGCACAGTACAAATTTTGAAGGTGAGCCTAACATTTCGAAGTGTACTGTACTCACGTATAAGCACACACACACACACACACACACATGTACGTATACGAGTAAATGAGTAGAGTAGGAACCTCGCTGCGAGCACTTTGTACGCTCCAGATATATGTATGTATGTTTGTTGCTGCTGTATTATCAGTATTTTGTGTGTACACTGTTGACTAAAATATTGAGCATGCTAAAAAGTTTACATAAAAGAACGCAATATTCTATTCACACCGATGTATTTCATCAGGTACAGTAATTTCCCATAGCTAAATACACATACAGACATACATTTACAGGCATATTGTGTCGCTGCTGTTGATCTATTCGTTTTTTATTGCAACACTTCTTAAATGTTCAATGTTACCCACAACTGGCCGACACCGAACACAACAGCCACAGCGACAACGTCGGCCAATAACAAGAGCAACAATTGTGGCACCAATAACACCAACACACAAAAAAACAACAACTGTTGCTCATAACGAGTTTTTATCGAATTGCAAAATAAAGATATGCAACCAGTACAGCGAGCAAATGTGAGCGAGGTGTGAATGTGTGTGTGTGAGTGTTGGTGTTGCCGTTGTTGTTGCTGGTAGTGGTGGTGGCGGTTAACATGCGGGTGTCGGGGAAGGGTCACTACCAATCGATTACGAAAGCCATCAACACAACATACATACGCATAAGTATGCTTATGTGTATGTCTTTATGTATGTAAATACATCAGTATGCTAGAATTGGAACTATACTCATATATGAACTCAATACAGTAGTGGCGCTCAGCGAAATCTAAATGGAAGTGACACAGTGTTGCCAGATTGAGAAACGCAAAAAATAATAAACTAGTTCTAACAGTAAAAGTGGGTAAAAGAAAGCGAGTCAAGTGAGGTAAATGAAAATATGCGTTAAGCTATGAAAAGCTTAGAAATAAATAAATATCAATTATTAACAAATCACTCGGAAAATTCAGCTTTGTTTTTGCCTTGAAGTTTTTGTGAAATAATAAATGAAATGAAATAGCCATGACTGCAGTAAATATTGAAAATATCGATAGCTTGGGTAGAGAGAAGCGAGGCTCAACAGGTTACTAGTTCATGGCAATTGTTTGCATACTAACCTCGCTTCGTCAATGAAGTAGAAGCGCTTCAGCTTGAGATCACGCAAGATGATTCCGTTGCGATGGCACACCTGCACCGTCTGGCCGATTTGATGAAAGATGGCGCGTGCCTCCTGCTCGCAGAGACGTTTCTCGTGTCGGATGTACGTATGGAGGTTTTCATAGACATGCTGGACGGGTGCGTTGATGATGTAGGTGCGATTCTTGGAGAGAGGCACCAAATCGTGGGCATCACGAATCAGCTTATGGCCATAGATGGTGCTGCGACAGAGCTCTTCGTCCTGTTCCAGCTGAAAGTAGGCGCGTTGCACCTTATCGAGCGGCTCGTTGATAATCTTGCAGGGATACTGCTTGCCATTGTACACGTCCATGCATTGCAGATTCGAGGATGTCAGATCGATCAGATGGCGATAAGAGGCGGGTGTTTTGGCCGCTGCCGCGGCTGAGATGTGATTAGGCTGGGCGCTGATCACATAGCGGTTCTTGATCACCCTAACAGGCTGTTCCCCGCTCAGTCCAAAGGCGTTAATGCTACCATTGATGTTTGTTTGTTCCGCAAAGCTCAAAGCGTGTAATTCGCGGACGCTGCCGGGCGTACGGAGCAGCTTCTCCCTAAGTGTCTGCAGCATTTGCGCCTCTTTTGTGGGCGTGGATATAGCAATTGGGGAGGGACTGGACGTAGCTGATGTAAACACAGTCAATGCGGGCGTCACTCGCTGTTCTCTACCAGCTGCTCTCGAAGCCGACGATGCGTCGATGTTGCTGTTGCTGCTGCCGGTATTGGTGTTGCTGCTGTTTTCAGAAGACGTCGCTAGTGCTGTTAGGAGACCGCTGACTACTTTGTTGGTTTCCAGTCCACTCGTATTGTTGCTGTTGCTAACCATTTTGTTGTTTGTTGTTCTTTGTTTGTTGTTGGGGTTCCAAATGTTATTTATGCACTGCTTGCTAGCTTACAATTATCACAGTTTTTGCTATTTATTCACTTTACTAACTGTTATTTGACTTTAGCTCACGATTGGCATTTTCATTGTCTTTCCTTTTAGTTGTGTTCGCTCGTTTCTCTGTGTGTGTGTGTGTGTAAGTGCGAGTAAACTTATTTATTTATTTTTTGTTTGCGGATCTTTGTGCTGACTTCAATTTCACTTGGTTGACGCAATACAGCACATTGCTTGCGAAATATTTTTAATAAACGAATATAATTTCGCGTACGTTGTAGTCGGCTGTTTTTCGATTTTAAAACAAATCGAACGATACAAAATTCACTCACTCGCACACGCGAAATGAAACGAAACGCGCCCGTCTGTCTGCGTTGCTCTCCGAAATATAAATGGTGGCAATCCTCATTTTCGTTTCACTTATGTACCTTACGCGACTTAAGCGCACCAGTGAGAGATAACGAAACAAGATATGTGACGTCACACTCACACAACAGACAGCGTTCTTATCTGTGCTGCCATTAAACGTATGTAGTTTTTGAAATTTGAGCTCTTAATTATTTTAACAAATTCTATACACTCATATATATTTTAATGTATTTTTGTTTATAAAATAAACAAAAAATAATCAATTTTTTCAATGGTATTAATCTTAATTTTTTACGTTAGTTAATATATGGTCATAGCGTTAATAGTAATTATATTTATATTTATTTGATTTATAAATAATTAAAATTCAGTACGTTATGTAAACTTTCTTATATTAAGCTTGTTTTGCCGTTTTTCCTCAATATTTTAAGAACATGACGTCAGTCATAATTCTCTATTTATACTCGCTTTAAATCAACTGTACACCGGCTCTCAGTGAGTAACCTTCTACATCAATGAGCACACATAAATTGAAACAAGCGGAATTGAAACAACCAGGGCTGCATTTTCAATAGTTGCAGTGGTATGTGTGAGAAAGTTAGGCTAGTGCGACGTTATTTTCGAAAACATTGCGTGGAACGTTGAAATACAAGCGCTTGCCTTCACATTGCATGCCTGTACGCTTACGTTTATAATTAAATGTATACGGAAATGTTCGATTGAGAATGAAACGTTGATTTTGAAAGCCATATGCCTGCGTCTGATGGGTTTTCAATGCTTGAAAACTACCCCTATATGCTTTGAATGTGTATACATGCACACAAACATTAAATATATTTACGTATACATACATACATATACAGTGAATACCGAAAGACGCTGACTGTATCAGCTAGAGCGATCGCATGCTGTGTGCATGTAAATATGGGTGTATGCATGCACGAAGTAAATCAGCACACTTTTCATTTGCATTCCATAATGCACTTTCACTGACGTTAAATCAAGTCTCTCAATTAATCAAATCAGGTAATGATTAACTATCGACTTGGATTCATATGTATCGATATATATATTTTATGTATGTATATGTATATGTATGTATATGTACATAAATATGAAATGCCTGCAATAATTATTCGATGTGCGCGTCGCAGTTTATGATTTCGTTGAGCAGCTGCGACTCAAAAATAAAGATCATTGGCCTACACAGGGAATTATGCCAGAGCACAGAGCAGATCAGACACACACATGCACATGTATGCAATGCAGATGTATGTTGTGTACATCTGTATGCGTGTATGCAGGTAAAGACAACTACAACTACAGGTAGATTTCCATTTTCCAAACTCCGCGTCTGCATCAGCAACCCCTAGATTGTGAGGGATGGCTGTACGTCCGAGGATGTTGCAGCTGTTGCAAGGTGATTTCCAAGTATACATACGTACAAACGTGCAACCGAAAAAAAACAGATGTATGCATTTGTGCATGTGTGCATTCATCTGTCGATCCAAGTGCGAGGTGTGCTAGAAAAGTGTTAGGCTTTTACTTTTGTGTATACAAAGAATTTAAAGCTAAATGAACATGAAAAACAATTCCACAGCTTTTTAGCTTACAGCAATTCTTGCATTTCCTTTTTGGCAGACTTTGCAATTCAAAATGATTAATTTAGACTTATTAACATTATCTTTAGGTTTTAAAACAATTGAATCCGACCTCGTACACTTATTGTTTGTACACTTTGAATTCATCGCGTCGCATCGTATCGTATTTGGTTCCTCTGCCCCATAACGTTGCGTTTTTTTTAACAACAGCCGGCATCCTCAACTATCACCTTGTGCTGCTTCAATACACGAATCTGGCAGAGCAAAACTTGTCAATGGCATTGGTACAGGCGCGTAGACATGAATATTGTGTTTAGGGGCCACCATCAAATCACATCACATCACATAGCCGGAAGACCTCTAAAGAGCAAAATACATAAAAATCTGTTTCTCTATTAAAATGAGATTCGCTTTAGCTGAATTACAACGGAAAATATTCAAATCGTGAAACGCCGAAACTATACGAAGCATAATTCACTTGATATCTCACATGTTGAAGCTGTAGTATGCTCACATAAGTATATATGTACACGCACACACATGTGTTCAAATGCATTTGTATGTGTGTACGCACGCTGCGAGCGTTAATTTTTGAATTTAAATTCAAAATACAAATATGTTAAGCTCAGTGCCAACGGACACTTGCGCTTGCGAAATAGCGCCAAACTGTTTTGTTGTCTCTGCTTCTTAATAAGTGCCTGCTGTATGCCGCTCCATCAAAAAGTCATGCGTTCGAAACCCGTTTTTTTTCCACAATTCGAACATATTCTAGCTTCAGATTTTTGTTGTTGCCAAGCTCGTAAGCTCTGGCACGAAACGCTTTTTCTCTCCCTCGGCGCAGAGGCCTTGGTCTCGGGTGCCATACGCACACATGTACAAAGTTGTGTGTGTGTGTGTGAGAAGTTCGGATACTTTGTATGCGTCATCATAGCTGCGTCATCGAAATGCGAACTTGTTTATATATGACGATGCTTTTGGGCTATCTCTTTCTTTCTCTTCTTCTGTCTCTCCTGTGCATTCACACTTTGGCTTGTAAGTTCATTTCGATAGATTAGCGCTGCGACATTCCACGAGCTCATGAATTTTCAATCTCGCATGAAATACACTAAAGTTCACGAACCATCTAAATGATTTCATATTTTTTGTTTTTAATCACTTTTGAGCAGATTCATATGTTGATAAATGTATAAATTGTATGTAAAGTATTTTGAAAAATAACACGAATTATAATTTTAACAAATATATAATTTTAATAATGAAAAATAATACTGGATTAAGTTTAATTGAAATTAAAATATTTGTAATTTTTTTTATCAATATAAGAAATAGCAAGTCAGACTATACTGTAACTTAATAATTGTGGCAAATTTCGCCATATGTTTACACCGGAAGCGCATTTACAATCTATCCAAATTATGCTTGCGTTACACATTGATTTGACAGATATTTTTTTAAATTTTAGATGATGTGATCGTTACGTTATAAGGCATACTTTCGGGGCTAAGGCATTAGTTGTAAGAAGCTTATATATTTTTGATCAAACTTTCCGCTCTTGAGATTTTACGGGTCAACCTATGGGGTATGTTCCTCATGGAATTGAGAGTTCTCTAGAAACCAAGGACCAATCTTGACAACTATGAATTGACTTCGATTTCCAAACTATAGATCCTTTTTCATATATTTCCATTCAAATAAATTATCATTAAAATGCTGATGTTTACATAAATATTTAATTGTATGTTATATATTTATACATATATCAAACGATTCAAATATACTTTAATATATCATCTTTAATATGTTTCAATTATTGTTATTATTATATTCTGTAAATATATCATGTACACATATAAGGGATATAAGAGAGAGTATATATATAGGTAGACAGTTCTCTGAAGTGGGGTAGTACATAACATTGGATGGGTAGGTACTTTATTAACAATTGTTACAGGCAGGGCTGGCCACATATACAGGTATAACATATGTATATATAGGTATGATCATCTGGAGGTGTAGAGTTACATTAATTTGTGTTCTTCCGACATATTCGTTTCAACAAGCTTTATATATATATATATAATTTTCGATTGATGTAAATTGAATAACAGATCAAATATAAATACATACATATATATATATATATAATATCGTGTTCCCATTGATTGATTTAATTTGGACTCTCTGCATTATCATCGCATTCCTCGTCCACAATGGGCTTCTTATCATCCATTTTCCGGCGACCCAGGAAACGCTCGAGTACCGTATGCTTGGCCACATTCTTGGAAGCCTTGAAGGATCCCCAGTTGAGTTTACCTGCCTCCGATGAGGTCATCAGTATGGAGTATGTGGAACAGGCTTCGCCCTCTTTGCTATGCCGTATGCCATACAGGAAGTAGACAACCATGCCAATGGTTACCCAGACAAAGAAGCGCACCCAGGTCAAGGCATCCAGATGGACCATCAACATTATGTTACTGAAGATACCAAGTGCTGGCACGAAGGGCACCAGCGGCACCTTGAAGTTCAAGCCTCGCGTGTTCTGATTGTGCACAGCCATGACAGCGACACAGGCGCTGGCTGCAAAGATGATGAAACCGTAGACAAGCAGAGCCCACCAGGTGCCGGAGTAGAGCTGTGCCCAGGATACCTTCAGCTCCAGGCAGATGGCGAAGCTCAACACAATGAACAGCAGCACAGCCACCGACACCACCGAGCCAGGTGCAAAGCGACCGAGCAGCGGCTCCAGCCAGCGAAATTGCGGCTTCAGGCGGCCGGCCAGAGCGCCCTCAATCAGATCACTCGTCGGCGATGCTGTATCAATGCTCGACTGCGAATCGGCATCCTCGTCATTCTCCTCATCCGGCGTATCCGGCGCATAGACAGGATTGGGGGTGCCCACGTGTGCCAGTGGACGATAGCGTAGTATGATGACACTGGCCGAGACAATGGTGTAGGCGAGCAGTGTGCCAATGGACATGAACTCCACCAGCTTGGCCAGATCGAAGACCAGAGCCAGAGCAGCACTCAGCAGTCCGGAGACAATCAGATTCAACAGTGGCACTTGGGTGCTCTGGCTGATGCGGCCAAAGCAGCTGAAGAGCAGACCATCCGATGCCATAGCGTACATGCAACGTGGCAGGGCATAGAGTGAGCCCAGCAAAGTGGTAGTCATGCCACAGAGTGCGCCAATGGAGATGATGTACTTGGCCCACGGCAGCTGCAGCTGGCCAAAGGCCTCGGGCAGCGAGGCAGCCGGATTAATCTCGCTAATGGGTATCATGAGAGTGAGAGCGGCGCTAACCAGGATGTAGCCTACCGTGACGACGCAAAGGGACAGCACTGTAGCGATTGGTATGGAGACGGCGGGATTCTTGGCCTCCTCGCCGGACGTGGCTATCGAATCGAAGCCAACGAACGCATAGAAGCAGGTAGCAGCACCTGCAATCACGCCACCAAAGCCATACGGCAAAAAGCCACCCTCCGCCTCGGACCAGTTGTCGGTATTCGCATACCAGAAGCCCACGCCAATGACCACCATCATGACCCCGATGTTGACCAGGGTCAGCACGCTGTTGAACACGGCCGTCGCCTTGACACCGCTGCCCAAGGCCGCGGCATAGACAATGCAGACGAGAAAGGCCAACACGTCCGGATATTCAGCCAGCCCTGGCTCATGAATCCCGCCCATCAGAGATAATGTCGTATTGGCTATCCAGCCGCCCAGCATGGAGTCCACATAGCCACTCCAGGCGCGTGCCACTGAGGCGGCGCCTAGCATATGCTCCAGCAATATGTTCCAGCCAATGACAAAGGCCCAGAACTCACCGATCGATATATAGGTATAGACATATGCCGATCCAGCCTTGGGCACGCGCGTGCCGAACTCCGCATAGCACAGCGCCGCCAGCATGGACACGAATCCGGCGAGCACAAAAGATAAAATGATGCCAGGTCCAGCCATTTCCTTGGCCACGGTGCCAGTCAGCACATAGATGCCAGCACCCACCATATGGCCAATGCCTACAGATTATATATAGATATATATTTTATATTTGATAAATACTTTTCAGCTATATGTATCTATACCCAAGAGCGCAATGTCGAAGGTGGTGAGGCAGCGCTTCAGCGGAGTCTCCATCACATCCGCTGGCACCGGCTTGGTGCGGTTCATCTTCGTGCATATGCCGGACATGATGTGGCCCAATATGGCACGCCTTGAACTAGGCATAGTTGCACTGCGAAATTCCTTCCTCGATCTATATATTGTGTATATATGTAAAAGTATTTCTCTATTGCCACAACAGTCGCACTTCGACCATATGTCACAGGAAAATCATATAAAAAATGCACTCGTTTCTCCCAATTGTTGTTTTTTAATTGACTGATTTGTGTTTATCTATATGATCTATTCAATTTTTTTAATTGTATTTGTTTTCCTGCTTTTTTGCTTTAATTTCCTTTTTGCGGCTCCTTTACGCGTTGCACTTGTTGTACACGAACAGCTGTGTCCGTATTGATTTTTCATTGGAGCAATCACTAGGCGCCCCCGCGGCCTTGCCTTGGTTACGACTTCCCCTTCGGCAGCGTTGCCAACACTGCTTACAACAAAAACAGTGTTGGTAAACTTTCAATGAAGTTTTCGCATTTCGTAATGTTTTGATTTCTGTTTTTAACTGAGATATGACTCGCTTATAGATAATTTTATATGCCTAAAAAAATATTTTTGCTTGCATATTTAGCTTAAAGTATCAGAAATTACGTAGACATCCTTATCTTTAGAGCTTTTAACTATTCTGATTACAGATTACAGTTTTAGCGCTATAAAGCCTTTTGGAAAAGTAAACTCTGTTACTAACTTACTAAATGCTTTTGGCTTGTGCTATTAGAGATCTTAGTTTTCGCTTAAATTGATTTCCTTGTAGAGAACTATTTATTTTATTTTTATTTTTTATATGAACTATATTATTTTATGTTTTTATAGAAATTTAAACTTACAACGGAATAAGTAACTTGACTGCCCATCGAAGTATGCTATGGAATTTTTAAATTAAAAATATGTTGCATAGTTTTAGGCATGAAAAAATATTTATGAAGACAAAAATTAATTGTATTTACTTTTATATGCACATTGCACACAACTTAAGTTATTTAAATAAATTATATTTAATAAATAATATTTAGTATATGAAGTAGAATTTTATAGATTTATATACATAACATGTTGTATATATTTCTTTGTTGCTAAAAAAACTTTGTATAACTGACAACAGAAGTAATTGCTAAAACATAAAGAAGAATTTTATTGATGCTTTGTTTTGGTATGCAAATGCTCGTGCATATGGTTTAACTATAAAAAAGAAAACATTTAAAACGACTATAATTTAACGTTTTTTTAGCTACGTATATTTCAAGTATCATTTGATTAGTTTGTGATTCTTTTGCTTGGCTTTTCCAAAGGCCGACAGCAGTTCACGCCAAAAGCATTTCCGGGCGTGAAGGCCGTTTCGCCAGCGTCGAGCGTAAGCTGTAAACATAAAAGGAATTTCGTACAGCTTAAGGCCCCAGGTGGGGCAGGTTTGATCCATTCCTCACATTGAGGCTTGAGTTTTTCTTCCAAGCGGCCTTCAAGATTTAGGCGTATTTGAACGTCTTCATGTGTAGCCATTTTAATTTATTGTTTATTTATTTTTTTGACTAGTTATAAATTAGCAAGAAATAATGATAGACAATAATTAAGTATATGTTAATATGTATAATTGAATGGCTGTGCCAATGCCCATAGGTTTACCATTAGCAGTTGATGCCAACTGTTTTTTGACGTATATGTATGTGCATCTGCACCTGTATTTACCTATACATTCGTGCATAAGGCAAAGGTACTCAGCAATCAGCGAACGGCATCTAAATCGCCATGACCGCTTGCCGCCTGTCTTGTCTGTCACCACGAAGCACGAAGCGGACGCTGGGCATCCAAAAAAGTATGACTACTAGTATTAATACCTGTTCGGGATGATCACGCCTGCACTGACTCTATAGTTGCATGACCAGCTCATCGGCGTTGTCGTTGTCGTTGTCGTTGCCGGGCCACGATTTCAGTTGCGACAATGACGGATTTTGGCATTTTGGCCCTAAAAATACATACATAGGTGTTAGCCATTTGACGTCGCGGATCTTTTTGGCTGGAGTTGTCGCCGTTACAACGCCTCAGACCGGGTCAAGATGAAGAAGACTTCGACGACGGACAACATTTGCCTCACGCGACTGCCAAGCGCAATAAAAAGAAAAATAAATGAAAAACTAATTTTACTTTTCATAGCAGACAATCTGATGCCCTGAGAATAAACAAATATATATATATTAAAAAATTTATTTTAATTTTAATTCGAGTGCAGTTAATACTGCTTAAGTGCTTAATAAATATATCGATAGTAAGAATTGCAGCTATCGATACATCGCACGCATTCAAAAAGATTGCCAATTAGAAGTCCACTTGCGAGCAGTTTCTTATCAGACAAGTATTAGAGATCGAAATTAGGGCTACCACAGCTATACAGTGCTGCCCATTTCTTTAAGAAATTCAATGTTCTCGACTTTTCAGTGTATTTTGAATGGTTGCACGAGGCGCGATCAATAAGTAACGGACACTTTAGCTTGCAATTCGAACTTATGCAAAAGACGATGAAGACCTTTGAACGTTTATATGTGTGGCTACATACTCGAGCGTTGCCACATCGAAGAATAAATAAATTTGCAGCGAACATTTTTAAATACTTTTGAAACAAGCCTCGTGAGTATTAAAAAAAAATTGTAAAGTAAATAACTCTTTTGTGGCCAGCCGTGCTGCTGTTTTAGCTGCTCTTTAAGCTAGCCAGCCCAGCTAGCCACGGCTGCTGTTGCTGCTGCTGATGCTGTTTTTTGTTTTTTTGCATTTGCTGCGCCTTTGGGTTTTGAAAGCAGTGTTCCAAACGATTTTAGTTAAAACATGCTACGTGTGAGTATATAAACGAAGACGCGTCTTCTCCAAGCTTAGTGCGACAGCGAACTCTTAACCAGCCGGCGATCAAGCTAACTCTCTCTCTCTCTCTACCCAAGCAGCGTTCAACTAGCTATTCCTGTAAGTTCAATCAAGTCGCAAATTTCCTAAAAACAACATCTTTTGTGCATTTCAAAATACTTTATAAGACTATAAAGTGCAAAGTGCAGTGCGTGGGCGCTGAAAAATTCAGTGAGTTGCAGCAAATGAAATAAAGTGACACAAAGCCATAATCAAGTATAATTTAAAGACTTTTAAGAAGTTGTGAAATCTTATGGCTGTCTTTAAAGTTCAAAAATATTCAAAAAATTGCTTTTAGACTGACTATAAATGAGTTTTTATACATTTTTTAACCATATAAATTAGAAATTGTGTTGGGTGAAGTGGTAAAACTATCTAAAAAATATTTTAAAATTCTAGGAAGCGCAATTTGAAAATTTTTAAAATTTGATTAATAATATACAATTATTATAATTGATGCCAAAATTTAAAAGCTAATCTTTTTAATAATATAAGATTAATATAATTGATGCGAAACTTAATTTAAATTTAAAATATAAAATTTAAATAATTTATTAGCGATTTAATTAAGTTTTTTTTATTTCATTGAATTCTTAATTGGAATTTAATTAATTTGAAGCTCTAAAAACCGCACTTAAATCATTTTTAATCCATAAATGTAGTCAATAATATTTATGTGGTGTTTGGGGTAAAAAATAGTTTTTAAGAAATATTTTTAAAAAATTCAAGTTTCAGCAACTAACAAAAAATATTTTTTTTTTAAATTTGGTAAGTCGCAAAAAATAAAAGAAAATAGTTTCTTTATATTTGTTAAGTTCCATAAGCCAAAAAAAAATATTTTTTAAAAATTTGTTGAGTCGTAGAAAAAATATTTTTTTAAAATTGAGTGAGTTGCAAAAAATAAAAAATAAATTTGACAAATATTGCTTAATTGCTTAAATCAAATATTTTGATGCAGATGCAGAGAGTTGCGAAAAATTGCTGAAGATATCGAAATCAAATATTATTAAACTAGGAACTTCTAAAAATAATGTTACAAGTATTCTAAAAATATTTCAAAATATTGAAAATATTTACAATAATGTTATAAATAATCGAAATATATATATATAGAGGGTGAAATAATTTATAGCCCAGTAAAATATATGAAAAATAATAATTTTAATTAGAATTTAATGCATAATGCTACTTAAAAATTGGCTTAAAATTAAGATTTATATTTTTAATATAATTCATATATTTTGAAGAGCCAAGAACTCACATGAAATCCGAGAAATGAAATCTTTAATGGATGCGCATGCATTGACTGAGCTTAGCAATTCAATTTTATTCGCATCATTAAGCTCACGAAGTCGACATTTAGTTGTGTTTAATATTAATTTGTTTTAATGAATTAAAAGACGTTTAATAAACGACCAAAATCGAAGAGACTTCATTATGGGCTTAGGCAATGTTAGACGAAAGATCGCCGCAAGTTTGTGTAACTTGCTAGGCAAGGCCGAGCTAAGCTGATTAAAGCCGGAAAAAAAGAGCTTAAGATCGACAACGAGTCGCTGTCTCCAAGTCATTTATTATCCGAACACAGTTCGCGCTAATTTATAGACTATATCGTTTGCGAGCAAGGTGCAGCTCCTGACGAAGCCTTGAGCGCTGCTTAATGAGGATGCCAAATTCCACACGCCAGATAATATTTATGTGGCCGCAATAAGCTTATCCGGATTTGCTAATCTCGGCTCGCAAGACCCGAAAAAAAAACTGTCCCACTTTGTTTACCCTAGACTTCAACGACTACTGCTATATGACAGCTGCCATAAAAAGCTAATGACGAACACCGAAACGCAAATACACTATTTGCAAATGGTAAGAGTTAAGATCAAATATTGTTACAGCTCGAACCCCAAAAAGAAACACAAAAACGCCTGCAAAAAAACCTTTACCAAACAAAACAGAAACAGCAAAATAATAATACAAACACAAAGAAGACAAACAAGCTAATGCGAATAAATTTATAAAAAGTCGGTTATTATTGGGTCAACCTTTTAGCTGTTGTTGCGCGAACAAGAGCTTCGAGATGGTCATCAGCAAATTGATGCCTGTCTAGAAAAAGACATAATTAAGCTTAAATTCAAACTTGACATAATTACGTATCAAAATTTATATTCGGCCGATTCTTAGACTAGGCTTAATTGCGTATACGCCACATGGAACGCAGTACAAATGCAACAGTTCACAGTACACACCTACCATGATGACTGCCACAAAAGCTGGATGACTGTAAAATTATAGACCCATGTGTGTGTGTGTGTGTGTGTGTGTGTGTGTGTGTGTGTGTGAATATGTTTATTCATATAAAGATCTGTGCACAATGCGTGGCTGAGGCGTCGTCGTCAAAGCCTGTTGGGTAATCTCACCTGTTTGCCATGACGAACACATGAACACGAACACGAATACGTATACGTATGCACAGGCCGTAGTGTAAGCAGCCATGTCTGGCCGCCCGTCCGCCTGTCCGTCCGCCCGTCTGTCTCGCGTTTGCCCAAATGGCAAAAGTTCACGGCAAGATCATCAATGTCCAAGTTATTATTTATTTCGTTTTGTAAGCAGTCAATAAAAAATCTTTTTATACGCCAATCATATATGTATATAGTGAAGATGCTAACGATGCTCAAGATCTCAACAATTGCCAGCACAAATTGTTGGCTATGCACACCTATGCACCCCTCTCTCTCTCTCTCTCTCTCTCTCTCTCTCTGTACTGATTCTTGCATATATTAGCATATTTTCAATCAGTTTTGAGCAATATACATTTCATTTAAATTCTAATTTACGTTTGTTTATAACGGCACATTTACCTGCTTGTTCAACAGAAATATAAGCAACAAAAAATAAACATTGAACAACAAATCTTTAACTAAGATTAAGTATTTTGTATTTAGCGCCGCGATACTTCAAAGAATTTTCGTAAATAATAGAAACAACTCAAAAACCAGTCAACAAATCAAAGACTCGAGTTAGGATCGGGCTTCAAGTAAAAATTAGGCAACAATATGCACAAATTGCGCATTGATAATTCAACATAACAACAACAACAACAACAACGATGACGGCAATAACAACAAATAATAAAGATATAAAGAAATAATAATTTAGGGAATCCAAAGCGCTGAAGGTCATTCGAGCAGATTGAATAAACAACGATGAATGAATCGTCTGTAAAAGTGTTCGACAAAATGTGGTAGCTATGCCGTCTTCAAGAGTTAAGTCATCATCGGACCAGCAGATATACAAATATTAAATATATATTTGTATATATATATATTTATATGTATATATGCAGATTTGCCCAGCTATACAATCCGGCTGGCTTGCCACACGCCCTCTCAAGCTTACCTTTTATTAATGACACCTTTTACCTTATAAATGATATTACAATCGCGCTCCAAACAGGTTTTAAAGTCTTTTAACTCTGTTACAAGCAACTCTTGAAATCTGGATCAGCGTTAGTTTTGCAGCGAATATATATAAATATAAGATAAACTAATTTTACGATGCCTGAGAAAGTGTTTTTCCCCGATGAAGTATAAATAGTTTAAAGAGCTAAGCTAATATGGGAATATATTAATTATTTCATGAGCATATGGCATATGTCATGCTTGTGGCTTGTTAATTATAGTCAGATCTTTAAATAATATATATTCTTCAGCTAGTACGAATGACTGCTTTCGATCTGGTATAAAATATTAAAAGTGTTCGCTAGTTAAACTCGTTTTCGGATTGTCTAAAAAGCTGCCAGATCTTGGACTAATATATCTTTTCATATATCTCGATCAATGCTTTCGATGATCAAGCAACAATGATCAATCGACAATTGGGTCTAAAAAGAAAGACCAAAGGATTACCTTAAATTTGATCAGCTACAGCTTTCCATAACTGTCAATCGATCAACTGTAATTCGATATTCAAAAACTATATATTTTTCAACTTATACTAAATGCATCCATTCAACTGGGTGCAACATCTTTGTGGATTGTATTAAAAGTAGTGCCAAAGCACTTTTGATTCCCAAAGCAACAGCTTTCAGGTTTAAGCAGATTCTAACTCGTTTAAATGAAACCAGATTTTCGAATGAAATACTTTTTTGAACTCATTTGGATTATTATTTACGCTTTGTATTTATAAAAAAAAATATTGTTTATTCCAAATAAAAAAATTCGATCATCTGAAAGATCCGGCACTTTCAAGCATTCAATGACTGAACCTTGCTGCAATGCAGTTTGAACTTGACAAACTTTAGATTTACGAACTCTTTTCGATTATTTTAATATCTATATATAAATTTAATTATCACCAAGGCTGCATAAATTATTGCAAATTTCGCGCGAGGCAGAAAATTCAAAATGAAATTAAATTCGAGCTGCGACAGAATAAAGTATGAAAATTATTAATAAAATCTTAGCAAATAAGATTTACCTTGGCGCCATAACATGAAGTCTTTATGCGTCGATCTTTCGAGCTTGAGTACCTTTTGACATTCGACGGGCTGAATAATTCTAAAAGTATATTTTTATCTGTTATCGCACTTTGTCAAGTGTGAATTCCCGACTGATAATTGATTATTGAGGATTAATAATTTGCACCCAATTTGCATATATAATTATGTTCACATCTATTGTTATATATATATATATTTATTTGGTCAAAGAATTAATCGCTATTATTATATAATAATACTTATGCATATTAGAAGCTAAAATCAACTTTAATTACATTTACGTTCAATTTGCAACAGGTTTTAGATTGAGCGACAATCCACTGAAAATGGTCAAAGCTGGCCACATAATACTTTTGACTCAGCTTTTGGTATGAAACGCGCAAAACATAAAGCGTATTGAATTCCATTTAATTTATTGTTGCATTTTAAAGGTCATTGCTGGCGGCGTAGATCTGAGGAAAGGCGATGATTATGTTGATAATGAAGTCAGCCCAGCCGAATTGGCATTATCGTTCCCCCGAGTGTCTCGAAAAAGCGCAGCATACGACGGGAACATTGAGAAAATCGACGTCAAATGCGATACGTCAAATGGGATGATAGTCGAAGTGGAATTCGCTGAGATATTTAATGGAGTTATATACAGTCAAGGATATTACAATGATCCCAAGTGCAAGTACGATCATTTGAATGATTTCAATTTCAATTTCTCATTTATGGCCGACTTATTCACTCTTCTCTAGGTACGTGAGCGCGGGCAGTAACGAGCGTCGATTTGTCTTCAAAGTGCCCTTCAATGGCTGTGGCAGCAAGCCCTCCTGTTCGATATGCGCTTCTGTGGACAATATTCTAATCATACAGAACGACCAAGACATTCAAGAGAGCTGGGACACGGCACGCAAGATCACATGCAGTCGCAGCGATGAGCAGGAGAAAACTGTTTATTTTCGACCATTTGTTGTCGATATGCTGGAAGTTATATCGGTAGAGACTCCAAGCGGTCCAGTTGAGTGCTGGATGGAGATAGGCACAGGACTTCCACCGAATATCAAACCGATTAATTATACTTTAAAGCTGGGCACGGACATCACATTCACGATTAATGTCAAACAGTCAAAGCAGACCTGGGACATTAACATCTTACAATGTTATGCCTCCGATGATCCATCATTTGATACAGCCACCACAAACAAATTGCAGCTTTCCGATAAAAATGGATGCTCTTTAAAGACAAAAGTATTTGGGCAGTGGAAAAAGCTAGAATCAATTCCTGGTCAAACCTTAACATATTACAATACGCTTAAAGCTTTCAAGTTTCCCGATCGATCTCAGGTTTATTTAAAATGTGATATTGAACTATGTAATGGAGCTTGCGAAAGAAACTTCGCATGCGGAGAGGAATTAATAGACCCAATCAAGCCACATTGCTCCCTCGGCTCAACAGATCCTGCATGTCAAGCAGGAACAACTCGTCCACCAAAGAAGCCAAGGTGTTATCCAGGCTCAACAGATCCTCGTTGTCCTGACGAACCAAAGACAACAGCCTCATCTAATTGTTATCCCGGATCACTTGATCCTCGTTGCCCACAGGAGGCAAAAACTACTTCAAAGCCTCAGTGCACTCCCGGCTCAACAGATCCTGATTGCCAACCAGCCACTTACCTACCTCCACCTACACGACGTCCTCCTGTAACTCCAACTAAACCAAGGTGTTATCCAGGCTCAACTGATCCTCGTTGTCCCCAGGAGCCAAAGGCGACAGCTGCACCCAACTGCTATCCAGGATCACGGGATCCTCGTTGCCCACAGGAGCCAATAACCACACAAAAGCCCCGCTGTCCTCCAGGGTCGACAGATCCTGATTGTCAACCAGCGACTTACCTGCCTCCAACTACACGACGCCCTCCTGTAACTTCGACTAAGCCAAGGTGCTATCCAGGCTCAAAGGATCCTCGTTGTCCTCAGGAGCCAAAGACGACAGCAAGGCCAAAATGTTATCCCGGATCAACCGATCCTCGTTGTCCCCAGGAGCCAAAGACGACAGCTGCACCCAACTGTTATCCAGGATCACGAGATCCTCGTTGCCCACAGGAGCCAGCAACTACTTCGAAGCCTCGGTGTTATCCTGGTTCAACAGATCCTGATTGCCAACCAGCTACCTACCTACCTCCAACTACACGACGTCCTCCTGTAACTCCAACTAAACCAAGGTGTTATCCAGGCTCAACTGATCCTCGTTGTCCCCAGGAGCCAAAGACGACAGCTGCACCCAACTGTTATCCAGGATCACGAGATCCTCGTTGCCCACAGGAGCCCATAACCACACAAAAGCCCCGCTGTCTTCCAGGATCGTCAGATCCTGATTGTCAACCAGCCACTTACCTACCTCCAACTACACAACATCCTCCTGTAACTCCAACTAAACCAAGGTGTTATCCAGGCTCAACTGATCCTCGTTGTCCTCAGGAGCCAAAGACGACAGCAAGGCCAAAATGTTATCCCGGATCAACCGATCCTCGTTGTCCCCAGGAGCCAAAGACGACAGCTGCACCCAACTGTTATCCAGGATCACGAGATCCTCGTTGCCCACAGGAGCCCATAACCACACAAAAGCCCCGCTGTCTTCCAGGATCGTCAGATCCTGATTGTCAACCAGCCACTTACTTGCCTCCAACTACACGACGTCCTCCTGTAACTTCGACTAAGCCAAGGTGCTATCCAGGTTCTAGTGATCCACGCTGTCCAAAGGAGCCCGTTACAACTGCCCCAACTCCTTCATGTTATCCAGGGTCAAAAGAACCTGAATGTCTGAACTGCTTCCCAGGATCACCGGACCCAAGGTGCCCTAAAGTACCAACGACTAAAAAGCCTGGATGTTATGAAGGATCAACCGATCCGAAATGTCAACCAGCTACTTATTTGCCTCCAATAAAAACGACGAAGATTCCAGGAAATCAAATTACACCAGCAAAGCCCGTTTGCCGTCCAGGCTCAACTGATCCTCGTTGTCCCCAGGAGCCAAAGACGACAGCAAGGCCAAACTGTTATCCCGGATCGACAGATCCTCGTTGTCCTCAAGAGCCAAAGACGACAACTACGCCTAACTGCTATCCAGGATCACGAGATCCTCGTTGCCCACAGGTGCCAGCAACTACTTCGAAACCTCGGTGTTATCCTGGTTCAACAGATCCTGATTGCCAACCAGCTACCTACCTACCTCCAACTACACGACGTCCTCCTGTAACTCCAACTAAACCAAGGTGTTATCCAGGCTCAACGGATCCTCGTTGTCCTCAGGAGCCAAAGACGACAGCAAGGCCAAAATGTTATCCCGGATCAACCGATCCTCGTTGTCCCCAGGAGCCAAAGACGACAGCTGCACCCAACTGTTATCCAGGATCACGAGATCCTCGTTGCCCACAGGAGCCCATAACCACACAAAAGCCCCGCTGTCTTCCAGGGTCGACAGATCCTGATTGCCAACCAGCTACCTACCTACCTCCAACTACACGACGTCCTCCTGTAACTCCAACTAAACCAAGGTGTTATCCAGGCTCAACGGATCCACGTTGTCCTCAGGAGCCAAAGACGACAGCAAGGCCAAAATGTTATCCCGGATCAACCGATCCTCGTTGTCCCCAGGAGCCAAAGACGACAGCTGCACCCAACTGTTATCCAGGATCACGAGATCCTCGTTGCCCACAGGAGCCCATAACCACACAAAAGCCCCGCTGTCTTCCAGGGTCGACAGATCCTGATTGCCAACCAGCTACCTACCTACCTCCAACTACACGACGTCCTCCTGTAACTCCAACTAAACCAAGGTGTTATCCAGGCTCAACGGATCCTCGTTGTCCTCAGGAGCCAAAGACGACAGCAAGGCCAAAATGTTATCCCGGATCAACCGATCCTCGTTGTCCCCAGGAGCCAAAGACGACAGCTGCACCCAACTGTTATCCAGGATCACGAGATCCTCGTTGCCCACAGGAGCCCATAACCACACAAAAGCCCCGCTGTCTTTCAGGGTCGACAGATCCTGATTGCCAACCAGCTACCTACCTACCTCCAACTACACGACGTCCTCCTGTAACTCCAACTAAACCAAGGTGTTATCCAGGCTCAACGGATCCTCGTTGTCCTCAGGAGCCAAAGACGACAGCAAGGCCAAAATGTTATCCCGGATCAACCGATCCTCGTTGTCCCCAGGAGCCAAAGACGACAGCTGCACCCAACTGTTATCCAGGATCACGAGATCCTCGTTGCCCACAGGAGCCAATAACCACACAAAAGCCCCGCTGTCTTCCAGGATCGTCAGATCCTGATTGTCAACCAGCCACTTACTTGCCTCCAACTACACGACGCCCTCCTGTAACTTCGACTAAGCCAAGGTGCTATCCAGGTTCTAGTGATCCACGCTGTCCAAAGGAGCCCGTTACAACTGCCCCAACTCCTTCATGTTATCCAGGGTCAAAAGAACCTGAATGTCTGAACTGCTTCCCAGGATCACCGGACCCAAGGTGCCCCAAAGTACCAACGACTAAAAAGCCTGGATGTTATGAAGGATCAACCGATCCGAAATGCCAACCAGCTACTTATTTGCCTCCAATAAAAACGACGAAGATTCCAGGAAATCAAATTACACCAGCAAAGCCCGTTTGCCGTCCAGGCTCAACTGATCCTCGTTGTCCCCAGGAGCCAAAGACGACAGCAAGGCCAAACTGTTATCCCGGATCGACAGATCCTCGTTGTCCTCAAGAGCCAAAGACGACAACTACGCCTAACTGCTATCCAGGATCACGAGATCCTCGTTGCCCACAGGAGCCAGCAACTACTTCGAAGCCTCGGTGTTATCCTGGTTCAACAGATCCTGATTGCCAACCGGCTACCTACCTACCTCCAACTACACGACGACCTCCTGTAACTCCAACTAAACCAAGGTGTTATCCAGGCTCAACTGATCCTCGTTGTCCCCAGGAGCCAAAGACGACAGCAAGGCCAAACTGTTATCCCGGATCGACAGATCCTCGTTGTCCTCAAGAGCCAAAGACGACAACTACGCCTAACTGCTATCCAGGATCACGAGATCCTCGTTGCCCACAGGAACCAGCAACTACTTCGAAGCCTCGGTGTTATCCTGGTTCAACAGATCCTGATTGCCAACCAGCTACCTACCTACCTCCAACTACACGACGGCCTCCTGTAACTCCAACTAAACCAAGGTGTTATCCAGGCTCAACGGATCCTCGTTGTCCTCAGGAGCCAAAGACGACAGCAAGGCCAAAATGTTATCCCGGATCAACCGATCCTCGTTGTCCACAAGAGCCAAAGACGACAACTACGCCTAACTGCTATCCAGGATCACGAGATCCTCGTTGCCCACAGGAGCCAGCAACTACTTCGAAGCCTCGGTGTTATCCTGGTTCAACAGATCCTGATTGCCAACCAGCTACCTACCTACCTCCAACTACACGACGGCCTCCTGTAAGTCCAACTAAACCAAGGTGTTATCCAGGCTCAACTGATATTCGTTGTCCCCAGGAGCCAAAGACGACAGCTGCATCCAACTGCTATCCAGGATCACGAGATCCTCGTTGCCCACAGGAGCCCATAACCACACAAAAGCCCCGCTGTCTTCCAGGATCGTCAGATCCTGATTGTCAACCAGCCACTTACCTACCTCCAACTACACAACATCCTCCTGTAACTCCAACTAAACCAAGGTGTTATCCAGGCTCAACTGATCCTCGTTGTCCTCAGGAGCCAAAGACGACAGCAAGGCCAAAATGTTATCCCGGATCAACCGATCCTCGTTGTCCACAAGAGCCAAAGACGACAACTACGCCTAACTGCTATCCAGGATCACGGGATCCTCGTTGCCCACAGGAGCCCATAACCACACAAAAGCCCCGCTGTCTTCCAGGATCGACCGATCCTGATTGTCAACCAGCTACTTACCTGCCTCCAACTACACGACGCCCTCCTGTTACTCCGACTAAGCCAAGGTGCTATCCAGGTTCTAGTGATCCACGCTGTCCAAAGGAGCCCGTTACAACTGCCCCAACTCCTTCATGTTATCCAGGGTCAAAAGAACCTGAATGTCTGAACTGCTTCCCAGGATCACCGGACCCAAGGTGCCCCAAAGTACCAACGACTAAAAAGCCTGGATGTTATGAAGGATCAACCGATCCGAAATGTCAACCAGCTACTTATTTGCCTCCAATAAAAACGACGAAGATTCCAGGAAATCAAATTACACCAGCAAAGCCCGTTTGCCGTCCAGGCTCAACTGATCCTCGTTGTCCCCAGGAGCCAAAGACGACAGCAAGGCCAAACTGTTATCCCGGATCGACAGATCCTCGTTGTCCTCAAGAGCCAAAGACGACAACTACGCCTAACTGCTATCCAGGATCACGAGATCCTCGTTGCCCACAGGAGCCAGCAACTACTTCGAAGCCTCGGTGTTATCCTGGTTCAACAGATCCTGATTGCCAACCGGCTACCTACCTACCTCCAACTACACGAAGTCCTCCTGTAACTCCAACTAAACCAAGGTGTTATCCAGGCTCAACGGATCCTCGTTGTCCCCAGGAGCCAAAGACGACAGCAAGGCCAAACTGTTATCCCGGATCGACAGATCCTCGTTGTCCTCAAGAGCCAAAGACGACAACTACGCCTAACTGCTATCCAGGATCACGAGATCCTCGTTGCCCACAGGAGCCAGCAACTACTTCGAAGCCTCGGTGTTATCCTGGTTCAACAGATCCTGATTGCCAACCGGCTACCTACCTACCTCCAACTACACGAAGTCCTCCTGTAACTCCAACTAAACCAAGGTGTTATCCAGGCTCAACTGATCCACGCTGTCCCCAGGAGCCAAAGACGACAGCAAGGCCAAACTGTTATCCCGGATCGACAGATCCTCGTTGTCCTCAAGAGCCAAAGACGACAACTACGCCTAACTGCTATCCAGGATCACGAGATCCTCGTTGCCCACAGGAGCCAGCAACTACTTCGAAGCCTCGGTGTTATCCTGGTTCAACAGATCCTGATTGCCAACCGGCTACCTACCTACCTCCAACTACACGAAGTCCTCCTGTAACTCCAACTAAACCAAGGTGTTATCCAGGCTCAACTGATCCACGCTGTCCCCAGGAGCCAAAGACGACAGCAAGGCCAAAATGTTATCCCGGATCAACCGATCCTCGTTGTCCTCAAGAGATAACGACAACTGCTGCGCCCAACTGCTATCCAGGATCACGAGATCCTCGTTGCCCACAGGAGCCAGCAACTACTTCGAAGCCTCGGTGTTATCCTGGTTCAACAGATCCTGATTGCCAACCAGCTACCTACCTACCTCCAACTACACGACGTCCTCCTGTAACTCCAACTAAACCAAGGTGTTATCCAGGCTCAACGGATCCTCGTTGTCCTCAGGAGCCAAAGACGACAGCTGCACCCAACTGCTATCCAGGATCACGAGATCCTCGTTGCCCACAGAAGCCCATAACCACACAAAAGCCCCGCTGCCTTCCGGGATCGACAGATCCTGATTGCCAACCAGCCACTTACCTGCCTCCAACTTCAGGGCGTCCACGTGTAACTACGACTGCGAAACCTAACTGCTATCCTGGATCGACTGATATTAGCTGTCCACATAGTTTAGTGACTTCAACGTCGCCTCCAGATACAACTCCTGTTTATTGTTATCCAGGCTCAGTAGATCCCCGCTGTCCGGATACTTATAAGGGTTCCACGCCCATTCCGGCAACGTATTTGCCACCATTAAGCAACCCTGGCTATGACAGGACAGTTAGAGACGCGAAAAGTAAATTCTTTAATGAGATTAACAAATTGGCTATCACAAATAATAACGTTTTTGAGTTAGACGATGATGAGGACGCTGAGCCCGCGCGAATAAAACGCGATCTTAGCGACTTAAATATAAATCCATTAACATCCACCGATCAAAGCGATGATCTTTTATCCAGAAAGATCATGAAGCGCGAGTTCAACGAACGACAACCAGAGCGGGAAGTCATTTCCTTCACTCTTGGCATTCGAACGGCTATCAACGTGAATTAGCCAGAGTGCAACAGTGCCACCCAATAAACTCTCTCGCATTTAGGTTACCGTGTATACATGTATTATGCCTACATATTTATATTTTACTATTAAACATAATCATTCAAATATACTAGATTGTTAGTGTTGTGTAAGTGTAAGTAATCTCAGCTTGTAACGAATGATTTATGTACATTTTAATTCATACAAATAAAAATACATACAAAACGAAGTCGAAAACTCTTGTTGCATTTGTCTTCTCTTAATATTTGTTTCTTTCAGTTTCCCGCAAATAGTCCTTTGCACAAGAAAATTAACTCAGAGTTGCATTTGAACATAATGCAGATTTGCTGGTTTCCGTAAAACGCAGGGTTGTATTTGAAATTTAGAGGCAGTTTTTTGTAGTATTTTTTATTTGCATTGGCTGTTTCTGCAAACCAAAAAAAAACCAAAAAAAAAACTTTAGTACCAAAATGTAAGTACCTAAATTATTGTACCAAAGGTACAAAATAATTTGGTATGCATAATAGGTTTTTGTTTAATTAGATATTTAAGTAAGTTAAATTTTATTTTTAAACGATAATAATGAATGACAAACATAATTATTAATCTATGTAATCGTATGATTTATTTATCTAAAGTTTAGCAAGCTACTTGCAGAAAATATTTGACTGACTGAAGTCATAAAATATAAAATCAAAAAACAAGAAACATATCAATTAGATACTTATGTCTCTGGATAGCGGCAATATGAATTGCTTTCGATCGACTCGTGGGGTATCCATTCCTCGTATAGGGGCAAACGATTTTTGAGCGCTTCAATTTCGCGCAGAATTCTCATTACATTTCCGCCAACCAGTTTCTTGATCGCCGCATTGCCCCAGACTCGATCTCGAGCCAGCTCTGCCAGCAATAGAGCATAACTCTTGGGAGCACCACCCAGGCCAATGTGATCCACACCAGCCACCTTTCGTACATAGTTAATGGCAATTATTGCCTCCCTCACATTAATTGGTCGATCTCCACAGCGCTCCAAATTCAGTAGAATAACTCCACCATTTTCGGGCAGCAAACTGAAATGTTTTCAGTAAATAACAGAGATTCTGAATTCCAGACTGACAGCTTACCTGAGCACATGGTCCGGTATAGAAGCCACGTTGGTGCCATTACACATGGAAAGCGGAGCAGCATTCATCAGAAGAACAGGTGCCTTGGCGGTGCGCAGGGCTATTATCATTGCCGTCTCACTCAGCTGCGATATCTCCACCAACATGCCCAGGCGATTCATTTCGAATAGCATTGTCTGAAAAGTAATAAAAGCCAAAAGTTTATTTGAAAGTCTTTAAAAAAGTACTGAAAGCGTGTATCGAGAGAAATTTATGAACAACAAAAATACATAAATACATAATTTTAAGAAGAAAAATTTAATAAAAACATCATTCAATCTATTTGCATTCACCTTGCCGAATTCATTAAGCGAATTGGTCGCATTCTCTTCGATTAGATAGTCCCTTCTCCTGATGGCAGCTGAAGCCCAAGGCGTGGTGCACTCCAAGCTGGTAATTGAAACGAATCGTGCGCCCAGCAGGTAGAGCGAACGCAGAACGGCCAGGCTGGTGCCCAGGGCGTGGCCGCCGCCGATGCCCATAAGCACAGCCACCTCGCCTCTGATATGTGTCTGTTCCATCTCATCGGCAGACTCCACAATGTGCATGGAGTTGGTGGCAGCCGTGATGCGTTTCGCCTCATCGATGCCCTCCAGCACCAGCTGCACTGCATCCAGGTACTGGGCGCCGCAGTGCACTGCAATGGGCCACAACACGGCACCAATATGATTTTGCCTTATATCGGTCATGCCGCTGCTGTTTAGCTTCACATCACTTGGCGGCTTCCAGGCGCCCTCAATCAGAGGTGATTCCGTCAGAAGCCGTCGAATGAATGCCAAACGTGCCTCCAGCAGCGACGAGGAGCGCAACTGAAGTGCCAATGGAATGCCACCAGCCATGGCAATGCACACTAGAACCACGCAAACGCCTACCAAAATCTTTCGACCCCGCGCACTACCCGGTCGCTCGGCGGACGACTCACTGCAGGAGTCCTTCTTGCAATTGTAGCTCGGGATGCCGCCATTGGCGCAATGCAGCTTCTCATTGCCCCCACCGAACTTAGTTATCTCCGCTGGCAGCTCAATGTCCGCGATCTCAGTGAACACAAAGCATTGCTGCTTGCAATGCGGCTGGTGCTGATGCAGCGGGTGCACCTCCATAAAATCACGATTTGGCACTGGATTCATTGCATCCTCTAAAGTATGCAACAATTTTATTTATCTGTATAAGCAGCTTTTTTCCAAAATAAACAGCACAATGCGAGAACTTCGCTGTATTGATTTTCCTTTTTCAATTTACTCGCTTGGAGGTCCTGCGCACTGAAGTCCTAGCCAAAGTTTTGATAGTCTGGCAGCATTTCTAAATTAATTTAAAAAACTCTGTTATAAGACTCTTAAATAAGTCATTGACAGCGATAAAGAAACAGTTAGCCACCACCTTTCTATGCGATTCTCACTTGAGGCACAGAGATATAAAGAAGTACTTTAACTTACCTATTTAGCCTCTCTAATATATTCACATGAAATCACAATTGACACAAAGCAACAGAATTTAATTAAATGTAGAAACATTTAGAAAATATTTGAAATTTAATAGAAAATCTATATAAAGATAACTTATTGAATACGTATCTATTTTGTAATTACTAACTAAACTTTTTTATGAGCAGCTAGCACAATATTCATTAGTGCATGGTGCGGCAGAGTCTCCAGCACGCACAGCAACTGGATATGATTTGTGATGTAGTTGGAGGCCAACGCTATTTGCACGGCTTGAGCAAAGCGTTCCATGCATTTTTGATAGGCGGCATCCTCTTCAGGCGCTACTTTCGTCTCAGTGAGACGAGCGCAGTACTTTTGTAAAGATGTTACAATCTGCATTAGATCCTGAGCATGCAAAGGCGTTGACTCGCCGTTGTTGACTGTTTTTAGTAGTGTGTGAAGCAATGATAAATGCAAATTGCTATAAGCCTGTCGATTCGAGACCAATGGGGCTAATACCACCCAGCGCAACAAACCAGCCAGCGGGGTCGCAAACGGCATGGCAATGGCGCCAGCAGGTAAAACAAGCGACTGTTGTGGTGCCTGGCAGAGCTGCGGATTCTCTGTCGTCCATTCTGTAATTACATCTAGTAGTGCATCTGGTGGTGGTGTCAGAGCGCCGCTACGCTTCTCATTTAGGTAGAGATCAGCCACGGCCACCATAAAATTAGCAGCAAAGTGCGGACCTACCAAGGGTAGATGTCTTAGTTGCTCAGGAGTTTTGCGCGAAAACGAAATAAAGTCGCTCACTATGTTCTGGGCAACCTCTAAGCTAGGCGGCGTCTTGCAGCCCACTTGTTGCATCCATGTGCCAGCCGAAGAGAGCAGTGGGGCTACCGAGCCCGATACCGCAGTGCTTATTAGTCTAGATAGAAGCCTAGATCGCTGTGGCGTCAAATGACTCCCAAATAGAGAGAGAAATATCGCATTGCGTGTATCATCCCGGCCAGGCCTTGAGAAGTAATCAATGAGGGCGAGAATCAATTGGAACTCTTGATAGATATTCATTTGACTAATGCCCCCTGTTTGCATTTTGCGCACATCTCCATCCTTGGCACGTTCCAGAAATATGAATTCGGAAATGATTTGCATTGCCAAGTTCTGTTTATTTCGGCTTGCAATGAGAGTCTCTGCAACAAGACATAAACATTGCATACAAGAGGCGGATAAGGAATCGATGTATTTGTACTGACCTAATCGAGTAAGTGCCTCAACTGCACACATTGGGTACTCGAATTTCCGCAAACTAACTTTACCATCTCCTACAGAAGCCATTTCTGTAAAAATTATTAAATACGTATTCTTCAAATGTTGTTTTCGGCCTAAGGTTGTTGTTTTACAGTTCAGTGTTAATTTTAAGAACAGCTGATTGGCATTAACTATCGCTTATTAGTTATCGATAACAAATTTTGCGGAGATTTTAAAAAATAGGTTTCCTTCCACACCACAGATCGTTACATATATATTTAGAATACAATAAAATACAAAACAAATTGGAAAAAGACGGCAATATCATTTATTTTGATCAATGGTAAAAGTGTTTCTTTTTCCTAATGCATTATTACCAATTAATTTATGGTCAAATTTGAATTACATATGTATGTAAATAGCGCTATCATTATTGCATGTATTGATTATAAAATAAAATTGGGGTTTTCGTTATATCAGTAATTTGGTTAAACTTTGTTAACAACAAACATCAGTTAATGTCGAAACTAAAGTCTGTTTAACGTGAGATGCGACTACAGCCCTAAATCAATAAGTAATTAACAATTAAAAGTGTATTAAAAGCCCGCTTGCCTCCATATTCAGTTAAAATATGAAATATTACTGAACGTATTCAGTCTGATTGATATATTTTAACCGAACGCAATGCGAATCGAAGTTGACAAAGTAGTTAAAATGGCAAATGTTAAACAAAATGGTTCGGCACATTTTGAAAGTTGATAATAATTAAAAGCCAATACACAATACATAAGCATGTAAATAAATATACATACATATGAGTAATAAGTTTTAAAAAAAAATACTATTGTTTCTCGAAAAGCTTTAAACAGTATCCATACATACGCGCGTCTAGGCGTTTGTGTTTGTGTCCGATTATGTGTGAGACAATGTCAATGTACCTTATATAACTTTAATGCTAATTGTAAGTCATGCTGCTCATCCACATTGTTTTTTGTAATGGCAGTCTTGTGTTTGTCGCCGTCCCGGCAAACAAATTGCAACTTGCTGCTGGTTGCTGATTGCTGGGATATGCGCACCACATTTAGATCGACATTGGGAGTTTACTTACGACTAATTCAGAGTAATCACGTACCTATTTATGTAGACTTACGCATTAGAGGATTTGAACACACACAAACATAGGAAAATATCTAAAGACTAATCGAAACGGACGAAACTTAAGCTGGATATTATGATTGAAAGTTGATTGTGGTAAAAAATCGATTGCATATAGTTTAGAATTAACAAGTATTCGTTTATAGCTATAGATTCTGACTTTTTTCTTTTGACTAATAAACCCCATTTTCATATTGCAAACCTCTACTGCGCAGACACCACATAAATAACTCGTTAAGCAAATTGCGGGTTTAGGTCATGTTCCACGAGGACGACGATGAACTGGATGAGCAATCGTCACTCTCTGTCGTTGCATTGCTGCCCGTCGGTTTAGGGCCCCAAATACGAACGGTGGCATCGTCGCTAGCGCTGGCCAGTAAGGACGGATAGACTGGATTCCAGGACACGCAGTTAACCGTCTTGGTGTGACCGATCAGCTTGGCCAATGGCTCCTCACGCTTGAGATGCCAAATATACACAACCTTATCCTCGCTACCGCTCGCTACAAAGCTCTCGTTTACCCCGCCAAAGCAGGAGTGAATAGCAAAGTTGCTTTGTCGTATGCCCTGAAAACGACGCACCAGACACTTATCCTCGATATCCCATAGATGCAAGCCCTGATTGGACACATTCAACAAAGCCAAGCGATCGGCCGAATTGATGCTAAATGTCATAATTGGATGCGGCTCTCGCAGTATATCAAAGTCCGAGCGTGGGTTATCGAAATTATAGCTGCAATTCAATTGGAATATTATAAACTAGAATATATCTGTTATATGTTAATACTCACCCTCTTATGCGATAATGATTATCGGCTGCCAATATAGTTTTGTTATCTGCACGAAAGGCGACGCTATTTACACGTACTCCCTCCCATGAGTCGATTAATGTGCCGTTCAGATCGCACAGATATAGTTGGCCTTTTTGGCCACCGCAGACAAAATGATTGCCATCACGGCTGAATGTGCCACAGGCCAGGCTATCGTCGAGGGATTGCGAGAACTTCACAACCAACTTGCCATCGTCTACATTCCAGATAAAAAGCTCGTGCGAGTCCTCGGTACCGCCCACTAGAATAAGCTTTGAGTCCGGACTCCAGCTGACGAAGCTAACGTTCAACTGCGCCTGACCGTCGAGCACACGACGATTTTTGAGCGTCAGTTTGTATGGATCTACATCCCAGATGATCACAGTGGAGTCTTTGCTGCCCGTTGCCAACTTAAGGCCATCAGGCGAGAACTTACAGAACCAGACCTCGTCACAATGATCGGTCAGTACTTGTATTGTCTGCATGGGAAAGCCATCTGTGGTGCAACAATGATCTGTTAGCAGCGACACCGTCTGCAGGTTTGTCTCCCAAGCCATATCGTGAAAAGGGCAGTCTTGGCTCTGCAGCTCTACCGCCTGCTGAAGCAACGTGCGCAGGCGACGCGGCGACATCATCACCGATGGCGGCATAAATGTCTGCAAACGTTCCATCACAAGTGCACGCGATGTTATGCCCTTGCCCTCCCATTTGGCGCGCTGGTAGAGGTCATGATTGGTCGAACACATCATATAAGAGGATAATTGATGCACACGCGAAATGTTGTGCTGCAGTGGCGTCAGTTCGCTGCGCAGCACGTGCAATGCATCCAACGGATTGCCATCATCCAAATGCTCCAAGTATTTCTGCTCTAGCAAAATGAATTTCATTTCCGTTATTATTGTTGATGATTTGCCATTATCAATCAATGGCTCCAAGTCCTGAAAATAAGATTATAGTAAGATGTTGAAGGCCAGCTTAATAAAAGAAAAGATGATTAGAGTTGTGCAAATATTAAGTATAGATATTATATGAAATATCATCATCATTTATGTCATCTAGTAGATGCTCGCATATCCGTACTGTATATAAACATTCTTAATGGATATACATAAGTTCTAAACACCTACCTTTAGATCAGCGTCTGCTTTATTCCAGTCACCCACAAGAACATGTTCCCTGAACTTTGTGGCCGACGGATGCTCCAAGTAACAGTTGGATTCCACCATTAAAGTCTTTACCGACTTCTCGAGACCAACGTCGTGCAGATATTGGCCAATGAGGCGTATAATCTCTTGATTTGACTTGTCCAAATGAATGCCACTGTATCCGCTATTATTCTCTCGATTGTTTTCACCGTCCACTGCACAAACATTATTGCTGCCATTGTTATTTGCTGCGAAACCATTGTGCTTTACATCATGGCCGTTTGTCGTATTATTGCTATGGCCGCTCGAGGGTTGGGCAATTTCATCGGCTGCCCCATCGCCCCCGGCACCAGTGTCGTTGGTGACATTGTCGCTGCCTACGGGCAGCTCCACAGCGGTGCTAGAACCTTCTGAGGTGCCGCCGGCAACTCCTTGTGTTGTGGAGGGCGACAACGCTGTCGTATTCTGCATATTCATGCCAGAATCGTTGTTGTTGTCGTTTATGTTGTTGTTGCTGTTAGTATTGCTATTGCTGTTGCAGTTGTGTGTATTGGAGGTGTCCGTTGGGGACGTTGTGGAATTTGATTGCAGTCTACTTGCGTCCGTATTGCTTTTGCTTTGTCGTGATTCACTTCTGTTGCTCTGTAGCTGTTGCTGTTGCTGTTGCGCTGCTCTAGACGTAGACGCTGCGTTTGAGTCTACAGCAGAAACTGAATTTGATCCACCTGAGCGACGTCCCTTTTTGCGCGGCGGCTGGTCCCCGGCTGAGGCACCAGTTGCAGCAGCCTTTCTGTTCTTTCTATCAATTTTGAGTACTTTTTAGGATCCGCACGGCAACAAGTAGCCACCACTCCACTCCACTCTTCACGTCTGTCCAATCCGTATCGGCCTACTTTTTATCTGTTAATCACCCGCCACGCTGACTCTGGATCTTGGGATCGTTGATAACAATGAGCTCCGATCCACTGCCAAGAGAAAGATAATTAAATTTAATGTAATTTAAATCGCATCAATTGTCAATATACGTATATTTGTTTATATTTATATAAATTAATATTATATAATAAATTTACATTTATAATTTTTCAAGCTGTGAAAAGTTCACAAAATATTTGCTAATCATTGAGAATCTATTGTGAACAAAAATGCGTTTATATTTTACTACGCAGCACGCTGTAGATTTTCTTATCTTTTATGTTTGCCATGTGTGCAATAAAAGGGATTATAGTATCTATATGTTTCATATTTCAATCTATTGAAATTAATTTGTATTTAATCTGTGTATTTGATCGGCAACAAAATAGTCAGATGAATCTATTTTATACATAAATACGTATGATATACTAAACTTTCGAAGTTACGATTGCAACGCAACTAAAGATTTTCATATTCTAAATAAATATATATATATTTCTTTTTAATATTTATTAATTAATAGCACACACATACACATTTGTCAATTTATATTTTATATACACATGTAAGTCTGCATGTGTCTTCATCAATGATGTACACAATATGTACCCCAATCTTATGAAAATTGGTGTACCCACATACATGCATACATATAGGCCATGCATTTATGCTGCATGTATGTGTTAAAATGCATTTACTACTTGTAATAATACTGGTTCGGGTATGCATAGCCAAAAAGAAGCCCGAGCACAATCGGGTTTTTAACAGAAACGAGCCGAGCACCGAGCTAAGAGTGTGCCAGAAAGGGAACAATTGCATTCAAAACAAAAACAAAGTGGAAACAAAGCTGCTGTTGGTGAACACCAATACATTGGCACGCTTGCGTTGCTCTTCCATGGTCGTCTCTGATGTAGTATATGTATATGTATGTGCATTTATATATAAGTATAAATATACATATATATACATTTATTTATTTATTTACGACATACTCGCGTAAATTCACGTATTAATTTTTACTTTTTGACCACACATGATCATTTAGTTGCTCCTGCATTTACAGTTAAGCACTAATGGGTTAAAAATTCGTAGACTTCCTACTCTTTGTGTCGCACATACACACATACGCACACACACTCCAACACTGTGTGTAAAAACAAAAACGCACTACCACACACGCATACATATCCAGATTACATATGTATGCATGCATATGTACGTACACATAAATACAGCAAACTGCATACATATACAGCTTATTTTATTTCATATCTGCATTTCTTTTTTAACGTTCTGTATGCAGACATTAGTATATATTTCGTTTAGTAATTAGTTATTTTACAACGTATGTATTGCCTTATGAGTTTACGATGAACTTCTTTTATGCACTTTCAACTAAAAACAACGACAAATGGTCACACAATAGATAAAACGAAAAAAACGTAGCTTAAGTGTGCCCAAATAAAATCGGAGGTAAAAAAAATATTTTAGTATTTATAATATACCGAAAGCAACTAATTTTTCTAGCCTTGAATAGCATTGGATTGATAAGCTATCAATGATGAAACAAATATTTTGTAATGATATTTAATAACATATCAAGAATTGTTATTCTATAATGACAACCTATACACAAAATAAATAAGAAAATAAAATAAAGTACATAATACGACAGATATCTAAATAGTTTTTGTATTTTACGTGATAATGGCAACACTATCAACGAAAGCGCATAATTCGACATGTTAAATGCTAATCGTTTAAAGTAGTCGAAATCCGATCATCGAGTGGTACTTTTGTATCTACGTTTGTATATATATATATATATTATTATTGTATTTATATAGAGCTTATAAGCAAGTGCGGTGAAACTTATTGAATACATATCCTTGTATTTAACGCGAAGTTTAATATTTCTATATTATAAATGTGATTAAATTTTATATAATAGTATAGAATATTTTTGGGTATTATTAAGCTATATATTTAACAATTTATTAACAAATTTATGTATGTACAAACAAATAAATTTGAATCAATCTGAGTTCCATTCAGTTAAACCGATTTTCTACGATTTGCTAGGATGCTCGTAATGAAGAACTCGCCAGCTTTGTAAGAGCTACGCACAAGAGGTCCACTGGCAGTATAAAGAAAACCTAGCTCATTGCCTCGCTGCTCCCAATGCTTAAATTTCTCCGGCGTAACATACTCGATGACTTTGAGGTGCCTCTTTGTAGGCTGCATATACTGACCAAGGGTCAAGCACTCGACGCCAACTTCTCGCAAATCTAACATTGTTTGCTCTACTTCTGCATCCGTTTCGCCTAGACCCAGCATTATGGAACTCTTTGTAATGAGATTCGGATTGAACTTCTTGGCCTCGCGCAACACTTGAAGTGTTTGTCTATAGTGAGCACGGCGATCACGTACAAATGGCGTTAGCTTTTCCACTGTTTCTATATTGTGTGCATACACATCAAGACCGCAACTCGCAATTGTCTTTACACACTCGAAATCTCCACGAAAATCGGGCACCAAGCACTCTACAAATATGTTGGAGTTGCTGTAAGAAAATAAGTTTGTAATTAGAATATTTAAAGCCAACAATCAATTATTGCGTACCGTGCTTTAATTTCACGTACTGTCTCTGCAATATGTTTGGAGCCGCCATCAGGAAGATCTGCGAGTGTTACATAAATTAAATAGCTGACTTATTGCTTTTATCAGTTTGAACGTTACCATCACGATCCACAGATGTCAACACTATATAATCCAGGCCCCAGGATGAAATTGCTTTGGCCGTGTTCACAGGTTCGTTAACATCCAAAGGCGGAGGCGCTCGAGCAGTTTTTACCGAGCAGAAGCGACAGCCGCGCGTGCAAGTGTCCCCCATTAGCTGTAATCAACAAAATATATGTTATCAGCTATCAGCAAAGGTGGCATAGGTCTTACTTACCATAATTGTCGCCGTCTGTGTTCCATGCTCGCCACCGCCCCAGCATTCGCCGATGTTGGGGCAACGCGCCTCCTCGCACACTGTGGACAGCTTCAAGTCTCGTAGCTGAGATTTAATCTTAGCATAATTCTTGCCCATTGGGATTGTTGTCTTTAACCATGGAGGCAGACGCAATTGTTGGGTTTCTCCCTTTTCGCGACGCAATTTGCCATCGTAGTTATCCCAGTCGTCTTTCACACCGTCCGAATTTCGGATAAAATCTTGAAAATTTGGGCCCTTTGATAACCGTTCACGAATTTCTTCCAGCTTTTCGACGCGTGTCGATGCTGTTCGCTGCAAATTAAACCAAAAATTAGTCTGCATCTATATTTTTAAAGTGATAATACTAACCACCAAATTAGTCGTTGGAGCATTGAGTTTTCGTAACATTGTTTTTAAAACTATATAAGTGTTTAATATATTCGCATCTGTTATTTATTAGTATCTTACGAAATAACTAGATACCAATCGATTTCTATCGATATATCGTCCAATCTGAAAAAAAGATGTGTGTATATTAGTGATCGATAAAAGAAAGAATAATGCTGAAATAAATACTAAGCAATCAGGCTGAGTCCATTATGCTCTAAACATACATTTACATTTATAAATAATTTATTAATCGATAGCACAATAAATGCAACCGTTTATTTTTTACCGCTTGACGCTGTTTTAAATAGGTAAAGTGGGCGTACAATATGTTTTACATTTACGGTAATTCTGCAAATATAAAAATGCAATTTTTATAGTCTGCGTAAATTATTAAAATTTCTTTATTTATATGCAATTATATACATATGTATATTAATATATAATTAATGCGTAATTATGTAAACTTATATATATGAATAAGCATGCGTACTTAAAAGTTTACGAATATATTGATTGATTGATCTTATGTTAGTTGTATGAATTTAAAAACAAAAAACATAAACTGGCGTAAAAAAATTAAGCTAAATAAAAATAATTCTGATATTTAGGGTGATCTAAGCCAATTACAAATAAGCATTTGTGGACGGAAAATATATTCTTTCGTTCATTGTAAGAACATTTGAACGTTAGATTAGTTTAAAACCTCTATTGGAATGTTTCGCAGTGGTGGGCAGGAAAAGTTACACTGTTCATAATTGCGATACTTATATGATGTAGATGTATATATAAATACAGTTCTAAAAGTGTGTAAATTTGTGTGTCTTTCATTGGCATTATGTGCCTAAATTTATATTAAAATATATTGAACAATAAATTAAGCAATAATATCTTAAAGAACAAAACAGATTACTCAAATTTTCGAATAAAAACAAAACTCCTAAAGCTATAGATGAATTTCGTTGCATTTCTGTGTCTTTGTGCTTCTTTGATGAAGCTCGAATCGAATAGTTTTAAATAAATCCTAGAAGCGATCTTTCGATGTAGCGCTATATTCTAGTTCGTTAAGATTTTGTATTTCTTGCAGTTCCTGGAACTTCTCATGATCACGAATGTGCGCGTAATTGGCAGAAAGGCACATCAGATAGTGCACAAGACTTAGAATGACCAAAAGCGTGGACAGCGTAGCTAGAATGAACATAACCTCAGCGTTCTCAACGCCATCCTTGCAGAATGCCTTGATTTCGTACTTTTCGCATACTTTCATGTCCTCAAGCTTCGTGTTTGGTGGAAACATGAAATCTGTAGGTGAGAGTAAATTTATTTAATTTTTTACTTTCAGTTAATATATTATTTTAATCTCATCTTACGAAATTGTGTCAAATCAATGCAGCTTAGCGAGTGCTCGACACTCGAACACATGTTCCAGAACATGGTGTAAATAAATGTTACTACAACCAAGAAGCATAAAATGAGCGTCCACACGAAGTTAAGTAGATACGTAATGCCCATTAGCACTGCACAGGAGATGCGACCGCCGACGCGTGATCGCCACGCCCGGTAAACCTTATAGCGTGTCGCACCCGTTGCTAGAAAGCCCACAAACAATATCATAAAACCAAGAGCAGCCATGCCAGCGGCAATTATAACAAATATCATCTGTACGGCCTCGATCCTGAAATACAAATGTTGTGTATGAGTCACGGTTATCAGAATAAGGCAGCATTAACTAGCTCACCATATTAGTCGCAGGTGGAAGACTTGATCCATCATAATAACTGTTAGCGATGCTCCTCGATACATTGTGCCACAGAATATGCCAACGCCCAGCAGGCACATAAGTGTTGCAATTAGCGTTGCATAGGGTATGCGAGCCATACATGATTGGCAACAGTCCGCTGAAAAGATTAGCAATAGAATCAGTTAATGAGATTAGGAATTAACAGAATATAAAGTTTTCCAATTGTAAACAGTTCACATTACAAACATCAGTAACGAATGTAATTCAAATTACAATCTTGTTTTTAGACAATTACAGATATTGCATGTTCTAAATTTCAGTGTTGATAAACGGTGCAGCAAAGTAAGCTATGCACTATATGAACTAAAGCACATAATTTCCGCATGTGCTTGTAATAAAGTGTAATTAGGTGACGAATTGGTGCGAGGTAAACATACACATGCATAGGTACGCATGTGTACATACTCTCACACATAAACAGATATAGTCAAGATAAGAGCAGTGATAAGGCACACGAAATGCAGGTGGACAAAGACAAAAAATAGTGCGTAAGCCATATTCTGTGCCATGTAATATTTTTAAGTATGTATATTACCTTCACCGCCGCGTTCAGTGTACCTATCCAAGGAGCGATCCGACTGGTAGGCACTGTGTCGCCTATTCTGGTAGGGATTATTGTTATAGGCACGCGTAAGCACCCCACCATCGTCTTCGAAGTTCGTTTCGAGCAGTATTTCTTCGCGTGGATCTCGAATACGATCACGATTATTGTTATTCCCTTTGCCAGACATTGTGCGCAACGAAGTATCTATTGAATTTCGATTTTTCAGATCTCGCGTAGCTGTTTGTTGAGTAATGTTTAATGCTCTTTAACCGCGCACTTCACATTTCTTTTTTCTTTTAATAAACTTAACACAATATGTGAATCACGCTCACTTCGACGTCACCGGGAACAAGCAGACTGAAGCTTCGCTCTTGGCCTGCGTATTCTACTTGTGTGTATCTAGTGAGCCCTTCTCACTCAACGGCAATCGTGCTCTCTTCACATTCGACTTCGACTCCACTCACTGCTCGCGGTTTTCTGTCTGCGTGAGTACGAATTTCGATTTCGTGTTGAGCAAATTAACGCTCGTTGTTGTTGCTGCTCTCTGGAACTGAGGTGCGGTTGGAGCCAGTTTGTTTGCAGAGAGAGTTAGCGAGCAACAAGAACTTATTATCTCATACGGCTTATCAGTTTTACTCTCTTTCGATATTGGGCAGAACAGCAGAACTGTTGACCAACTGCTAACTGACAGTGGTCATTCGAATTCGAAATTTAAACAGTCTTATTCTGGTTCAATTGAAGTATTCAATTGAAAGGTCACGTACAGCAAGTGACACACGACATACATAAGCACATATATGTCCATATGTGTGTATATAAATTGCATATGCCAATTTGTAGTTCTTCTTTGTTCAATTGAGCGGCTTAAAGCTGAGCTAAAGTTCACATCTGCAATGCGAACTGAAGTGAACTCTCAACATTTACCTAACGCTAATTAAAGCATTAAAGCATAATAAACGTCAAAAATAGTAAGTATATACATTTTTTAATATATGCTTTCTAATTTTTGAAAACTTCAATGAATTTACGCAATAATTAGTCGTATATATAATAAAAATATCTAAACGAATTGTAGAAAAGTGTAAGTCGTAAATGGCCAAGTGTAACCTGAAAATTTTTTGGGTAAACAATAGTTTAATAAAAATAAATTACCATTAATTTTAGTACATGTATTTTCTTTCATCTTTACGCTAAGATCGTTAATTTTTCAGATTACCTTTGTGCATTGTTTCACGCGTATTTGTACTTTCGTTATTTGCTGAAAATTTGCTAGACCCTTTTAGTATTTTTTGAAATTAACAAAAAAATGTAAATAAGTTACTTAAAAACACACTTAAAATATTGTATATTTTTTATGTATTGAAAATCTAATCCTATAAGCCATCCCATATAATTAATTAATTAATAAATATCCCAAAGGTAAAAAAGGGTACTAAACAAAGTCGGATTAATGCTTGAATGTTGTTTGTTTGTCTGTATGTGTGTATGAATATATGTTTGTAAGATAGTTTCAGCGCGAGCTTTGCATGTTCGAAATTCACATGCAAACGGAACTGCATCATTTCTTAAAAACTAGGTCATTGAGTTATGAGCATTTAATATTACAGTGAAACTTACGCATTTTGATTTGGTTAAATATCCTCTTCTTTAAATTATTTAAAAGTTGCAAATCAAGAACAATTCAAGCAGCTTTGCTGGCAGGATAATACGCGGGCTTGGTCTTGCAGTTGTTTACAGTTAATTTGTTTACATGTGTACGAACGCTATAAGATTGAGTGTGTATGTGTGTGGCACTGAATGAATGTGGTTGGAGGTGTTAGCTGGTACGCACGAACGAAGTCAACAGAAACCAGTTTTTGAGCTATGGGCCAGACTCTGCGCGACTAAGCCAAAAGAGACATGCCAACCACTAAATAATAATTGGGATTTATGAATTACACTTTATGTTTTGTAATTCATTTGAGATATATATATTTAATTTTTCTTAGGAACGCACATTTATTACTGAGCTCGTAAGCTCAGGAATAAAATAAAGCAAACTTAAAACAAACTGTGCAGCACTGTCAAAAACACTAAATTCGTGTGTATGTACAAAAAATACTAGTGATGTTAAAATGGTATCGATTTCATTTGTATATCGATGTTTAGAGATTTTAATAAAGCGATATTTTTAAACTAGTCAGCATGGAACCTATTATATTATTTTTAAACCTAGCTCTATTTTTTTTATATTAAAAAATAAAGTTTAACTTCCCATACATAATTTTTTATTTTAATTTTGTGTTGTAAACTAATATTTATTATTAACTATATTTTGTAATTCTTGAGATTTATATATTTTCCGTCTCAGACAGAAATTGAAAATAACGAAGGATTCATATTAATTTTCATACATATATATATATAAATCAACATCATATACTGTTATCAAAGTAATATTTATAAAATATATATTCATATAAAACATAAGATGAGAATTTTACTTTTTCCTTAAAAAAGAAATTAATTTGTAAATGGTGGGATCTATATTAGCATACGATTGTGCCAAGGTGCAGACGTCGTCGCCTTGGAGTTCATGGCATTACATTCAAACTTTTTGCTATTCATCAGAGGAGCACACCTCAACTTCATCTGCACCTGGGGCAGCTGGGAGAGTCGATCCCTAATAGCCAATGGCAGGTCGTCATGGTTGGGAAAGTGGGTGGAAACCCCATTGGGTTGCGTATATGTTACACCTCCACCCTGAGTCTCCGGTATGACCGAAATAACTGATCCGTCATAGAATTGAACTTGAACAACTCCATGGGACAGCTGAAATTAAATTGATATTAATTTACATTTTCTTTAAGTGTTGTAAAGGCCCAAGCCTACCTCTGTGGCAGTGCCTATGCCTTGGATATTCAATCGCTTAATCGGCACATTCTGTTGGGCAGCTAACAGCTGGGAGGCAATCAAATCACTATCACTGCGCATCGAGGAGATGGTGCTCATTGAGAAGTTGATGGATCCCTGCAAGAGCAAAATAATATTTAATAAAGAACTAATTGGTGCTTGATCTTTAACTACCTGCTGTGACTTGGGCGTAGAGTAAGCGAAATTGGTCGTATCTCTCAGACTGTCTGATCGTTGTGGAGGCAACACTTCCGTAATGGGCCGCCTTCCAATTGTGACTGGAAAACAAGTATTGCTACCAGTTTGCGCCAGCTCCAGTGCATTGCAAATGCTCAGGCAGTGTGCGAAGCATTCATTGCTATGTTCAATCATACGTTGTGTCTCTGCACTTGTCTGATCCGAGAGCAATGCGCCGTGGGCATCATACACTTTAATTCCTTCACTGGGAGATTTGGTCAGCTTGGCACCGGAATAGTAGGTCATCTCGAAATCGGCCATGTTTTCCATTAAATGACATTTCGCCAATTTGCTGAAGTACGTAACTTTCGGAGTTTTGCTCTTTACCAAGCCCACAAATCGCGCTGCGTAGACATACTTCTTCCAGTGTTTGCTGGGCAAGTTATCATAGCTATAAGCGTTATCAGTGCCATTTGAGTGCAGCTCTGAAGGCTTCTCTCTTATGGGCAGTCCTCTGAAAGTAATTATTTATATTAAAACTTGTATCTCATTTTCTCTTAATTTTTATTACCGTCCCGGATCTGGCTGATAGATTATTATGCGCCGTCCGTCGCTAGAAATGCGACATATATCAACAATTCGATCTTCATTCATTTTACTTTTGCACTTTATAAATTCGATGATTACTTCGCCATTTGCCACAATGCTCATGATTGCATTCTTGGTCTTATAGCGTGTCGGTTGCAAACGGAGCGTGTTTAATGGTGGAACGGATATACGCTCATTATTGGGATTGGCAGTTTCTGGTACAGGTGCAAGCGATGGTGTCGAGGGTGCCAAAAAATTGCACTTTTGTGTATTTTGCCCCATACGCTTCCAGTCCATATCGGTGCTATCCATCGCGTCTGTTGATCCCACCCTGAATTGATTCTCCTTATAGAAACCAAATTCTTCCTGGATCTGTGGCAGTATTTGTGGTATAGATTGCTGTTCTCCCGAGCGTATCCGTTGCGAGTTCTTTGAATCATCTAAGATAGAGATTTATTGATAATGTAGCTAGCATTTTGATTTATTCTACTTACTGCTCGCAAATGTCACAATGCCACTATCGCCACTGGCAATGCTTTGACCGTAGCAATCAGCTAGGGAGCTAGGTGTTGAATAGGAGATTGTGCTTCCACCTGCCTTCGACATAAATGGATGCCTGAGAACTTGCTCCAGGGAAATGCGCTCATGCGGATTCTTTCTTAACAGCTTGTCGATCAAATCGCGTGCTTCATAGGACAAATGTGCTGGCATTGTATAGTCAGAGCGTACCACCTTATTGAGTGTTGACTGTACAGCGTCTGTGTCAAATGGTGGACGCCCCACCAAGAGCGTGTAAAGCATGCAGCCAACGCTCCAGAGATCAGCAGGCAAACCATGGGACATGTGTGAAACCACCTCTGGTGAAATATAGTTGGGAGTACCGCACATGGTCATGTGTCTTTCGTCAGGCCTCTTCAACTGGGTCGCCAGGCCAAAGTCGGCAATTTTTACGTGCATATCCTTGCTGAGCAGCAAATTTGAAAGCGATATGTCCCGATGCATAATGTTGTGCGAGTGTAAGTAAAGTAAACCATCTACAACCTGGCGCAGTATAGAAGACGCTTCGTCCTCTGTAAATGGACGCTTCATTTGCTGGTTCATATAGCGATGCAGTTCACCATTGTCGGCCAATTCTAATATTAAGTAAACATAGTTGGCGTCCTGAAAAAATGTGTAAAGCTGCAACACAGACGGGTGCTTCAGCCTGGAATGTATGTCAACTTCTTGTCTAACTCGATTTGATAAGCCCGAGCCCTGTATGAGCTTCTTGTCAATCTGTTCAAATATTATTCAAAATTAATATAAATAGTCATGCCATGACTTCCTTATTATGTATTTACCATTTTAATGGCCACATTTTGATGAGTACGCAGACACTTAGCCTTGTAAACACAGGCGAAGCCTCCTTTGCCCAGCAGGTGCTGTACTTCATATTCCTACAATCACAAATATTTATTAAAATCACGTTATGAACCATTAACTTTAATATATTAATTTAATTACATCGATTGTTTCTCCGAAATTTCGATATGGTAGCATAGTTTACTTTGATTTACATTCACTTTTTATTCTTATTCTCATAAATAAACAAAAACAAGCCAAACACATTTAAAAAGAAGAACGCCAATTCGCTAGTGTTGGAAAATACTAAAAAATATATTTATGCAGTGCACACTGCATTTGGTATACTGACTTGTCGTTATCGATAGAAAAGAAATTTAGATCATTTTCTGCATTTATATTCCGATACCTTTTGAACAATTGAAAGCGGAGTAGATAAGTACTGGGGAAATACACATATATATAAATAAAGAAAGCTTTAAACAATTGATGAAATTGAATAACTTACAAATAATATTAATATTAAAAACTGATGAGAACAATTTTTTCTTTTCTAATCTAAAATCGATTTTAAAAAAATTAATCATTTTTAAACATTAGGCAACTTTATTTAAACCCATTAACCGTTTAATTACAGAATTCTAGTACTGATTATATGGTACTTTTTGATCCACTGCTTCTTCTCAGCGTTCGCTGCTGGCTTTTATAAAAAAAAAATAGAATTTTTATTTTTTAAACAGATTACGTACTCAATGTTTTAAATTATGAATTTTGTGTATATTTATATTGTGTTAACGGATTTACAGAACGACTTATTTGTGTTTGTGTTTAAATGTGACTTGGAAACCAAATCTATCGAATTGATTTGGGCGATTTGGAGAAAAAGGTGCGTGTTATTTGGAATTTCGTATTTTAAGATTTTTACAAATTTTCATTATTCAAATTGCACACATTTTTTGTGATCAATTATTTTCAGTCTCACACAGATCTTTTTATTATTAGTAATTTTTTATACACATATATTTATTCTTATCCGGCATTGTTTATATATTAAAAAATATAAGCTTTTTAAAATATCTGCATGGGTTTTTTTCTTTTCTTTGTTATTTTTAGTACACATTTACTTGATAAATTCATCATTAACTTTACAATTTTATTTAAATACCTAACAAAATAATCTTTTATAGCTTTATATGGACAACATGAGTATGTTGCTTAAACTAATTAATACTATTACTACTAACTTATTTGTAGTGTTATTCAAATATGAATATACTATGTATTGTATATATATATATATATATATATATATATATATATATATATATATATATATATGTATATAGATATATTTATATATATTGGTAAATATATATAAATAACAATTTATTTAATGGTACAATGCTAACCTTTAACTGCTTCAAAACTTCGCGTTGCTCTCCAATTTGTTTGTTAACTAAAAAGTATTTCAAATAGTCAAATTTTGTAACAGAATAAAAGTCAATGTGAACTAAACGAACTTTGATACACACATTGATTGATAGTGTTATTTCTCATGCTTTTTATTGCCAATATGTATGTAAGATATTATACTAAGCATTAAAAAAATGATAAACAAATTAATTTTCAATAGGTTATTTGTTTGCATATAGTATATACATATTACAATATTATACACCGGTCAATTCGAAATGCTCTTGTTTTTGTTTTGTTTTCTGTTTTTTTTTTTTAGCAATTCATCACTATTTAAATATAATCTTAAATTAGTTATTTTGTTTAAGAGACGACTTAAAGAATAGAGTGCTTTGGTAGAGCATGTCAACCCGAACTGCCTGCGAGTCTCCCTGCCAACTATTTATAATTGATTATAATTTTAGATGGTATTAACTTTGCCACCAGTCACACTCCACCTCCTCCCGCTGTTTATAGTCTTCCTCTTCTTCATTGAAGTATGAAGTATAGAGTAAATGCTAGGCATCCCCTACCATTGCAGCGCCGTGCTGTTGATACTTAGCTGAGCAAATGACACCTGGTGGCAGCGACTCTTGCTGTTCGCGTAGCTGACGACGACGCTTCTTGCTCCAAAGCTCATGGCAATCCTGCCATGTAGGCAATTGTGGTGTTGGCATTCTGTTAAATATACAAAAATACCAATAATTTCATTCCGTACTTAGTAGATGACGAGTTACTCACTCATCTGGGTTGATATTCTTCAGCCAAGGTGATCTCAGTGCATCTTCCGCAGTGATGCGTTTGTCGGGATCCAGATCAAGCATTTTATCAAGCAGATCAAGTGCTGATGTTGGCATAAACTCAAAATCTTCACGCAAACGTCGACGATGCGTTTTCTTTTGTTTAAGCGTGTGAAAGAGTGGCAGTTTAATTACATTTGGCCAAACGGCGGGAATCGGTGAACCACATATTTTAGATATTGTCTCCAGTTGGGCCATTTCTGCATTTGCCTGAAATAGCGGGCGCTTGAGGAACAGTTCGCCCAAGATGCAGCCACATGACCACACGTCTATTGATGGTCCATAACGTTCCTCGCCAAGCAACAGCTCTGGTGGTCGATACCAAAGCGTTATTACCTTGTTCGTGTACGGACGCTCACGGTCCTCAGCATTGTACAAACGGGCCAAACCAAAATCTGCCAACTTAACTTTACCCCTAAAATACAAATTATCATGATGTAAAATAGAGAAATTATATGAGGCCAATTTAAAATCATACTTGTTGTTCATCAAAATGTTGGAGCACTTTATATCTCGATGCAGAAAATTCTTTTTGTGACAGTAATTGAGGCCATCCAATAGCTGTTTCATAATGCTTGCATTGTTTTCCTCGTTAAAGTCCACCATGCCCGATTCTAGAAGGCCCATGAGATCGTGATCCATATACTCAAATACCAGATAGAAGGAACCCTTGTCCTTACGAAACTCAACAGCGTCTTGTTTATCAGTTACTATTTCATGAAGGTTCACAATATTGCGATGGTTGAGTTGTCTTAATATTTTGATTTCACGCACAGCCGTTATGGGAAAACCTTCCTTTTCGTGTTCCAATCGCACCTTCTTCAATGCTACCATATCATTGGTATGATGATCGCGCGCTTTGTACACCTAAAATATGAAGCAGTTTATATATATTAATTTATTTATAATTAAAGAAATGTTAGATTCAGATTTTACCTGTCCGTATGTACCCTCGCCAATCTGTGCAATCACCTCAAATACATCCACACATCGTTCGCCCCAATCCCTGACATTATTTCGCGAGTCGCGTCTATTGAGTATCACTGGACGTCGACGGGTTGCAGCATGTGATGCATTTGTATTAGCACCCGTATTTAAGTTGTTGCTGTTGCCACTGGGCGTATCAAAGTCCTCGGGACTGTCGATGACATCATCGTCGCCACTTAACTCCTCACTGCCCGGTATAACGGGTGGCATTGGCAGATTCAAAAGGCTTTTATTGACATTGGCGTTGGTGCTGGTATTTAGATTCTTATCCTCTGAGGGAACCTTCTTTGCTGATTTCGGCGTTGCTTGCTTGCTTACATCTGGAGGGGATGGCGTTGGAGCGTTCTCTAAATCAGCTACAGTAATGCCTGGTGGCATCGGTAAGGCCGTAAGACTCTTCGGTTTCTGATTGGCATTCATTTTAAAGGTTAGCGCAACTATTGTTGGAGAGGCATCTGTTACATCCCCAGAAACAGCAGTCGAATTAATCTTTAGCGCCTCAGTATCCTTGTTTGGCATTGGAATGTTGTTTAGGTCCAAATCAGGCTTAGCAGCAACACCCCCAGCACCGCCGCCGCTGCTAACAATTCCATTTGGTGTTGCACCAGCGGAGGATTGGATTGCCATATACGACGTTGATCGATTGTCTGCAACATTAGGCGTATTGCCATCTACCGAGGAACTGTTTTCGTTGATAGTCAAAGCACCGTTGCTGTTGCTATTCTCTTCCTGTCGTTCGATGATCTCTTTAAGTGCCTTTTTTCGCTTATGCCGATCCTTAACCAGCTCAGCAAACAAGCTAGTCTCACTTATCTTTTTGATATATTCCTCACGCTTATATTTAAGATCCCGCGACGCTGGCGAACGGGACAGTGACGCCGAGCTGCGACTGCTGCCTGAGCTAGGGGAGCGTTTGCGGCTACTGTTACGATGGTGCTGATGACCTCTTGGTGACCTTCGATGGTGATGTGAGGTCGACGCCGAGGCGCCGGCTGGTGATGGTGGCGATGACTCATAGTAGCGCGAACTTTGCCGCGGAGAACGCGAGGAGTAACGATCAGTGGAAATGCCCATTCCACTGCCTGATCCCCTCTTGGAAGACGTCCTCGTTGGCATTGGTGGTGAAGGCGAATGAGGTGCGCCATATTTGCTGTGTTTATGTCTACTATTACTTCGCTGACGATACATGCTACTGTTGCACGATGCGTTGCCTCCTCCTCCAGGTGAGAGTCGACTGCGTGACAGGCGATGAACGCTAGGACTCCTAATTGTAATGATTAATTAGAATATGCTGCATTTGATTTCGTATGCAATTACTTACCTGGACACCCTCCGTGAATATCTATCTCTGCTGTAACGTTCATATTTAACAGCATGGTGCCTGCCGTGCTCATATGGACCCATAGACGAAGACATAGACGCATCTCGTCCATCGCTATACTTTCGTCGCTTGTGTGGCGGTGTGCTCGGTTGATGGTGATAGCGATCCAGTTCTGTAAAAGTAAAAGCATTAGTAGCCTCTAATATGTTTCCGAATTAATGTTAACTGTCTTGAATAACTATTGCTATTATCATGCCCTTTGGTTGACTTCGCTTACCTGGTGACATGCGTTTCAATTTTCTCGCATCAAGACTGCTGCTCTGCCCACCCACCGATCCGCCAGAATAGCGGGATGCATACGCATTGCTTGATCGATGATCATCTTTTAAAGGACTCTGCACATAGCGGGAGCTACGCGATTCACGCGCGCTACTTCCGCCACCACCACCCCCAGCACCGCCAACAGTGGTTGGATGCGAGTGGCTAAGCGACTGCGGAGGAGTGCGTGGAGATGTGGCATATCGCTGGCTGCTAATGCTGCCACCAACTGCACCTCCGGCACGTGTTTGTGGCGATCGATGTCGGTTGTTTGTGGTTTTGTTCGTTACCGTTACCTGTAGACTGCTACCTAGGGGAGTGCTTGGAGCAGCAGATATTTCGCCATAGTAGGCATTATTACTACTATTGGGACGTCGGGCGGGCGGAGTACCCACTGATATGGGACTGCTTTGACTGTCTTTGTGAGGCGTATAAGAAGGCAACGCAGCGCTAACCGTTCGCTCGGCGCTCTTAGCTCGATTTGGTGCCGTAGGTGGCGTATATCGGCTATGCCTGTCCAGCAACGTATTCAAATTGCTGTCCGAAAGGGAGTCAATGCTTGAGTATGACTTCGCTCGCTTCTTCTTGCGCTTCTTTGACTTCTTTTTTGATTTGTGCTTATGCTTGTCCTTCTTCAGTTTCTTACGCTTCTGACGTTTCATTTCCGCCTCTAACTCGTCCGTATCTATCGTATCGCTAGACATGTAGAGCTCACGATTCCATTGCTCATCCTTCGAGCTCTTGGCTGGCGTCAGACTAACTTCGCTGCGATGCTGATGATTTTGTTTCTCGGTAACAGAGGTGATGCTTACCCTACTACCACTGCTGGCAACAACTGAAACTTGCCGTGATCTTGAACCAACTGCAAGTATCGAAGCCATATCCTCACTCTCCTCAGTGCGCCTTTTCCTACAAAAATGCAATTTGTAATTAAGTCCACTATATTACATTTTTAATTATTACCTGAAATCATTGTTCTTGGTAATGCGTAGAACGGCATCCGAATTCTGTTTTCTTATCTGATTTTCCGGTTTTCGATTGGAAGTGTTTGATATTGCTGCTCCTCTCCCAGCTAACGCAGCATCCGAGTCGATTTCTCCAGTTTCGGGATCGGAAAAATCCTCCGAACTAACGTCGGAGTATTCCACTAGCGCGCTCGACGCCGCAGACGAGGAATGCATTTTCCACGCTAGCTTATATATATATAAATGTGTGCCGATCTGTACTTAGCCAAATTCCCGATTTTCTGTTTATTTAACTCAATTCACTTGTTAAGGTTGAGTCCAGTCCTTCGCGACTTTGAGTACTTAATGCAGAGTTTTACAACAAAACTCGCAAACACAACCGATGTAGCTGACATTTGAGTTGACACTCTACGTGATCTTTGCCTTTCGGAGTTATATTAATAAATGTATGTACAATTATGTACATATGTGTGTATCAATGCGGTCGTCGGTCGGTTGGTCTGTTGATTTGTAATTTTCACTTTTTGCTTATAATATTTACATCGTTGCATATGTGAAAACAGACTCGTCAAACCCTCTTTAAGATGAATCCATTATTTAATATAACAACGAACACCAGATAGAGTGGTTTAAGAGGAGGCACTCCCGAAAATGGGGTTTTATTATCGTCGATAACGTTTTAGTCGCTTAAAATGAACAAAAAAGAAATTTGTCACTTGCCATTTTTAAGGTTATATTTTATGTGTGACCAATCTTGCTGACGTGCAAAATACCATAGTTGTATATTTCAAATAAAAAATGCATATCACATTAGGTAAATTGCAGATCTCACATTATCTCTGAACTATTTAATAAAAAGACTTAAATGTAAGTAAATTAGTTCAAAAATTGTAAAACTCGTGTTTTGATATTTTACCCTTGATTTAGATTAGAATGTTTTGATAGTAATTGAGAAGCAATAAACACATTTTTGCAAAATTACTTCAGTAGTGAACGCATAGATTTCCAATTTAAACAGGCGCTTCATATATATCTGAATTATTTAAAAAAATACTACATTTAACCGGTCACATTGTTAACACGAATGAGCTGTCATATTCATTTATAATACAACTTAAACAACGTTTATCATTTATGGACCGCACAAGTATATAAGAATACATGCATAGTAAAGACGACATTTAAAATTGTTTAAAACAAATTATTCACGTTGAGAAGCTTAAAAACAATTTTAGTTGCGGCAACAATGTAGCACAACTTGCATGTGTATGTTAATACACGCATAATGTCCCATGTACATGTACATGTATTTTTATGTATGTATGTGGGTCAATTTATTTGTTCTATAGACTTACCAATATCTTATTTTATTTTCCAAACTTCACTTTTTGTTGTCTTTTTTATTTGATAGTTATTTACAATGTGTGCACTCACTTGTTGTGTTGCGTCTTAAATTATTAAATAACACGTTTGCTTTCTTTTTAGACCATTAGAACACACATTACGTGCTTAAATATATGCGTAGATATTGATTTATTTCGCGATATTTGTTATCAAATTGAAATTATTCATATTATGATAATAGTAGTGATCTCGCAAGATTTATTTTCAATTTTGCATAATGGAAATAAGCAAAATAAGCATTTTAGAATTCTCATAAATTCTGCATGCGACATTGACAGAGCTCGGCCGATAATTGCAAGTACCAGGGCTGTGGAACCGATAAGATCGAGAGAGACCAGTGTATATTTTTAAATACCAGATGTACTAAATAGATAAAAATACTGTTTTTATTTCAATCGTGCGACACACACTTCAGTTATTTAAATATCTAACATTAAATTATGTTACAGCCTAATTTGAAATAATAATAAATAGTATTATTAGGATAAATACAACTCCATCTTAAATGCTACCAAATACCTAAAGTACTCCTTAATAGCAAAAGCAGAAATTACCAGTATTATAGTCAGCCAACGAAGATGGCTGTTGCTAATACCGACTACATTATAAGCTATTATTAATGAGCAAAGATGATGACCCGTCACTAACATATAGTGCAAGTTCCGTCCAAAATCGGTTGTATTACTACGCCACACCAATATTGGTAGCAGGAAGAACTTTGAGAAATTAGAAATGGCCACTACTTTAAGAATAATTAATGTAACAGACGCTAATCCGATTTTAGTCAGCTGTCGCATATTGAGAAGAGCAGTAATAAAAAATAGCAGCAGCGTTATTAAAAGGTATTCTGTAAATGGTAAATATAAATATATATTTGAGTGGCTGTATAGATTAAAGTATCCTACCTCCAATATTTTGTAGTGTACACATATAAAACCCCTTCTCATGTAATGCAGAGTTGGATCCATCTCCTCGCTTCTGTCTGCATAAAGCAAATGATTCCAATAAGAGCACAACAAGTGATATCTTCCAATACAGCTAAAACAATGCCATATTAGTATTAAATATTCTATTTTAAAAAGCCAATGACTACCTTAAAGTTTCCATTGCAAATCATATGCCGAAACGCAGCGGAAACAAGAAGCAGAGCATCTATCAGGATAATAAATTCTTCGACTTCTATATATTTATCAGTTATTTGATTGCATTTTTCCTATTAATATAAATATACATAAAATTGAAAAAGCATTACATATTGTTATTACAATGCGTACTTACACAGTGGGTAGGCTTAACAGTATTGCTGTACTTCTTAATCAATTCTCGTGTCGGATTTCCACAGCTGACACAAACATATTTTTTCCTATTTTCACACGACATTTTAATTCAAACGTGCTTTATTTGTCAGAATTCATTTATTCATGTTAACAAAACAAAAATAAGTGCAATCAGCTGATTCAGATAGATAGATAGATCATCGATAGGCAATACGTTACGCACCGATATTTATGTTTTTCTTAATTTTATAAAATTGTAGTGGAGTATACATTTACTGAAGTAAAATTGTATTTTATTTGAATTATCAGATATACTTTTTAAAAATTGTCAAGCAACCAGCCTAACTATCGCAAAAAAAAATCGAATTTAACTTATCAGATTTTGTCGATATTCCATTATTTTAGTCCCATCCTTAGTTGAAATTTTGTGAGCATCAATTTGCAACAAAAAAAAAAAAAAAATAAAACGTAAGAAAGTAAAGTGTTCTTATTTAATCAACACTGTAACAGTTGCAATACAAAAAGCAAAAAAAAAAAAAACATCTTTGCACGCAAGGCAGCCAAAGTAAAAGCGTGCTTGATTCGGATGTAGAACAGAAAGTTTCATGTGCATTTATATTCAGAAGTAGACACTTATGTACATATCTACATATTTAAATATGTACATATACGTTTATAAATATACAAATGCATATCTAGAGAAAAGCCGTTTACATATGTTTGTGTATTGAAATATTTATAAAATTTGTTGAGCCTTGTCTTTGTATATACACACACACATATATATATATATATATATATATATATATATATATATATATATATATATATATATATATATATATATATATATATATATATGTGTATGCTTATATCTATATATGTATATATATTGTACACATTGAAAATCAAGTTTTGTAAAACGCAAAAAGAGGAGTTATTGCGACATCTCAATTGTGTTTGCTCTATATATACATATATATGTACATACTTCAACACTTATACGCTTGTATATCGATAGGTCGAGCTTATCGAGGATATAATCAAATTTGCGAGCTTTTCAGGTCAGAACGTCTAGTTTGGTCAGATCATCTGTACAAACTTTTGCAAGTGCAAAATGAGTTCCGCCGGCATCGCAGAAGCTCCTGTTTTAAACAATTTGCCTGGACGAAGCCAAACGATATGTCGATATTATTTACGAGGCATTTGTCGATTCGGTGACCTTTGTCGCTTCTCTCATGACTTAACTCGAGGGCGACCCGAAGGTGAGCAGCGTGCCCGCAACACAAATTCGAACACCGATGCCGATGCAGATGTGGATGCTGATGCTGATGCTGATGTATTTCCTAGCACCAGTCGACGCAATTGGGTAAATGCGCCGATCTTTGTGCCCGGCCAGAAAAGCTTTATAGCCCAATGCCTCAAGGACAATCATCACGATGAAGACGAAGCTGCGGCAGCGGCTACGGGTACTAGCAGTGCCATTGTGCAAAGTGGAATCTCATATGCGGAGATTGTCGGTGGTCCTTCCACGAACGATTTTGATGTTGGTATTAAGCATGCTGAGCCGCACTCTTTGGAGGAGGTTTGTCCCTATGAGAGCCCATGCCCCCATGGCGAGTATTGTCCCTATCGCATACATATGGAACTATGCGAGATGTGCGATCAATATTGCCTACATCCCACGGACCAAGCTCAACGCAAGAAGCACAATCGAGAATGCTTGCAGCAGCACGAACAGGCAATGGAGTTATCCTTTGCGATTGCCCAGTCCAAGGATAAGACCTGCGGCATCTGCTTCGATACGATCATGGAAAAGGCTGGTCGAGAGAAACGATTTGGCATATTGCCCAACTGTAATCATATCTTTTGCTTGGAATGCATCCGAACATGGCGGCAGGCTAAACAGTTTGAACATAAAATTACGCGGTAAGCTTATAGATTCTATAACAATTAGTGAATGTTAGTGCATTATTTTAATTTTAAATGTACCTATAATTTTTGCTCAATATATTTCAGAGCTTGCCCTGAATGTCGCGTATGTTCTGACTTTGTTTGCCCCAGCGCTTATTGGGTTGAAACTAAAGAGGAAAAGGATAAGCTGCTTAATGATTATCGCGCAGCGCTCGGTGCAAAGGATTGCAAATATTTCAAGAAAGGCGAGGGCAAATGTCCTTTTGGCAACAAGTGTTTCTATAAGCACGCTCTTGCCAATGGTGATATTGTTGATGTTGGTTTGCCAAAACGAGCTCGAAAATTGCATAGCCAAAATCAACTAATGGATTTACTTGATGTAAGTATATCTATCGCCAATTTTACATTTCTAATTTACAAATATATATATATTAGGGATCATAAGCATACGTATTGTTTGTTAAGCTTTTGCATATTTTTAAAACTATTTTACGTTTCTCTTTCACAATGGAAATACCAATTTATTTTTGTCCTTAATGTCCTGTTTCTCTTAGATTTATCTCTGGGAATTTGTCGATCGGCGCGATTATCATTGGCTGGAACTGCTTTCAAGTGATATTAGCGAAAGCTCTGACTTCACGGATGAAGAATAAGAATAAGCTTTTCTCGCGTGAAGAACAATAAATAATAATATATTAGCGGAGCAACTATAAGTAATATATGCATAACTACAAGTTAGATAACAAGAGAAGCAAAAGTAACATAACCATACAATGCTGATATATATATATAAATATATATATATATATATGTATATATAAATATATATATATATACATACATATATATATAAATATATATATATATATATATATATCTATATATTTCTGCATGAAAAATCAAATGTGTAATTAGGAGTAAAAGATCATTTAAGTACCAAATTTTTGTTTACATACATACGGAATATATACATATATTTTTTGCCCAACTTAATGCAACGAAATCAACAGAAAATTTTCCGCAAAATGCAAAGAACAACTAAATTGTAAAGAGATGAAAAACAACAAAAAGATGCGGTCAAAACTAAATTTAAGCAATTAATATTGTAAATCACTATTATTAAAAGAGAAACAAAAACGAAAACAAAATGCAAAAATACAAAAAGAAAAATATTTTAAAAATAAAACAAAAAGCAGGATACATTAAACAGTTAATTATTCAAAATAGGTGATATAAAAATGTGTATACACAACTATGCCTTTCAGACTGAATTGTAAACATAAAAAATAAGCGAGTTTTTTATGATGTTTTCCACTTACTGTCCTTTAAAGATTACTTAAAAATAAGATAGATGCGCACACAGGAATATATTCAGATGCTCATGCACATAAAAAACATACATGTATTTAAACATATGAAAAACAAAACAAAACAAAAAAAGGAAATGTAAAATTGTTTTTGTCTACCGATTCTGTTGTTTGTATTGTTACGAGAACTACTTATTACCTAATTAGATATATTATATTATATATAATTCAAATAATGCAGCAAACATTCTTTGTGCTCGATATATTCTATTTTTATTTATTCGATTGTAATGATCTTTGCAAAAAGAAAAAACCTACATATTCTTAAGATATTTTATGTTATGTTATCAAATGTTATACAAAAACAAAAAAAAAAACAAATTTCTTAGAAAACAAAAACAAATTTAAATAAAATAACCTCGAATCGAATTATTAAGTTGACATATTCCAAAGCTAAAATTAATAAATGAAAAATTCTTGTTTACTATTATTTATCATTCCGCATAACATTAAATTCTTACATATAGAAATCTCACAATAAAGTTTTATTTATTTAATTAACAAGTTTAACAAAAAGTTTAAAACAAAACATCTATGCTTCACACTTACATGATTTATCCATAGATAGATCTATAGTGGATCTAACTCAGCAGGCATCAAATCGGAAATAGGAGCGCTTTAGCCTTATAAAGAAAATTCGATATATGTGCATAAACATATGTATATGTATGCTAGCGTATGTGTATTAATAAAAAATATGTAACAAGTAACTGGCTCTAAAGTATTTGGCCTTAACTATTGAACTAATTGTTAAGTGAGAATTCTAAATGATAAACTATAAAGTAAATGCAACTTCAAACTTAAGTCCAATTTGTATTAATGTGAAAGAGTAGATTGTAATCAAATATTTAATTATATTTAAAGACTAAAGGAAATCGTTGCAGTAATTCGAATATTTAAACCAACTAAATATGTTGCATCGGAACGAATATATATATATATACGACCCTACTGTTATCTATATGGATGAGTTTTTTACATCAATTAATTAAACTATCTCATCTGAACAATTAGAAAATTATCTCATATGTTTAAAACAATGCGATTATTCATATGTAGAACATTTTTACAATGGAAGTCAAAAGCTATATAAACAATCAATTTATGAAATCGTTCACAAGCCGTTCAGTATACATTTATATTTAATAGTGAATGAAAATATCAATGAATTATTATCCCAATAATACTAAACAGTGCCACCTTCTATTCAATAATCTTTATTTTAACCGTTACATTTTTACAGAAAATGTACCTCAAGTATGTTTAACATGATTTGTAATATTGAGTTAATTAAAAATTAATAAATTGCAAAGCCGTCTCAAAAAGGAATCATAACATTTCTTTACTCTTTATTTTTTAATATATAATTAAAAATTAAGCATACAAATTTAATCTATATATACATAATTTAAAAAACACTGGTATTTTCTATTTTTATGGCAGAGTACGGACACACTTAAAAATATCGATTTTTACTGGTAGCACAAGAAAAGTAAGCTATCGATGAAGTTTTGTCATCTCTATCGAGCGCTAATAGTATACATTTTATAAATACAGCAGAATTGAACCAATATTATATAATAACAATACGATATTACCATTTTTAATTTGTTGAATAGATCATTTATAAAACAAGGCATATAAAGACGTTCCAAATTTCTAATCTTTTAAATATTTCTGCACCCAACGAGTGCCGAAAAGTCTGCTATAATATACTAAATACGCGCCAAAATTTTAAATTAAAATAAAATTCTGTCTTTAAAGTTATAAAGTTATATAAACCAGTCGGCTTATTTCGATGAAGCGCATAGCTGCTACAGCTCTTGAATTAACTATATTGCATACCTTATTGCTAGTCGATTTGCAATGAAGAAAACTCAATCGGACATGATGAGAGAAGGCATGATGAAGAAGTAAATTAAACATTGAAGTCTCCAGATTATATATAAGGAAACAACAACAAAGTTAAATATTTTATCGTCAACAGAAACCAGTCTGCTTATTTCGTAGAAAACATTAAAGTACAGCAAGTGAAGCTCATGGTGGATATGAAAATTGAAACAGAGAAGACGCAACTCAACGGCTGAAACCTTTTGCCGAAAACAAATAAAAACAAATAAAATTGTTTAAATTTTCTTTAATAATTTCACTTATATATTGTTGAAATGCTTACTTTACATAAGAAAATTCACAACTTAAATTAGCATCCATATCATTATTAATATAATCAGAATCAATGCGTTTGCTTAGAGAGCGTGTGCGAGCAAACACGGCTGCAACCGGATCTAACTAAATGGGTTTAGAGCACTAAGTAGCAAGTGTTGCTCGTTCCACACTTTAATAGTGTGTCGCATAGGGGCTAGCGTAGTGTCCATAGTGTCCTGCATCGTATTGTGGCACATATTCGTATTGGGCCTGGTTGTAGTAGCTGCCATCATCGTAGTCGTAGTGAATGGGCGCAGCAGCGGGCGCATATTGCTTCGAGACTATAAGTAATAAAAGATAAATGTATATACATTATGGGGCACTTGAAGTTCGTATACCTAAGTAAACTTGTAAAGTGATTCAACAGAAAAAGTAACGCTATGCTCAGCAGCAGCTGCCGCTTTATTATCTATTTGTAGTTGTTGATCAAATTTTTATTCGAAACTAGTTCAGTTTAGCTGACGAAATAATTTCTCGGCTTGTCACGAATTCGTAAGCACCAAAGTCAATTGGTCACAGGTGTTGTTGTTGCAAGCTGAATTTCCTTTCAGGTATTTTGCATCTAACTAGCAAAGTTCGTTGCCTAAGTCTTTTGTATTACCAAAGTCTGCTTGCTTTTGTGTGTGTATGTGTGTGTGCAAGTGCGCCTCTTATGATTCTTAAATATGAAAATGGCAGCCACAATCAAAATAATTTTCACATGCAGTCACAACAATAAAAACAACAACAATTCCCACGAAAATTCGCATTACGACATTGAGAAAAGATGTTGGCTTTTGGCTTGCAAATGAAAATGAAACTGAAACTGAAAATGAAATGTTCAACATAATTTCCCGTAGAGCTGCCATGCCTGCGGCAAAAGTTGATGCGCTACTGTTTCTGCCACTGCTGCATATGACATAATTAGTGTGGGAATTCGACGGGAAATATGAGAGCAAAAACGCAGCTAATCTCTTGATCAATGTTGAGGAAAACGTACTCATGACATAATTAACGTAAGCTGCATGGGCGTGGCAACTGCTATTGCACTAGTTAACAAAATGCAGGTTTCTTCAAATTAACATACATTTCACGATGCGATGATTCAGTTTACATGCCCCAACGCACACGCTCTCAAAACTAATTGCAAATGCGAAGTGAACTAAAGCGCTTTAAGAAATAAATTAAACAAATATGGTTAGATAGATATATATGTGTGTGGAGCAACTGAAACTGATTCAGTAGGCTGCATAATAATCGGCATCGGTAATAGCCTCCGCATCAGCGATGTCATCATAGACGTCTGGGCGCAATTTGCGATATTGATTGTTAAAATAGTTGGCGTGACGCCTGAACAGCTTGAGCATGCGATACGTGTTCATGCCTAGAAAAGCAAGAGCAGCAAATCAGTGTGCAGAATGCTTCGACTGATGTATAGAGAGTGCTACCACAACAACAACAACAACCATAACAGCAACTAACTGGATGTGCGTCCATAAACTTGTCCACCCGATACAACTACGATATATATATGGCAAAGGATAGGATGCTGTATGTCGTATTCTCACTCACCGTAAGGCGCTGGCGAGGCGGCAACAACGATGGGCGCAGCCACCTGAGCCACATGTGGCTCGTAGTGGCTCAGAATTGGCTTGTGCGCCACAATTGGCTTGGTGACTACCGATTGGGCGTGCACAGTGGGTCCAGACTTGGTGACAACAGCGTTGAAGCCATGAATTGGATCAGCTGTGTAGTCCACGGTGCGAATTGAGCCATCGGGCTCAACCAGAGAGTATTGGCCTAAAAGAGAGTTGGACAAGGAATAGACATATATAATGTGTGTGTGGGTGAGTGTGTGAGTGTGTGTGTATGTGTGTGCGCATGTCGTGGCACGTACCCTTGACCACATCTCCATCGCGAGTCTCATGCTGTGACTTTACATCACCTGTGCTGTGATCAGCAACGCCATAGTTGAACGAATATTTGGGATGATCCTATAAAATTAACCACAAAAAAAGGTAATTAAAAACAAATATATATATATGTGTAATATAATTAAAAGCTGAAGAAACAATCTAAGTTAAGAGTTTTTAAATGTATCTAAAAATAGGTGCAAATATTTATTATTTTTGAAACAGCTTAAGTAATTGTAATAATGATAAAAATGTAATAATAATAAAAAATATATAAATTTGTTTATATTTAACATTTAACCTTTCCGATTTTAATATATATTTTTGTTGTAAGAAAACATTTCTTTGACTCTACTTTATATACATTTTTCCAATAGTATTAAGATTTATCACACAACTTTTGAGTGTTTCAAACTCAGTTTATCACTCGATCACGCTTGATTCTCGAACTCACATAGTAATCCACAGCATATCCAGGACGCGCCACGGCTACGCTGGCGCACAGGGCCAGGGAGAGGATAACGAAACACATGAAATTCGCCATTTTCTTGAGATTTTGTATATCTTTTATGATATTTTCAGAGACAAATTTTTTTTGATTATTCGCTAAAAGTAAACAAACACAAAATTTGGATTTATTGAAAGCACTTCACAGAGATCCTTGGTTTTGAGGATTTACTTTTAGTACTGCAACGGCAATAGATACAAACAACGCCAAGTTCACCGGAATACTGTGGCCATTCTAGAGTCAAGTTGCCATTTAAATAAGCGCAAAAGCAGCGACGCAGCTGCGCCGCTGTGCGGCGAACTCTTCAAGACACTGGGCTTTTCTCAGTCAGTCAACTGTAGCGACGTCGACGTTGGCGTCGCAGTCAGCGTCTCTGGCGTGGTGAGTACAGCGGCTGCTGCGGCGGGGGCCATGTGAATGAAGTTGCAGCATGAATCGGGATGTTGCTACACAAAAGCGCCGCTGAATGGGGTCGGGTTGTACTACATGTGTATGTGTGTGTGCGTGTGTCTGTGTGTGTAAGTAGTGCAAATTGGCGACACAGTTGGTTATAGATAGATATCTATGCAGCTCTATATCACATAATATAGTCATCCGTTGGCAGTTACTACAGAATCGTGTTATTAATCATAGATGAAAACCAAAGACTTAGGCAACGAACTATGAGAATAATTATGGCTCTCGAGAAACAAAACAAATTGTAACCAATAAACAGCAATTTATTTAACAACTTAATTCCTCTTACAATAAAAGATATCTCCGCTATCCTAGCCAAGTTCGGGTCAAGCTGTTTTACCCTAACAAAGAGCTCCCCATATTCAACAAGAAGCCAAGTGATGTAGTTGCTAGAAGTCCCAAGTCCCCTTCTCTCTCCTACCCAGCTAGCTAGCTACTCTAGCTACTTTTTTGCCTTAGCCATCCATGCTGAAGGTCAAGCGCGACGGCGCAGCTCAGATCCGACTTCCATTCTTGGCAAGAAATGAAAGCAAAAGTGGCTCGCGGCATAGGAAAAAAGCAAAAAGCAAATATAAAGATATGACACCAGAGCAATTTAAACTAATTTATATCTTTATCTATAATAACGCTGACTAGTGACTAGCGCTGACTCAATCAATGATTAATTGACGGCTCCCAACTTCCAACTTCCACACACACAATTGGCTAAGGCGCAGTATGGGCCAGTTATATTATGGCTAGCTCTAATTGCTGGCCAGGTACAAGCACAGGATCTCGAGTTGCATCTTGGGTGTTCTTTCAACTGATTGTTCCCACGGGCTCTGTGCATAATATATTGAATTAATTATGAATAAAAAAAAACCTGCAGAAGACTGAATACTCTGCAGTCTAAGGTGAGGGAAGATTTAGCCGAAGAACTCTGTTTGGCTAGGACGACATATGTTGGTTGAATGATGTATCTTGGATGATGTTTAATGTATATAAATATATATATCGTAATATAATAATATAATAATAATAATATAACTAATATCTAATATATAATAAAATCTATATATAAAGGCGAGTCTCGATTAATTAAATCAGCTAAAAATATTTTAATATTTTGGGATAACTATGTAGGCATGATTCTATCGGTCTCATCAGACTCTCCCTTGCATAAAGTTTTATAGCTACCCATAGCAAGGGTATATTGGTTTACCAACTCAGTAGGAATGTTTTTATGGCACTTAAAATCTGTATATCTAATGCAAATTGTTAATTAAGTAATTTGTCGTTATGAAGTGCATGAGAACTGAGCAGAGCTGCTTATATCACAGTAAACCGATCAGGAATACATATGCTTTTAACGCGAGATTTATTGTTGCTTGCGGCCAATTGTCGCTTTCAGATTCAGCTGAGGCAAACTTCAGCTTAGATGTCTGAAGTTAAGTTCATCCTTGAACGACGTTGAGAACGTGCCAATTGAGGTTGGCGGCCAACAAATTTATTAGAGATATTGACAAACCGCAATACTCCCAGTCGCAATTGCAGCAGTTGCTCAGAAATAACAAAAAATAAATATAACAAAAGCGCTAGTCAAAACAATTTGTGTGGCCCGCTATACAATACGATAATGTGTGGTAGTTTATGTCTGGGTCAGCGTTACGGACTGCCCTTTTTCACACAATTAAATACGACGGGGCGTACTAAAGACTTTAATTAGAGCTAGCTCCAAGTGCAGAGAATTGCGCCAAAATTCACCAAACAGACAACAACAAGTAAGAGTGATCTAGTCGGGACTGCTCGACTAGGTGATACCCTGAACAGGCGCTTATAATGCGTCTAATTGTTGTAAGTGATCTTCTAGTAGGATTTTCAGGGCCTGCAAATGACTTTTATGGGGAAGTGCTGTTGAGGTATTCAAAATCTAAAATATGCTAAGTCTGTGCATTCATGATAGGAACAGCCACAGTTAATTGGATGCTTCCATCTTTTGTGGTATTCAAGCTACGCTTAAAAACAAAGTTAAATGAACGATATTAATCGATAATAAGGAAATGGGATGAGTTATCGTAGGAATATATGCTTAAAATTTCCAGCCACGCCTCCTTTTGCCTGTTACATAAATTTGGCTAAGACCGCTATACCTCGAATCCCCATTTTCAGTGGCTTCAGGGTATAAAAAACGAACAAAAAATGAAAAATGAAAAAAAAATTAACCTTCAGCACTTGCATACAATTGTCTCTGCGTGCTACGCCTCCGTTTTTTCCTCACTCCGAGGCTTGAATTTCCAATTCGACTGCGGACTGCGGACTGCGGTTTGTCGGCAGCTACACAAAAAAACTAAAACTAAATACTAGATTAAGACAATTTGCATGTTTGCGAGCGCCGCCAAAGCATTTGCTACGCAGACATGATAACTCGACTCGACTCCACACTCAAGGGGCTGGGAAAATCGCAAGCGATTGTCGGCATTTTCCGAAGGTTTTCCATATGCAGCTTGACAGATTTTCAGCCACATATGCGTGGCTTCCTCCAAAACTGTTGGACACCAGCAACTAACTACCCAGAATGGAAACTAACCTGTAGTCATAAATATATATATGTTCATGTTAAATGTAGCGTGCAGCTCAACTTCATGTTAATGACAAATCGTGGCAGCTGCGAGTGGAATTTCATATATGTATAAATAACACTAATTTTACTCAGCTTTAGGTATTATAATTAAAAGACTCGTAAAAGTTTAAATTGTGATTTGTTTGCTTGGGATTGGAGCATAAAAGTTATATATTATTCTAACTGAATTAACTGAAAATAATAGCGCAGTAAACCATATATATATATATATATTCATATATATCATAAATGTAAGTTATATACATACAAAAAGTTGCTCGCTGTTGGCAGAGATCTGTCCATGGCAGCTGGAATTGAAGCTTGACTATTTGGCAGCAACAACGACGCTGATGGCCAGTTTGGCTTGGTTTACTTTGGTCGCCCAATTTCAGTTTGTTAGCTTAGGCTAATTTGACAATGGGCAATTGCTGGGGTATTGCTGGGGCATCGCTTGCAACACGCGACAACTTCAAGGTGCAAATGTTGCAAGCATAGAGCGAGGTAGAGAAAGATCGAAGAGCGAAGAGAGCGGGACGGAGCATGTTGGGTGTGGGCGGGCATCATTGTTGTCGCTTAGTTGGGCATGCTTCAGTGCTTTAGAGACTACCGCATCTGCTGTCCGAGCCAATTGACTGGCCATTGTTAACAAGAGATGTTTTTCTGTAACGCGCCATGAAAATGACCCGTGGCAAATGCGGCCGCTGTAATAAAATGCAAATTAATGTGCTTCCAGGCCCGAGGAGGTGCTATAAATTTTCGGTTGCTTAGCGTGTGCTCCAGAAAGAGATGGAAATGAATTCTCGCACCTTTGTGGCCAATTTGTTGCAGACTGTGGAGCTGCTGCTGCTGCTGCCGCCGTTACTATTACCTGTCATGCATCAAATTAACCCTCAAATAATGCAGTTAGCTCTCGTTATATAATTGATGCTGACAGCCGGCATGCATAACTACCGAGATGATTATGCCAAAGCCACAGCCAAAGATACACATCTCTGCCAGCCTCCACTGAATCCGCACGGCCGGCGAGCTGTTGAAATGTTTATTTATGCGCGGCAAAATACAAATCTCTTATACCTATAATTATGTCTGCCCAGTTGTTTAGTCGCCCGACTATAAAACCGCTCAAATGCTCAGCTCCTCAGCTGCCCGGCATTAGCTAATTATTAATAGTATTTTTCAATTACGCAGACAGTCGGCGACATTTACATGGAACAGTGGCTCGAAAGCTGTAAGGATAATGGACTGATAATACTGGTACTAACACTTAGACTAATATTGCTACTTATAATAATAGTAATACTAATATTGATACTAATACTAATACTAATACTAAAAATAATATTGATACTAATACTAATACTAATACTAAAAATAATACTAATAATAATACTAATAATAATAATAATGCTAATACTTATAATACTAATACTATTACTAATACCAAAAATAATACCAATAATAATACTAATAATACCTACATGAATAATACCAATAATATTGCAAATGTCTATAATAAAACTTATTTTGATACTAAAAATAATACCAATATTAATACCAAGAAATATCATAAATAGCCACGGTGCATTCTACTGTGCGATGCATCTCTGAGAGCTGATCTCTAAGAGCTTCAGTAGCCAGACGCTGCATGTGATTATCTATAAATTGTATCAACGACTTTGACTGTCGATGCATATCTGCGACGTGTATCTCAATGGTACGCGACATACTACTAACAAAACAAATCCAATCCAGTTCAATCCGAGCACGTGTTTGGGGGGCAGGACGTGGAGCTGCGGTGCAACTACTTGAATGTCAACTGCTCGAATCAATTGGCCAAGTGCAGCAAAAAGTAGTTAGCAACTGTCGTTTGAATGATGAAGAAGACTTTAGCTATTTCGCATAGCTGATATGTTGCGCACATCTTTATTTTGTATGCTATTAATGAAATGTGGCTATGAAAAGGTTACTGGAGCAGCAGCAGCTACCAGTTTTTTCTTATGTTTTCATTTTTCATGCCAGTCACTCAGACAGACATTCGGCTGACTTAGCATACTTAGGCTTTTGGATATTATACATAGGTAATGCTGGGGCGTTGGTTTTGCCAGCTACCGGCACTTCCTTCCGGCATTTCCTAGCTACATGAAAAGTCCAATTGAGATGACCTTAACTGTTAAAGAGCCCGGCCAGAGGGCAGATACCAACAACAGTCCGGTCCCTCAGACGAGACGCTGTCTAATTAATGGAGTGCACGTAAAGCTTATTTTGCTATTTTTGCTTTACTTTTTCCATGTATTCTTTGTGTGTTTTTAGCGCACATTTAAACGCTTCGCTGGCTTTTGATTTTCAGTTTATGATAAATACGTATTTTTGCGCCAGTTTTCAAGCAACTTGAGCTCTTTATTTTGTTTTTTCTTTTCTTGTCCAAATATCTGCGTCTATTAAGAGATCAATATGTCGCTTTCTTGTTGTTGTGGGTTGTTCACACATAAAAGTGACGGAAATGCGAAGATTTGTGGCTGGCGGAAGCAGCTAACTCAGTTCACTTTTTGTTTTAAATGTTCATAACTTCTATTATTTACATGAAGTTTGTGCCCATTCGGACACATTTTACTGCCGAAAGAGGTTTGTTATCAGATATAAGCTGCTTCAGGGAAGTGCAAGTCGAAGACAGGCATATCATACGTAAATTATGACGATCATTAAAAGTTAAATAGTTAAATCCCTTTCAGCTTATTTCAATTTTTATAGATAGCTGAGTATTTTATTTAAATCAATCAATTAAAAAAATTATAATCATGCTATATTTTTATTTTAATTACCAATTTCTTATTGATTAAATTTTTTATAATATGGCAGAAAGATATTTAAAATATAAAACAAACCTTTTCGCCTAAAAGTAGACTGTAAGTTAATTTCATAATTATTATATTATAACAGAAATTTCAAATTTTACTACTGAGTACGGGCACTCTTAAAACTACTATCGATTTTTACTAACCTCGCCAAAAAATCCAGCTATCGATGTAGTTTTGTCATCTCTATCGAGCACTTATTACCAGCATCGACTTCGAAGGAATAAGAAAAATTCTGCATTAAAAATGTTCCAAAATAGTGCTGCTAAACTTTTGGTGCCCGCGATTCGTGGAGCCATGCAAAGGCGCTGCCAATCCGTCGTCTCCGGACCACCATCAAATCACGTCTCCACTGCGGTGAGTAATTTTGATAGATTTTCGATGGGTTACGTAAACCCATTCGAGGGTATTTTGGAATCCTATAATCAATAAAATGAATATGCAAACATTTTATTCAATTGCAGGAGAAAGTGATTCTCGGTGGTGGCATGTGCGCCGCCTCCTTGTTCATTCCCGGTTGGGTGCTCTACCACATCCGTGACTACAAGGGTGGAAAGTAAATCTGGCACAGCTGGCACGCTTTAATTTATAGTATTTAGTAAATAATGTTGCTTATAAATGTAGATTGAAAAATACTATAATATAAAAAATACAACATAAAGCGCTAAACACTTGGGGGATCTATTTACGTATATTGTTTTTATTGGTCGGCGAAGAAATGCCGTTCAATGGGTATATAGACTGCTATAACAAACAACGATGTTCCCTGTGATAATATTTATGTATGTTATTTTATTAGAAGCATGAACATAATCTGCATAATATATCGAGATATTAGCTCACTTATGATTTCTTTTTAATGCAAATTTAAAAATATATACTTGTAGAGTTTATTTCTTTTGCTCATCGTTGCCATCGGTCTTCTTGTCCTTATCCTTATTGAGAGAGCCAACAGCATCACGTACTGCCTCCGATTGGGGATCGACGCCAGGGAGATTTTCAAGAACACTCTGCAAGAATGCCGGATCACCAATTACTTCGGAATAGTCTTCATCGACATCCATGGGGGCAGCGGCATCATCTGTTTTGGGGCGTTTGGCTTGCTGTGTCACGGTGTCATCAGCTGCATCCTGCATAGACATTTGCATGGCAAATGCGATTTGCTCCTCTTCGGTCATATTGGCGAAGTCAGGCAAATTATCCTCTGGCGTTTCAGTCGACAAAGCCAACGCACGTTGCAACATGGCTTCCTCTGAGTTAGAACTGGGAAGAGTTACGGCTGGGCCACCAGTGCCACTCTCTCCGCTAGTTGCAGTCGCGGGAGGTGTAGACTCAGCACCTCCAGCACTATCAACTCGACGCTGCTCACTTTCCTGGCGTTGACGTTGCTCTTCCATTGAAACGCGCAAAGCAAGAGCCAGCTCTGGATCCTCGTTGGGATCGACACCAAATTCGAAGACGGCACCGCCCAATCCAGCTGCACCCATACCATCCTCGCCTTGGATGATGGGCGACGACAATAATGCATCAGATAGAGCTGAGCCTCTGGGAACGCTAACTAAATGGGAGCCAGTTCCATCCTTGCCGTTCAAAGCATTAATAAAAGCCGTCAATGTTTCAATATTATTTCCATGATCACCAAAGCTGACAATGTCCACGTTTACTTTCTCCTTTTTTAGACGTTTGGCTTGCTTAACGAGCTCTCCTTCTTCGTTGTTGATTGGCGAACCGACAAAGACAACGATGCGCATTTTATGATTTTTGCCTTGGCGATGCTTCAACACCAAATGAGCAATTCGAATTCCAGTTAGAAGATTTATTTCCCCCTTTGGCTGAATCAAATGCATTTTTGAGAATATGCGACCCACATCGCTGGTCAGTGTGGCCAGCACTTCAACGGTGCTGTAAATAAACTCTTAATATAGTCCAATAACAATAAAAATATCGACTCCCTGCGTACTTTGATAGGGTCATTAGACCAACATTATTCTCGGGGTTGGACCTCAGCTTAGTGAGACAGACAAGATTTATACCGTCTTTCTGTACATTTAAACGGGTGGGAAAGTAGTCACCATTGCGCTGGTAATCACTGTTGTCGAAACTAAATGATAAAAAGGAGAAATTGAAATTCAGGTAACCATTTTCTGATTTAAAACATTTATTTACCATATCATAGTACTTTCCAGGACCATTTTGTATTTTTGCTTGTCACTTTGCCACTGAACTGTAATACCTAGCACCCTGCACAGAGCTGTTTGGTTTCTTGATAAATCGAGTTTGTAACTCTTTATCGATATTTGACAACTTGTGTTACCTACGTTATTTCATATATTTTTATTATACTAACACCATAACAAATAGTACTTTAAATTTGTTTTGTATTTTCCATTCTAACTGCCAAATGCAAATAAGAAAACATTTTGAAATTATATTTTAGTCAAGGAGCTAAGACTTGTTAACATTTTATCGAATTTTGAGTTGCTTGTCTGTCATCTGGGGAACTTTGACCATATGTTCTTTATCTTTGAAATGAACTAGATTTATTACACTTAAATTTGGTAGCCCTAGAAACATATGTTTTTGTCCCATGGCTGTCATGTGATATTCACAAGATTGAAAAAGTGCCTTCTTCGTGATCACTTATTAATAATTTTGTGTTTTCTGTTCCATCAATAAACCTGCTGAGCACGGCAGACCTGCAGTATTACACCTAAGTTATTAAAAGTGTACAAAAATGGTTGAGGCTTACGTTGCTCCAGTTGTTATCACCGCCATTTGGGCGTTCATTGGCATAATATGCCCCTTCTTCGCTCGTGGCCCTAACAGGGGGTATGTTATATCAAAGTTATATATTTATATGTGTACTTATAATAATGTCTGAAATTTATATCTCAATTTCAAGGGTGACTCAATGCTGTATTATGCTCACTGCTGTTACCTGCTGGCTCTTGTAAGTGTTTTCTCTGACCATGAGACTTGTTACATATACAAATGCATATCTATGGATATATATGTATATGTGTGAATAATCCAATAATTCTTATCATCTTTTTATGCAGTTGGCTGTGTTGTTATTTGACCCAAATGAATCCCCTAATTGGCCCCAAACTATCCATGAACGAAATTATGATAATGGCACGTGAATGGGGAAACGAAATCAAAGACACCATGGACGTCGTAGCATAAAATGGATTTCGAATGCCATTCCTTATAAACCGTTTTGTTATTTCTTTCCATTAATTTTGTTTACATCCTATAATTGTGTTTTCACCAATGTGTCTTTTATAAACTGTTAGTGTCCATTATATTATATACAAATAAATAATTTCCATATGTATGTATGATGAACCGAAAGATTGTTTTTGCTTAAGACAGGATTTTGGATGGAATAATTTGATTTCTTTTCAGACAAATAAATTGAATGAAGTTAACGGATAAGGCATCGTGAAGAATTCATTTGCCTCTCCAAAGATGAAACGTCTATCTTCAGGTCAATCCATTGGATTTGAGAAACTAAGCAATGTTATCCAACGACGTCAAAATACTCGACTTAAGTTCAATAAAAGTTTATTTATTTAGTAACTACGCAAAACATAAATCACTGAATTGTTTAAAATATATAGTATATATATATATAATAATAATAATAATAATAATAATAATAAGTATGTATATTGATGTATGAGTGTATATGATATTATTGAAATATTTATTTACACTTTAGCGCTAATCAAATTTACAATTTGCTTAAATAAAATTCAAAACTTCAATTTGATTAAAAAAAGAAAACAAATGAGAGGAAACAGCATTGCATATATAAAGAATGGGAATAGGGTAAAATCAAAAACAAAAGTAAAACAATAAGCGAAACAATGGCAAATCAACTCAAAAATGTGTGACTACATATTTACAGACAATCCCCTCATAATTCGACAACTTTTCACTTAATAAATAACGCCAGATCCATATTTTCCAAAAATCGAAATCCAGAAAGCAAGAGTTCAGAACAGTTGCCGAAAAATTGGGTAGCAATGTTTTTTGACTTGTCATGAATACGAGGAACGGCAACGGCAACTCAAAAAATGGATTTACATATTTATGTTTGTGAAGAGCTTGCGGGTGTAGTAGTTGACGATGCTGTTGGCGGTGCCGCTGCTGCTGGCGCTGTCAAATTGGTTTGAACTGGTGCAGCAGCTGGTGAATAATACGCGGTAGTAGCTGGAGCGTTTGTGCTTAGAGCTAGACAGAAAAGATAACACATTAAATGCATATCTTGATCGAGATTATATCAATTTGCTGCTTACATTGGCGCAGTGCCTTCTGAAACTTTTCGTATTCTACATAGTGTTTTAGACGCAGTTCGTCCTCCTCAATCAGCTGTCGTTGACGCAGCAGCAACAGCCGCTGATGCTGATTTGTGCCCAAACGCGTATTGCACAACTGATTCACCAATGAGTCTAAATTATGTTTGATGTCCTGCAAGAATAAAAACTATGTAGTTAAGCATATTGGGCATCAACCGAATTCCCTTACCGATTGAATATCGCTCGGCAACAGGTGAGGATGCGTGGCTGCTAATGACACGGGCTCCTCTGCAACTGCAATACAAATAGAAGTTGCTTTAGAGGAGATACGAATAAGATTTGAATTTAAATTCACCTTCAGCAACAGCTGGATTAAATAGCGGCTGCAGCACATGCTGCATGGGCTGTGCTGTCTGTTGTGGCTGGCCTACCAGCGGCGCCTGTTGCAGCAGCTGACCAGACGCAGACACTTGGAAGTTTGGCTGCTGTTGCTGGTTGTAAATGGATGTAACAGTTTGCTGCGGCTGCTGTTGCAAATGTGATTGCATTTGTAATGTCTGCTGTTGTTGTTGCTGCTGTAGCAGCTGATGCGAGGCGGACATTTGATTTGGCAAGCCACCCGGCATCGCCGCCAGCTGATGCTGTTGCATTGGCATCGTCATTACCAGCGGCGGCAGTTGATGCATTTGATTGGCTTGGGCCTGCAAAAACTGCTGTGCTGCATGTGTCTGTTGCTGTGGCTGTGATGTTGGCAACGTAAACTGTTGTGCAGCCTGCTGTTGCTGCTGTTGTATTATGATTGGTTGCTGTTGCTGTTGTTGCTGAGCCAAAAGCTGATTTGGCTGCTGCGGCTGTTGCTGCTGCAGTTGCTGCAGTGGAATTTGTTGTTGCTGCTGCACAGCGTTTACCATTTGAGGCATAGCCTGATGACGCTGTGGCATATTTGAATACATGTGTTGTTGCTGTTGCTGTTGTTGCATTTGCAGGTTTGTTGGCTGCGCCGCACCGGCAACTTGACCTTGAGGCACCATTACACCCACACCAACGGCTGCCGGTGCGTTCTGCTGTTGATACATTAACTGGATGCCATTTATGGCCATCGGAACGTTCTGTATGGGCGAACTAATTAGCTCAGTGGGTGTATTGACTGCGGTGCCATTTTGCACAGAGTTGCTGGCATTAAAACTATGACCCTGACCAGCAGCTAAGCCTGCGACCTGCAGATCAATCTTCAGCTGATGCTGCAGAGCTTCTGTTGCATCTGCCGAAGTCTTTTGCTCCTGCACGCGACTAACGCTGAAGCGGGATATCTTACGTGCGTTCACACTAGCCACAGGCTCTTCCGCGGGCTTGGCGGCTGGCGCAGCTGGTGCAACGGATGACTGCAATACATAAACATGTTTAATTAATAAATAAATATAAATTTATATGTGTTCTACCTCCTCTGCGTTGTCTGCATTACGTAATGCAGCCAACTTCTTCTCTAGATCCGCTATGGAACTTTGATTGAGGGCTCCATTATTGGCATTTCTCGTATCGCTAGTCACACTCAAAGTATTTGATAACTTATCCAGACTCTCCTGTTTGGTCAACTTCTTATCACTGCTAGCTTCAGCGTTTGCCGTGCTCTCAGTGCCAGCTACAGCTCCTTCATGGTTCACATTCAGGTTCGTTGCAGGCAATTGCATATCGGAGCCCATGCTGTTGTCAATGGACGTGCGGCGAGAGTTGTAAACAGATGAGCCACGAGCCGAGTTCAGCGCTGCGGTTGGTGTATTCTGGCCAAACGAAGCCGCCGAACTGCCACCTCCCACGCTGTTCGATTTGTTGATCTACACATTGAAATATAAAACAAATTCAAATCAAATTAATATTGAATGCCCAAAACGAAGTTCGAACAAGCGCAACACAAAGATTGGTTAAAACTGACCAAAAACGAAAAGCGTTAGTACATAAATAAACAAATCATAAAGAACAACACATACAACTACAAATATTACTTCAACCGATGAACATGTACTATAAAGTAATATATATATGATAAAAAAGCGAATACCCTTAACCAGTGCGGACTAAAAACTTCATATTTGAGACTCGCTCAATTTTTTTTGTTTTGCATATTCAAAATTTTTTGAAATGGAAAAAGATGCTAGGAAATATATATTTCCAAAAATTGTATTATTATAATTCTTGGAGAAACTGAAGCAGGTGAGTGGAAGTATAAGATGATGTTTATGTGGATATTTTCATTTAGCATTTGCTGGATCTTAGAAATGTTTTTGCTTAAGGACTTTCTCCATCGAAAGCTGACTATGTTCAAATTGTTTTGTTTTCGAAAAGTGTTTTAAAATATTCGATTTTCTTTCGAAGAACATTTTGTTAGCCTATTAGTTGAATTTTCTTTTATGCTAAGTTATATACAATTTTTAACAATGAGGTTTACACAAATACAAATACAAATATTAATAAAAAAAAAACGAAAAGCAATATTATAAAGCGGAAAAAACAACAAATACGCAAATCTACACAATACATGTACATATATTATATAAAATCAAAAAGAAAGATAAACCAAATGGAACGCAGTTCTACGATTAACGTGTAAGCACATAGCAAGAGTTTTACTACCAACCACTGTCTCTGCCTGGGCCTGCTGCTGGGCGGACAGCGCCTTCATCGAGGCGATGTTTGGCGAGGCTTGATAGGTGCTGGGTCTGTTGTTAATGGAGGCAACCACAGCGGAAGCGAAGGCATGGGCGTGTGTAATATTTTCGAGTTCGATTTTCAGCTGTTCCAGTGTGTTGGCAGCACCTGGTGGCTGCACTGCACCCAGTTGGACGCCGCTTTCTTTGGACTTGTCCGCATTGGCTGCATTCAGCTCATTGGCCTGCTTGGCCGCTTTGCTTGGCGGCATCTCAAATGTGATGTTCACCTCACTTAGATCATCTAAGCTGCGGGTGTGCTTCAAATCTTCCACAATCTTCAACTGACGATTCAATGGCAAATTCAAGCTTCTCGGCTTCGCCTCGCTTCTCGTTGACTCCAACAGCATTTGTACACGGCTTATGGCCAGGCTGCGTGCCTTCTGCTCAGCGTGCGGCTTGTCCAGACCGCCATCCAGTGGCTGAAATGGCTCGTTGCCTGTTGGCGTAATGGCATTGTCTGGCATGTAGTCAATAGACAACGATGTGTATTCCGAGGCGGTGCTGGTCTTGCGTGAGACCGAGCCCGAGCCAATTGTCACATCATTGCTGTTGTTGCCCGCATCTCGCGAAGTGGTCGAAGAGGAGGACATGGTCGATGTGGTTGTTGGTGGCGTTGCTGTATTTGCTGGCATTTCTATATTACTTTGGCCTGAAGATTCGCGTGCTCTCGTCTCACCAGCTGCAGATTGTTCGATATTTGCTGCATCGGCAGCTCCACTGGCCGGCGCATCCGCAGTTTGGGTCGATGGCTCGAACATCTTTGTGATGTCGCTCGCGGTTTCGTCCCGCTAAAATAATTGTTTCGTTGAAATAATATATATACATATATTTATATGCATTTAAGCCATTGACAGTAATTAAGCTAATCAGCTAATTTCCTATTTGTATACCCATGCAGAAGATTTTACTAAATATATATTTATGTTTGATATCCAAGACAACTTTCATATTAACGGAAACGGAATAGATATTAGATTGTTGTTAGATAAGATCTATCTGCACGGATATTGAAACTTCGGACATCCGAAGTTAACTATTTATTATTTAGAAAAATATTTTTTGTTGATTTATAACTAAATTCGTGTAAATTGAGCGTTTAAGCATTGTATAAAACCAAAAAGACATTTTGAACAACGGGGAATATGAAAATTTCGTCCTGATAAAATACAATTGACAAAAAGATTTCTTTAATTACACAATTAAATTTCCTATCATGAATTCGATTTTCCATAAAATAAAAAATAACAAATACATCTTATTAATTTCATACATAATCTCATAAATATTGGTTTAAAAATGTTTCGACATATTGTTGTTACGTGCTTAGTTTGGTAACAAATATAAAAGAAAATCATTTACTTAAATAACAGCATTAAAAATATGAAAATATTTGATCTTTTTGTTTGTTTGAAATGCGATAAATCATAAATCCGATTTTAACTAATTATATATATGGATATATATTGGATTATATACATATATATATATACATATATTTATAAGCCCTTAACAGTGCACTTAACACTTACAGATCTATGTCTTTGATGTGTTCTAAATGTGGAACGCTGTCGAGTTAGAGACGCGTGACGGACCTGTTTTATTATAAGTAGTAGAGATATACAACATACAATCAACATCATGTTTAAAATGTATTTTGATTTCGATTTCGATTTCGATTTCGGTTTTGGTTTCGGTTTCGGTTTCGATTCGAGAGTCCACTCGTATAAGGAATTAATCATTAATACTTTTAGTTTATCTTAATTACGCGCTCTACATTTTGTTCATGTTAAGAATCCATATCGAGAGGATTGTGGTTATTCCATTGTTGTTACGAACAACTAAGCAGTAGTAGTAACTCTCCATTCAAATCAATAATTCAATTTCCAAATAGATTCCGTGGCCGCACAGCTTCATATGGGGAACTTTTAAATTTTTAGAGCATATAAATCGAACACAAGACGAAACGCTTTTGTTTTCTCTTAATGTTTAAAACAAAATCGGGACAGAAAATATATATATGTCTGGGATTAGTTGTCAGTTAAAGTACCTTCTCAATGTTGCGGCGGTAAGTGGTTGGGATTGGAATTTGATTTGGATTCTGCTTAACCTGCTCCACAATATCGTTTATCATTTCCACGAATACCGTGCTCTGGCAATTCGAGAGTAAGTCTTGTGCTATCTGTAAGCATATTGAATGACAGTTTTCAAATTACATACCTTGTAATTTGCTGAATTATGTCTTACCAGTTTGTTAGCAATCTCAACGGGATTGACATCGCTTATGTCAAATTTGAATGTTATAGTCTTCAATTTGTTCTCCATGTGGCAATTGATGACGCTGCCTTCGTCTACGCTGGTTACACTTAGCTTTGGTATGCGTTCGTTTCCACTACGATTTGAGCGACGCGGCTTTTGGACACGCGCTCCAGCGGCTTGCTGCTGTTGTTGCAGTTGCTTTTGTTGTTTATCAGCATCTGCAGTATTTGCTGCTGCTGCTGCGGCTGCGGCTGGCTGTGGGTCAACATTTGGCGCTGCATCAAAGTTTGTTGGTGCAGCAACTGTTGTTAGTTCCTGGGCAGCAGTTGTTGATTGCTGGTTATTGGGTTTACTTGGCAACTGCTGCTGTGGTTGTTGTTCAGCAGGAGGTTGTTGTTGTTGCGGCTGTTGTTGCTGCTGCTGTTGCTGTTGTTGCTGTGGTGGTGCTGGCTGATGTACTATTTGGGCTTGTGGCTGACTGTGCAACAGCTGCTGCAATTGCTGTTCTAAAGGTATCTGCTGCTGCTGCAATGGCTGCTGTTGCTGCTGCTGTTGTTGTTGGTTTTGTAGGAATTGTTGCTGCTGCTGCTGTTGTTGTAATTGGGCTACTAGTTGTTGAGCTTGCTGTTGCTGAACATCAGCAACATTGACAATTGGTTGAACAATCTGTTGTTGTTGTGGCTGCTGCTGTTGGTGCTGTTGCGGAGCTGTCTGTGGCTGATTAAATGACGTCGCAATAGGCTGTTGGTGCAAGACTGGCGGCACTTGCATCTGTCCTTGCATTAGTATGGCCGTTGGTTGCTGCTGCTGCTGCCCCATGATTTGAGCAGCACCAGCAACAACTGGTTGCATTGTCGAAATTGGAATTTGATGCGGTTGCGCTAATGCATTTGGAAGGAACTGTTGTTGTTGCTGTACGAACTGTTGCTGCTGCTGCTGCTGCTGATGCAGCTGTTGCAAATGATGTTGCTGTAGTATCTGTTGTTGCGTTGTTGCTGGCTGTTGCATGGGTTGCTGTTGTATAGGTTGTTGTTGTATGGGTTGTTGCTGCATAGGTTGCTGCTGAATGGGTTGCTGTTGTAGTGGTTGTTGTTGCAAGGGCTGCTGCTGAATCGGTTGTTGTTGTATAGGTTGTTGTTGTTGTATAGGTTGCTGTTGTATGGGCTGCTGTTGTATGGGCTGCTGCTGCTGTATTGGCTGAGTTGGAATGGGTTGCGGTGGCAACTGATGCTGTTGTGGCATCGCTTGCTGCATTTGTTGTTGCTGTGATGTTGGTAATTGTGGCTGAATTGCTTGTGGTGGCATTTGCTGCTGAATTGGCTGTTGCTGCATTTGCTGTTGTTGTTGCTGTTGTGGATGTTGCATCGCATATGGCTGTTGTTGCTGTGAAATTTGCACTTGATGCATTGGAAGTGTTGCCTGCGCCTGTTGCTGCTGTTGATAATATTGTTGTTGTTGCTGCTGTTGCACCAAATCAGTTGCTGGCATATTATTTTGCATAAGCTGCTGCAGTTGCTGCTGTAATGGTATTTGCTGCACCTTTTGCTGCTCGGTCAAATGTTGCTGTTGCATAACAGCGGCAGGCTGTTGTTGTGGGTGCGGTACTGCAACTGGTTGCACCTGCACTTGTTGTGGTAGTATTTGGGTTGGCGGTGCGGACTGTTGAGGGGCTTGCAGTTGCACCACTGGCTGCTGCTGTTGCTGTTGTTGCTGTTGATTGCCTGTTGGTGAAATGACCTGGCCATGGCCATTCGCAATGTCCTGCATGGCGTTGGTCGGATTCTGATATGAAGCCATTTGAGGGTTCTGTATGTAATGAACTGTAGTTGAGTGTTGTTGTACCTGCGCTATGGCAGGAGATGCGATCACCTTCTGTTGCCCTGGCACTGACTGTGGCAACTGCTGCTGCTGTTGCTGTTGCAATTGATTTCCGCCATTTTGAATAGATGTGGTAGATCTTGTGAGTAGATTCTGTGGATCGGTACTATTTGTGGAGGTTACTAAGCTAGTCTCTGAGTCAGTATTTAGCATTTCGAGCTTGAGTCGTTGATTCCATTTAACGCCATCCTCTTCGTCTTCAGACTCATCATCTTCGTCGTCCTCCTCCTCAACGTTGATTGGCAAGCTTTCACGCAGCTTTTGCAATGCCAGCTTTTCCAGTCGTGACTTTTCGTTCTGTAGCTTGATTTGTGTTTGGCGCTGAGCACGTTCTTTAAGCAGCGAAACAACTTGCACTTTAAGAAGGCGAGCGACTGCACGAGAATCATCCTCGGATATGATGTTCTCTTTCATCATGTCCTGGGCGATTTGCTCGTACTCATCGTGCTGAACGTTATATTCGAACTGAATGGCTTCGTTTTCTTTGTGACGAGATGAACGCTTCTTTGGATCCATGAATCGCAGACGAAACTCAATTATGCTGATGCTAGGATCTGATAGGAACTGCTCCGAGGCGGTGGGTTCCACACGAATACCAATGTCCTCATCAAAGAACTCAGACTCCAACAGCTCGTTGCACCTGGGCCGATCCTCTTTTTTCAGCTCAATGCAACGCTCTATGATATCACGTACATTGGGATCTTCGACTTTTGAGAGTGCCGCTGGTTTTATACCGGATATCACCTTCTTGTATATCTGGGCGGGGCCTTTGCACTCGCTGTACGGATATTCGGATATGGCCATTTCCAACATGCACATGCCAAAGGCATAGACATCAACCGATTCATCATAGTGCTCCTCGTACATCTCGGGTGCCATAAATTCAGGTGTTCCAATCACAGATTTAGCATGGGACCGATTCTTTAAAGTTGCCAGTCCTAAGTCACCGATTTTAACACTACCAGTGGTGCCAGTTATAAAAATATTATCACATTTCAAATCACGATGAATTATAGGAAATTGACGAGTATGCAGGAAGTTGAGACCTTTTAGGATCTGACGACACCATGACTTCAATACCTTTGGGTGTATTTTTTTGAATCGTTTTAAATACCTTCAAACAAATTCAATCAATAATGTTGTACAGCTAAGTGATTCATCAGCCCACTTACGACTTTAAAGTACCAGATAACATTAGCTCGGTGACTAGTACTATGTTTTTCTTCCGTCCAATTGGAAACTCCCAATATGTATAAAATCGCACAATGTTTGGATGCTGCAATTTCTGTAACATATCTGCTTCTTCCCGGAATCTGGTGCGTTCACTCTTCTTCACTTGTTTATCCTAAAAAATATAAAAGGTATTAGCAATGTAAATATAAGAGTCAACATATTGATATTGTTGTTTCACAATATCTACAATGAAATTACCAATAATTCGCACCAAGCAACCGGCACTCCGGTTAGAGTGTCCAGGCCGCGATAGACAGTTTTAAAGGAACCACGACCGACTTCTTTATCGTATTTGAAGAAACGTCCACATGGCGACATCGCAACTGGATCGTCGTCCTCATCGCTCTTGCGCTCTTTTGTCAGAGACGTGACTGATGAGGTAGCCGATGCAGTATGTGCGGATGATGGCTGAAGGGACACCGATGTTTCGGTACCAGAAACGGTAGCATCTCCAGAAATGCCTTCTCGTTCCGACTGCTTGGACAAGTCCTCAAGAACCTTTGCTTCATCATGCAACAAGTCACCATCGCGTTTCTCCTCAACATGGAAGCCTACGCGCTTCCCACCAGCTGTCTGTTTATTGGCAGGTTTAGATGGCACTTCAACTTGAGTCTTTTCGGTTTTCACGCTGCGCGACGCTTCAGTAATAATGTTTTCAATAATGCCAGCTACTTGATGATTACTCGCATCTGTAGTGTTAGAACGGGTAGGCGTACGGAATTGCTCCTCCAAATGCTCCGCCTCCCGTGACAACATCTCAATGTTGTCATCGTAATCACGAGGAAATTCCGTTTCCAGTTCCTCAAACTGTAACGGATTCGCATTTCTGTTGGATTGCTCCACATTTTTACGCACAAAACGTATTGTCTGCACATAGCTGTCTGCCCCCTTAGCCGCTTTATTCCCCTTCCCGTGTGGCGCCTTGAAGGCTATGGGGCCAGTCATAGATTGCGTCCCACTGCCCGTAAGCTGATGTTTCAGCACCGGCTCTATACCCGTGTCAGATGATGACTTACGGCCTTCCATCTTTTTCGGTTTGGCATCAGCAGCTGGGGACGGGGACACAACAGCCTTGGCTGGCATGTCTTTGTCTTTGCTGTTATGCGCGGACACTACAGAAGTCTTTTGACTACTTGGGCTATTGGCTGCATCTGATGGCTGGGATTCACCATCCATTGTTTCCTCATTATGTTCCGCAACGGCAGTATCCGTTGCCTCCAGGCCAACTCCCACAACGTTAACTGTCACGGAATCCTCTTCTTTATTGCAGTTAATATGCGTTGCCTCGTCAACGTTGGTTTGTCCCTTCGAACTATTATTGCTATTAACCGATCTTCCAGTTAGAGTGCTAGTTGAGAACTGACGCAGTAAACGACTCCAAACGTTATTCTTACTGTGTGATGAGGGAGAAGCTGTTTTTGGTTCCAATGCTGGTGCTGTTTGATGTAACTGAAACTGAGTGTTGATGTTGGCGTTGCTGTTGATGTTGGCGTTAATGTTGGTGCTGCTTATGTGTACAGGAGCTGATTCCAGCTTACGACGATATTTGCTTCTCTGTGATGTGCCTCTTAATCTAGAAGTCGGACTGATGATTTTCCTTGGGGAGGCAGTTTTATTAGAAGCACACTGTCCCGGTTTTTGGATTTTAGCTTCTTGCACAGTTTGTTCCTCACCAGAAATATCTGAGTTATTTCTGTAAAGCGAGAAAATTCAAATGAAAGTAAATTTAATATATATCAATTTACAACAATTATAATTGAACTATATACGTATCAAATTTTGCTAATGAAGTATACATATGTTAACTAATAATGTTTACTAGTAGCTGTCATCCGTTGTTGTCAATGCCAATCTTGAACCTACCTTTGAGGTTGCGTGGTACTGGAAGTAGTACCATCTTCGCTGATGGTGCTTTCCTTCCGAATACTGTTCGTGGGTACGACCTCTCTATGTCGTACAAAGTCGCAAAGGGTTTGTCCAATTTTGCAATATTTTCAACAACCAATTGCCAGCTGGAATCTGCAAAAAAAATCACAGTTCTTTTACATACATACATTGATTTGTATTGGAAAATAGATTGAATGTTGATAATTGATTGTTTGTATCAGAAAATAGGAAAAGGGCCGATTAATAATCGATTTATATTTCGTTACAGGTTTAATTCCGATGCAAGAAAACATTGTTTATTCAAGTCGTGCATTTTTGTTATGTTATGCATCGAGTTTTTTATTACTATTGATATTTCACTGCGCCTGTGCTCTAATAACATACAAACGTATGTATATAAACGGTATACATATATCTATCTGCATACATACTTATATATATACACACACACACATTTATATAAATAAATAGCATATACATATCTATGTACTGTTTGTTTGTATGTGGCACTGTCTGAACATATGTACTTTGTGCTGTTTGATTGCAAAACAGCCGTCGGTTTTTGTTTCTTGGGGTGTATCTTAATTATGAGTCATAAATCCCAATTGCACCAAACTACGCCTACTTCTGTTCACTGCCGACTGCTTGCTGACTTCTGTTTCTTTTATTTCTTTTCTTTACTTTTCTTTTTTTTTTATCCGATCGCTCAGTGACACACACGTTCATCTATACGTGAGTACTTATTGATGTACTCACCTACACATGCAAATATTTAAGTGCATGAGTACGTGCGTACATGCATACATACATATATTTGTCAAATTGAGTCGTTGCAACAACAAATATCGTTTTACACTATCAATTTTCCTTATTTATCCTGCGAGCTGTCACAATATGAAAAATAATTGATTCGCACTGATTATGATGTCATAGACGTGGAAAACCACCAAGCCAGTTGCATAGAAATTAGGGATTATACGTCTGCGCCATGGTCAAAAATTAATTATGTTTGGTAACACTGCACGATATGTGTCAAAATATTGTACGAAATACATTAAAATCGTAGCACATTCATTAAATTTCACAACAAATTTACAAAATATACCGCCACATATGTAGCCGTCCCCGCACCAACAAATCTGATTTATCGATAATTTTTATTTGCTTTGTCAAAGTCCGCTTCCATTGTATTTAGTTAATATTTTAGCTGCACTGCTTGTGGTCGCTTGGCTTCAACTCACTATTCACACTTGCATATTTGCATGGCTTTTATATTATTTTGTTTCAGCAATACTTTTAAGACTATTTTTTGTTCTATTTGTTACACAAGAGTAGCACTAGTTAGTGGTGAGCGATACTGATGTTCCTGTTACTTGTCAAATAATATATTCAAATGTAGCGAGTATGGTGAATGGGTTGCTTATCGATATTTTTATATTGCGATATTAATCAAAAGGAGTTAATTTACAAATAAGCTGTTAATTCGAGTATCACGGTGTCTTATCGGTACTTAAAACCGTTTTTATTTGTAAATGCATAAAAAGCTATCTATCAAATCCTTACTATTTACAGTAAAATTGTTTTAAAACATAAGTATCCATGTGCAAATGAACTAATTAAATAATATCTATATTAAATAAAAAAATTATTTATATTCTTTATATTTTTTTTTTTATTGAAACAAGATATTTTTACCTGCATTACCATACGCTTGAGAGGTGATTAACATTGTGAGTAGCGCGGTTGTTAAATTTATCTTTTTGCTGCTATTTGGGTAAGATGGATTTTTATCTAATCACTCATATTGTTTACTTTTCTACTTACTATACATTTGCCAGCTTAGCCTGAAGCGTAAACATTTCACTGCTTGCGTATTTTAAGCACCAATGTATCAATAAATACATTTAAAGATTTTATATGTAACGTATTTTTAAACGTCAAAGATCATAGGCAAATACAAACAGAGATAAATGTATTAGATGATAACAATGCTATTCTTAATTCAATTTCCAATATTTATATTAATATTTTCTCCTACTCCGCCTCATGTGCCTAAATGTGTGGGCAGGTACGTAGTTTACTTTTGAAAGATTAATTACCTGCCTTGGCGCATAGTAAGAAGAAAAGTACATATTTGCAAAACGTTTATTCTTATCTGAATATGATTTTGTGTGAACAGTAATCTGCGGTCATCTAAGAGATTCAGTTAGAAATTGCGATATTACGTGCGAGCAGCCACCAAAATTCGACGGCATATTGTTTTTTTAATATAATAATATATTAAATGTTCGACGATCTGAAAGTAAAAGTGTAAATAATTTTTAATTATTGAGTGGAAATTTCGATGAGGATATGTGTTATGCAGGAGCCGAGTCTGCTTTGAGCCTTAAAAGCTTTGTCATTCAATGGATTTATTTTTGACTTTATGCAGCTTTGGATCCTGACTCTGTTTAATATGCTATAGAACATTTGTTTTGTTTTGCTCGAAAAACTTTAAGAAAATGTTTGATTTAGTTATATCTTAACTGATTGTGATTATGAATTCAAGTTTGAATATAAGTTTGAGTGCGCATTCAGGCACTATGGATGCTACTTCAGTTGCGTTGCCTGACATAGATGATTACGGCTGTCCCAATCTGAATTGCACCCCAATGGAATTTACACAATTTATACTCGGTCCGCAGACTCTGCCACTACATAAGGCGCTGCTGGTAAGATGTGGGATAAGCTTTACAGTTAAAATTATACACTGAACATATTTTATAGATCAGCATTATATTTAGTGGCATCTTCATAACTGGCGTGTTGGGCAATGTTTTGGTCTGCATGGTCATCATCAGGCATTCGGCAATGCATACGGCCACAAATTATTATCTATTCAGCTTAGCCGTCTCCGATTTGCTTTACCTACTCTTAGGTGGGTAAGCTTTTAATTTTTAATTAACAAATTGACATTTTTATATTCATATTTAGGACTGCCAACTGAAGTATTTCTCTATTGGCATCAATATCCATTTCTGTTCGGCATACAATTTTGTAAGCTGCGAGCATTCGTATCGGAAGCGTAAGTAGATAGCGACTGAAATCTTATTGAATATTTAATTACGATGGCTTTATAATAGCTGCACCTATGTTTCCGTATTCACAATTGTTGCCTTCTCCATGGAACGATTTCTGGCTATATGCTATCCGTTGCATGTGTGTGCCATGTCCGGCTTTCAGCGAGCACTGCGCATCATTACAGTGCTTTGGATTGTTAGTTTTATAACTGCCATACCGTTCGGTGTAAAGACTGAAATTCAATACTTAAATTATCCAATCGGTACGAAGCAAGTCAAATACATAAATATACATAATAATAATATTAATAATTATCCAACAGATGGATCTCGAATACTGGAATCTGCATTTTGTTCCATGGAATCAGAGTTTCCTGATAAATATCCTTTGTTTGAGGTGTCCTTTATAATATTTTTCATTATACCCATGATACTCATTTTTTTATTGTATGGTCGCATGGGCGCTCAAATCCGCTCCAGAGCCACCGACAAGTTGGGTAGGTCAGAAATATAATAAACTTAAATCAAATCAAATTAAAATGTTGTCTACAGGAGTTCAGCAGGGTTCACGAAATCGAGCTTCTCGCAATTCGCAGAAGAAAAAGCGAGCCGTCATACGAATGTTGGGTGAGCTTTATATATTTCAGCTAGACTTTAATTAGGTACATTTAATTCGTTGGTTTATGCAGCCGCCGTTGTGATCACATTCTTTGTCTGTTGGTTTCCCTTTCACCTGCAACGACTGTGGTTCCTATACGCTAAAAACTTTGCCTGCTTTCAAAATGTCAACGAATGGCTCTTCTCGATAGCGGGCTTTGCATACTACGTGTCTTGGTAAGCTCTTATACGCAATGTGTCTTATACGTGTCACTTATACTACCCATTCTGATTAGCACCATAAATCCCATTGTATATAATGTGATGTCTAAGCGCTATCGAGTTGCCTTCAAGGAGATTCTCTGCGGCAAGAAAGCTGGAGCATTTTATAACAGCGGCTTCGCCCGCGATCAATCGAGTTTTATACGCGATGAAACGAGTTTTCGTCGAAATAGCATTGCTAGCAATAATAATCTGAGCAGCAATAATGCGCGCCATAATCGAGCACATTCTGTAAGTTTCAATTAAATATATCACATATAAATTTAAATTAATTTATTTGTAAATATTTGTTAGAACCGTATGTCCGACTGCTCTTTGCTAAGCACAAAAATAGTCATAGTGCTGGGCAATAGTGCGCAACGAAGAGAAATAAATAGCAATATTCCCGAAGAAACTGTCATTAAAAAGGAGGAAACATAAAGCTGGTATTCTTTATACACATATATATTTTCTATTATATATAAAATTAAATTATCTAAGCACTCTTACAAATTACACAAACAAATAAAATAAATAAATAAGCTTGTTATTTATTTAATTTCATAAAACGAAGACCAAACATAAAAAATATTTTAAGTCAGAAAGTCACAGCTTAATTATTGCATCAATGCATATGTATGTTTTTTCGAGAATAACAGTAGTATTTCTTGAATAGTTATCTATGTTTAACTGTGCTTGATTTGCATAACAATATCATTCAGAAAAAAAAAAAAAAAAAACCGAAATACCGTAGTGAAAGTTTTAGCCATGCGTTTTATAATTGGGCTGAATGGGCATTAAAATCTTTATTTTTCAAGCTTAAGCAAAGAGAAAACTTAAACGTAATAATACACAATGCCCAGTGAATAAAAGAAGTTGATTAGAACAATTATCCAATTATATCTGGAACAATATTGTATTGTAATGCTCTTGTTGCCGCAGCACGTGAGAGAAACCTTGAAACTGGTTTGTCATTAAGCAGATGTAAGACTAGCAGAGAGATGAGCTAAAACCAGAATTGAAAATATGTAATGATAGGATGAAGACCTTTGAATACCTTATATTGTTATATTACAAGAAATATATGACATGATCTTTATTTATTAAATTTATCTTTAATCTGAAGTGGAATTTTTCTATGAATATTTGTTTGGGAACAGATTTCAATAGAATTCAAATTTGGCGCACTTATAGAACCTTAATACTAGGATCTCAACCAAAATATGCAGTATTTAAATACTAAAAATCTTGATTCAATACAGAAGCTAGTACCAAAAATCAACCAAGTAAGTTGGCTTAACCAGCGAAAAGAACTAGCATTAAATTCCTGCGCTGTGCAGCCCTGGTTTAATGTCATTTGAAAATATACCCGCTTTTGCCGTATTCAACTTGAACCACAGAAGTTTTGCACTCTTCAGCTTGATTGGTTTTTCAGCCAAAGAAGAGCTTGTATGTGAATACAAAGAAAGAAAAAGAGAAACGAATATATTAGAAGAGGCAATTCACGAAGTGCTTTTTGAATGCATTGATGCTATTTTGGCTGCTGTCGCAGCTAAACTAAAACTAAAGTAAACAATCCGGTTTCCTTGCATACACTATGAAGCTATGCTTTGTGTTCTGCTGACAAATAGTAGACGAGGCAGAAAAACCAATCTGCAGCATTTGACCCAGAGACAACAGACCGTGCTGAGCTCTTCACTTCGCGGATCGCGCTTCAGTTGCCAGCAGATACCGCAATAGGAGAGATCAATTTAACAAACAACCAGTTCGAAACAAAAGAAGCTCAACAACAAAGCTCTGTGTGTGTTGTTGCTGGTTAAATTTTAAGAAAATTGGAATTTGTTTATTTCGAGTAAAAGTAAAGTAAAAGTTGAAGAATCGAAGAGCTGCGCGGCCAACGGCAGAATTAAATGCTGATCGACAGTCGCAGAAGTCAGACACAACGCGACGCGATGCTCGACTTTTTGTATAGATCAGATTCAAATATGTGCAAGAGTAGGAATAGCAGAAGCAACCTAATGACAGGCATTATGTATGCATTCAGTTTGGTGCTGCTGCTCTGCCTGCAGCTGGAAGTGGAAGGTGCAGCGTCTGCTGCATCGCCTCGCACTGCACGCATAATGCAATTTCTGAGAGAGCCCCAGCCCAGTTACCATGCCAATCGACGTGTTGGTCCAGGGCAATTGCCACGCCTGCGACCAAACGGTGACGGCTTGAAGCCGCCAACACCCTGGCGACCACCACTGCCTTCACCAGTGCTCGCTGGGCAGCAGCTGATGCGGCGCGAGTTCAATGGCAATTGGCCGTATAATGGTGCCACACGCTTTGCACACTCCAAGGATGCGGCACCTGTGCTGGATGTGGGCAAGAATCAGTTCTATCGGCCAAAGGAAGCGACACAATTCAACAATAATGTCAATCAGTATGCGCAGAATTTCAAGGCCTCGCCGCCTAATTACAATGGGAACAAAGAGCAGCAGAAATTTCCAGGATATGCACCAATCAAACAATATGCCATACCCGTGGAAGCCAACAAATATGTAGCCAACTATGCAGAGACACCGACTCAACAGACTCAGCAATTGGGGCAAGCTGCCAATAGCTATGCCGTCTATGAAGACACAGACAGTGTTAAGAATGTCGCTCCATTTGCGGCCAACTATCAGCAGACTTCACAAAAGTTGTCCAAGGAAGCGGAAAGCTATTTGCATTTCATGAGCACCAATGATTATTTCCTGCCCAAACGTGAACCAAATTACAAACAACAAGACGTAGAGCGTGATCAAATCAACTATCAGCAGAGACTGGTTCAGCAACAGCAGCAGCAACAGCAGCAGCAACAGCAACAGCAGCAGCATCAACAGCAGCAGCATCAACAGCAGCAACAACACCAACATCAGCAACAGCTGCTAGATAGTAGCGTTTCATCTAGCTATAATAAACCTTTGCGAGTCTCGGATCTCTTCTATCAGCAGGATCCTGCACCACATAGCTCGACTGTGGTGCGTGGCAGCTATCAGGCAGGTCAAAATGCCTTTGTTGTAAAATCCGATGGCAATAAATCTGTGAAGCACATCTTGTCCACTTCGCTTACCCCGCGTACAACTCAAGTGCCGCCAGCCTCCACTGCTTACAGTTATGTTTGGAAAAGCGCACAGAAGACAGCGACTCCAGAGCCAGTGAGATTTGAGTTTACGGAACATGATGCCATTAGAGGCTCGGCTAGTTATACGAATGCGCCGCATGGACAAAAATACTACTACGAAACCCACACGGCTGCACCACACACACCCACTGTGAGTGTGGCAGCCACACCCGAAAGCCTGCCGCCCGTGAAGGAGGAGCCCAAGGAGAGTGCCGAATATGTCAACCAGGTACGTACATTCTTTCTCTTTTCAACTTTTACTCTTAAAACTAGATAACCCAAAAAAAGTAAAACAGTTCAGCTGTGGCTTTATCAGTTGGGTATTTGATCGCAATCTTAATGACTGTGAAGAACTTGACCACTTTCCATCATTAACAAATGCCAAACACTCCATTAAATGTCTCGGCTCACAACTTTCTTCCCGCTTCGGAAGCTTGATATCAATCAAAGTACTCCGTTAGCTATCATAAAGATTTAAATCAGCTTTAATTTGCTTCCAAATTTCAACAATTTCTTAATACTTTCACCGTGTTACAGCAAACTAGAAATCAATGCCATTAGTTTTTATTTAATTTATAAATAGATTACGCGTATTTAAAATAGTACTAATAATGATTGTTTATTAATTCTAAATATTACAAATCTTATATTTTATATAAATACATAAAAATATCCTTCCTCTCAAGCTGAGCATTCGTCTAATTCTTCTCCCAAAGTCGAAAATTCTCTTCCACTCAAGCTCTAATTAGGTTCTTTCTAATTGGCTTCTGATGAAAAATGCATACAAATTTATCAATAAATTATTTTAATTCTCCATTCCAGCACGTTCAGGAGCAAGTACCCACAGCAGCTACACCCATACAACCTGTGGAAACCCCAAAGGACAACGAAGCTTATTGTGAAAAGATTTGCGCAAATGTCTACGATGAAAATGATGAGATTGTTTGTGGCTCTGATGGATATATGTATACGGGAGAAACCCAATTGGAGTGTTATTCGACCTGCTTAAATATTAGTAAGTATTTCTAAAATGTATATTAATTTGTTTATTAAAATTAATTTTTTATCCTATTTCAGAGGTGTCGATAAAGAGCAAAGGGTCATGTACTTAACTTTAAGATTTAAATGAATTCTATTTATTTATTGGCTTAGTTGTAATATTTATTTTAAACTAAGGTTATTTATTTTTATGTTAAGAAAAAATAAAGCATGTCATATAAACTTAAATAAAAATCAAGTCAATGACCTAAACAAGATTTTTCTATTTTTAAAAAATCGTTTTGTGGCGGCCAATCGATAGCAAGCACTATTCGATTAGCTATCATAAGCCATCATTGCGCCAGTTTTCAGCTATAATGTAATGGATCTTTGTGCTCACCAGTTATCGGTAAGAGAATGAATTTTCTATAATGTAGCTATGTAGAAATAGCTTATTGAGTTTATGGTTTATAAAAATATATTACGTTATTTTTAATTCGTTCAAGCGAGATAAAAATCGAATCATGAATGGAATACCCTGAATGGCATTGTCGTGTTAATTTGTTGTCACGAAAGTATCGCAAAATCGATTACAAGTTATCGTTCTATCGGGACGATAACATTAGCGAAAACAAAGCAATTTACGTATATAATATAATTTGGCAGTATTTATTATCATTTCGCTAAAATAACGTCGCCAACGCGCTTAAAACAATCTATATATACCAAAGTTCGCTTGCCTGTTGCGTGTGTGTGGAATTTCTTTTGCATATTGGAGAAACCGAAGCAAAAGAAAATCTACACTGAGGCAACTACGCAACACCCTGCGACCTCGACACGCAGCCAGTGCAATATATTGAAATGCAAAACTACGGCGCTGGAGCTGCTGCTGCTGCAGCTCCAGCCGTCAAGCGCCGTACGGACAGCTACGAGGCTGCACAAAATCATCCACATACGCCCAGCAGCGGCGAGAACTCGCGCTGCGAAAGCGATGAGGAGTATGTGAACACCAGGATATTGCGGCGGCGCATGGAACTGCAGTCAACGCCTGTCGTGACAGTGGCACCAAGCACAGTTACAGCCACCGTTTCAGCCACGCCAGCATCGGCCCAGGGTCATGTCGAGCAGCCACAGTTTCCAACGGCCACATCCTCAGCAGCATCCTACAACGAGGAGCGCATGCGTCGCAAGCTACAGTTCTTCTTCATGAATCCCATAGAGAAATGGCAAGCGCGCCGAAAGTTTCCCTACAAATTTGTGGTGCAGGTAACAAACAAACACAAACACGCACACACTCATGATCATATCTCGCAGCTACTCATCTGTTCGAGCTTTGTCACGTGATTCCCATGCAAAAGGGGCCGAATTTCTGTATGTGTGACACATTTCTTAAACAATTAAGTGGCTTCGCTTCGCTGATCATATGCCTGCGCCAAAATATTGCTCAACATTTATTTGCTCAGTTTGTAAGGCACTTAAAATTGAGCAGCTACATCTATCTATTTTGTTTAAACAATAGCAAAAGATTACAGACACACATTCACACAGCTGTACCTGGCGTTATCTCTGATTCTAACTATAAAGAACCACGTAATACACTTACTTTAAAGCATTTAGTTAACCGTTAGCATGCAAGAAATTACCACATGATAAATAACTGTTTCGACTAGGGACTTTTTTAAGGCCATGATTAATAGTCTGCGTCGTAGCAAAAAATTATTTTATTAAGATATGATATATGTACACGTATGGCTCGATTGAGCGTCTTTATCAATTGAGATATACATATATATGTATGTATATACTATTCTTATTAAAACGCATTCCCACACAGAGATGATTTCGCGAATAATTGGCGCAAATTTTTCATTTGCGTCAACAATCTAATCGTTTAATTACTCTGCGACCAGACACTCATATGTATGTGGACTTTCAGCTAGCAGCTGTTATGCTTCTATAAAACCTTTAAATATACTAACTGGGATAATTAAATATGATATAACGACACTTAAATACCTTTTGATATATTTAAAAAGTAAATGTTTATAGAAAGCTTTCTTTATTTTAATTCAATTTAAGTATTATAGATAGCTCTAGCATATTGTTCCATCAAATTTAACCATTCATTTACAGTATTTTATGTAGCAATGCTTAATAGAGGAACAAAATTCAATTGCCTTAGCTGAGTAACCCATTCACGATATAACGAATAATTCTATACTATAAAATAAGGAAATTTGATAATGCTGGCATTGAGTTTTGTTCACAAATCTCATTTAAAGACGCAAGTTGCGGTTTTAGTTGCTTGAATGAATTTAAATTCAATTTATTTGGTTTGTTGTTTTTAGATCGTGAAGATAATTTTGGTGACGATGCAGCTATGCCTGTTTGCCCATTCACGTTACAATCACATCAATTATACGTGGGACAATCGCATTGCATTCTCGCATCTGTTTCTCAAGGGCTGGGACTCGTCACGCGAGGTTGAGAGCTATCCACCTGCTGTGGGACCATTTGCACTCTATGAGAAGTCGGAATTCTTTAGCACGGTTCAGTTTGCTCTGGACGGCTACGGCAATGTTAGCCGGTCAATTGGACCCTACTTTTATCCCACCGCGAACAATACGATGCCACCGCTGACCCTCTGCATGCAGAACTATAAGGAGGGAACAATATTTGGTTTCAATGAATCGTATATCTTCGATCCACATATCTATGAGCTGTGCGAGAAACTGCCGCCAAATGTATCCAGCATTGGAGTCGAGAAATATTTGGAGAGTCAAGGAGTGGAAGTGAACTTCGCATCGCTGGTAACAGCTGAGCTAACGTTTAATATTAAGACCGTGAATTTTAAGGCCAATTCTGGAGCTTTGTCGGCGCCTGATTGCTTTAAATTCGACATATCTATATTGTTTAATAATCGGGATCACGATGGACAAATGCTGCTATCACTTGATGCAGAAGCTACGCGCCTGAAGTGCAAGGGCAACACTGACTTCATATCGGAAGCCCGTCTCGATGCCATACTGAGAAGCAGTCTAAATATCTTTGTGCTCTTGACCTGCGCTCTATCCTTTGCCCTATGCACTCGTGCTCTTTGGCGCGCTTATTTACTGAAGTGCACCACCAAGAACTTCTTCCGTTCTCATTTCGCCAAGGAACTCAGCTTCGATGGAGGACTGGAGTTTGTCAACTTTTGGTTAGTGAAATGAATGTTATATATTGATATGTATTATTACTAATTGTCAGTGTCTTTTAGGTATATTATGATCATCTTTAATGACGTACTGCTAATGATTGGATCGGCGTTAAAAGAACAAATCGAAGGTCGTTACATGGTTGTCGATCAATGGGATACCTGCTCACTGTTTCTGGGCATTGGCAATATGCTGGTGTGGTTCGGTGTGCTGCGCTATTTGGGCTTCTTCAAGACCTACAATGTTGTAATACTCACGCTGAAGAAAGCTGCACCGAAAATACTGCGCTTCCTAATTGCTGCTCTGCTGATATATGCGGGCTTCGTATTTTGCGGCTGGCTCATATTGGGGCCATACCACATGAAGTTCCGATCGCTAGCCACAACCTCCGAGTGCCTGTTTGCGTTGATCAACGGCGACGATATGTTCGCAACATTCGCGACGCTCTCCAACAAGGCCACCTGGCTTTGGTGGTTCTGTCAGATTTATCTATACTCCTTTATTTCGTTGTACATCTATGTTGTGCTATCGCTGTTCATAGCTGTTATCATGGACGCTTACGATACGATTAAGACGTACTACAAGGATGGGTTTCCCGTTTCCGATCTCAAGGCATTTGTGGGCACACGCACCGCAGAGGATATTAGTTCTGGTGTCTTCATGAACGATCTGGATGATTTCGATCAGACGAGTTTCCTGGATGTGGTGCGAAACGTTTGCTGCTGCACGTGCTGCAGTCGACGTCAGGAGACCACACAAGGCAACAGCGGCTACACGAGCCTATCGAGTATTATGAAATAGTTTGATGCGCCATAGAAATTGCAGGTGTTTGTTTGTTTGTTTTTGTAATGCCTTTTAGTTTAGTTCAAATTGTTGTTAGCTTGTTGTAATTTGATTTTAATTTTACATTTGCGCCAAAGCTAAATGCTCAACACGGAGCCCAAAATGATGTACCAACAGAAATTCCAATTGTTCAAGTGCCAGCTTCATTTTATAAAACTCAAACTATGACTAGACGCGTAGCTGGCAAATTACATTAAGTTCAAAGTTAGCTTTCCGATTACAAAAAGTACACCAGACATTTATTTCTAAGCCAACCAAACATCTGTATGTGATATAATACAGAATAATAATAGAAGTATAACTAGAGCATGAGAATTTCTTTTGGAATGCATCAGGATCTTCCATGTGAACAATACATAGAAACGAGTTTACGTACAAAGTAAGATTCACTTGATTATCCAATTATAAATTATATATATATATATATATATATATATATATATATATATAATTGGATTATCACATAAGTTTAATCTATTTATGTTTACAATGAAACGCTTGTAAAATGTCTATAAATAAATGTTGAATCCAGTTTCAATGGTGTTTACAGTTTATGTATAAATGAAATGTCTCATAAAGTGGAATGTAGTTAGATAATATTCTATATAACAGTCGAAATATATAAGATGTTAGGAATGTGAAAATATATACTCATCATCTCAGGTTATTTCAAGTAAACTTTACTGCTTTATAGCTGCAGTTACCATATTAGGCAAAAGGTTAACCTGTAACCTTTGGTGCAGATTGATTGGCATTAATTAACTTGGGTAGGTGGATCAATGTTGACCTCTAGTCAAAGATTTATAAGTGATATGAGTGGGTCATGGAAAGTTCTAAAAAAATTATACAAATTTTAAACCATATAAAATTCAGCTAGGCTGTCGGTTGGCCCCGACTACAATTTTCATACTTACTTTTCTGGTTGATCCAGCTACATTTGAATGTTAGCAATGGGGTTCATGTGTATATATAGAATAAATACCTATAGATTTTTTTCCCAAATTAATCGACATAAACAGTTCCACGCCGTTTGATAAGCTTTGTGTCCATAAAAAAGCGAAACATTCATTTCGTATTTCGTATTTGTAATGTTTGTTCCGTCAGCAAATAAATGTATTCAGCATTGCTTATAAATGGCCAAATGCCCAGAGGGCCAACTGGCCAACTGCCCATTAGCACCTTCAATAGCCCATTCAGCAGGGGACATTAGGCGACAATTGAAGCCTCAAACCAGAGCGAAAATCGAATGTTTTTTTTTATGTTAGATTTTATTTTAAATGGTTTCCTTTTTTGTTGTTGTCAATTACAAATGTATTTAATATTATTTTGCGCCTATTGTTTGGTATTTGCTTTTCTCTTCCCTATTCTGTTGTTGTTAGTGAGACATTTTAGACGTGCATCAAAATCTTTTTTTTTTATTTTCAAACTGCATTTTGATTTAAAAATGTTTTTTTTCGGTTGCTTGTAAATAAAATAATATCTGCATTATTTGTATTGTTTAAAGTATTAAATGCCTTTCATTGCGTTTTCTTTTAATATACTATATAAATATGCATTGTATATATAATTTATCTTTTTGTTTTTTTTTTTAATATTTATTTTTATGTTTTTTGTTTTTATTTTTAAATTACATTTCACAAAATACAATTCACAACTACACTTGACGTCAAGTTTCTGGTTTCTGTGTGTAACTAATCCATTCAATCACCCAGCTATATTCACGCTCGCTATATCTTTTTTCGATCTGAACCCAAATCCATTTATGAAATATCTTTTTGTTGTTTTGTTAATTTTAAATTTTTAATTTCTTGTTAAAATTAAAAAATCGTATACATGCGCAAATTGCAATCAATTTTTGTTCATCAATTTAGAAAATTAATTTTCAATCACAAAAAATCAACGTAAAAATGGATTAAGAATTTTAATCTGTTTTCGTTTTCGTATTCGTTTTCTTTTCTTTTTTCTTTTTGGTTTTTACATTTCATTTACGTATATTCGTTACACTTGTTTAGCCTTTAATATATATATATATGTGTATATATATATAGTATAATTTATTATGATAAAAGCGTTAACTATTTACGCTCAAAACTAAATTTTTTAAATGCCGAAATTCTAAGATTTCCTTTGCGGTTTTCTCAAACATTTTCCACTTTCCAAACTAAAGTCTACTACTAATATTTTTGTAATATATATATATATATATATATTATATTTTTTTTTTTGTTTATTAAGCTTATTAACAACATCGAATAGTACGCGTATATTTTTGTTTTGTTATTGTTTTTGTTTTCAATATATGTATATATTTGTAAGTATATTAAACATTGTACGTCATTTAGAGAAATTTTTGCTAATTAATATTTACTTTTTTTATTTGTTTTGTTTTGTTTCTTTTTTTTTGGTTTTCGTTCGCTTAACTTGGAGAGCTTCGTTTTTATGATACGTATAAGTGTAGAGGGTTTTTCTTATGAATGCTAAATATCAACAGAACTTCAAAGAAACCAAAGCAAGCTGAAATAAAAAAAAAACTAAAAAAATCTACTTACAGAAAAAATAAAATAAAATTCCAAAAAAATAAAAAATCAAAAATATAAAATTTGTTTTTTTTTTTTTTAAAGTAATTTTTATTACAGTTTTTCATGTTTTTGTTTTGTTTGTTTTAAATTGTTGATGTTTTTATAGAAATAGTTATAGTTGCTATAACATTACACATAGAGTTGCTATATCATAATATATAATATATATATTTATATATATATAATTATAGATAATTTTTATGTTTTGTTTCGTATGTGAAATTGGTTTCGAAATGCCAACAACAACGGCTGTAATTGTTGCTTATATAGATATATATTAAATATATTAAATAAAAATACAATAGATTTTTAATGCATGAAAAATATTTTTGTTTTGCTTTTCGTTTTTGGATTTCGTTTGCAAACGAAAATTACATTTGTTTAATACTCTTAAATCAACTTTTTACTTTTTACAATTTTCTTCTGCTTTCTAAATGAAATCAATTTATTTGTATTTTTATTATTTTTTTTGTATTAAATTTTCCGTGTAAAAATTAAATTAAATTTTTCCTTTTTATTTTTTCTGTTTTTGTTTTGTTGAGCTTAAATGCAGCGCTAAAATGCAAATTACTATTATTTAGTTTTTAGCTTTTAGTTTTTAGGATAAGTTACAAAAAAGTCGTTTATAAACTAAGCGCAATTTGAAAATATTTACAAGAAATTAGTGCTGGATAATGCTGGCTCTTAAATTAATTTTTAAATAATTTACAAATGCTTTTGCAACACTGTGCGCTCGCTCGCTCGCTCGCTCACTCTCTGCACTGTTGATGCAGCGACAACCCTAAAACATAACGCACTTAGCGAATTCGAAATGTGTATCTGTGTGTGTGTGTCTCTTCGTAATATATATGTATATATATATATTAAATGTGACTCTATGCATTAGGTTAAGGTTAATAGTTTAGGTAGTTTGATTAAAAGTTACTTGTAATTTCGAAATATGGCTCGTGGCTCTGACTTGGCAGTGTTGGCAAACGCTTTTGCTCTCTTTGTATTTGTATTTTGTTTGTTTGTTGCTTTTTCTTGACTTCTATTTGTTGAATGCAATTTTGTTTATCGATTTCTCAGTCTATTTTGTTGAAGAAATTAATGGAAAGAACCAAAGGTAAAGCCGCTTCAGAACAAAATGCGCGCCTGGCTCGCTCCCATCCCGCTCAACTAGTGGCTAGAGAGCATTTTCCACTCTCTGCGCTCGCTGTGCTCTCTTTGCTTGCCCTTGTCGTTTGCTGACATACTCGTTTATGCTTTAAAGGTTTACGGACTAGAATCTTATGCAAATCGTTTAAAATCTGTTTTGCGCCTTTCTCTAAACAAACTACAGCTACAAAAAATTAATATGGCAATTGCTGATTAAACCTCTGAGAAAGTGACAGGTGACAGGTGGCAGGTGACAGGTGAGAGAGAGACAGAGAGAGTGTGAAGAGAGATTTTTTTCGGAGAGAGGGAATAAACTGCACTCTTACAGCTGACTAAAGCTGCTCGTTGAGACCCAGTGCGCGGTGTCCGGGCGTACCATTAACTATATGGGACCGTAGTCGCTCAATGCCTGCCCCGGATGCTGAGAGCCGGGTCCGCCGGGCAGTGTTACTACCACAGAGACGGCTCGCGAATCGATGACCGAACCGGGCGCTGTGCTCTGACCGCCGCCGCCGCCCACACCAACACCTCCAACGCCGCCTACACCACCCACACCACCCACACCACCGCCACCGTTGACATTGCCATAGACATTGCCAGGGGCGCCGCCATTGGCGCCACCGCCTTGTAACAAGCTGCCAGGAGGAGCTCCCATGCCAGACATACCGCCGCCGCCGACCGTACTATTGCTCATGCCCGCCGTGCTCATCAGTGTGCCGTGACCACCCAGCACGCTGCCGCCACCCATGGTTGAAGCTCCTCCCGACTCTCCATGTCATACATGACTGGCCGCCGGCTGCTTGAGAACGTGATGGTGCAAATGGTGATGGCTGGTGGAGGCCACCGAGGCGCCGCCAGCCTGCGTGTAGGGCGTGGCCAGCAGCGAGCCAGCCGCCGAGCCGACGGGCATGCCCATGCCGGAGCCCGCATACGGATGGGGTATGGGTGGCCGTTGTTTGATCAGTGCCTGGTTGGCGCCCGTGCGATCGGGTGCACCGAACAGACGACGCCAGAAGCGACGCCAGCTCTCAAGCGTCTTGCCCGACCAGATCCACACACCCGAAGTGATGCCCACAGCCAGGGCCATGAAATACTTGAGCATGAGCACGGAGTAGAGGGGCTTCTTGCCGGGTCCCTTGACCTGGGCACAGGGGCAAGCCAGAGCCTTGATCCAATCCTCGAAGTAGGCCGCCTCGTACAGATAGCAACCGATGACAATGGTCGCTGGCACGGTGTACAGCACCGAGAAGATGCCGATGCGTATCATTAGCTTCTCCAGCTTGTCAGCCTTGACGCCAGCGCCAACGCCGCCCTGTTGCTTGATCACCGAGCGAATCCTGAAGAGCGAGACGAAGCCAGCCATGAGGAAGGTGGTGCCAATGACCAGATAAACGAACAGCGGTGCCAATACGAAAGTCTTCAGATGATCCGGATTCAGATTGCCAACGTAGCAAATGCCCAGAATTGGATCGCCGTCAACAGCGGACAGCAGGAGCACAGCGACAGACTGGACCGTGGGTATCAGCCAGGCAGCCAGATGGAAGTACTGCGAGTGCTTCGTAATGGCCTCGTTGCCCCACTTCAAGCCAGCGGCCAGGAACCAGGTGAAGCTCAAGATGACCCACCAAATGGACGAGGCCATGCCAAAGAAGTAGGTGAGCAGAAAGACCAGCGTGCAGGAGTGCGGACCCGTCGAGCTCTCGCGCAGCAGTCGCCCATCGCAGGCGATTTCCTCGTTCTGGAGGAAGTTGCGCGAGAGATAGCCAACGGCGACCATGAAGTAGCAGGCGGACAGGAAGACAATGGGACGTTCGGGATATTTAAACCTTTCGGTGTCGATGATGAATGTGGTTAGGGTCATGAGGGTGCTGCAGAAGCATAGACCCGACCACAGGGCGATCCACAGGCCGGCGAAGTCCTTTTCGTCGTTGGTGAAGAACGGACCCTTGCATGGTATGGCGCAGTTTTGCACGCCGGCGATCCTTTGCACAGTTAGGTTCATGTACCAGTGATGGTGCATCATGGGCGACTGCTGCATGAGCTGCTCCTTCCCCAGGACGATGAGCGGCGAACGGCACGAGCATGTGCACTCCTTTCCGTTTGCCTTTTCTCCTAGGGGATTTTGGCAGTTTTTTGAATTCTTGCCCTTGCACTTGTTGGACGTCGTCGACGATCCGCCCGAGCTGCTGCCGCCCTGCTTGCGCTTGCCACCCGAGCCGGAGCCCGAGCCGCCCGAGCCGGAGCCGCCGCTGCCACCGGAGCCGCTGCCCGGTTCCGTATAGGATGGCTGTTCCATGCACAGATTGTCGGGATCGCCATGCAGCGGCAGATTCTCACAGGCCATTCGCTCCGGCCACTCGAAGCTGTATTGCTGCATGATGGGCGCACAGCCGGAGCGCGCGCGCTCGCAAACGCTGCGGCAGACGGGCAGCGGCTTGTGGTACTCCTCCAGGCAGATGGGCGTGTACATGCTGCACAGGAAGAACTTCAAGTCCGGCGAGCACTTGATCTCCACCAGCGGCCAGAACTGATGCACCTCCAGGCCCGCCTCGTCCTGTGTCTCGTGATTCATGTCGTTGGGAAACGCTGTCATGTTGTAGCCAATGCCCCGGCACATGGGTATTGTGATCTGTTCGCAGCGCGAATTGGGATCTTTGGGTATGGCCGGCACGCCATAGCCGGGCGTTGGACTAACGTCCATTGAGTGAGAGCCCATGCCGCCCATGCCGCCCATGCCGCCCATGCCGCCCATGCCCATGTGTCCGCCTCCGCCATTGTTCGTCATGTGTTGTGAGCTGTCCGCCTGGACGAGCAGCAGGCTGACTGTGATGAGCAGCAGCGTTGCCAGATTCATAATGTGCTTCATATTTGTGCGTAGCTCTTAGCTTTTGTCTGTCTCAGAGTACTTGGCTCTGTCTACTATTGCTGTCTCTCTCGCTCTCGCTCTCGCTCTCGCTCTCTAGCTCGCCTATTCCTTATTCAAGCGCTGCGAGCTAGCCGAGATGTGTTTGTTCGTTATATCAAGGATTCCCTGTGCACAGCGTCAAATTGTCAACGCTTGACAAACGGCGTGGCCTAGCTGCAAAACAGAGAAAGGGTATAAGTTAGTAAGCAAATCGATATAGATGAGTTGATGGAGGAGCAGCTCTAGACCTAAGCGCCGTCGGCATTTAACTGAATCAAGTTTTCCAGCAGAGCTGTAAATGCGTCCGCTGAGGCGTCGACAAGTTGCAACTGCTCTTTCCTGTTCTTTTGGTGCGCTTCATTTGTTTCAATTGGAGCGACACTCGGGCGACAGCCAAATGTCACATGTCAACCCTTCCGCCAATATTTGCTGACGCTGGGAAAGGGACAGCGTGGGGCTGGAGGGTTTTACTGCTGACCAAGAGGCGCATCAATCAAAATCAGTGATTTTTATTAAATTTGACGGCGTCTGCTGGTCGCCAGCCTCAGCTGGAAGCTGTCGCTGCTGCTGCTGCTTGATCAAAGTGTTTGCTCAGCGCTGACCACTTGGAGCACTGCGAAAAAGGGTGTGAAAAGGCAAGGGGCAAAGGGTTTCGGCTTCGGCTTCGGCTTCGGCTATGCGTGCGTGTGTGATGAAGCAGAAATTAATTCAAGACAATTGCTCACTTGATGACGCACACACACAGAGCGTCAGGGGGCAGCGTTGCGTGACCAGCGTTGCCACCTGACGTGAAACAATGCTGTAAACTGTGTCAGCTCTGGATATGGATATGGATATGGCTATGGCTGTGGATATCGATGTCTATGTCGATGTCGCCGTCGAACTCTGTGGTCAAACAAAAGATGCTGTGTGACAGCTGAACAAGCTGGGCGTGGCGTCAAGTGGCAGCCAAAAAGTGAAGGGCGTTTAAGCAGCTGCTGCAGCTACGGCCAAGAGCTTCCAGCCAGCAGACATGCCAGTTACAAGTAGCAAGTGTCAAATGACATACATATTTGTGGCTTTTGCGGGCAGCTCCTGCAGCTGCTGCGTGTGGTCTCCAAGCAGCAAAGTTTCCGCTTTAAACAGCAGCCGAGTCGAGCCGAGCAGAGCAAAGCTGTCAACGGCAGCTGCGCATAGCACTATGCTGAAAGTCCTTTTGCTTTTTGTGTTATTTTATAAATGAATGACATTTTAATTAATAACATTTGTGCTGCATGTCCAACGCCTCACCCCTTCCCTGCCCGCCACGCCGTATAACGAGCAGCTCCCTCTCAGTTGCGCAGCTCAAGTGCTTTTTGGTTGCCAGGGCGGCGGCGGGGGCGGGGGCGGTGGTGGTTCAGGCGCGTAGTCGCTGCCTGAAACATTTTTCGTGTAAATCTGTTTGCCAAGCACTTCAAAATAATTAAGTAAATAATGCTGCCAAAATGGGAAAATGCCAAGTGTTGTACATCAACAACATCAGCTGCTGTTGCTGCCCCAAAAATGTTGATGTTGTAATACGATATAGTGATGTGGGCGTACGCTCGACTAACAATTGCCAGTGTTGCATAACGTGCATCCTCTAGGTATGCATTATATTTATTGGGATTTGCATAGCACAGGATTTTAATACGATAAACGATACTTCTTAAAATATACGATGAAATCGTAGTCAGTGTTGGAAAATGTTCATTTTTATAGATCTGCTATAATTATGGATTTTGTTAGCAAATTATTTCAAAAATACGAAATACGAAAACATCATTGCCAGTGTTGCATAACGCGCATCTTCTAGGTAGAGGATATTTATGAGATAAACGATATACGATATTTCATAAAATATACGATAAAGTCTTGGTCATTGTTATAGTATGTTCATTTCTTTAGATTTACTATATCTATTGAAAGTTGTCTTAGCTTAGCAATTTATTTCGATATACGATATACTATATTCCATAGAATATGGGATAATTGCATTGTCAGTGTTGCATAACGCACATCTATGTATGTACAGGATATTAATGAGATTTACGATATACGATATTTTATAAAATATACGATAAAGTCTTAGTTATTGTTGGAGCAAGTTCATTTCTATAGATATGCTACAGTTATCGATAGTTGTCTGAGCTTAGCATTTTATTTCAATACGATATAGTATATTCCATAAAATATACGATAACTGCATTGCCAGTGTTGCATAACATTCAGCTCGATGGTCAATTACTTTAAAAGTCTGCAATTCATATTGAGACTTGCGTAGCGGAGCATTTTAATACAAAATATACGATATACGGTATACGATATATAAGCATAATTAATTATAATGGCATTGCCAGTGTTGCCCAACGCTCATCTCAATAGTCAATTACTTGTAAAATTCTTATTGAGACTTAAGTAGTATAGCATCTCTATACAATATGCGATATACGATATACGATATACGATATGTGATATTTAATTAAGCATGTGATAACAGCATTGCCAGTGTTGCTTAACGATGTTGCCCGTAGCCAATTACTTCTAGGGATGTGCAATAGCTATTGAGACTTGCTTGCATAGCATTTCAATGCAGTGGACGGTCAGCTATTGACTTATATAGATGGATATATGTGTGACTATATGCCCAAATACCATATATATATATATTTATATATATATCTATATCTATGTATGTACTTGCCCCCTTTTTAAATACGTGACCAAAATGGACGATGGAAGTCTAATGAAAAACGTAGTGCAGCATGGGTAAAAGGAAAAACACGTTCACAGCGACGCGCTTATATAGCAGAGGCAAGGTATGAAAACATTTGTTTGGGATGGCCTAAAAAGAACAAC